GGGATTTCTCGCCGACCATCTTTGATAAGCTTTAGCAGCTCTGTAAGATGCTGGCCTTTTTTCGCTTTGACAAAGAGAGGGGCAATGGTGGTAAACCATCCCACGGTGCGAGAGATATCAATTCTTGGGTCCCATGGCTCGCGGCCATGGCCCTCGCTAAATACCGTCGGCGTGGGCCGGTTATCAAAAACCCGGGAAAAAGCATGGAGAACAGCTGTATGTATGATCTCAACTGGCCTAGTATTAAACGCATCATTTGCGGGGCCGAATATTGCTTGCGTTGAATCCTGGGATATAATAATGGATCGCTGTACCGCATCACCCCATGTATTACCAATCCAGCTTGCTGGTGGTCCCCAGTATGCAAGAGGTGGTGCTGGAATACTCGCTGCAAGTACCTGTTCAGGATCAAGAGATTCCTGGACATAATCCTTCTGCAGCCTGCACCATTGTTGGAACGATATCGATGCAGGCTGCAATGGATGTCCGGCAGTAAGAATATCTTCCAGATCCTGTAGCAAAACACGCCAGGAGACTAAATCTATCACCAGATGATGGGCCATTAGGCCCAGGTACTGCTCTTGTGATTCAGTCTCGATAAAGTCGATGATTATCAATGGTCCTTGAGTGATATCAAGGTTGTTTTGGCTTTCAGAGAAGATCTTCTGGATGCTTTCCTGGTCGTCGATTGACCGCAGCCAGTGTTTTCGAAACTGTAGACCATCCGTGGCTTTCCGATCGACGATCTGGGCCCACTCATCGTTCTCTTGTTGTTTAAACCTAGCTTGAAACATCGAGTGCCGCGCAGTCATTGTCTGAGCTGCCTTTTGAAGTTTAGCAGCGGACGTAGGCCGTGATATACGGAGCAGAAACTCTTGGGTGAACTTGTTGTGTCCTTCGGGAACATACTCGAAGAAAAGTTGTTGGATAGGAGAAAGTTCAATCCAGGTATCCGAAAAATCTTCATCAAAGCTTGGGGAAGGTGAAGATTCGCTGCTTGATTCCTCAATCTTCTGGCTCAATTTGAGAATGCTGGGAAATCGAAAAATGTCGGCTACCACAATGTTAAAACCGGCTGATTGGCAGCTCGCTGCCATTTGCATTGCGCTGACCGAATCGCCACCTAAACGAAAGAAACTTTCGTTGACACTAATCTTGTCGAGAGGTTGGTTCAGTGTCTGTGCCCATATTTGTTGCAACGTCTCCTCCCGCAAACTCGACGGCAGCTGAGGCTGCATCTGAGAGACTCGGTAAGCCTGCATCTCATCCCAAGACAACTGTTCTGCTTGTTTGCGAAGCGTGCGACGGTCCGTCTTTCCAGACGGGGTCAGAGGCATGTGGGACAATGGTAAAAAGACACCGGGGACCATGAAGGATGGTAAAGTATCGGACAATTGTGATTCTGCCATCGCACACGAGGCGCGAAATTCGTCGTTTGGAGGTAAAATCCAGTCTTTCTGCATGTTCTTCTCTCCGGGTGTTTCTGTTGAAGGGAGGCAGATAAATGCAGTGACCAAAGCCTCCGGTCGCTGATCCTTTTGATCGCTCTTATTCCTTTCAGACAATCGCAGTATCTCCGCGACCACCTGACTGGCCTGTGGAAACGCATCACGCAAATGATTTTCAATGTCAGCCAACTCGAGGCGTTGGCCGTGCAGCTTCACCTGATTGTCTTTACGCCCCAGATAACGGAAACTGCCATCCCCAGCGCACTGAACCAAATCTCCGGTTTTATAAACTAAGGGTGTGGGAGAAGCTCCAAATTGAGAACGCCAAGAAGGGGCTTCAATGAAGACTTGCGCGGTTTGGTCGGGGTTCGAAAGATAGCCATCCCCAAGAGTCGGTCCCTCGATCAGCAATTCCCCTGGGCATCCGACAGGCATCAGACGCTCGTGGTTGTATGGATCCACTACCCATCCAATGCTACCAGTAGCAAACCCAATATTTGTAGGGTCGTGATGCTGGAGCTTCGGCTGTACACTGAAGACAGCAGAACATTCAGCAGGGCCATACGCATTGCGAACCTGCACAAATGGCTCCCAGCGAGACACATCGCTAGCCAATACTGCTTCTCCAACGAAGACTAGAACTTCAAGTGTCGGAAGGCAATCTGGCTTCACAATCCTTGTCACAGTGGGAGTCAAGCAGGCGACATTAACAGAGAAGTGACTTATTGCCATCTCCAGATTGCTGTGACAGTGGGAGGCTGAGGGAACACAAACGCAACCTCCCATTATCAGAGTGGTAAGATGCTCAATGATACATGAATCAAAAGCAGGGGATGCAAACTGCAGTACGCGGGACTTGGGTGTGAAGGAATAAGGTGTTGCATGAGCCAAGGCACTCGCGACATAGCCGGCATGATTCACAACAACACCCTTTGGGGTACCTGTAGATCCAGAGGTAAAGGTGGCGTATACGGGATCCATGGGTGTGACTGGTAAAGTGCCATGGAATGATTTGTTGCTTTCTAACTCCAAGTCGAGAGTGTCGACATTGAGAATAGTAGGCACTCCAAGTTGGGATACCACATGGGCATGCTGCTTGCAGGCTACAATCAGAGTTGCGTTGATTGTTTGAGTCATTACTTGCAAACGTGGCACAGGGTACGTTGGATCCAATAGGACAAATGCCGCACCGGCTTTCATGACACCAAGCATTGCCACTGCGGTCCATTTGGATTTCTCCAGGCATAACGGCACGTAGAATCCAGGACCCACAGAATGCTGAGAGAGATATACAGCCAGTGCAGAGGACAGATTATCCAGGGTTTCGTATGATAGATCACCTTCCCAGCTGCTAATTGCTGTTGCGTGTGGAGTCTGGACCGTGGATTGTTGAATGAGATCATGCACGCAGCGTGAACCAACAGGGGCAACCGTTGATACATTCCAATTTTTCAGCTCCTCTCGGTCTTCTGGGCTCACATAATCAATGTCTGAGATGACACGATGCGACTCCCTCTCAATCTGGTCGTATATGTGAGTGAATTGGTTGAGAATTCGCTTGATCTGACGACCATCAATCACGTTTGGGTCGAATCGAGCTTCGACCCACAACCCGCCTGTAAGTGGTCTGCAACGGAGAATCAAAGAGTACAAATCGTATGTCTTCTGTACCGATCGATATTGTGAAAAGAGGGATGGAAGTTTATGGCCGTCCCTGGGTTCAACGGACAGCAAGGTTTGAAACTGACATGCTGCCTCTGGACCTTGGCCCAAGTGCAGTAAATTCTGCAATCCGACATGCTCAAAGTTCATAGTAGCCGCCCATTGCTCCTGCACTGCACCAAGGGCCTGGGCAATAGTGTTCTGCGGGCACAACTGAATCCGCACTGGAATGCTGGCCAAGGCTGGACCGCACAGCTCTTGAACTCCGGGAACTGACACCCCACGGCCCGCGTTAACAGCCCCAAATAAAATATCGTCAGAGCCAGTGTAAAGAGACTGGAGCACTGCCCAGGCTAGTCGTAGCTTTGTGTTGGCAGTAAAGGCGACGTTGGTACCAGCCTTGATGTCACAAGTTTGCTCTAACCGACTGATAGGACGGGGTACATATCCTGCCGTGGGTAAAGGAGGGAATGCTTTCATTGGCGACAAATGCGCATCCCGAAACTCAGCTTCCCAGAAAGCGTCGGCTTGAGCGCGAGTGCCCTGCACATATTCCACAAGGGGCCGAAAAGGACGGGAGACGAGATTTCCACCACGGTAGGCTTCGTTGGCCTGACGTAGAAGGAGTGCCATGGACCAGTCATCACAGATAGAGTGATGGATCACCACAGTCAAGGTGTGTCGAGTTATGTTGAGGAAGAAGTATGCCAGAGGCTTTCCTGTCTGCCAGCCCACCTTGCTGGTTGTGCCAGGCATTCCATCATCATCGGACTCAACCTGCCATGGGATGGTGCCACGAATCACGACCTGAGTACAACCACGCTGCGTGGGAACAATGCAAGTCCGAAGAATCGGATTGGCCTGAGCAGTATCATTCCACGCTTGATATAACCGGTTGAAATCTATACCAGGTGGCAGTTGGTACTCATGCTCAATCGTGTATGCCGATGAGTCTTTGAAGGTAAGTGCCATCATTCCTTCTTGAAGCGCAGTACATGCATAGACATCCTCTAACTCCTCTATGGAGCAGTGGCACTGGGCGGCTACTTCCGAATAAATCGCATGGTCGAAAGTCTTCGATCGCGAAGATAACGGCTCTTTGGGAACCGATAGGTACGTGCTGGCTTCGAGGTTGCACAGTTCTTCTTTTCCCTCAATAATACCACTGTGTTCAGCGCTACCACTGGCAGGCCCGGCATGGTGGGCATTTCGTTGGTCTGACTTTCCCAAAAATGCTCCCTTTTCTCCATTATGACGAGGCTCTTGAATCATTTCTTTGATGTGCATAGTGAAATCAAATCGTGAAAAAATAAAACATATAAATGAGGAAAGAATATTAGAACAAGACCGAGTAAATTAGGTACTAAGTGTCGAGGCCTCGAGATATGCAATGGATGAATAGTATACGGTAATATTGCTTCATCCAAGAGAGACGAAGAAAGGGAAGAGAGAGAGAGAGAAATCCGTCGCTGAGAAGGACTAACTACAGGATGTGCGGTCTGTCACATGATGACACCCTACGACATTAAGTAGGATCATGGCAATGACTCAAAGTCGACAGCAGTGAAAATGTTCAATTTCGAGTCCTGATGTTCAACAGACCACAGTCCATGACGGGCTTTGCTTCCGCATTTGAAACGTTTATGTCCGATACAAAGTCGATTGTGTGTGGTTCCGCGGGTTCCATATATATGGTTTTCGGCGGCGTTACATTGAGGTGATCCACTTGGACCCGCCTGACAGCTAGTTTACAAAAATAACGCAATTTCAATGACTTCAGCATTCTCAGCAATCGAGAAAAGCAACGTCATTTGATGGTCCGCCTGCCCATCAAAGGTCCTTCACAACTTGCATGCAGGGATTTGATCCATACGTGCGCCATCTCTCCAAATGGCTTCCAGGAATGATGAACTCGTGAGGCCTCACGAGCATGTCGAAGGCTCGACAGATGAGCCTCGAGCAATGAAATCGCCATCATTGGCCGCCAACTATCTGGTGATTCTTCTTCGCTAAAACTTCCCTTGTGATCGTCACTAATTACTATCAGCGAATCCTATCCTATGGTTTTAGGAATGGTGGAATATTTGCCATGATCCTCGGGTTAATATGCGCTACGGGCTCAGGAATCGTGAGACATACGGTGGATTGTTTCGAGTCAACTAAATATACTGACAATCCCATTTAGGCGCTTCCTTTGATGACTATTGTGTTTGGTAAACTGGTCGGGGACTTTAACCAATACTTTGTACCAAGCTCCGGCCTCAGCGAACAAACGTTTCGATCCAAGGTCAATAAAAGCAGGCAGGTCATCGCAGGATCTCAAGCCTAGCTTAATAACAGGCAGCTAATGGCTTCATAGTCTTTACATAGTGTACTTGTTTATTGGCAAATTTGCATTGACCTATATCTCTATGGTGAACACATTCCTTGTCTGTCGTTCTTCTTGTTAATTTGTTAACATAGCCACCAGATCTGCTTTCGACTGATTAGTCTGAATGCTTCGGCCGCATTGCGCCTGGAATACACTCATGCTTTATTCGCCCTCCCCGTCAACAGACTAGATGAAATATCGGTTGGCTCCGTCACCCACATAATTACTACACAGTCGAACACCATTCAGCAAAGTGTGTCAGATCGATTGGCAATTCTGTTTCAGTCTCTGGCCCTACTCATTTCGGCATATGCAATCGCCTTCCGATACTCATGGGCACTTACCCTAGTCGTCAGTGCAGCCATCCTATTTGTGATCATTGGCTTCAGCATCACTGTACCTTTCTTGGTAAAGGCACAGCACAGCATTGAACAGGCGGAGCACAAACATGCATCTGTAGCGGCAGACACTTTCGCCTCTATTAGGACAGTCGTTTCTCTTGGAGCCGAGAATGTACTGCACAGAAAATATTCACGGTGGGCGGAAGAGGCCCAGAGACGAGGTCTGAGGATGTCACCGATGACTGGGATTCACTTAGGCATGCTATTCTTTGCCATGTATGTGAGTTTTGCATTGGCATTTTGGTTTGGTTTGAAGCTCTATCGTGAAAATCACATTGAAAATATAAATGCCGTCATCACGTATGTGACCTTTTCTTCCTTTGTTATGGGGTTTTGCTGATGTTCATCTAGTGTTTTCTTTTCCGTTCTACTTGTCGTCACGGTTCTCGGAAATATCGCATCGCCACTCATGATAATCTCCAAAGCGATCAGCGCTTCTGGTCCATTCTTTGAGGTGATTGATGCGGAACATCGGACCCCACTCTGTGGCCTCCGAAACCCCGATATATCTAGCCAGGCCGATATTGTTTTTAACAATGTCAGCTTTGCATATCCAGAGCGTCCAAGTAAGTTCGTGTTGAATAACTTCACGGCATGCTTTCAGACAGGCAAGACGACAGCATTAGTTGGGCCGTCTGGGTCTGGAAAAAGTACAGTTGTTGGCTTAACTGAGAGATGGTACCAAATATCAAGCGAGCGTGAAGCGGCTGAAGGCGAAATTCTTGTGGACGACCACCATATCAACGACCTTGATGTGAAATGGTGGCGGTCCCAGATTGGGCTCGTTCAGCAGGAGCCATGTCTGTTCAATGATTCAATCTACAACAATGTTGCATTTGGTCTGATCCGGTCCAAATGGGAGAATGAGAGCGAAAGTGTGAAGATGGAACTGGTCAGTGCGGCGTGCAAAGAGGCTTTTGCGGATGAGTTCATTGAGCGTCTCCCTATGGTATGTCATGTTTGCTTTCGACGCTACATCTCATCTCTTTGGATGCTGTATATGCTGACCTCGGCGTATGAAGGGCTATGCTACAATGATTGGAGAATACGGCATAAACCTGAGTGGTGGTCAACGCCAGAGACTCGCCATCGCTCGTAGCATCGTCAAACAACCGGTGATTCTAATTCTAGATGAAGCGACCAGTTCAATTGATGTCCGTGGAGAGAAGGCAGTTCAGGCTGCTCTTGATCGGGTGTCCCAAAATCGCACTACCATTATGATTGCACATCGCTTGTCGACCGTCCGCAGAGCGGATAATATTATCGTGATGAAAGATGGAACCAACATCGAGGAAGGGACCCATGAAGACCTCACGCTCAAAATGGGTGTATACTACAGTCTGGTCCATGCCCAGAAGCTAGATTCATGGGCTGAGTCCAAAGAGAGCCTTGGGGACATTGTTGATATTGGACACAAGGAGATTCGAGCGCAAGAACAAAGCTACTCTATGTCCAATCAAGATGGTGATGATGGTGAACCAGAAAAGAGTGGAAACAAAGCCAAGAATGTAGGCCTTTTCCGAAGCTTTGTATCAGCAGCCTATAAACATCGGGAACATTGGTTGCTATTCATTTTGATCATTGTGGGAGCTGTTGGGGCGGGATGTAAGATCTCATCAACTACATACCCTCGACAAAGCTGACTTCTTATAGCCGGTTTCTCATTACAAAGCTGGCTCTTTGCCAAATTGGTTCAGGTGTTCCAGTTCACAGGCCAAAAGCTTTCTGATGCTGCAAACTTCTGGTCGTTAATATTTTTTGTCCTTGCTCTTGCCATGGCATTCTTTTATTTTATACTGGGCTGGGCCTCGAATTCCCTTTCCATGGTATGAACAGATCCCTATCCCATTTCCTGCATTCTCTAAACAAAGCAGTTTGTTGTATCGTCATGCCGCAAAGATTACTTCTTCAACCTTATCCGAAAGCCCATCGAGTTCTTTGACCGTGATGAAAACGCCTCCGGCAGTTTGACCTCTCGACTATCCACCGATCCGAGGCAGATTCAAGAGCTGTTCGGTCCCACCGGTGTGTTCCCCCTCATCTCGATTTTCAATGTCATGGGCTGTGTCGCAATTTCATTTGCCTTTGGCTGGAAGCTGGCTGCAGTCACTTTCTTCGCCGCAATGCCATTCATTTTCCTAGCGGCTTTTATGCGGATTCGATATGAGATCATGTTTGAATCTATGAACGCAGAGGTTTATAAAGACAGCTCTAAGTTTGCGGCAGAAGCTATTAGAGCGTTTAGAACTGTCACTGCGCTAACAATGGAGGATCACATCATCCAAAGGTATTCAAGGTTGCTGAAGCAGCAGAGACAAAAGGCCGTCAGAAAGGCATGGTATGCGACGCTTGTCTTTGCCTTTTCAGACAGTATAGAGCTATGCGCAATGGCGCTCACCTTTTGGTACGGAGGGCAACTTCTAGCCTCCCGGGAGTACGACACCGTCGCATTCTTCGTGGTATATATTGCTATCATACAAGGCGGCCAATCTGCCGGGCAGTTCTTCAGCTTTGGTCCTAACATCGCTCAGGCTAAAGCCTCAGCCAGTCGTATCATGCAATCACAATCTGCTTCTGAATATCAAATTCAAAGCCAGCCTACCGCACAAATTTCGTCTGCCAACCTCAATGCTAAAGTTGAGCTGAAAGACGTCACCTTCAACTACCCGACTTGCAATTATCCGACACTTGTCAATGTCAATATTACCATCCCAAGCGGTCAATTTATCGCATTTGTCGGACCCTCTGGCTGTGGCAAGTCCACCATAATTTCATTGCTGGAGAGGTTTTATGAGCCTACACATGGCACCATCTTGTTCGGTGGGCACGATGTCTGCTCTATTGAGCTTTCTTCCTATCGCCATGCTCTATCTCTGGTCCCACAAGAGCCAAAGCTATTCGAAGGGAGTATCCGCGATAATTTACTTCTCGGCCTCGAAACCACAAACGACACTCTCCTCGAGGAACAGATAGTCCAGGCTTGCAAAGATGCTGAGATTCACGATTTCATAATATCTCTCCCGCAGGGTTATGAGACAGAACTTGGTGTTAGTGCACAAACATCGCTCAGTGGTGGCCAGAAACAACGCTTGTGTATCGCACGAGCACTAATTCGAAAGCCTTCACTGCTTCTGTTGGACGAGGCAACCTCCAGTCTGGATTCGCAATCTGAGAAACTCGTTCAAGGTGCCATGGAGCAACTCGCCTCAAAACGAGACATGACCATAATCTCCGTTGCACACCGACTGGCTACGATTCAAAAGGCGGATAGGATCTTCGTAGTTGGCGAGTATGGGACTGGTCAGGGATCGGGTATTCTTGAACAAGGGACGCATCAACAGCTACTTCAGAGCAGGGGTCCTTATTGGCAGATGGTGTGTGTCCTCTCAAGTGTGAATTTCAAGCAGCTGACCGTTAGTAGTGTCAAGCACAGGCTCTGGACCAACAGGTCTAACTTTAAAACAATTTGTGACAAAAAGCGGAAGAAAAAAAATATTATTATTAGTGCCTGCAAGGTGCTGTCGCTACTTGGTACATACTTTGAGCAACAGGGTGAGGAACTATTTCTTTTTCTGGCGGGTATCCATATTTCGGGCACAGGCAATGTTGCGAGAGGGCAGGAAGATTTACATATCTTGCAGTGAGGTTGAAGGTCAGGTCGCCACAGGTATGTTGGATGAGATTTCCAGTTATTAGGCAAAACGTTACACGGGCTGACCTGATGTCAGCCTCGTATGCCTTCTCACAACAGATGAAGGGCGTGTGAGGATGAGATGGTACAGAGTTATCATTAATCTCAATCGCAACCATGTCATGTATTTATATGGCCAAATATTATAACATGCACCTATGCTCTGCCCATACATTATGGGGGAAATCGGCCCTGGTACATTATCAATCCCCGGGAAAGAGAACAGTAGGAGCTACGAGGTTCGGCTCACAATGCGCGAGGGACCACAAAGGACGTCCAATATTATGTGAAAACTGATCAGTCATGTGGGAAATAAATAAACCAAGCTCCAGTCTAGTAGACTAGAGCAAGACTCGACTAGCATAAACTCTGGGTTGAACACATAAGCCTTCCCTTCCTATAGCACCGACTTCCTCATTATTTGAACCGGCATACTAAAACTAGCGGGAGCATGGAAAGTCACGCCAAGCCTTATTGGTTCAGGTCATCTTGTATCCTTACCTTGTCGTTAATTGGGTTTGGCGGTGCGATCAGCTCGGTGGTGAATTACGTTCGGTCACTAGAGGTACCACGCTCAAACCCACTATAATCTGCAAATTTGATATCCAATTTGAAAGTGTCAACTCCTGAGCCATACATATTCGCCACCAAACAGTTTATTTTCTCTTGCGCGTTTTCTGGTATGAGGCGGGGCTTGGCTCTGATGAAGAGCTGCCTGAGTCTTGAGATTCCTTAGAATCCTTCGAGTTTCTAGAATCTTCATTAGAGTCCTCGTGAGCCTTATATCTTCGCCGTTTGCTCTTGCTATATTTCTCGTATCCTTTCCGATCTCCTTTGTGTTTCTTTGTATCGGTGAAGTCATCGTGTCTTAGCTGATGTTGCTTGGCCAACATCGGATTGGTAAAGCCATCGTTCACGTCTGTTAGATACTTATCAAAGCTCTTAGCGGTTTTTGCAACCTGTTTAAAGTGAGCGGTAGTCAATATAATTTCTGTTGACATATGTGTTTTTGCTTGGTAGGCTGTAGTCGCGATAGTGGTCTAGAACGCGTTGCGAATTTGTCTAGAAGGATAAGAAAAGTTAATTGAGAGAATTCGAACAATATGAAAAGGGAAAAATAAACTTAGGCTGTTAAAACTTCTATTCCAAACAACTAGATCGTCCGACTCATGCAATTTTCGATAATGACTTTTGGCAAACTTGAGAATTTCTGAATCCTAATAAATGATCGATATCTCTAGCTTCCTAAACTCCCCCTTTACCTTCTTCAAATTGTTTTCCTAGATCTTCATGGTTCTATTCTCGTCAAGCTTAGGATATGGAAAACTTTGATATATTCGGGACTTAAAAGCCCTATCCATATAGCCGACTCGATTTATGGTGAAGAATAATATGCTCTACCCTATTTTAATAGAGTTTGGCGTATTCATAGTAGAAGAGTTTACTTACGCTGTAGTATTCCAGACTTCTAAGGAAAACTATCACCCGTAAGCATGATATTGAGGGGAAAGAGCTAGTCTGTGAACTAACCTGACACGATGGTATTTCTCTAGATATCTTACTCTGATCGGGCACTTAAAAATATGCTACGAGGAGCGGTCAACGAAGCCTATTTTAAAAGGTCAGAAAATTATTACTCCGCTTCATCAAGGAGAAGAATATATCCCCACTTACGCGTAAGCTGGAAGTTCTTTTCAAGATTCCGTTCAACGTCCTCGGCTTTATCTCCGATATCACCATAGGTGATTAGGAAGAGCGGCCGCTACGTATATACAGCGACACACTCTATAGTGTTTGTTTTGCTAACACTAGGCTCACTATATAGTAACATTATCAGTCGTCGGCTATTTCCTTGAACCAAGTCGATAGATAGTAGTGTACCATTAATGTCGCTAAAAGAATTACGGGGGCGCTAGTGATTTTCGACTAAAGTAAGGACGGTGTCCTAAATATCCTTATAGATCATAAGATCATCCTAGCCTTTTCTATAATCTAGCTTCTCAAGTTTATCGATGTCAAAGGTGGCCTATCTTCTTGTGCGTAGGACAAAGCCGTAAACTTAAGGAGGAAGAAGAACAAAGTAATCGTCCTTTAGGTGCTTCGAATCTTCTGTTATCTCGAACAGATACTTATCCCTCTCTTTGAAAGCAAGGCGCTCCTTTTCATCGACCTTATAGTCGTCATACACCTAGTCGTTTCCACAGCATCCATTTTCCGTGCATAGGGTGTTTAAACGCAGATAATTGGCAATTTCGCGTAAATCGTCGCAAACCAAATTGTCGAGTCCAATGATAGGTCTGCTATCTCTCGTTTTTATGAAGGCAAGTTAGAAATCGATGATTACTTCCGACTCAACCTATTTCAAACAAGTCAGTATTCAAGATAAGGGTTTATAAACTTAGGTCATATCCCTAGGAGCTACCCAGTTATAGAAGGATTTCTTACCTAGTCAGGAGCTTTATCGAGGGTTAGCTAATTATATTTTCAGTGGGTGATAGATTTTCTATTTGCAAGCTGAGCAAACTTTCTTCCCCTCGTCAGAAGCTTTTCGCGAGTTTCGTTCGCACGTGGATCATAGGCAAATAGGAAGATCGGAAAAGAAGTAACCTTCCTCTCGCCCTCGAACGTACGGATAAAGAAAGTAGTAAGGGTCAACGCTAGAGCAACATAATAAGGTCTAGCGACTTACATTCAGGGGTGCCAAGATGTCTTCGCTAGTTCTGGTTTGTTAGAAAGATACAGCGCTTAACGAGATGCCCTAGAGGCTCAACGAGGAGATATTTAGAGTATTTGATTCTAATTATCAGTTATATGATAAGGAAAGAGGTATTATAATAGCATCAATCTATGATAGTGTGGCGGTCGAGCTGTTCCTAGGTGTTGAAAAATTGCGTAGATCCGCTATAAGTATTTTGCACACATTACCATAAAAAGCATTACGACGTGATAGATAGTGTACTTTTCGGTATTTGAAGGAGAGGGTAGTTTCTATGATATAAGTAGTGTGATTCATGCTAGATTTCGAAAAAAATTCCTTAGAGAGCATAGTGGTGAATCTAATTTCGCTCCATTAACGTATACTAGGGCGGAGGGAGACAGCCTCTCCTAGATTCTAATAGCCGGGTGTTACGATACACTATATACTGTGAGTCGGCAGTTTCGAAATGAAGTCCATTCATCAAGGGACACTAAGCTAGAGAGAAGAAGAAAAGAGAAAGAGAGAGGAAGACTGAGTCCTGCTATCTACCCCCTCCAATCAATCGCCTGCGTCCCCACGGTGTGCCTGTTTCTTCAGGCCTCAACCAGCATCCACGTGCCCATGCGTCACATTACCCCTCTTCGAGACATCGTCTAGTCCCTAGACGGTAGCCGCTTTGTTATCATTTTCGTGATCTTCCAGATATTCGTCTTCTAACGCGGCTTTCGTCCACTCAGAGAGGCGCATTGGTGGTCCAGGTCGGTCAGGGTAAGCGTCATGGAACTCAATCAGCTTTTGCGGAGCATTCTTGGAATTGCTGGCAGGATACCATGCCGAGTCCTCATCGTATCCAACCCACTTGATCCGATATTGAAGTTTCCTGTAGTGTAGCCGTGAAGCTAGGATCTCCTCCACTTCCCATTCCTGCGAATCCTTAATGACCTCCCCTAACGGTGGGTCCTCAGTTTGGCCAGTTAACGGCGCTGTCTTAGTAGCTAGCCGTAGCTTGCTTGGGTTAAATACCGGGTGCACTTTCAGGTTTTCAGGGAGGTTAAGGCGATAGGCATGTCCGACTTGCTCAATGATCTCGTAAGGTCCGTTTGATAGGTCTGTAACCTTCCGACTTGGCCTTCCGATCTGCCAATTCTTCGTAGTGATAAGCACTCGGTCCCCGACTTTGAAATACACCTCTCTACTATCAATATTAAGAGCTTACATAAAAGCTTCAGGTCAAACACCAAAGACATGCCAAATACCATAGACATGCCAAATACCATAGACATGCCAAATATCAAAGACATGCCAAATACCAAAGACAATAAAAGAACAAGAACATGAAGAAATATGAGAATTGAACCTTACACCAGAAAACTGTCAAGGACCAGAACTTGCAAACGCAAGTACAACCTTGAACAATGATTCCAAAAGTTGCATGAACAGAAAACAATGTATGTGAACATCATACAAAATATTTCTGTAGAAACAAAAGAAACAAACAAACATGCAAAAAGGAACAACACAAAAGAAAATGACCAAGGACCAAGGATTCCAAAGAGAAGTCTGGGGACATACGAAAACATAGAAAGTTTCCAAAATTGTCTATGATCACTAGATTCCTACGGGCCGCGGACTTTCTCCAACATGCGCGGCACCTATAGATCAAGGCTCCTTTTCACCTGGTCCGGTTTAATCGATGTGCATACTACAATATATTCCGTGCGGCCGGGCTGCTAAATTCACCGACTACTCTGGGTTCCTCGGATGAGGCGACGGCACACCGGCAATTTCTCAACGACGTGAGGGATCAGTTGCAGCTGATATTCACCCACTTGAAACCGAATCGACTAAGTATATTTGAGTCTGTATAGACCGGCACCTATCCGTCTAGAACTGCGATTGACGAGCAATAGATGGCGACTAGGGATATATATTCCGGTAGGAGTTCTCGACTAGGAAGGCTATCTTAGTCGGTACTAATAGCGCCTCACTCGCCTCTCACTCGTCACTGACGGGACCTGTCCTGAAACTATGCAGCGTTTAGAAGGCGTGTCTAGACTCTCCTGTCTAACCATGTTTGAATAGGAAGGACTCTAACATCCGTCCGAGGTTGCTTTGCTGCGATAGTGTATCCGTTAGAACTGGTGCTACCTAGATCATCTGAGCATTGGATTTATGCTATCTACGTTTGCCCGTGCTCTGTGCTAGGAGAGCCTTGGGCTTTAGGTATCGGAGCTTAAGGTTAGTGGTATTCGACCGGCCGCGTAAGGAACGAGTAACTGGGGATTGGGAATTTGGCCACGCTTCCCGCTCTATCTACGCTGTTATTGTCAAAGGTGACCCTGCTTCTAGATATCTTATCGGAGTATAATGAGATATTCTGCTCCCTACGAGCGCTTATACTACGGGACTGTCCGAATTAGCTGGGTCTCGTGTAACTATTGTCTCGGTCGTAAAAGCCGCTCTAGCTGACGTATTTGGAATTCTCTTTTGATTACCTACTACACGAATCGGGTGAGGGACGTGGCCTCTCTGCGATTATACGATTCTTATATTCGTTTCGCGGGCTATAATATCTATATCTGAAGTTATCTAACTTCCCGGTATTAAAATCCGATATCTAGGACGTACTCCGACACTACTAGTCTACGTTGAAAAGCCTTGTCTATTATAAGCGCTAACTCGCTCCTATCGACGCTGATAGCTTGTTTAAAGATGATCGGGATATATCGCCCGTATAGATTATAAACTTGTCTACTATCGTAGACCTTAGCTAGCTATCTACTCTAGCGCTATATGCTAGTCTATCTGTGGCTGTAAGTCTTCCTTAGTCTACTTAACGTATGTATACTAATAGAAATAGCGGCGGTATCTTTAACCTATGGCGAAGTAATCCTAGCTTTAGCTCTTATATCTGCGGTTTAGCGGCCTCGAACGAATCCACCGAGATATCTTACGAGAAATTATCACCTTTCTATATAAGATACGTAAAGAGTATTCTCGGCGTCCTCGTTAGTGGCCGGGTTCTATGGACTAGATTACCTCTATTGATGATAACTACGATCTTAGTTTCGATAAGTACTTTGATAGGTCGTAACTCGAGTATCTAGACCCGTAGGAGGTAGTCCTTACGTCTTCTATAGCGATTGTAGAGGCCGAGGATTTTGTGTCATTTACTGACTAGGCATTTAGCCCCGACGGACTTCCGGCTCTGTAGGTCCTCGCGTTTAGAGACTTCTCCCACGGGGATCGATATAGGGACTATCAATATTAAACAAAACAAGATTTAACAAAAGAACAAGAACATGAAGAAACACACAAAGAAAACTTAGAACAAGAAAAAAGAGACATAATAGCAGTTACAAACATAAGTACAATATGACACAAGAACTTGAACACAAGTTCGAACAGAAAAACAATACATGCAAACACCATACTTAAGAATTCCATGAAGACTCCAAAACAAGCAAACATACAAAAAGGAACAAGATAACAGAAAATATGGAACATCTAAGAATTCCAAAGAAGAGCAAAGAACTACAGAAAAACATGGAAGAATTACGAACACAGAAAAATGCATGACAACCGCATTCAAGAAGACTGCATCCAGAAATCCGAGGAAACCTCAAAATCCAATAATAAGAATACAACCCTAGGATTCCTACGGATGCAGTAATATAAGGCAATAAGCCGAATGCATCCAAAAAGAAGAACAGAGAGATTTAATTTAAATTGAGCAGGATTACCTAGCAAAAGATAATCATTAATTCAATCATCTATTTCTCTGATTTACCTACCTTCGGTCCTCATCTCTCGCAAAATCTTAATCTCACTTTGTTCTTATCATTTCTTTAAATGATCCCTACCCTAATAACCTAAAATTCACGAGATCTACGTTGTTTAGTATAGCTTTGTAACTCTAGAGGTGAACGTACTCCGAAATCTTACGAATAATGCGCTAAATGTTTATAGATAAAGGGTTGGACATTATTACGTTTGCTATATTGGTTTAGAGAATAAGGGATTTATAGATAGCTAGCTAGTTCATAGATGTTTTGAAAAATCAAATATACGGTGGTACCGTAGGCTAAATATTGTAGTGGGGAAATCACGAGATTTGTATGATTATTGCCTTAGGCAGTGATGTCCTCAAGGAAAGGATATAGGCAATCTACGACTGTAGAGAAGGATAGACAGTTACAACAATGCCACTTATTTCCTGATACAAGATTTATGATCATTATGCTCCTTGAGATAGCATCTGATTATCCCTGATAGGCATCATCTGTCTAGGGCTCACAGACCTGACTTGTTGTTAGGTTTTCTTGCCAGCATTTGTCGACCCGTCTGTTTTGACCAGACTGCCATCGAGCATCTCCCATTTCAATAGTAGTATAAAATAGATAGCATAATACTTCGGCCCTCACCTAGATACGGCCTACTCACTAAAATAATAACGCTAAATCCCTAGTAGCGGAATAGGGAAAAGTGATCATAAGAATGGTAGTACCGACGCTTTCCCACTATTTTAATTGGAGCTTCCTAAGTTATTTTGTTTCGTCCGTGGAATTAAGTGGGTTAAAGGGAATGTACCTATTTTCTATCACCCGCGTCTTTTGCCGGTCCTAGTCATATTTGCGTAACTAGGCGTAATTGACCGATGGTAATAGGAGATTTACCCGTAGTAAGATATTATCTAATTGAGTCGAGTGGTGGAGAGTAGTACAATGCGGGCGTGGTTATTGTGGTTATCAGCCGCGTGGTGGGAATCTGTTCTCGATTATAATCGGTTAACCCTAGAAGATATTCTACTATACTCTATCCTTTTAGCGCTTGATATAAATGATACTATGTGCCTAAGAGATTTACCTCTTACTTCCTATCTCTATCGTCTGAATAACGACAAAGTTTAGAAAATCGATAGTTTAATAGACCCTTCTATAGAACGAGTGAATAAAAGGAAGCGTGAATCTTCCGATTAGATAGACAACCTAGTTAGCTTGTAAGAGGGCTCCGAATAAGCGATAGACTCCTCGAAGCGAGCGTTACTGGGCGAGACAAAGGTCAGATTCTACGTTATCCTATTGTGGTCGGCATTAACAAAAACATAGACCACTCCGATCAACGCAGCCTACTCACTGACCAGTCATATAACATAGATCCTATAGCACGATACCTCTTTCTTATTATCGTCCGCTTATTACGGACATACCAGGCACCAATCAGTATGGAGCCGCAACTTGTTGATGGGCGGTCATGGACCAGTCAATCGACCGACCCATTAGGATCACGTGATGAACAGTCAGAGGACTGCGATTGGACAAACAAGGCAGGCGCCCTTTTCGGCCCTTGATTTACCATCACCCAGAATACAGTATAAAAGGGGATTCTCACGTAAATAAGAATCTCTATACTTAAATAACTCGTTAATCAACTCAAGATTATCTATATTATACATCCTTCCGTCGTCATTATTCCCTACTTACATCGTAACTTTGAACAATAGCTACCATCACGAACAACTAAGAAAAAGGCCGATCGTCTTTATCTTGAAAATACCACATTTTATACCTTCTAGCTTCCAATCTTCCTTTTTTGTTTTGCTCAAAATAGACTCGGAAGAATAGAGAAGCGATGAAGAGCAAGAAGGGGGTGAAGGGACCATGTTCGATGACTGAACTTTTCAAGTGACTTATCACTTGAAAAGTTCAGTCATCGAACAAGGTTCATCGAGCCCCCACCCTAAAGAGTATTAGAGCAATCTATTTTGATCTAGAAGCAGACCAAAATAAATCTGTGCTGGGATATGTCTCCTTGTCACGATGGGAAGAAATGTGGAGAGGAAAAGTTGTAGGGACAAAAAAAAGAAACTCCGATAGGGGGAATCGAACCCCCGGCTGTCGTGTGAGAGACGACGATGTTAGCCACTACACCATATCGGATATTCGATGCAAGTTTATCAGACTTTTGACATCATAACCCAAAGCACATAAGTGTAGTTCCCATGCGTGGTTCTATGTAATCCCTCCTATCGTCCCTTCGACTTCTCGCTGTGCTTTGCCCGCCCGCTTATTTCTGATCGACGTATAGCTTTTAACGAGGCGCCTGTTTGAGAGAGAGAGAGATAATTTCATCTCTATATGGCTCAATATCGACGTCTGGTGGCATGCTTGCATCAAAAATAGTCAACTTTGGCCCAAATCGCCTACCGTACACAGCGGGAGCTAAACCAAGATAGGAAGGCCCACTCCCTTAGCTCCGATCGCGTCTCCCTCTTCAAGCGCATCTTTCTCTCTGACAATATCTGCTATCGAATGATCCGCTATCAATATGGAGAAAGTTGATGCATACCAGCCCGTTGGTCCCAAGGACAAGACAGTTCCGATATTACGAGCGTTCTACGCCTACCTTCCGGAAAATGGGAGGGTCAATTTCCTCCGCCATCTCCAGTCACTTCAGACCTACCAACAACTGCATGATCATGCTCAGTCATTGATCGACGGCCTAGTGGCACCATTAAGATCGCTGCGCTCGACCCCAAGTATTTCCCCGCGTCTCGGAATGGAGGACTCCATTGACAATATCGCTTCCGACTCGGCCGGGTCTATGCGAAGAGAAGCTCGCCTCAAGACAGAGTGCCTTGCCCGTGATGGCAGCAGATGTGTTGTGACTGGACTTTTCGATGAAGATTGTCTTGATACAAGCAACACCAGCCCCTCAACATACACAGACTGCGTGCATATTATCCCGTTTTCTCTTGCATCGTGGAATTCGGAGTCTGAAGGCTATGCAAAAGATATCATCTGGACAAACCTTATCCGCCATTTTCCAACTATCCAGGCGATAAACTTTAAACGGGAGAACATCAACGATACTACCAATGCGATGACTATGTCAAGTGAGCTGCATCGGTCCTTTGGCCGGTTTGATTTTTCGTTCGAAGAGACCTCCCAGCCTCACAAATACCGCATTCAAAACTACCGCCCACGACTTCGACTACACCTCCCTCGAACTGTTGCATTCAATTGGTATGACCAAAGATACGATCTTCCGCGCCCCGAGCTTCTCAAGGTTCATGCAATTATCGCGCGTATCTTTCATGCATCTGGCGCAGCGGAGCAGATCGACAAGGCCCTCCGTGATTTAGGAGAGCACTGTGTACTAGCAAAGGACGGTAGCACTGATATTTCTTCTATGTTGGCCGCAACAACACTAGGTGTCCTCGGTTCCCACGCTGGCAACGTCCAGCAGACTCGGACAGCGTTCCCAGATTCTAAAAAAAGTGCCAAGCGCGTTCAAAAGAATGTTACAAATGTGGATAGGCGGTTGGGTGAAGAACAGGCTGCCTACGAGGATTCTCCACTACGCTACTAGACGCGTCTTTACTACAGTATAGCTTACTTCAGTATAACTAATCCAATAACGATCACTGCTAATGAGACCCAATTTCTCCTGACCATTGAGATCCCAGAAGCCCCTTTTCTTATGTAACTTAGCACTGGTTTCTATACAGGAACCTACGGTCCTGTACGGGCCCTCGCTAGTGCCCATATCACCACGATTATCCCACGAAACACCACACACAGCCGTGGTCTCTCCGCTGTCCCCCTGGATTACACCATATTGGACAACGGTGATGGAGTCTCAATATTATTCAATTATAACCCTTCTAGTTTAGCTCACTGGGCTTTTGGCATCTAGTCCCCTGTTCCCTACGAATATAATCTGCAGGATAATGGTTTCGACGGTTCAACCCAGCTCTCTATCAAGCTAGACATCTACAAGTAATTGATCTCTCCCCCTATGCCATAACTTGTCCCAAATCTCGCTCCATCGCTTGGGTAATATAGTCAGCTCTGGAATGCAGATGTCCCTTCAACAATAAACTCACTGGCACAAATCTAGAAAATATCCAGAGGCTCCCTGTTAGGAGAAGAGAAACAGCCACAGAAAGTATATACCATCTCCAGTCCGGATTATCCTCCAGCAAGTTCACATTCATGCCAAATAGGCTCTGTTTGTATCCATCAGTCGAAATCATGACAACTTTGGGTGAATTTTGACTTCTATACAGCCTTGATCGATTCACATACCGATGCAAACATAAGAGGAAGAAAAATGAACTGAAAAAGAAGACTCAGCGAAGAAAACCTAATGGCATTCTTCATCCATTGCATGATTGGGCAACTAGACTTACTGTAATCCAACTTAGACGTTTGATACTAGCTGCCTCATTTTTTGAGATCCATGCAAGTTCCTGTCGATTTGAGTATTAATATATCAGGAAGGGAACTCAGGTGCACTTAGTCCTACCAATTGCACAAACTCCCGAACAGTCTGTTCCATATCACCCAGACTTTTGACAAAAGATATCTCAATAGCCTCAATAAGATGAACGAGCAGTCCTTGATCTTTTTTTTCAAGGTGATAATCCATTTCAATCTCGCATCTCAATCTATCAATATGTGACCGTAGGCATTTCCGGAACTCCATTCGTATCAATGTGTTCTCAGCAAGCCAATCAATTAATTCAGATGACTGGCCTTTTTGTTTCAATTGATTCGCTCGCTAATATAATTCAACTTCAGTTGGTCACGGCTATATATTTCTTTTGAAAAGATTCGACGACTCACCATTTCATAGATTTCTTCAACAGCAACCGAACACACATCATCCCATTTGCTCTTGAGATGCCTCAGAAAAAGTTCAAAGATCTTGAACTCCGAGCTAGAGATACAGCCATCCGGAAGTCCACTACTGTTAAGGAAGACATCGACCTTTTTTTTCGAGTCTGAACTCCTGACCCATGCGATACCGCATGGCTCTGGGCACTGCTCGCCGTTTCCGGGGAGATGTTGATATTTGAGCGGGAACGCAATTGATACGTAAGTTATCTCGAATTTGCGAAAGCTTTTGCGGATGTATTGAACGTATTCTGATTTGGCAAGTTCAAATTTCATGTCACATTCAGCATTTAACTGTCTTGGTACACGAGACCAAATCTCGGGCTGTGCACACACACTGTATCAAAAATTAGAATCTAGAACGAAGACTCCAATTCTTTACTCACTATAATTTTCGCTGCCCTTCTCGTGGGGCTAAGTCAAATTCGGGTTTCAGAATTGACTGCCAATCAAAGTGATCGTCAGGAATGTATTGATTAATTTGAACCCAGTAGGTTTCGTCGTTTCCAAGTTGAAGCCAGTCACTTGACCGAACGTTTTCAAGTGTGGACATTGATCTGAGTAGTCGCCTCACAATACTCTTATTCTTTTTTAGTAGAGCGAATTGTAAAGGTATTCGTCCAGTTCGGTCTTTGCTGTTTAGTGATGGCCCTTCTGTTTTATCTTCCATCAATATATCAACCAATCTCTCGTGCTGATGGAAGCACGCAAGGTGCAAAGGCTTGATTCCCTCGGAATCGCACCTCTCTACAATCCAGGGATCAACCTCTGTGCCCCAAGAAACAAGCTTTCTGATGGTATTCACCAAGTTTTCTAGCCCGTATTCTTGTTCATAAGTTTCTGAATGGCGAATCAAGTAATTCAGCGACAGGTCGTTATTTCCCTTTTTTGCCATCAAGCACACTACCTCATGGTGGTTCTTCTCTACTGCCCATAACATCGGAGTTCTTGCAAAAGTGCCTTCGGGTTGATCGGTCCGGTTTGGATCAACGTCTTTATTTTTTAAGAGGTGACCCACAATGCCAATGTCCCCGAATTGAGCAGCCCAAGAGAGCCAGGTGCGTGTAGATGTATCCCGGCGATCTGGTAGGGGAAGGGATTTTAATAACTTGGCAAAGCTGTCCCGAAGATCCTTTGGCACCTGCATACTGATACCACGATCTGATCTAGCTTTAAGAAACCACCAAAAGCCTGTATGCTGGTCGTCATCCTCTTTATGTGGGTCAGCGCCATAGTCAAGAAGCAATTGCATAATCGCCACATTCGAATTGCCCGCAGCAAGTGAAAAAGGAGTTCGTCCATGTGCATTTTGAAGATCCACCTGGGTTCTGTGATCTCCGAGCAACTTTTGGACTGCCAAGTATTTTCCTTTTTCTGCAGCCCATGCTAGTGGTGTCTGTTTCAAACCAGATATATCTCTCAAATTGACGTCTGCTTTTGGTATAAGCAGCTCCAAAATTTCGATGGATTTGTGCTCCACTGCGAAGGATGATGCAGTTTGCTCTCATACGTATTGATTCACATCGACTGTGACATGCTTTAATTCCAGTATCTGTCTAACAGACTCGATGTCCCGTTGATAAACTGCCGTGATGAGAGGGGTTACACCCTTCGAATCCGCTAAATTAAGATCGGCATCTCGTTCAATAAGAAGACCAACAATTTCTTTTCTCGCCTCGAAGCCTAGACTGACTGCCATTAACAAAGGCGTTCGATCATCCTCGTCCCGGTGGTTGACATTAGCTGCATTTGCCAGAAGGTACTGAACGATGTCGGTAGACCCAATAGAAACTGCTTTTTGTAGCGGAGTAGGATCAAGACCATCATCTGGATTGGTCTTCGCATTCTCTTGCCCTACAAGAAATCTCACGGTCTCCAGGTGACCAAGTTCGACTGCACGTGATAATGGAGTTAGACGGCCACTGTCCCGACGCTCTATGTCGGCCCCAGCTTTCCTTAGGAGCTTGATTGTTTCGAGCTGTTGTGATTCGACTGCCAAAAATATAGCTGTTCTACCCTTTGGGTCGGATAGGTTCGTGTCTGTTGTCTTTCTTTCTAAAATTTTGTTGAAAGTTTCCAGTCGCATCGTGGCTTGCCACAAGGGAGATCGTGATATCTCGTCGTCGTAAAAGTTCACGTCAAACTCTTCACATTTCAAAAATGTTTCTATTAGTTCGAGCATTTCGTTCTGCCAATCTTGCATGAACTTTCCGTTGTTCTTTCTTCCTATTCGCTGTGGCGGTTTTTCTTTAAGTTTATTCACAAAGTCTCTCCGCATAGTCGTTTGAGATTCCAGAGAAAGGGAATCATTGGTCAGTTTTGTAGTCATTTTTGCCATAAACTGGCTCTGGTGTCACAAGCAAGCAATGGAGATGAAGTTTCGGTCTTTGAATTTAGCGGTATCCTTTACTTTTTTTCCCAAACTCGCAGAATGTCTCAGGTTTAATAACTCTGTTTCAGCTCAGTAGCTAAAAATAGCCGATTGAAATGTGATAACGCACCTTAGCGCCCGCATCGCACCAGTGAAGTAATATGCATAGCCCCTAGTTATAACTTATGTGTTATCAACTCGGATATGCAAAGTGTTATTACGTAGTATCGAATACTTACGCTGAGCCTGTCCTAAGAACACAGGTAGCTATTTAGTAACGCTTTCTCATATCGGGTCTAAATTTGATGATAGGGATGTTTATATCAATCGCGTTTGAATGCTAGGCTTTATTGTGAAAAGGACAATATAAACAAAGTTTACATCAATAATCGCTGGTATAATTATCATCTGTCACGATTTATATGTTTCCGTGTTGTAATTAACAAATTTAAAGCCAATCAGACATGATCTTAGGTACATCATTAGGATGTTCACTAATGACTCGCTAGGCAACAAGCTAGTAGGAGTGACCTACGGCGCTAAGCTAAAGGCCCCAGTGTTGAGATCACGCTTTGATAATGCGCTCAATAAATCAAGGACAACTAGCTATTTTTAGGAACCTCAGTCGTATTGTAACTTGATAAGATACTGAGTGAGCATGCTATTACGAATACAGTCACCTTTACAAAATTGGGCCGGGGGGACCATAGGGGGAATTATCGGCCTCGAGTCCTCGTGGCCAAAACATTCCGTGGATATCATTAATAGTGTGATTAAATATTGGTTTTCATTTTATCGGATATAACTTGTGGCCAACAACATAATTACTGTCTGATATAGTGTAATTATAGTATCGCGCGATCTTCCCCGCGCTTGCAACCAATATAGTAATTGGCGGATGAAAAGGTCCTATCAATTATGAAAGCCCCAAATTGTGCATTAACGTGGTTGAATTCATACAGGTGCCTCTCTCCCTCTCTGCTCATGAGTCAAGATAGATCCCCTTTTTTTTTGTATATTATATGCATTTCTCAGTACCCACAGACCAATCAATATAGGGGCGCTAGATTTTCAACATAGCGTCATATTGCATAAAACCAACAAGCACATGCGTTGCCAGGTCTGAAAAGTGTGACCAATCAGAGCCGATATATTGTGCATGAACTGCAAATCACGTTACAGTAGTGGAAGGCATACCGGCAGTCTGCCTTAGATTTAAAACTTATGTTGATTATAGAAGCACTTCACGGCCCTCTGTCTCATCGATCCTGGGGCCAAATTCCCAAACCAGCTTAATGTGGCAGCTTAGGGCCCCTGTGAAATGCTTAAGTGAAAACATCATAATTTCTCGCTTTAACGTCACGCCAAAGTGTGGCCATTTTACCGTCCCGACCTTTCACACCACATCGGACGGTGATTGCTATTGTCTAAGGTTTAGCCTTGACACTTCTAGTTTAGTGCTATTTCTCCTTGGGCGCTTCCGTGCGTCATTCTATAAAATCTCACCACTCACCCTGTATGTCCGTTGTTTCTTACACTCATCTGTTTTCCCAAGGCTGATTTCGCGAAGTGTTTTTGCCATTGATTCGGACTACCGAGCTCCGGTGCTGAGCTACCCCTTTTCGCCCGTGTGACTCGTCGACTTCTCTATGATTCTACGACGACAACCTACGCTGCTCCTCGTCCGACAGTCTTTTCCCCTGCCCCAACTGCTGCGTTTAAAATGAGATGGCCTGTCTCCCAGTCTGCCACACTGGCTTACAGGCTTATTGCTCTGGATCTTAATTGACCAGTCCGTAGTTAACCTCTACATATACGGGCGTAGTTGTCCTAATCTGTTTCACTATAATCGTACTCCGTATACCAGCACCAAATCAGCAGTGTAGTGGGGAAATCACGACACTTGTATGATTACTGCCTCAGGCAGTGATATCCTCGAGGAAGGGTTATGGGCAACCTACGACTGTAGAGAAGGATAGACAGTTACAACAATGCCACTCATTTCCTGATTCAAGATTTATGATCATTATGCTCCTTGATATAGCATCTGATTATCCCTGATAGGCATCATCTGTCTAGAGCTCACAGACCTGACTTGTTGTTGGGTTTTCTTGCCACCATTTGTCGACCCGTCTGTTTTGACCAGACTGCCATCGCGCATCTCCCATTTCAGCAGTTAATTAATTCAATGAATCACATGATTCCTCATGTAGCCATGATTTTCTAAAAACTTTTTTCATTGGTGTATATTTTGCCGATCGCCATACCGCAAATGTTTCTTTTCTCTTTTAAACCATGATGATGATGAAAATAGTCTACCCAAAAGAGAAAAGGGTGAGGTTTTTTAAAATCAATGTATAACTATTATATCTTGTCTTAATATTTATTATTTTGTATATGATTTTACATTTCTGTTTCTCTTTATCAGTTATTCTGTGACCAAGCACTGTTCAACCGAACATATACAACCTTGGAAATATGCCATTGTCATTGCTATTGTCAACAAGCTTTTATCTTATCTAAGTTTCCTTGTCTGGAAATCAGTTTTTAATGTGAAAGATACATTTTATAGCCTATTTACTGGATTTTTATATCGCATATTGTAGTGGGGAAATCACGATATTTGTATGATTATTGCCTCAGGCAGTGATATCCTCAAGGAAGGGTTATGGGCAATCTACGACTGTAGAGAAGGATGGACAGTTACAACAATGCCACTCATTTCCTGATTCAGGATTTATGATCGTTATGCTTCTTGATATAGCATCCGAGTATCACTGTTAAGACTCATTTGCCTAGAGTTCCTAACCTGACTTGTTGTTGGGTTTTCTTGCCACCATTTGTCGACCCGTCTGTTTTGACCAGACTGCCATCGAGCATCTCCCATTTCACTATCAATATCATGTGGAAGGAACCGAGGATATCGCCGATATTGGGCAGCGAACCCCCAAATATTGGGCAATCGAAGTTTTACACTGCATGCAGCTTCTCACCATTCAAAAGAACGTCTCGATTCAGACGAGTACAGTCCGCGCTGGTACTCGGATGGGCCAATTTGATGATTCAACCATGTTGCCAATATCTGGTTCACTCCGTTATTGGAAATCCGAAGAGCAACGAGCACCGTAAAGAGCAAGATGGATACGGTTACTGAAGATGAGAACCGATGTGTCAAGTTCCGGTGTGTGTATGTGACTGACTTGTAAGTAGGGCGAATATTGCAACTCCATAGCAACCGCTCGATGCGTCCCTAATATGGTAACTAAATAATTCTCTCCTACTACGCCTGACCTCCACGCCATTTCTCACTTTTTCCGCCACATTATTTCGTGGCTCAAATCTGTCGATAAACCCACACATCCCTGCGCTGAGGTTCAAGAGGGATTACACAGCTCAGCTAGATTATCGTGGAGAGCAAGACACAAGGTTTGAAGCTGGCGCGCTTCAGCTTTTCCAAATTTTCTTTGACTTGATGCAAGAGCCGTGCGATGGACGGAACCCATTTGTCCTAGCACATCCAGACTTCGATATTCAAGATTTCATCGTGTCAGAATATGGGGAGCTGCGGGCGATCATCGACTGACATGGAGTGTCTTCTATGCCACGGACTGTGGGAAATAAACGATTCCCAGGCTGGTTGACTCGCGATTGGGACACGACAGTATTTGTGTGGGATGAGGATATGGAGCATGACATTACGCCCGATGGTATCGTCTAAGAATACTCACCTGATACACTCAAGCTCTACCGATCTGTTTATGCTTCGACTATGAAGTCCTACCGGCGTAATGAGCCAGAAACTTCTACTACCGCAACCCTCACCACCAATTTGTTCATCTACAAGGACTTGCTTATTGCTGCAGGTGAACCGCTCTCTATGACTGAGACTATTGTGAGAGTTTTCGAAGAAATTGTTGAAATCGTGCAAGAGGATCTGCAGCAATAAGCGAAACAGAAGATTTAAAGCGAAAATGGAGAAGAGGACTTCGAAGTTTCCCAGTTGTCGAAGCATTTGGTGAATACATCTTAGCTAGGACACTTCTGCGCATTCCTTGCATTGTTGCCATAGCGGTACTCCAAAGTCCCGCGAGTGCAGGCTATTCGAACGGGAAACAAGGGATTTGATCAAAACGCGGATTTCTTCGAGGAATTCTGCAGCAGTCGATGCAGATGGGAAGGAGGGCGAAGATGATGACGTATATGTCACAGTTGTGCTTGAAGTTGTAAACGGGGTAGATACTGCATCTGTCACAGAGGTGAAGGAAGGAGCTGACGATGCAGTAACTGAAGAGACTGCGGGAGAATGAACGCTGGTCTCAGCAGTAGTCGTAAGAGCCGAGCTTGTCGTAGCTACGTGGATGGCCGCAACGGTAGTGCTGTCTGCCGCAGCTGCCTGGATCGTCCTTGTCGTCTGAGCAATAGAAGCCGACTCGCCAGAAGCTTCGGAAGAAGAGCTCCCAGATCCAATATTAGTGGTGATTGGCGCCTCTTCGATATAGACGCCTGACCAATACCAGTCTTCTTCCGTGTCATCACTTGTGCTTCCAGGCAACCTCAAGACACCGACATGCCAGTCGGCTGAGTTGGTTGACGTAGAAGCGGTGACCGGCTTCACAACCTCAGTCAAGACATCTGATCCATTTGAAGCCCAGAGCCCGACCGTCTTGGCGTCGAAATCTATATCGTACGCAAAGTTGTACCAGTTTCCTGCTTCCAGCTGCACAGACCACTGCGTGTTTCCATTTGCATTCCAACGAAGGGTGTTGTCGGCACTTCCAGATGAACCATACTGAATCTCAGTGAAGTGACTTTCGAAGAAAGCAATTTGATGCTCAAATGACGAGCTGGGTGGATTTGTCGATTTGGTGGAGAGGGAGAAATGATAGTACAAGTGACCCGAACCTAGATCGGACTTGGTTTGTGGGATCAGTTCGGTGCGCTCCATCGTTTGACCCTCCCAGAAGGATGTTCCGTCCTAGGTATGTTAGCTTGGGGGAACCAACGCTTCTTGTGGAAATGTCTTAGATTACAATGCTGGTGCGTAGTCCCTTCGCATCTGTAGCCGCTGGGTTCTTAAAATCGGTTGACAAGCCCAGATACTCTGTGGTTTCACCAGAGCCGTGGATGTACCATTGATAGGCCCCGATCTGATTAGACCAGGACCCTGCGGAAGAGTTTAGCCAAGCTCACGACATCGACACCCACTTGACTTACACCTGTCGAGGTCCGCGACCGTATCTGAGGTGTTGAATATGCCGTTCCACAGCACTGATCCAGCCAGGGCCGAGGTGGGAAGAAGCAAAGAAACGAAAGACTTCATGATATCAACAATTGAGCTTGCTGATATAGCGTTCAACAACGCTGCGATTTTCATCGGCACTAACGACGATTGCACCCCGTGAATTGATCCATCGTCGTAGGTAGCTTTCACGGCCTCTGGCATTTCTTCGACTGAAATCACTTTTTTCTCGTATAATATTTGAACGAAATTCTCGGGAAGATCGCGATATAGAATCTCAAGGAGTCTGTGCCTACGCACGAACAGATTTGGATAGCCAAGCCTAATTGTTTCACAAGTCAAAAAGTTGAATCTTATGTTATTGAAGACAGAATTTTGGGTAACAATTCGAGGATAGACCGGGCGGCGAAGAAGTGTGCCCTGGCTCCAAAGGTAAGCTTCTTTGATGGGATCTACCGACTCAAGAACTTCGTCGAATATTCCGAGTTTATCGAGGCTTTCGACTCCATTGGGAAAAATTCATATTGAGGCGCCTCCAGCAGTTGCAGCGGTGTAGGTTCTTCTCTCCAAAATTGTCGAGCAAATACCTACGTGCGCCAGAGCCCGAGCCAGAGCCCGACCTGCAATTTCACCACCTACAATCAACACTGTGAAGTCATATGGAGGACTTTTGGATATCACGACCCCTAGAAGCACCTATAGAATCACGTTTGTGGTGGTAAAGAAGGTAAAATGTCAATAGATTAGCTGGAAGTCAACCTAGAGGGGTTCCAAGTAAGATAAAAATAGGATACTCACAGTTACTACGACATCAAATATCTAGCGAAAATCTACAGAGATCGCGCCTTGTGCATATTCCTTGCTTAAGATTTGTGAAGATTGGCCCAAGTAGTGATGGGTCCATCGCTTCGGCTCAGTAACCCAGGTCGAGTGATCTAGCAATCTGCGGTATTGTGGATCCTCCTCATCAGCCACTGGATTTGTCAAGGCCTAACTTCTCGAAAAGCTCGGTAATATTTATTCCTTAGAAAAATCGAAGCACCGGTTAATTATTGGTATCCAACATGATCTTCTCAAAGCATAGCCAGGCAGTGTAGAGCAACGTCGATATTCTTCCAGTGGCGTGTGAAGACTCTTATCACATATTCCTCAAGATCTCAATAGCTGCAAGGGCCGTAAGAGGTTAGTGAAAAATGTCAAGAACTTGTATTATCGTGCCTTATATTAGAACGTACATCAGGGATTGGACCACTGACATCATCAAAAAAAACTATACAGCGCTCAAGCGGAACTGTTGGATGATATAGTGATAGAGTCTGATTCATTCCCCACTCCTAGCCTACCGTTTTGGCAGGTCGGTAAGCCAGGGAATGAGCCAAGTAAATAATTTACCTTGGAAGCTACATCCTGTCTTCCATATAATAGTGCCCACTTAAAAGAAATTGACATCGTCCTGAGTGGTCTTCACATAAGAGGAGCAGGATAGACCCTATTACCTCTATAGTACGTAGACCCCCTATACCTTCCCGACTAAATCGACTAGGAACTCTATAAAAATAGCCTTCGCGCCTAGGGCTTCATTATTTACCGGTATACCTACTAGAGCTAAGTGTTACGGACATACCAGGCATCAATCAGTATAGGGCCGCAACTTATTGATAGGCGGTCATGGACCAGTCAATCGACCGACCCATCGAAATCACGTGACGAACAATCAGAGAACAGGGCAGGCGCCCTTTTCGGCCCTTGATTTACCAGCACCCAGAATACACCACAACGCTAGGTGACGGTAAGGCCACTTCCGGCCCCCGATTCACCGTCTCAATGATTATTGCAATTAATCATCACACGGAAAACACGTGATCATACGAGTAGTAGAACGACAGTCGTTAAGTAGAACAGTTCTACTATTCTACTATCTACCAATCTACTAAGGAAGAACTTAGGATATATAAGGACCTTATTTATCTAGTTTAGTTCTTCGTGTTCAATCATCCATTATTACTTATATCTACCATTCAGAAACCTTTATGACTCGTACAACTTGGTTATAACTTGGAAACACTACAATCTAGCTAATACTCCGGTATAGACTTGATCGGCGCTCTACTTAGCATCGCTCCTCGATACCCTCGAAAGGACTTAGCCTGTATAAGGCTTGTTGGGCAACGGTACAGTTAAGAGATAGATCGTTGACGTTGGAAGTTAGCATACAGGCAAGTATAACCCAGAAAGTCTTCTAACCTAGCGACGACCCGCTAGCCAGTGCGTAACATGCTTCCTCCCTTTGGAACCGTTTCTCCCTTGCCTGATTGACAGGCCGTACACCTGTAGTAACGTATACCCTTTACACGTAGTGCTAGAAAAATAGGTACTAGCCTAAATCTAACATTCTACCGAAACTAGTACTATCGTTTGATTACGTAGGATATCTTAGACTCTATTCTTACCCCTAAAAAGAATAGGGGAGTTATTCGACTTATTCGAGAGAGCTAGGAGGAGTATAATCTTTACGACGGTATGTAAAGGATCAAAGATAAGTACAAAGCGATTAAAGGGTGTACTTTAGAAGATATAGCGTAGATAAAAGTCCCGTTTTATGATATAATATTTCTTTATCAGGGTGAATTAGCCAGAGAGGGTTAGTATTACGATTATCGTCGTCCGCCGGAGATTTCTTATTATAAGTTCTCGTTTTAGAAAGAATTAGCTTGTTCTGTAATATAGCAAGCAAAAGAGGGAAGTTGATAGTTTTCTAATTCTATGGTAATCGGGAGACAGTACATTTTTTAGCTAATAAGAAACGAGAAACCGAAAAAAAAGAAACACATACAACAGTAAGGATTCGCTAGTGGTCACCCACCTAACTACTAACTTACCGGCGTGTGGCTTGAGTACGGCTGAGCGGACGGGAAGCCCTGTTCTCCACACCCTGTGGTCGTATGTGTGTAGAACCTCATTAGAGGGAAATACACAGAAAGAACTTCGATAAGATGCTAAATTGGGTGCTGTAGTGGGGAAATCACGTGATCTGCATGATTACTGCCTCAGCGGTGGTCAGGGTGTCCTCAAGGAAGGGATATGGGCAATCTACAACTGTAGAGACAGAGATAGACAGAGACAACAATGCCACTCATTTCCTGATTCACGATTCATGATCATTATGCTCCATTATATAGCATCTGATTATCCCTTCTAAGCGTCATTTGCCTAGAGTTCCCTACCCTAACTTGTTGTTGGGTTTTCTTGTCATATGACTTTGTGATAGTGACAAGGTCTTGAGCATTAGGCGGAAACCGTAGGTCAAGATCTGCCATTCGTTAACTAACACTTGGTGGTGAGATAGTAGCATGAGCTTATTACCAAAGCCGTGCCCCTGACGGGGCTAGGCAAGGGGTTCTTTCTCTCATCCTAGATTTGTATCCTGAAGGATCTCTCTCATCATCATTCGGAAGAAATATGATCACGGTGTACAGTCCACATATTCTTTCTCATCAAATGTAAATCGTTGATCAGATTTAGTGAGGTCGGGTCGATTGTTTTCCGGAAAAGACTCGCTGGCAACAAGTTCCCCCGGACAACTGATATAGTCGGATTGTCTCCGTCGGGATTCACGACTTCCATGAATGTTTGCAACTCTATCTACAACTTCCAATTCTTTCTTTTACTTCGGTCTATATGTATTCAAGCGTCAAACAAGCAGAAGGAATTCGGAAAAAGGAGCTAGTGCTTATCACGTCTTTGCGCTAAACTTGACATTTACAAGCCATCAATTTCTAAGCAATTTCCGACAACCGACCCCGCTTGGTTAAATAGTATTTCCAAGGTTGTAACTTCCAGTTTCTCAATGGTCACATAAGTTGACTTTGTTTCCAAAATAGCCTTTGACTTGAATTTCTGGGATCCTTCTTTCATGATGCCGGATAGTCCGAAACTCGATAAAGAAGCTGCCACAAAGTGGCTCGAAGCTGTATGATTGTGTCTATCACAATTTCGCAAGATAATTAACTTACGATATTGCCTAGTTTCACCGCGCGAGCGCTACTCTAGACGCCGACAAATGGCTTGACGAGTTTATGACCGATGATGTGGAAATGCAATATGCCAATAGCCCGGTGATCAAAGGCGATGAGGTGCGACTCATGTTCAAGAATGTACTCGGCCAGTTGGACATCATGACACATGAGATCCGTTACTTTGACTACGTCGCCCCTCGAATTTATCAAGCTGCGACCATCCGATATCTCGTCAAAGGAGACAACCCGGATACCGATGTGATCACAATTCCAGGATTTGCTGTCTTCGCTGTTCGGGAGGACGATCTGGGGCGGGTTAAGTGCTACCGGGCAGAGACATTCTTGGACCCTTCGGCCGTGTTTCAAAGGATCGCTGAGAAAAACACCCAGCCATAGTGGTCGAGCAAAGTATCTTGCATGATTCCCAGAAGCCTAGTAAAGAAGCAATGAGGCCGATTATTATTAGACCAGCATCATCAGTCAAACTGACTGAACTTCCATTTTCATAATACAAATAGACTCAGAGCTCTCTGTTTGTTAATGAACGATGATATCACTCTTTTTCTAATTTCCAGTTATCAAACAGTTTTGCAATATTCCCTCGGACTTGGACCTCAGGACAGGGTGCAAAGAGCAAAACAAAGGAAAAAAAATGCGAGTGTCCTCATCGAGTGTTGAGGAATCACAAAAACAAAGCTCTACATAGCCAAAGACTGCCTACTCACAGAGACTCGATTTATTCGAATCATACAAAGTGGATAATTCTGTCTAAGCGCGAGAATCGAGATATCATTCGTAATTATTGGATGTCCCTTAAGATTCAACTGAACAAAAGGATTCTGCACTGAGGGCGCACTCTTCCTCAGGAAAGGCTCAGTAAAACTCGAGAAGAATAACTGGGGTTGAATAGTAAGCATGCACCATAAGCTCATTCACGAACTGTGGTTACACTGTTAGGAAACAGGTTGTATTGAGCACGCATAGTATACGTTGGGATGGCGGATAAGGCTGGGTGCGCTATACACAAGGTGCGGGTGAGAAGTCAGTCACCTCCATCGCCCAACAGTAGCGCTAGCCGAAACACTCAGCCTCTTAGCACCTGCACCTACACGTAAGCAGTAAGTGGCATTTTATTCCACTAAGAAAAAAATCGTTCGCTTATTCCATTCTGTGATAGAACAAACCAAACATTGGTCTCCGACTGCCCATTTTCACCATGTTTCCATAGCACAACGTATTCTACAACGTAACAGTTTGATGCTTTGACACATGTGTAGTCAGTCATCATCTGGTCGGCGTTGCCTGGCGGATGAAATGGGAAGCTTGGGGGCCGGCGCGAATCCGCAGATAAAGCCACGTCAGACAGGGATATTCGTTGATTGGTTACTCGGGTACTTCCCAGAGTTGCAGGCATTGTTGAATACGCAAATATCCCATAACTGTGATATTGATGGCTAGCTCTGCCGGCCATAAGAAATGTATGATGTCTACGATGCGCCAAACATCTGGACTCTCTATTTCCTCCTGGAGGAGAATGCTGACGCTAGGAATATCTCGCAGGGTGTACATCTGCGAGTCAGGCTCCCCTGCATGGGAAGACATTCAGCACGGGCCCACCGGGCGGCTCGCCTCAAGACTTGGTTGTTGCCAGTATAGAAGTTTGGACCTTTTCATACCGAAAACACATTCTTCTCATCACCAAGACTGGGTTTGATTCATCAAATGGTTGGTTCCCCGTGGCAAAACTAGTCGCAACTAATGCTCCAAATTCGACTTTCACCATTTTCCGCTGACACAAGATTTAATAGCAGTGAGAACTTCGGAGTACAAGTGTATTCTGACAGCAAAGCTTATGTAAAAAAGCTCTTTTCATCCATTACAATGAACCCTCTAGATCAAGATAGCTTTCAGATTCTCGAGAAACGAGCTCAATATCTGCCATAACCGCTTATGGGCGGCCGTTGGGAAAAACCTCGCCCGAATCTGGCCAAATTCAAATTTGATTGCAAGGCCAAGCTCACTGGGTGGCTACAATGATCACACAAAATGTACGATTAAGGGATGTATCTACTCCGACCGTAACTTCACGGGAGTTCGTCAGCCACATCAATGTGAAGACTCCCAGTGTTTACGATTCAAAAGCCTTTTCAGTCGAAGTGAGCTGGAACATGCGGTTTTGAGTGAAGCATGCACAGCGTGGGACCTGCGCGGAACACGCCTTTTGAAACAGCCTTTTCCATATATGGCCATTTCCCACGTTTGGTCAGATGGCACTGGAACTGGGGCTTGGGAGGATGGATCGGTCAACACGTGCCTCTACGACTTTTTTGTGGACATTGCGCACCAGCTTCAATGCGACGGTATCTGGTGGGATACACTTTGTATTCCTAGTGGAAAGGCTGCCCGCAATAAAGCTACTAAGAACATCCAAACCGCCTATGAAAACGCTCGAATCACCTTAGTCCACGATTTGTTTCTACGCAACTGGAAATGGAACCCGGAAACGGCATGCTTTGCGATCCTAATGTCTCCTTGGTTCAGTCGAGGTTGGACTGCTCTTGAACTGATGAAGTCTCGGAGGGTGATGGTTATCTTCAAGGGGAAGAAGGGGCCAGTTATTAAAGATCTTGATGTGGAGATTCTGGCACAAGATAATGAGCCCGATGGCCCACGTAAAGAGGCTTCCATGATAATTAGGAAGCTCCGGCGCAGGGTTGATACTTTGGACGATCTCCTCCGTGTGCTGAAGCCGCGTCATACATCGTGGACTTATGACATGTCCAACATCGCTGCTCTGCTGATTGATACTGAGCCAAAGGAAAATCCGCAGGAAACCTTCAAGAGTATTCTGAAAGAAATTGGAAAGACTTCACCTGGCCATCTTTTTCACAAGGCTATCACATTCAATGACAGCTTTACCTGGTGCCCTGTTGATTTCTTGAAGGATATGCGTTTAAGCGACTCTGAAAGTTCACTTGAAATCCTCAATAACGGCGATGTTAGAGGACGATGGCTTATTGTCCCTTTCCCAGAAAGATTCGAACAAACATTCATGCTGGATCAACTACACGAAATGGCTAGAGTCAAAACTCGAAATGCTCTAAGATCTCCGCAACAGTGTCGACTGTTAGCTGACTGCAATGCAGCGTCAGTAAACGAAGTGTTGCTAGTAAGAGAGATCACTGAGAATCGATTTGAGTACATTACTGCCATTTCTCTAAGCCAAGAATTCGAAGCTCAAAATTTTCGGATCAAGTCGAACGTGATCATTCTCTCGGGACCTCTAAGTGCAAATGAGACACCCATTGGCTCTGAACAGAGACCATATATCACCACTTCTAAAGATGAAACACTTCACTCCGCCATTTGGAAAGGAGACTACGGTTCGTTCCGGCGACTCCTTGAGCCACACTCTATCAAAAGTCGGGATCAGCTTGGTAGACTGCCACTTCACCTTGGAGCCGAGCGAGGACATCAAAGAATGGTCAATGATTTGCTTTACCAGAACGCTGACTCAACCGCACAATGTCGTGAAGGGGAAACAGCCTTGCACCGAGCCGCATGGTCAGGATCTGCGCCTATCGTGAAGCTCCTCAGGAGTGGCGATAATTTGAGGCTGAAGGACAGGCATGGGGATACTGCGCTGCACGTTGCTTCGCAGATGGGGTATGCTTATGTAGTGAAGCTTCTCATTACACGACGCACCCTCAATGGTGGAAATGTTGATGGTTTGACCCCTCTCCATTATGCGACTATGAATGGCCACGTAGAAGTGGCAGATTTACTGAAAGACGCCGACTTGAAAGCGAAAGACAATCTTTTTGGCTGGACACCACTACATTGCGCCGCCGATCACGGGGACGAAGTCATGGTCCAAAGGCTCATAAGCCGAGGCGCAGACGTCAATGCACGAGACGACATTGTTGAATGGAGACCCTTACATTTTGCCTCGATGAACGGCCATAAGTTGGTCGTCAGCCTCCTATTAGAAAAAGGTGCGGATCCTGCGCCACTCGACATCCATGGGTGGACACCTTGGAGATTCGCGAGAATCAATGAGCATAAGGAGCTGCTGGATCTCCTGCCTACGGATGATGCTGCTTGGTCTTTTCCAGAGGAGCCTTTTTGGACATCGTTGCACTGCAAAGCAGTCAATAAGCAGCCGGGATTTACAAAAGGTCTAGCCCGATACGATGAGTCTTCTGATCCAGGGTTTTACTTGGACAATATATCTCTGCCCCTGGGTCCATTGAAATTTGCAGCGGAAGCAAACCTTGAGGTTGCAGTCCCACTATTGCTTCGAGCGAAAAACCCCGGAGAGGAAGAATTGAAGAAGTTATTACATTGGGCTGTTCGAAACAGCTGTATGGCGCTTACGCGCACTCTGATCGACTCTGGCGTTGACAAGGAGACTACTAACCAGCATGGGAAAACCCCACTACACCGTGCCTCGATGTCTGGTGACCATGTCATTGTGCAGCTCTTGCTCGAAGCGGGCGCAAAAAAAGAGGCTTTGGCCCCGTTCAGGACAATGCCACTTCATTTAGCTGCTTCAAAGGGAAACACGAGAGTGATACGTCTTCTGATTAACGAGGGGGCACCAAAAGAGGCTACTAATGAGTCGGGTCATACTCCGCTACACATGGCGGTCATTTCAGGAAAGGAGAGAGCAGTACGTCTGTTGGTTGAAGAGGGTGTGAACAAGGAAGCTACAGATAGCAAAGATATGACTCCACTGTTCTCGGCCATCAAGACATACAACACGTGTATTGCACGACTTTTTATTGAAAAGGGTGCTAACAAAGATACACGCATTGTTAAGGAAGGAGTTACTCCACTATGCTGGGCCGTCAAGCAAGGAGATGAAGAGCTTGTGCAGTACCTAGTAAATACTGGTGCCAACAAAGAGATATCCGACAGGAAAAGAATGACACCCCTCTTGTTAGCCGCTTCACTTGGACATGAAGCGATAGTCGAATTCCTGCTTGATAATGGCGCTGATTTGGAGGCATCTGATTATACTGGTCATACCTCGTTACTGATTGCGACAAAAATTGGAAATGAACCAATTGTGAAAGCCTTGATCTCAGCAGGTGCATGGAAGGAAACCAAAGCACCAAGGGAAACCAAAATACCAGATGGAGTCAAATCTGACGAAGTACCGGAACCCCCTTTCTCATCCATCGAAATATTCCCTAGGGACACCTACGACATTGACTACGGCTGTCCTAACGTTCACGATGGACCCGGCTATTATCTCCAGCCCCTAGACGTTCCCTATGACTCAGAGTTTAGAGAAAGTGATGACCCTAAGTTATATCGCGCAGGTGGACTCACACCATTACACTGGGCCATTATCAATGGCCATGAAAGCATGTTTCGTTTTCTACTTCAAAGCGGCGCTCACATAGAGGCTCGTGATTTGTATAGAATGACTCCACTTCTTTGGGCGGTGTCAAAGGAAAATGAAGAAATGGTACGGCTGTTGATTCAGAAGGGGGCTAAAATGGAAGTCGGCTCCTGGGACTCAAGAACGCCCCTTCACTGGGCCGTGTTCTGCGGAAATTTATCGATCGTCCGCCTCCTACTCAACATGGGTGCCGAGACAAAACGCATTGACGAGAAAGGTTCTCTGGCATGGCATATGAAGCCTTATAAGAGTCTTCAGAGGTCAGATCTCAAAGAATTGAAACGGCTTTGTAAGCCTGACTTGAAAGCCCGGCTGGCCACTGGTGCATTAAGGGGTATTTCCAAACTCGAGAATTTTGTTTAGGTTCTTGCAAATGGATTTTGTCTTACCTGGGCCCTTCTGGTGAGCGAATTGTCTGAGTGCCACTGGAAGTCGATGAGGGTGCTTTAGTATGGGTAGAATTGGTCCATCGCGAATGCTGCTCACGCCAGAACCGGGTAGAGAGTATCATTCAACAGGACACGTCGATAACAGGAAGGACTGGAATATGGAATGTCGCTATTTCTTAATTTATTTGCTTCCTCACGACCCCGACCAAAGCTCATTGTTACTTTGGTACCAAAAGATTGATTATATTTCTGTTCAACTTAATTATTCTCAGCCTATCTATAAAAGCCAGTGGGAGCTTGTAACAACTTGACTTCCTCGATGCTCTTATTGGTATGTATAAGTGAGCTCGATGATGTAACATTGTAACGGCTGCCAAATGGCGACTATGTATATTTTTCAAAGGACATGTTGTGACTAATAGCCCTGGCTCTAAGTTCTTCTGAGCCATCTCCGTTCATCATCTTGAGCATTCGACGTGTTTTGGATAGAATGAGCGATCACGAGTTGCAGGCCTGGCCGTTCATAGCGGCCCTGTACACCCTACTTCATGTAATGTCAATGTTCCAGTTCTCCTTGGATTGAACACACGCACCGAAGTCTATCTAGCTGCTTCGTTTATCGGCCTGCGTTGTCAATTTTGGGTTATTGGAAGTCTTGCATCCATATTCAAAATCCTTTCCTACCTAGACTATATGTTTAGCTAGGTGTTTCAAAACAAATGGTCAGTTTCTTCAAGTGCCTTTCAGGAATATTGTTTGTTTACATAAGGTTCCGGTTGTATCTTCAGTATTTTCAAATTCTGCATGCCTGGCATGGGACTAAATAAGGGCCTTCAAGCTGCGATAGCCCGTCATTTCTCATATGTACCCAGGTAGCATCGCTCTTTTTCTCACCCCGAATCTTTCGGTGGTCTCCATTTCTCTGCTCGTTCCACCACTTCGCATCCCCATCCCTGAACTTTGTAACAAAGAGCCAATTGAGCAATGCTCGTCCAAAGCCTCGGGGTACACCGACCCTAATGCAACGGCTTCTTTTGAACAGTCGGTTCCTGTCAAGACAGATTGAACGTTGTCCCTTGCACCAACTTAGTCGGCATATGTTTACCATTTTCATGCCCTGTAACAATATTACGCCAATATTTATCAAAAAGTCTGTTAAATTAGGCTCGCATAGAATCCCCTGAGAAGAAGTTAGGCTTTTTTGATTTACTAGTCTCCTTAGCTGCCCCCTTATAGTGATTAGCCACTAACTGACACTCCGTTGCCTCGCCTTTAAATCTATTCGATTCACAGGATAGTAGCTAAAAATGAAAGGTCTTGGAAAGAGTGAGACAGTACTATACACGATGCATTTGGGAATGTCCTTCAATTTACTACCGATGGCGCTATGATTGATCTGCACTAAGGCCATCCATTCAACACCAGTAATATGCCTGCATTGGCCCACTCAATCTCGTGGGACCCACCCAAATACATGTTGAACAGTCAGAACCGCCTGTCTGATCGTACTGGAGAAGTTCCAATACAGGATTGTATCATCGATATAGGTGGATTTGGATTATTGGACAATCCTGGCGCAAAAAGACCAGCGTGTATGCTCTTCTTTATTAAAATTAGTGTGTTGCAGAGATTTTCGAGCCGTGGTTTCAGAATGCTTCTTCATTATCGCCCTTCTCACAGGGCCCACTAAGGGGTTACAGCTAGAAAAACCCCGTACAACCAAAGCCGAAAGCGACAGTCTACAAAACCAGACCTTCCCCAGAAGAATTAGACGTAGGATCTGTTGGCACTCGACCTCATCTTCATACACTCTTTTAAGCAATTGACTCTGCTGGATTCGGAGATTGCGTTATTCAAAGATGGTTTTCTTCACACAGTCTCTCGCCCTGGCGGCCCTATCTTTGACGCGTGCTGCTTCTGCCCTTCCGGGACTTAGCGATCTTTCCTCTCGGGCCGTATCCTCGACTCAGCTTTGCGGAGACTACTCTAACCTTATCCTTCCCAACACGCCATGGATTGTCTACAACATGCTGTACAATGCCGCTCAGATAGTCGGCACGCAATGCACTAATTATGACGGAGTCACCACAAGCGTCAACGGCACCAACGAGGTTCTTTGGAGCAGCGTGACCAACATCGACTATGTCGAAAACACGTAAGGCCAATGAATACCCATCGATACCAACAACTCACCAAAGACTCACTGCAGGAACAACGTCCCAAAAGGGTACTCCTTCGTCGGTCTGACCCAGAACCTCGAGACAAAATTGTCCGCTATCGAGTCAATCCCCGCAGACTACAGCTGGACGCGTACCAATACCACTGATTTCAAGGGTTCGATAACACCATTACTCAAACACGACTTTATGCTGATCCCCCATCCGAGCAGGGAACATTTGCTTCGACTTCATGACCAATGACATCAAAGGTGACTCGACGTCCTCCTCCTCGCATGAGCTCATGCTTTGGCTGCAGTACGAGGGTGGCCAGCTCCCAATCGGCTGGACCAACGGACCAGCTGCAACCATTGACAACCTCTTTGGAACCTCGTGGACACTGTACGAAGATGTCAATACCGACACCGGGATTACGGTCAGCACCTTGATGCCCACCAAGCAGTTTGAGGGTTCTTTCTCTGGAGATCTGAAGGACTGGCTGCTGGCTATGGCCAATTTGGGCAGATTTACGGAATCCACATATGTCAATGTCGGCAATGCGGGGTATGTATTGCTTGTCTTTGTCGTCAGTCTATGTTCACTAACAAATTGTTACAGCACTGAGTTCTTTTACGGAAATGCCGTAATGAACGCGACCCTCGGGTTGCAGATCGACTTGGCATGAAAATATATCGACATTGACAAAGTGTCTGTTGTCGCGGTCTCATGGGAAGCAACATATTGATTATACTCGCTGTTCCGATCGGTCTGAAATCAGACTAGTTTGTCGAAGTACCAAGGCTCGAAAGTTTATCAAATAGCGTAGGAGTGTATGTAGTCATATCATTTATTGGATGAACTGCATTTCTTCATTCATTCTTGGCTTGCATTTACAAGACCACTTTATCATCATAGTCCAGCCTTATCGTGATTCATCTCGGAGACAATTCTATCTTTTCTAAGACCAGTGGCGTAATTCTACCAGGAAATTTAAATCAAAGCCTCTTTAGAATCATTCTTAACGTAGTTGGTGGAGAAGAGGTGTGATATTCTGTCGTAAAGTGTTATAATAAATTATAGAAAGATAATATGACGACCTCACCTAAAACCTTGTACTGGTATAAGCTTTCAAACCGATATTGCCTCTCTCCACGAATAGCAGGCAGTAGTCTCAGCGGCAAGAAGTAGAACATCAATGCCTTCGGACTTCTTAGTATCTCTGGAGCTTGAGTATCAAACTCGCCAATAAGTTCCAATCTCTCGCAGATCGTTCAGCAATGCCGGCGGGTTATCAATACCGGGGAAATGGCCACCGGCGTCGTTGTCTAGAAATCATGTGGTGAGCCAAATTTTCCCTTCTCGCCATTGGTGCAAACATCATGTTGTATACTCACTTTTGTAGTAAACAAGGTTTCCGACCTTTGCAACCAGAGCTGGAGGCCAGAATCCAACGTTGTACTTGAAAGCACTGAATAGTAAGGGAGCATCATTATTTGCCCTTGTGTAGACTGTACTAAATCCATGAGGATTCTGTGCATATATCATCACGGACGAAGCGAAGCTCTCCGTCAGATAATAAAGAGAAACACTCCGAAGGATCTCGTTGTGAGTGAGGACAGAGGGAAAATGCCCAGCATTGGGATCGGACCCTGGATGTGAATTAGCTTTGTGTGGATCTCGCATGGGCTGGATGACTACTTACAATTCAGGAATTTCTCTCCAATCCACGCAAGCTGTCCTACCGGACTGTCGTATAGAGCTAAACCGATGGTGGTGGGCTATCCAAAGAGTGGTTAGTAATTATATTGAGCTCCTGATGACGTCGAAATATGGAAGTATTACCTTTGTCGTTTGCTCTACAAAGTATCCAGTTCCGGTGTTGCTCCACTCCACCGTATTGGCCTCCTCGAATTCTCCCAATGGCGTGAGAGTGATGTTCTCGGCCGTGAGCTCTTCTTGGGTGGGAGGAAAGAAGGGCAGGAATGCTAGATGGGCCGCGCGCACAGTCGCGTTGAATCCATCATACAGCGCGTATGCAACACCGCTACCCCAATCAGTTCCAAAAACAGCGTAGGCGTCGTAGCCCAAGACATCCGTCAGAAGCGTATTGAATACACGGGCAGTATCTTCGACTGTCCAATTGGTGGGGGGCGCCGAGGAAAAAGCAAAACCAGGGAGAGACGGTACAATGACATCAAAAGAGACCTTTTTTCCTGAGATTGTTTTCGCCTGTTCAGTCAGATCATTAATGATAGGTATAAATTCCAGAAAAGAGCCGGGCCAGCCATGAAGTAGAAGGAGTGGAATAGCATCGCTTGCGCCTGACTTTTCGTGGATGAAATGGATGTTTAATCCTTCAATGTTGGCTTTGTAGTGGGCGAACCTGTGATACAGTAAGAATGTGACAAGTAACTCCTGCAAGATTTTTTATAGGTCATACTTATTTAATGATTTTTGTTCGGTTTTCCAATCAAAATTTGTTAACCATTCTGTTCGCAAAGACTTCAGATCACTCAGATCTATGCCAGTCGAGGATCCTGGGCCTGAGTACGATAGCTGGGTGGGAAGCTGAGTTCCGCGAATCAGGTCGAACATTCGAGGCAGTCGAGATGAAAGATCGATCTTAAAGGGCTGCGCTTTAGAAGCATTGCTGGATACGGTGGGATTCGCCTGGCTGATCCCGTAAACGAGGCTAAAGGCAAAACATGAGACCCAACGAAAATGCATCTTGATGTGTAAATTGAGAACCAATATTCAAGTCTTATTTTGGGCTGGGAAAGTGTCTCTTTATACCTCCCAATTCACAAGATCCCGAGTAGAAATAGCCGATGAATGGTGTAATGAATGATAGGTAAGCTGACGGCAGATAGTCTTACCAATCTTGGAATATTAGCACGACTACAAATTTGAATCCCGCCGTGATGCATCTGGGGACACTATAGATTTAAGAACTTCATCACTGAGCGGGATGGGGTGGAGAGCACAATAAGCACTAAATCTTAGGCGCATTTCCCTTTCCCAGCTGATGAGTAAATAGCTAGCATTTATTTCCTGTCAAATCATGTTTTGAAACCCCAAAATTGACTATACTCGTATTTCAAGATGATAAAATGGACATTATCATCTAGAACAACAAATCAAGTGAGGTGAGGATCAACTCTAGGGCTGAGTTGAAGAACTACTATTTTTTTTGGCGCCCGCTAGCCCGCTTCCCTGCGTTCTTGGCGTGCAGAAAGCTTAGGACCGAAATTCTCAAGAAACGACCTCGAAGTCCTGAGAACAAGCCTCAAGGTGGTCATATCCTCACCGCTCTGTACGTCTCATCAGTCGGATACGACGGAGACTGCTTCCGCATTGGTTTTATGTATTGCAATTACAAGGGTGAGTGAGGTAAGTGAGTGAGTGCATATAGAATGATGACACCCAGACCTCACAATTCATACATTGTGATGACCACACCAACGGAAATAATTTTATCACGATCTATACCAGGATTGAAATAATTCGGAAATCATGTCAGAGCTTTTGTCACACACACAAGAGCTCATCTTTGCCTTTGGATGAATCAAAAAGGTCTGAAGATTTTATAGTGGGAAAGTACTTGTTTTGATTGTAGCAGCACAGATATTGTCATTTTTCCGACATCTCTCTCGTTGGCCATCTTTAATGTATCTTGGGGACTCTAAGTTCCGTGTGAGGTTGGCAGAGAGCCGCTGATCGCGGTAAAGTCGGCTGTCGACGAAGGTTCTGCTTGATCGGGAGACATGGTCTTGGCCAGCGGCGGTACTAGCAGAGGAACGTGGATATATACAACTGGCCCATGGGGCAAGCGCCGTTTTTTCTTGGGTCAAAATGTATCTTCCATCGCTCCATGGCAGAAATTTGATGGTGCTGAGGCGATTCAAGGCCGAATGGGACGAGTGAGTGGTTACCATACTTGAAGTATGGAACTACAATTTCGATGCCACTAGAAAAATGATAACATTTACTTTTTTCAAGTATCATATTTAACATCAAATTATACCCCTACCTTGCATCAACTTCTTGGTGACAAGTTCTTTGTCGCGATGTACGCGAGTTCGTCTGATAACCGCACGCGGCGCGATCCACTTCCCATTTTGACCCATTGTACTGATGTCGCTAATGTGCCCACGCTTGGGTTGTATCTTTGCTTGGAGGGGAATCACCGGGCGACCAGGAAGGTTGGTATTTGTCTAACCTTGCGTTGGTGAAGTGATGGAGGCTGCGAATGAGCAATTTTGGTAGACATAGCGAAGGTGAGAGAGGAGTGTGTAAGTGGAGTGACGAACGAAAGAGTAAGTCTTCGAAGTTGAGGATGAATTTTGTTGAGTGTATAAGTGAAGTCATGATGCGAAAAAGCAAGTGAGGAAATAATGAGAAATAAGTGACAAAATTGGTGAGTGTTATATGCATGCTGAGATTTTAGAACTGCCTCTCAACAGCAAGGCTAGAGCCAATACTACGCCTGCTGTGGTAAACAATCGCATAGCTCTGTAGGCTATAGCGGAGAGTGGATAAATCAAGAAAACAAGATTGCTCAATGCAGTAGATATATAGTAGTCTAAGCTAAAGTCGCCAGAGCGCATCTTTGAATAAGAATATCGAGTTTCAACATGCGTTCTACCTTTTTCGAGCACAGAACACTATCCACGTAGATCGGTCTTCTTCCTCGCACTCCCTAAGCCTCCGCTTTATATAGTAGGTCTCACTGCCTGCCTAGAAGCGGGCGTATCTAGCTCGCAGGCAGATCCCGCTTTCATAGTGTGACCGATGCGGGGGCCGCGCCAACCTTCGAACCAAAACTTTACTAGAGTATTAAGTCGGTTGAGCCAACCAGGAGGTAATCTGGTGTTCCTTATACAGGTATTCTCAGCCTGTTTTGAGGTCTAGCCTCTTGCGCGGGTTAACCCAATCTGTCAGCAGCCGTCAAAGTAGGGGTCATGACGTCATCGCCGTTTTGACGAAGGCGAAACCCAACAACGCAGTTCCTGGAATTAATCGGATTGTGATGCATACATAAGACTCACTATCGGTTTATTCCAAGCTCAGCGGTATAATCAGGAGACATGTCTTCCACGGGGTTCTCGATCGACACATCATTCCTATCAGACGGTAGCCTACATGAAGCCTACGAGCTTGAAATGCAATCGAAAAACGGCGAGCTCGTCCGCTTCGGCGAGCTAGTCGCTGACAAGGGCGACTCAGTCACCACGGTGGTAATTTTTGGTGAGCAATGCACATCAACGCCGAGTCACAGTTTCTCACGAGCAAGTAACTAGTGAGGCACTTCTTCTGCATCTATGACCAAGACTATGTCCGCAATCTCGCCACACAGATGACGCAAAAGATACTGGGCACGATACCAGACCACGCTAAGCCAGCGCAGGTTATCATTATCGGTTGCGGTGATCATACCCTCATCGGACCGTACATGGAAGAAACATCCGATGCCTTCGAGATATATACCGATCCGTCGACTAAAATATACAACCAGCTTCAGATGAAGAGAACCTGGTCGGGATTTAATGAACCCCCGCCGTACTCGCTGGAATCGTTCCCGAGTGCTTTATTCAAGGATTTGAAGCAGAGATGGAAACGCGGATGGTCGGCGCTCAAGGGTGGTCCTGGTGATCAGCAGGGGGGCGAATGGATTTTTCAAAATGGGAAGTTGAAATATGCTCATCGCATGCAGAGTGCGAGTGATCATTTGACGGCTGATCGCCTACTTGGTATTTTGACGGGGGAACAAGTAGAGAAAGAAAATAAATGAACCTGCACTTTGGTGATGGGCAAAGTAATGATAACGGTTTTATATGGATTTTACACACGATATATTGTCTGACATTTACCAACATTTAAGTGTCCCTCGGACATCGGAATGCAACATGATTTGTATACTAAAGGGCTTCGTTAGGCATGGTCTCTAGTATTCACAGATAGCAAATCACTGGAATGCAAAAAGAATGAGATTGCAGGCTCTGTTCTACAAATACCTTCCGCACGCCGCGCGTCGCCGGCCAGCATCACTATTTCATGTCTTGTCATACTTAACCCCCCTAGCCAACCAACACCCAATAGTAAATCCGGTCACCAAGTCTTGCTCATCTCGTCGGAATACTACAGTCCAGTCCCCTGGGGCCGGGGCATCCAGACCACGAGGACAGGTCAAGACCCAGACATCGTCGCCAAGATATCGCATAGGCGTTGGGCTTCCCCGGCCAAGGTATCCAGCAAATGCGCCGTAGAAAACTCCCGCTCCTCCGACACACAAGAAAGTGGAATCAATCTCGTCGCACCGATAAACACCCTCCAGCGAAGTTTCCCTCAAGACTGATTCCCTAGGAGTAATGCGCCGAGCAGCCAACTTGCGATTGTCGCCGATTCGATGAATACTCAACAAGTTTCCCTCGATTGTTGCAGTCATCGACCAGGTTTTACCGGAGGCCGGCGAGTCGAGTCTGAGCGATTCGGGAGATCCAGCGTAACTAATGGATACCTCTCCTTGCTTCTCAGCCTTGGTCACTACAATAGATAACTGGGTGTCTTCGTCAAGGAAAGCACCGAACCACTCGGCAGCTGGTTCGATGAAAATATCCTCAGGCTTGGGGAGTTTCAACAGAGCACGGAAGATATCACTAGTCGGCTGACTTGCATCTGCGTCATTGTTGAATAAGACAATCACTGAAAGGCGCTGTGCGGGTGCATGGCGCCGGTGCAGTCGATATCCTCGAAGTGCACCACCGTGGCCAATTGTATGCACGCCATTCGTGTGCACATGACTCAATCCGTATTTGTATCTTGCTGGAGTCCCGTCTTTGAATTTGGGAGATTCAATAGCTTCGTTGTACCAGCTACCTGGATCGGAAGAACACTGGTCAAGATACTTCTCATACGCGATCATGTCAGTTAGCGAGGCAACCAGTCCGGCATCACCAGCCCACTCCAGTCGGTTCACTGCTGGGATGTATCCGTGAGACTCGTCTCCTTCGTAGCCTACGCAAGGAGGAGGGTGCTTGGCGGTATTTGGACAAAGGAAAGCCGTTTCCATCCCTGCTGGGCGCAGAATGCGCCCTTGAAGCAGCTTGTCGAGAGATTCACCGGTTGCACGCTCAATTGCTTGGGCGACGATGTGGAAATTGAGATTGCAATAAGAAGTCTCCGTCCCGGGTTCGAATTGAAATGATCGGGTTAGGGCAAGCATTGGAGGACAATCTCTGTCAATCAAGAACTCGTCATCGGGCTTCGCGCCCAGTAGAGTGGTCATAGCCCAATAATCACGAAGACCGGATTGCATGGCACATAGTTGTTCAATCGTCACGCCACTGTCTTGTAGTTCGGGGCTCAGCATGTCTCTCACATGGGCGGAAAGCTGCTGCCGAACATCGCCCTGGGCAGCCATAGCTGGAGGAGGGTCTCGCTCCAGATCGAGCAAGAGAGCACACACAAATTGCTTGGTTATTGAACAAATAGGAAAGCGGTGCTCGGCTGTGAGCGTAGTCAATGTCTCCAGGTCAGCGAAGCCCCAGACCCGCTGACCGATGACCTCGCCATCTTTGACGACAGCAACGGCACCGCCCGGGCCTCGAAAACGACGTGCGACATCATCCAAGACATCTTGGACATGTTCTTTGGTGATTTCCATTGTTTGAGATTGATGTAAGAAGGAAGGTTGGGGATGATGGATGTTTACCCCTCTTTGGTTATCGGGCCCTTTAATAACCGCTCGTTCAGTCTCACCTCAGCTGGCCAGTCTACCTTGGTATCATGGTGTTAGGAATACTTCGAAGCTCAGGATATCCATGATTGGTGACTAGCAATTCTCCCGCGACACATTATCGCATGCGCCGCATAGGAGCACTGAAGACGTAGCGATGCCACGCCGCACTACCAGATGAGATCCTACGATATTTCGAGTTCTTTTTGAGCCAAAGGGAGTGGGCTCAAATATAGGGGCCAGGATCCAGCCTTATGGCTTCAACTCAATACAGGATTATCATGATTGGCCCTACCGCTGTTGTACAGTAGGACAAACGTGATTCCAGTCAGGGGCTAGGGTTTAAAGGTGGAGGCATCTGATACAAGTTACTTGGCGTTCAAAATATATCAAATTCGCTGGTACCAGCTTGTGTTTTACGGAAAGCCAAGATCTTCAAAGACGTACTACCAGTACAGTGGTAGTCAACCGGGATCGCAATAAGAGACACAATAATGCATAAATTACTAGAGCAAGACACTTGATAAACTTCAGCTCCGAGACTCAATCTAAGGTCTGCTCTTCCCAAAAGCTGTTGCTCACACCGCAGGTGTCAGGACCTCGCAGTTCTAGTACTAACACGGACGCTCGAGTTCCTCGACCATACTGTAATCTCTTGTAGACCGAACCCGTAGTGCGCAAGGCCATAGACGGGTAACAGATAGGGGTTCATACCATATATTTCGATTGACATACGTAGGTTGCAAGGTAAATCGGAGAGTAATTCAGAGTAACATATTCTATAACTTCTGCGCAACCTCACAATTGGATCATAACCTGGGTGCGGAAAGTGAGGTAAGGGGTTTTGTTCCCTCACTTCGACTTGACTCCACGATCAACCAAGTTGCAGTCGAGTTGATCAACCTCGACCAATTAGTGTGCAATCTGGGCCGGAATAGGAGCACATCCCACGTCAGAGTTGCCAAGAGGGTAGTACCCGAAGGCCCCACCGTGTGGAATGTCAATGGCTTTGTCTGCAGGTACCGTGGGAATTGTGGGCATCGTGGACTGATTGTAATGCGATGTAACGATTCCTTATGTGGACCTTCGATCACGAAGTTCGGGTACTGTGGTGGAAAAAAAAATTATAATGACCCATGGGCAATAGTTCCAAGACATCGGTCCAGATGTGGTCTAAAAACGCACATGCACCACGTTGATCCCTCCCCCGAATCTACAAGACCTTCAACCCTCATAAAGGGGGCATCTAATAATAGGCAATATAAGGAAGGAGATTAATATCCCCCTGATCATGATATCCCCACTCGTCAGGGTTTCTTTGTGTCCATTCTGAAATTCTCACCGACCCACCATGACATAGGGCCGAGGGCACACAGGGTCACGACAAGGAATTGACCGAACCAAGAACGGAGAAAAAGACAAGCGAAGCGGATGGGAATATCCGGGGATCGGGCAAATCATCAGAAAGCCTTCAGAGCCCCCACTGCTCTTTGCATAAAATTAGAACCAGTCAGGTCCGGGTTGCACCAATCGGCTGCCGCCAATCGGAGTTAAAGTGGACAGGCAAACGTGTCTCGCCCCACTCGATCCGCAACTCTGCGCAGTGGCGGATTCTAGACCGAATTTTCTGGGTTTCGACGTGAGGTTCCTTTCTCAGATACTTCTATCCTGTTCTTTCCCCGTTTGCATCTCTCTTCTCTTCATCTTCTTTTCAGTCTTTCCCTGGATACACTCTTTTAATCCCAGGCTTTCTTCCTGTTCTCACATCTGTTTCGATTTCTTCCATTTGTCTCACAACACTCGTTTCTTCTCTTCAAAATGCGTTCCGCTCAGTTCCTCGCCCTCGCGATGGCCGTCGCTACCTCCGAGGCCGTCTCGCAGGGTTTCAACTACGGTGCCTCCAAGGTTGACGGCACTGTCAAGGTGCAGTCCGACTTCGAGACCGAGTTCAACACTGCCAAGAACCTCGTTGGCACCGACAACGGCTTCACCAGTGCCCGTCTTTACACTATGATCCAGGGTGGCACCACCAACGGCCCCATTGAGGCTATCCCCGCCGCCATCAAGGAGAAGACCACCCTCCTCCTCGGTCTCTGGGCTTCCGGTGGTGACATGGCCAACGAGATCGCCGCTCTCACCTCCGCCATCGACACCTACGGCGAGGAGTTCACCAAGCTCGTCGTCGGTATCTCCGTCGGCAGCGAGGATCTCTACCGTGTCTCGCAGACCGGTGTCGAGGCCAACGCTGGTGTCGGTGTCGAGCCCGCCACCCTCGTGGACTACATCAACCAGGTCCGTTCCGCCATCTCCGGCACCACCCTCAGCGGTGCCTCCATCGGTCACGTCGACACCTGGAACTCCTGGTCCAACAGCTCCAACGCTGCCGTCATTGAGGCCGTTGACTGGCTCGGTTTCGACGGTTACCCCTTCTACGAGAACACCAAGCCCAACTCCATCGACGACGCCAAGGCTCTCTTCGATACCGGTGTCGCCAACACCAAGGCCGTCGCCGGCGACAAGGAAGTCTGGATCACCGAGACCGGTTGGCCCGTGACCGGTGACAGCCAGAACTTGGCTGTTGCCAGCACCGCCAACGCCAAGAAGTACTGGGATCAGGTTGCCTGCCCCCTCCTCGGCAACACCAACACCTGGTGGTACATGCTCAACGATGAGGGTGCCAGCCCCAGCTTCGGTGTCTCCAGCTCCAGCTCCGACACCACCCCTCTGTACGACTTGACCTGCAAGGCCTCCTCCTCTTCCTCCGCTGCTGCGTCTTCCAGCACCGGCCTTACCGCTGACAAGTCTGGCGTCGCTACCGCCGCTGGCTCTACTTCCACTGGCTCCGCCTCCGCCTCTGGCTCCGGCTCTGATGCCTCAGGATCCAGCTCTGGCTCTGCCTCCAGCTCTGGCTCCGCCTCCGGCTCTGGCTCTGGCTCTGGCTCCGGTTCTGGCTCCGCCTCCGGCTCCGGCGCCGCTGCCAGCTCTGCTACCCCCTCCATGACCTCCATCGCCGGCCGTCCCTCCACCAAGCCCAAGGGTTCCAAGAGCGCCTCTGCCTCTGCCTCCGCCTCCGCCTCTGCTTCCGGCTCTGCCTCCACTGGTTCCGGTTCTTCCGCCTCTGGCTCTGGCTCCAGCGCCTCCGGATCTTCCGGCTCCGACAACGCCTCCGGCTCTGGCTCTTCTTCCGCCGCATCTCCCTCCTCCAGCGCTTACACTGGCTCTGCCGCCCGTGTCACCGGCTCTGCTGCCGGTGCTTTGATCGCTGCTCTGGCTCTTGCCTTCACCTTCTAAGCGCATTAACTTTATGGGGCGATTCGGAGTGATTGGATGATACCTCACTCACCTTAAACCTGTCTTATGATAGTCGGTGACCTGTTTTCATGTACTATTTTCTTTACTTTCATTGAAATATCTTACAATTCGAGATGTGTTCTAGATTTCTTCCTGTACATTACTAAGGCAATTCATTCTTAACCAACGTTTGGCCACACTCTGTAGTTGACTAGATAAATCCCATGTCTAATGTTTCAAAGGGTATTCTTCTATCTATACCTCTTCCCTTATTCATAATTTACCACCAACCCCACCCCCAACACGCTCAAAAGCCCGATCCACAAACGCCAAAGCCCCATCATAAGCCTTAGCAGTATCCCTCCCAACCACCGACTCATCCTCAGGCTGAAGCGCAAACTCCCAAAGCCCATGTGCACCCCCCTCAACCAAGAACAACTCACTCTCAACCCCAGCCTCCCTCAACTGCCTATGATGATAAACACTCTCGCGAGGCAACACCACCTCATCCTCAGTCCCATGCACAAAAACACTAGGCGGATAATCCGCGCCCACAAAAAACTGCAAAAAACTCTCCCTCAACTGCACAGGCACCAGTCCCTCCCTCTCCCCATACCCAACCGCCCCCAACATGCCCCCCAACCCCGGCACCCCCAAACACCCATCCAGCATCGTCCCATCTAGCTCCCACCTCACCGTCAACGCAAACCGCCTCGACACAGGAGCCCCCTCCTCAAGATCATCACTAACAACAGTCCGATCAGCCAACAACGCAGGCACATCATCCAAATTCACAAATCGGGCAATCGAAGTCGCCGGCCGGCCCTCCGTCCAGTGGTCCAGCAGCAGATCCCCGCCGAGTCCGTACACAGACAGTAACGCTGCCGGCTTGGGCGTTGCGTAGATGCATGCTGCGCGCGCGGAGTACGCGCCAGCCGAGAACCCACTTACGGCGATGCGGGCCGGGTCGAGGGTTGTGTTTGCTGGGAGGGCTTGGGCGAATGCTGAGTTGGGGTTTGTGAGGAAGGTGAAGAGCGCTTTGGCGTCGTGGATTTGATCGGCTGTTGTTGTTGGGTGCACGAGTCGGTAGTCTGCGCTTATGAAGATGTAGTTTGCCTTTTGGCAGTGGGCTTGCGTGGGTGTTAGTTTGGGGGTTGGGTTTGGATTGAATTGGGTTGGAGTGCGTACCGTATAGCCAGTGTGGGAATGATAGGGAGCGTCGTGATCCGGCGGTCATTCCGCCGCCGTGGTAGTATATCATGGCGGGGAGGGAGCCGGTTGATGTTGCTGGGGGTAAGTAGTAGTCCATTTTGATGTCGTGGTTGTCGACTGTTGAGTAGGTGAGGGTGGTGCCTCCCTCTGGGAGGTTGATTTTCTTGAATTGGGGCATTGCAGTGGTTGATTGTTGATTGACGAGTAGTTCTGGTTTTGTTGTATGGTGGGATGTTGACGTTAGATGTGTGGGTTATATACGATTGCCGGGGAGAAAGCGGGGGCTAATCAAGCTATGAGTTCTGTCTTCGTGTCGATCTCTGGACCGGATTCTTCTCGGCCAATGGATCTCCGGTAGCAATTCCTTATTTTGAAGCTTTGTTGGTTGCCGTCTCCGCTACAGACAACACAATAAATGGTGACGGGTGCGGATGACCGGGGAGGAGCCCCGCATATGCCCGGCTTCGGAGGTTTTCGTATACCCGTCAGCCGAAGCATTAACTGAATAGCTATCGATGTATGGTTTCAATCTGGGAGCTCATTGGAACGGAGTATCAAAAGACAATTGAAATAAAGCTGCATCGCTCTTCACGTACAACGTTACTCCTTCCACTCATCTCTCCCAAGTCGAATAATATCAGGTTGCTCAACAACCCAATAGTTCGACGGTGCATTCCCATCATGAGCCACTCGAGCAGCTGCCACAGCCGCCCGACCAATAACAGTCTGATCCGCAGCTGTCTTCCACATTAGCATGCATACATAGTGTAGACGCGAACAATCAAAAGCCTCACCAATCTTATCCTGAACACCCTGGCCCAACTTATTCAAACTCTCCATAAACCTCTCCAAAAAGGCAACCTTGGCGTTCTCCCGACCAATAATCATACCCGGACGAAGAATAATAGCAGTGTCGAATCCCATCGCCTTGATGGCATCTTCAACACCAACCTTCATCCGGGAATACGGGACCCACCCCCAAAGCAGACTCCTAGTTCCACCACTAGAAATGAAAACGTATGTTTTCACACCGGCCGCTTTGGCGGCTTTGGCATTGTCAATGACGGAGTCGTGGTCGATCTTCCATTGGTTGGCGAGGCCGCCTGGACCATTTCCCATTGTGCCGACTGCGTTGAAGACAGTTGTTGGTTTGGGGGTTAGGGTGGATATCATACCGGCCCATTGGAAGATGTCGGGTTCTTGAAGGGATTGTAATTTCGGAGATTGCGTGTTTGGAAGTCTTCTGGAGATGGTTTTCACAGATTGGAATTGTTCGGTGGTGAGGAGGGTTGATAGGATTTGAGAGCCGACTGCGCCCGTGCAGCCGAAGACTGCTGCTGCTGCTGGTGTTGTTGTCATGGTGGGTGATTTTAATGCAGAGTACGGGGGCTTCAAGTAGTATTAAATGGGCCGATGTGTGGTGTAAGCTGTGTAGAATGTTGCGATCGTTGACAGCGTCGGAAATGATAGGGTTGTCAAGGTCGCAAACAAGGGGTACAAGGTGCCGGCCTCTTGTTCTTTCAAATAGATAAGTTCACTGGGATAATCTTCTGGGAAAATTTAATAATAAATCATGAGACCTTGGAAAGTTCAGGAATTTATAACTTCCCTGTAGCTATGCTTTAGCGCATTTACAAGGCAGGTGCCCTCGGTGGCTGACGTTAGCCACAAGCGGATCTCCAGCGATCTGTGGCAAATAATATCAGCCACGGGAACTGGTGACCCTTAATTTGATATCTTAAGTTGATAGAGACACTTGTAGCCCTGGCTAATAAATTATTCAAACCATGCCAGATCCCAAATTCGTGGCAATCGCTCAATAACGCCGGATCTGTAAGATCGCCTAGTCCGGTCTGGGTTAGCGCATGTCTACAGTTAAGTATTTAGTGAGGAAAACATCTTTAACAAATCATAAACCATTAATATGGTATAACATAATATACAGATGCAGAAATGAACCAAAGATATATACAAGAAATTTCACAACCCATCACGAAGTACGAACAGCCTTAAGCCTAGGCCCCTCAGCTGAACTCTCCAAATAAACATCCATGCTCCTTGAAGTGATCTCCATCCCCTTGAGCGTAGAATCCGGCTTCACCGGGGCACTCCCATCAATCTTCAAGTCAGAGAAGAGCAATGCCAAGGGGGAAGATTTCCAAATATACTGTCTTCTCGTGTGGAAGACAGTAATGACCAAGAACACGAAACTGAAAACCACCAGGATGATCGGAAGAGTCATCCAGGGCCAGCGCACACGAACATACGATTCAGTCTTCCACGCAGTCCCATTCTTGATAGAATTACAGACCTTGGACCGAGCGTGTACTGTCAACGAGGAGGCGAGTGACTCGAAGACAGAGTTTATTTCACTATAATTGCCGTACGTGCCGTAAACAGCTTCAATTGTATCGGATGACCAGCTGGGTCGATTGCTGACGGGACGAGAACCTTTTCCCTTCAGAAGTGGAGAAAGGGAATTCGACATGGCAAGTGTGCTGTAGTAGTTGACTTCATAAGTACACTCTGGACTGTCTTTGTTCTCGCGTCGTGTTCCATTCACGTAGCAGGTGTCTGGGGTGATTTCGACGCTCTTTCCAAAGGCGCTGTAATCGGTTGTCGAGTTTGATGTGCCGTCATTTGAGGTTACCGTTTCTGTGAATATTCCGCCGTTTACTGCTGCGTCGTATGTATCGACGCAGTAGTAGAGGGCACATTCGGTTGCACTGACATCTGGGGGTGTACCGTAGCCGGATGCGCTGATGGCCGTGAAATTAAGGATCAATGCGAGGTCGGTTGTGTTCAAGCTGATAAGGGGTTGGTAGGTAGTGGTGTTAATCATGGTGTTTGTGTTGATGGCGGTATTGAATGAGAAACCATTTGGTAGTTTGTAGTTGTATGAGAAAAAGGAACCAAGAGCTTCTTTCTTCAGGGTGAGAGACTCCGTAATGTTGGAACAGCGACTGCAGTACCCCAGAGACTGATATGGTGAGAATGTGCAGTTTCCAGTTGCACACTCCATCATAACATTTTTACTGTTCGGGCTCTGTTCCTGGAAAAGACCGGAGTAGATGGCGCCCATGGTGGAGAGGGGGACTTTGTTCATCCCTGGACCAGACCCCTCGTCATAATCGGTGTAAAGACTAGCATTGCAGACTTGAATCGACGATTTTCCAGCAGCTTGAACTGACCGCTCCTGAATGCCCATAACCTGTTGAACAAAAGGATCGGTGGCTGCTGCCAACACGAGAATAACACACCCGAACGTCACCAAATGGCTATAGATAACTGTTAGTCTGAACAAACATTCGTATTCATTACCCGAATAGATAGCTCACCGAGGAACGAATCGCAAAAGCGCAACAAAGGCCCCCGCCGGTCCGCGACTAGCAGCATCAAGCAATGCCAAGTCACTGAGCTTATTTCCATTGCTAAACCACGACCACTTCAGCTGCGACAGACCCTCGCAAACAATAAAAACCATGCAAGCCTTCATCACCGTAGACAAAACCGATACCAGCGCGTTAAGCGTGATGCCATACGGCCAATCAGGCATGAGCTTTCCATCGAACTCGTACAACACCACAATAATCGCAATGAGAAACACGACCGAGGTGAGACAACTCAGGATTTCCAGGGTCCAGCTAGAGCCCCAGAAAAACGGCTGCGACTGAATAACTGCCTGTTGCTCTGCCGTGGACAACGGTCGTGTCTTGCCTGCCTGTGTCACAGGCGGGTCGTCCAGTCGGACATAGGTGAGCGGATACTCATTCTTTAACTGCGACATCTTGACTGTTGAAAGACATTACACGGATGCGTGTGGCTTTTGAGGGTATTGAGAGCATTAAGGAGAAGAAAATCGGGACCAGGAACTCGATGAGCCAGGGTACTTCCCGACTGAGCAAACAAGTGAAACTAGGGCCATTGATGGAGCTAAACTGTGGTTTATTCCCGAATTGTTGGCGATTATCTATTCCTTGCAGAGCTTAGTGTCGGAACCTTTCTCCACTGGATCGTCGACTTACCCTAACGGCGTGCTTGTTGAGCAGGGGAAAAGTGGACCGGGAAAATAGTTTTGAGACACTGCTCCCTAAATTCTGGAAAGGTGTGGGTTTGTTTGTTCACTCTATTTTTCGCAATAGGGTTTGAGTTACTACCATAGCTTTATTTATCCTTTTCGTTCAATTATAGCACTCTCGTGCCGATCAGAATGTTTGATGTTCGTCCCAACAGTCGTCCTTTAATTGCGCCCGTGTCGATCGTGTACTTCAGCTGAGCCCTGCCACAGTTGAGAGAACAAGCAATGAATCACTTAGTGATATCTTAGGGCAGTTATGTCATTTCCATATTTTAAATATTAAACTCCATCGCTTTAAGGTGACAGGCGCGCCAACTAGTTGGCGCTATAGAGTAGTTTTTCGCAGGGTCAAAGGGCATTACATATCGGGCCTATGTACCGAATCTGAAGATTTCACCTACCTCCAAGCATAATTCAGGGGTCGTAGCAAAAAAATTCAAGTCTCAGTGTTTTAGTTGTACGGTTCGCAAATCGGGGTGCCATAGCGAAAACGTAGCTGTGAACGTCAGTTAAGTCTCGGATAGGAAATTGAGACTGGAAAAAATAGGGTTACAAGCCATCAAATGTAAAGCAGTTTTTTGGGGGCTAAAACCTCGCTTGTGACAGTTTTCCTTCTACTTCGCAAGGATTAGCCGTGTCGAAAAAGAGTATCGAGCTTTGGAACCTGTGGCGTTGTTTTTCAGCCCCAACTACAGGAAATTCCCTTAACACTGGTTCCTATGTATCCCGTAGAAACCAATCATCGCATAGAGACCTTCGTATTAACTATCAATGTGCATTTACCACCAGGCTCCAGAAGTTCCGTTTGGTTTGTTGCCTCGGACACCGCCACAATTCGCTCTCTGTACTTTTGCGCCCCGTAAAACTCAGCCACAATTAGCGCGAGGTCTGACGTTGCATAAAGAGCGGATATTAACAACGTTTCAGCATTCTGATCTCCACAAAGATGGAGTCTCTTGGTAATATGATCAGCTACCTCAGAAGACTCGAATGGACAGAACGAGTTCAGCACGTTTGCAAGTTCTGTGATCGAACGAATTTCAGCAGTATTGTTTACGAAGTGAGCTATCATATTTTGACCTTATTGGTGAACCCGAAGTCCTGACTATTAATGAAACAAAGGATGAACAGTTGCTTGCAGTTGACAATATCCGGTTGTCCGGTCACCATCACTGGCTTATTATACCAAAGCAACATGTTGTCCGTGACATTGAAGCTCTCAACGGTGACCATCTCTCGCTCTGTAAGGATGGATAAGATCCAATTTTCAAGAATTCAATACTTACCGCTATCATAATATTAGTGCAAGATATGGATAGAGTAAAGCATCATCTGCTTGAGTCTCTCTGTCCTGATACGCCTTCATCAGATATACATTCGGGGTACCACAGGGGGCGACGTCCACTAATGGGCAACATGTTCTATCCAGACATTGTCTCCATTCATCATTTACATCTTCATGTTATAGTTCGACCCGATCTAGTTGGGTGGCTATGCAGATATCCTGCATGGTTGGCGCTCATGTGGAAGTCAGATGTTCAGGTGCTACAAGAGGTTGAAACACTAGCAAAAAGGAATTCATAATATTCGAGACATGAGACACCGATTTTTACTGGAGGATGCACCTGAAATTCAGGCTACAATCTGATCACTGGTATAGATCGCGTGTATGTTGAAAAGGATAGGCGGAGGCAGAGCTCGAAGTCAGTCTTGTGGCGGTCGCGTCTGACCGTATCTTGAATGGGGCCTTAGGGGTCCAAACGCCGTTGTGTAGGCTAATGACTGGACATGAGAGACTGGGTAAACACTTTGTATAAGCGAAAATCATCATTTTTCGTCTCCAGTCGCGCGTACGTTGGGCCTTGGCGACATAATCAGCGCGATGCCGATTCTGCACCTCGGCACAACTTTAATTCAAAGCTTTTTCATGGCACTTAACCCTGCCTTTCTCTTAACCATCTCAAATATTTGGAAACAAGCTATAGTACATATATTCCGTTGCAGTGGGAAATTTCGCAATGGACTGAGACTGGCTACCAAAGTGATCGTTGGTCTTCCCTCCCTTGAAAGCAAAGAGTGTGATCTTGACTACCAACCTGATGGCTAGTTGGAACAAGGTGAATGGATCGGTGAGCGATAATTGGTGTGCATTATGTTGAACCAACCGGTACGTATCAGCACTCAATCAGCACGAGGTGAATATCCTTTTGTCATATCGAGTTTGTCAAATTGATTCAGCTATTGGGATCTATTGTTGCAGGCGAACTAAAAGACGATACCAAACCGGCCAGCTGTTTTGCCGTTCTCCATGAGATCTATCATCTTCTGAATATCTGCGATATCGTTGAAGGTAGTCATATGGGCCTTGATACCATGCCTATGGCTAAACTCAATGGGCTCACGCATTTGCTGTGGCGTACCACTGCTTGCACCCATAATGCGATATTTTCCCAGGAGAATGTCCAGAGCATTGACTGACAGATTATCTTTGGGTATACCAATGACCATGAGAATACCGTTGATCCTAAGAAATACGTCAGTGTGTTCAAGGGAATTGGTCGACGCTAGTGAGGAGAAGATAATCTTACCTTAGCACATTGGGAGCGCTTCCATATGCAGCATTAGAGGCACTAAGAACCACCGCCGCATGAGCACCCCCACCTGTCAGTCGTGAGATATCCTCGGCGTAGTCCGGATTCTTCGCTGAGTTGAAGACGGCGTCTGCACCAAGAGACTTTGCCGATTCTAGTTGAGATTCAGAGATGTCGATTCCTATGACACGTAGCTTCAACGCCTTGGCATATTGGATTGCTTGAAATGGTTAGAAAGTTGTATCAGGTCTGAAAATAGTTTCAGGATTACCTAGATGGCCCAGACCTCCACACCCAATGATCGCAATCCAGTCTCCTTCCTTGAGTTCGCACTTTTTGACTGCGTGATATGCTACCAGATTGGAATTCATCGTCAGTCGACCAATAGAGTGACACAATTATAGGTTTCATATCTCACCGGTTATTCCAGCACAGAACAAAGGTGCCGCTGTGCTCGGATCCATTCCGATAGGAAGCACCATGGCATTGCGGTAATCCGACAGAGAGTATTCCGCAAAATGCCCATGAGTCGTAAATCCATGAAGTTGACCAGTTCCCTTTTCGCAGTGCAGATTATGAACTTGGCATCCCTCACATTCATCTACAGAAGCCAAATTAGCGTTCAATGAGTTGATAGTCATGATCGAAACCTACAGCAAGCGTAACTGCACCCAAGACACCCGACTAAATCCCCTATCTTGAATCCTGTCACGTTGCGTCCCACAGCAACTACCGTGCCGGTATTTTCATGTCCGATCGTAACTTTCTCCATGGGGGGCTTCTCAGCCGTATGTCCCCAGAAGAGCATCTGTATATTGGGTTAGCATCATATAAAACCTATTGTCAAAGAAGTTGTACCAGGTCAGAGTGGCACAACGATGCACAAGCATTCTTGATCAGAATATCATCTTCGCCCGGCTTGGGAATCGGGATCTCATTAACCTCAACTTTATTCAAGGTCTTTGGGACAGTGGTTTATTAGCTATCTCTCGCAACGATTTATTCAATTCAGCCACTCAGGGACATTGCGTATTTGGTCCAAAGAAGACTAAACAAGAGGGTTGAAGCTTACAGTGTTGAATTGAGCAGCCCTCATTGTGTCAGTCATCTTGTCAAAAAGCTCGACTTAATCGCCAGATGCAGGTAATCAAGAGATCTTAGGCCCTACTTATATGTTTGGCATGGCATTTCCCCGTGGGGTAGGTAGTGAGCTTTGATCTAAATGTGACCAAGTGTCGGAAGGCCTCCGATATCTTGCACGTTTGAATCCATGGAGAGCCCACATCGAGTCATGCATCAATGGTCATGAGAAGATTTTCAGACAGCAAGGCAACTAACCCTTTTTTTTTCTCTGCCAAGAGAAACTTACTCGGTTGTCATGACTCGCACGCCTGGAAGAGCCCTCGCATTGCATAAAAGATACCGATTGAAGAGAGTAGTGATCGCCGTTGTGGGACACTCAGTGACATCAATGAGGCGTAGAGAATTAACTGCCAAGAAAACAAATGCTTGCTAATTATGAAACATAGTCGTTGTTTTGATCTACTCATCAATATACACGTCGGATGTCCATTCGGAAAAGAAATCCCGAAACTGACGAGGAGCAAACCAATTACTTAGCCGCAGAATATGTTTTTCGAAGATGGTGTTCAGTGGCTTTCCTTCCTCTGAATTTACGACGATATCTTCACAATCGTAGGGCCAACTAATCGTAACATGCTGAGAGTATAGCTCAGAAAAGACGGCGAAGGGGTATCGATCGGGATCTCCAATGAGAATATCTCGCACACGGGGCCTTGAGACGTGTCAGTAATATTACCACAAGTTAGAATGATATGTAAACTAACCAAGGAATGTTATCAATCCAAGCAGCATGCGGAATAGTAACCTGCATTACAGTCGGCCGAAGCCACACGGGCATGCGAGCATAGCTTTCGCTGTTCGGCGATATTTGCCACTAATTAATGTTAAAAAGATGGCTTAGCGAGAGTTCCAGATGGGCAGAGTTTTGTCGCTACGTACACGCGTGGTATGATGCATGAGATACATAAAGGCCAGCTTTTCTGGCATGTTCACGTGTGGAAACGTTGTAAGAACTTCCGCCATTATACGGCTTATGGCGTGTGAGCTCGGAGCTGCTGTTGGATTCAGGAGATCACTGGGGCATATTTGTTCCGCGCCAAGGACATCGGCTAGAGGTACACCTCGAGCAAGCATAGATCGTCGCGAGATGATGAAGTCCAACAAAATTTGATCTAAGGGACATGTCGCACCCGTGTGTTTCGGCAATACACAAGCCACTGACCTCGGGCTAGCACAGGGTGATACTGAGCCATGAGTCATGTGTACACCGCTGAACGTGGGGTAGAATTGAGGATCTGGGAGACTGTGGGGGTATGCATCTGTCCGAGCTGTTAGAAACTAAGTATCTCATTCGTCGCCTATGTTCAATGCGCGGGAGAGGGCGGTTACCATTCAATATACTTGGTCCCACTAAGGCCCTTGCAGAAGTGGGTAGCAATGGCCGGTTCGATCCAGCTTCGTGTGTAATATTCGGTTGATTCGCCGCAGTTGGTTCATTACCCGCGAGATACATGCCATGATCGACAAGGTGAGGCTCGGCCGTGACTGATTGGGGTTGTGCAATGTCTATACCTCGCCGACCGTCTTCTGGGGTTGATATCACTTGCTTAGTGGCACTAACGCCACTTGTTGCGCGTTGTATGTCTGTTTCTGGAAGTACCGGAATATTACCTATAGCAAATTGTCCAATGCTCTCAAGGGAAGATTTGAGCTGACGATTCTGATCACGCAGTAGCTGAATCTCTTCTATCATAGACTTTTCCCGCTGCGAGAATGAATTCTTGAAAACGGCGATGTCATTTTCGAGTTCTTCGATGCGGTGTTTGGTACGTTGTCGCATGGCCCTTTGGGCCTTCCGATCAAGTTCCCGTTTGTGCGTTATTTGGGCTGCAGTGAGGCCTGAGATTGTCCTTTTTCCCTTAGTGCGCGAGGGCGCACGCTCCTCAGAGTCAGACATTCTGTGATCCCCCGTGTGAAATTCGGGTTTACCTATACCGACTGGGAAAAGATACTCAAGGTGGCAACGGGGCGCTTGTTTTACCTCAGTGTGTCATGCAGGATTCACTTGGTTGGTTGGCGAATTTTCCATTGGTGTCTGGCTCGGACTGCGCCATTTAGTGAGGCATGACATTCATGACTCTGGTTACATGAGTCAGGTGGGACTGATGGTCACTGATCTCGGGAGTCTACGCGTGATGAGTCATGAGCACTCGATCATGGAGACCCGCACCCATCAACCAATCAGCATCGGAGATAGTAAGAATATCAACGAGGTATATAGATCAAGATGGTAATTCTACAAAGAAGGGTAAAGTCAATGCAAGCTCCTCTTGAATTTATAAAGATTTCTTCGACTTGTTCAACCATGATACTCGATTCGCACCTTACTCAATTGTTCATCAACAACCAGGTAAGCTGCACTCAGAAAAAGCCCCATGATGCTGTGCAAATATTGACCACTATATCAAGTATGTGGATTGTTTAAATAAAGAGAAAAGGTATTAATTTCTGCTCTATACTGATTGAATCGAGTTCCTTACACCCACCAGAATCTCCGTCTATAACCCAGCAGATGGCACCCTCGTGAGCGACTCAATTCCCATTGCTGGCGAGGCCGATGTCGACCAAGCCATTGAAGCAGCTCAGCGGGCATTTGCGCCAAAATCTGAATGGCGTAGCATGGATGACTTTGCCCGCCAGAAGGTTCTCCTGAACTTTGCGGATTTAATCGAGGAAAATCAAGAATATCTAGCGTCCCTGACGAGAGTCACTTTGGGTGCACCTTACAACCCATTTGGAAAAGCGGAGATCGACACCGCCATAGGTTGTTTTAGATGTTTGTCCCCTCTTTTCTCTTCAAAGGCTTGTCATCTACGGAATTTGTGGCTGACAGATATATAGATTATGCGGGATGGGTTGGCAAGTTTGCCGGTCAAAGCTTTCCAGCTACAGATGGTTTTTACAAGGTCGTCCGAAATGAGCCTTTGGGAATCGTTGCAGGGTGAGACTCGCCTATTTGTTTTGTGATGACTTTTTATTTTCGTGTCGCTATTGGTCGTACCAAAATGATGATCTGACTGTTCCATAGCATCATTCCATGGAATGGCCCGCTAGCATCGATAGGCCTGAAAGCCGCGCCTGCACTGGCGACTGGAAATGTGTTCATATTAAAGCCAAGCGAGAAGACTCCGCTCGCTGCTGCCGCCCTCGGAAACCTTGCCGTAAAGGCTGGATTTCCACCAGGAGTCTTCCAGGTTTTGACAGGAGATGGCAGCACGGGTGCGATTCTGGCGAGTCATATGAAGATTGCCAAAGTAAGCTTCACTGGCAGTGTGCCAACAGGTAAACATGTTCAAGTTCTTGCGGCAAAGAGTAACCTGAAACGCGTCACACTTGAACTTGGAGGCAAAAGCCCAGCAGTGGTGTTTGATGATGCGAATCTGGAAAATGCCGTGAAGTGGTGAGTCTTATTACCCTTTTGATATATGCAAGGCAATCTGATGATGTAGGTGTGTGAACGCATTGACAACCAACTCGGGTCAGATTTGTTTCGCTGCGACCCGGGTATATGTTCAAGACGGCATTTATGACAAATTCTTGTCAGCCTACCGCAAGGCATTCGAAGCCAAGCAAGAGAAGATGGGGGACCCAGGCAGCTCTAATTCAGAGATAGGCCCTGTTGTAGATCAAGCTCAGTATGAAAGGATTTTGGACGTCATAGCGACTGCCAGGAAGACCAATGATGGCAGACTATTACAAGGAGGAGAGCCAACACCTTCCAAAGTTTGTGATTACAGGTCTAAGATATACATTCACGGTTTTTACTGACTATCTGAAGGGATATTACATTGAACCTGCCATTTTCTTGGACACAGGGGCTGATTCCGTCATTGCTCGGGATGAGATTTTTGGACCGGTTGTGGTTATTAATCGCTTCAAATCGGAGGAAGAGGTTATCGAACTTTCGAACTCATCCAAATATGGCCTAATGGCTGGTGTCTTTACGCAGGATATTAACCGGGCTCTCCGATTGAGTGAAGCCTTTGATTCAGGGGTTGTCGGTGTCAATTGCATCAGCACCATTCATTTTTCATGTCCGTTTGGTGGGACGAAGGAAAGTGGCGTTGGGCGCGAACTTGGTGTTTATGCTCTACATGCTTACACTGAGCCGAAGACAGTTCTGATCAATCTCGGTTACTGATACAGAGGACTTTGTCAACATCTTTGGCACTATCTCGAATCTTGGAGAAGCAGAAGTGAATTATCCAAGTTTTTGATAGGCAAAGTTGACGTGAAATGTCTCTGTTTATGTACATAGCTTTCGATAGTTGCCCACGGAAGGTATGGGAGGTGTATTGCGTGCAAATCTTTATTTTCATCTACATGATGGTGACAGAAGCAGAAATAAGGAAACCAACATGATATAAAACGTTTGACTTGGCGCTCAGTAAGTAAATGAGGACTCACGAAGATGTACATAAAATTGGGTGCATCAAACTTTGGAAAGATCAAGAAAATCTTGCGTTGTTTCAACTCGATGAAGCGCCTGCATGACCATTACAACATTAGTTATGCAACAAGCTCATTGAAACTTGATTGATGTGATTGATTGAAACCTTGGGTAGTTATGCGCTATTCATAGTAAGCCTTTCTTTTTATAAGCTCTTCCGCAGTCTCCAAGTCATGACCAAAGATCAACGTAGCAGAGAATAACTTTTGCAAGCGTCTGATCAATTTCCCACTATCCAGCCAGCTGCGATAGTCGCGCAAAAGCCAGCCATGTGCGTAATTCATCTCGAAATTCTCTTTGATATGATACTGATCTGTTGTCCAAATGAAGGTCCCGTCTTTTGCCAGATTGACTTGCAAAATGCATAACCCTGGGGTATGACCAGGGCAGTGGTGCAGTGTCAAGCCTGTACAAAGGTCCAATTGAGAGTCGTTGAATGTCTGCCAGCTTATGGTACCGTCAAGCTTCAGATAATCCGCCCTATGGGTATGTCAGACAGAGTGATGATAAATTGCCACAAATAAAACCCTACATATACAAACCACCGTCTGAATTCGTTCCTGCCGCCCAGCAAGCATGTTTGAACTCTTCCTCGTGGACATAGATTGGGACACCTGTATTCCGGAAATGCTCCAATCCCCCGGCGTGATCCAAATGCAAGTGACCCATGATCACCGCCTTTACATCCTTAATATCATACCCTGCGGACTTTATGGCCTCTGGTAAATGATTTTTGTCCGTATAACTTGTGCGAGGGAATAGATCTGTCGCCTCGCTACTCCATTGCTGTAAGGTTAATTAGCGAACATGCATATAAGACTCAAGGAACCACGAAAAATGTACCGCGTCGATATCCTCTACACTTCCACATTCAAACAGGATCAGCCCCATCTCTGGATGATTTATCAGCCCAGCAATCATCATCAGATCTCTCCACTTATGGACGGGGTTTGGGTTGCTAGCTGAACCCGCATTGGCACCCATTAGGAGCCTACATATAAGCAAATAAATAAGATCAATCTTAGGCACTGACTTCAGGATCGCGATTAAAGAAGCAAACGTACCAGCCTTCGTCGACCGATAAAGTGCCTAGGTTGAGAATGTGCATTCTAGTGCCCGCTGGACATGCGTATGCAGGGAGAGCCACGGGAATGAGCTGTTGCATTGGAGAAGCCATGGTGAAATTGATTAGAATACGATTGAATGTTGCGATATTGCCATTTGCATAGGTGAGGTTGAGAAGCCTATTCCATTAAAGTCCCTCGGCTTTATATATGGACAAATCGTGGACAAAGCGGACCCACCCGCATTGAATGGTGGGATTGTGAATTCCGTGGAAGTTATAGGCTGTCGCTCTGCGAACTCTGTGCACTCTGTATAGTCCTAATCCTCTTCATTCTTGATTCTTACTTGACATCTTGTTTCGGGAAACGAAATGGACGGAGCATAGATGAACAAATCATGACCTAACCGTGTAACGGCGTTGGAATCGGGCTGGTCGTCATTTTGAGAGTGGAGATTGGTAGCTTGGTTTTCGTTAGGCATTTGAATTCAGCGATGAGTTATAATCAGGATGGTATCAGGTCAAAGAATGGCTGGCAGGGAAGTCTACGGAGATTTATTGTCAGAAAACATGAGTCACTTTTGGAATTTCATACCGACAAAAAAGAAAAACAAGTACAAAAATCAATCAATCTAGATTTCTATGCTACAGAAATCCATACAAGCATGGCCAACCTTATTCTGATATCAATGGACATGAAAATGCCTACGTGCTCGGCAGTGGCCAAAGCCCTGGAGTATATGACCGGATGACTGACCGCACTCGGTCCCCATTTTCCTAGCGGCCAATATTTCTTTCTCCTACAACAATGGCGTTTCACCAACAGTGCACTTCCCCACGTGTCTGGCTTATCACTGGGTGCAGTTCAGGGTTTGGAAAATTGTTTGTGTCTCTCTTACTAGCCCGGGGCGACCGAGTAATTGCCACGGCCCGCGACATCAGTACTTTGTCGGAATTCGCTCACCGTGATGATGTCAAACTGCTGCAGCTAAATGTCACTGATTCTCAAGATGCATTGAATCGGAAGATATCTGAAGCTGTGGCCATATTTGGCCAAATCGATGTTCTTGTCAATAATGCCGGATACGTGCTTTCTGGTGTATGGGAAGAGCTAAGGTGCGCCCGTTCCCTCAGCTTTGGTTCAGTATCTACGCGAGGAATGCCAATTCTAATTCAAATTTTTTTTACCTTCCAGCCAACCACAGATACTCGATCAATTTAATACAAATGTCTTCGGTCCTCTGAATCTCACCCGCGCTCTATTGCCGCACATGCGAGCCCGTCAGAGTGGGACTGTCATTTTCATGAGCTCCATAGCCGGATGGAGAGGTGTCGCTGTTGGGGGGCCATATAGCGCATCTAAGTTTGCTCTTGAAGGTTAGTGATTCAAGACACACTTGTACCCTCTGCGACTTGATTGGAAATGTTTTCATGGCTGACTTGCGGCGTAGGAGCGGCTGAGAGTCTCCAGAAAGAGATCGTGCCATTCGGCATCGATGTGCATCTGGCAGTTTTGGGTCAATTTCGAACAGACATACTTGCCGCGGACCGAAGAAAATCCGGGCGTGGCATTAACTCAATCCAGGGGTATGATGATGCCGTCGATGCCTTCCAAACTAGATTGGCGCAAACAAATGGAAAACAGCCTGGCGATCCAGCCCAAGCAGTACAGCGAATATTAGATCTTGTTCGGCGCGAAGGACATTTTGCTGCTCAGCGACAAATTCCATTCCGCATTTTTCTGGGATCTGATGCCGTGGATATCGTTCGCGGTGAATGCCAGGACATGTTGAGCGAGTTGCAAGCTCAGGAGGAATTGGGGAAAAGTACTGATTACTCGGATACAGGAAACATTCAGAGCTATGAATGAAGAATACTCGAATCTCCAAGGTTTGGCTTCTCTAGTTTCCTCTACATATTATACCGCTTGATTTCACCTGGCTGTATGTAGTAAGGAAATTTCATCTTCATACAATAGTGGCTCTTGGGTACATTGTATGACCGACACTTCAGAAGACAGAATCAAGTAACTTAATTAACGAAGGGCCCCCCTAACGCCACTTCACTTTTCCGGTATTGCTGCAACAGTCTACGGAAAAGTGGGACTATAACGACCCGCCTTACTGACTCAGTGCTCGATCTCCCACTGTCCAATAAAAATGAACCATGGAGGCCGATGTGGATCTTGTCCAACTTGTCCAGTTCGTTCCCGACTAAAATGATGACGCTCTTTGACTAGATCTGTTGTACGCAAAAATTTAACTGCGGAGACTTTTGAATCTGATTTCTAATCCAACACGGTGGAATTCTTTCGAAATTGCCGTGGGAATGTATTTAAGTCTATCGCGCGTGCTGATTGCCGGTGAGGTACAACAAAGCGCCGCTTGAATTCCACATCATGACTAGCATTACATCCCCAGTTCGCATCGGTAACCTCGACCTCCAACATCGGGTCGTGCTGGCACCCCTGACCCGAATCCGGGCCGACGATGAACATGTTCCCCTTGATCTCGCTCGCGAATATTACGCCCAGAGAGCCTCAGTTCCCGGTACTCTTTTAATCAGCGAGGGAACATTTATTTCCGCACGCGCAGGTGGAACGGCCAATGTTCCTGGGATCTGGAGCGATGCGCAAATTAAGCAATGGAAGACTATTACCGACGCGGTTCATGCGCGCGGTAGTTATATCTTCTGCCAATTGTGGGCTCTTGGTCGCGCCGCAAACCCCGAGGTCCTCGCCAAAACCGGTGACCATGTTATCTCCAGTGGTAACATTCCTATGTCAGAGTCAGCTCCTGTTCCGAAGGCTTTGACCGAGGAAGAAATCCCAATTTGGATCAACGATTACGCCACAGCTGCAAAGAACGCCATCGCTGCCGGATTCGATGGCGTGGAAATTCACGGGGCAAACGGATATCTCGCAGATCAGTTCCTGCAGGACACTGCCAACAACCGTACAGACAAATGGGGCGGCAGCATCGAAAATCGATCTCGCTTCGGCCTTGAGGTCGCCAAAGCTGTATCTGAGGCTGTCGGCCCGGAACGAACTGGATACCGTATTAGCCCCTGGAGTACATTCCAGGGCATGCGCATGAAGGACTTCCACGACCAGTTTGCCCACCTTGCCACCGGGCTCGGAAAATTGAATTTGGCTTATCTACACTTCGTCGAGCCACGCATCTCCGGCTCGCAAACCGTCGAAGACAACGTGGAGTCAGACGACCAGTTCTTATTTGATGCATTTGGCTCCTCTGGCGCTATCATCCTGGCAGGTGGATTCACGTCGGAATCTGCGTCTGAGAAACTTCAGCAGCACCCTAACCGACGCATTGCCATTGCATTTGGACGCCATTTCCTGGCTAACCCCGACCTCCCCTTCCGCATTGCCAACAACATTCCGTTCAACAAGTATGAAAGAGCCACCTTCTACACTCCTAAGTCCCCTGTTGGCTATGTGGATTACCCTTTCAGTTCGGAATTTGTTGCCAAGGCCTAGACATAGTGATGGCTGTTTAAGCAACGTATCGCGAAGGCAAACAAACACCCATTTTCATACTTATACATATATATAGAGAGCGAGATAGAGAAATAGAATAAACTTATCTTCCGCAAATCAATTTTAGATCTTCATCAATGCTACCGTATTAACTCGCTTAATATTACAAGGGCTTTGGCTTTTTCGAAAAGGCCAGCTACATAAATATTGATGCGTTCAATCAGTTCATCTTGCAGGAACTGGATGAGTCCAGCTGCATGGGTTCACTATGTGACTTTGAAAAGCACCAGCCTGTCATTGAAAATTTATGGCTCCAGGATTTCGCATCACAGACAGTGGACAGATTAGTGTAGCCTAGGTAGAACAGATATCGTCCAGAGACATCTTTGGGACAAGGAAAATTCCAGAAAGTTAATTTCCGAATATATTGTTCAAAAAACTGTATCCATGGATGATTGTCCATTTTTCTCGGTCCCTCGGGACTGTCCAATTTGGCCAATTCTCCAACCCCGCTACTGGACACAACACTGACGCTGTATTTAAAGAAATGGTTACTTTGAAATACGTGAGACATATCATGCAAATTTGTTTATTGTGCCAAAACAAAACCAACCATGACATTCACAAAGTCCGAAACTCTGCGCATCGCCTCTGCATCCGGGTCTGTTACTGACAGACGTCATGGGCTGGCAGAGTTGGCCCAAAAAGAAAATGTCCAATTTATCGTTGGCGATTGGATGTCTGAGTACAACATGACCACTCGCGGTGGAGCGAAAGTGAAAGGAAACCAACAGTCGTCGGAATTTGAGACGTCATTCTTGGAATCTATTGAGCCCGCCCTAGAGAGCCTCGCAACAAGAAAGATCAAGGTTGCCGTGAATGCCGGGGCTAGCGATACCAGAAAACTTCATGATGTTTTGGTTACTGCTATTCAAAATAAAGGGCTTGATCTTAAGGTGGCTTGGATTGAGGGCGACGAGGTTTCTGATCAACTCCAACAGGCCATTAAGGTCGGGGAGGAATTTACCAATTTGACAACCGGTAAGACTTCACTAAATAGCCATCATCGAGGCGCATATCATGAATCTAATCATTATACAGGCCAAAAGCTTTCTGAGTGGCAATTTGATCCGATCTATGCACAGTGCTATCTTGGTGCATGGGGCATCGTTGAGGCATTGAACCAGGGTGCCGATATTGTCCTATGTGGCAGAGTGACGGATGCCTCCCCAACAATTGCCTGTGCTGCCTATTTTCACAAATGGAATCGGCAAAACTTCGATCAACTTGCACATGCCTTTGTAGCAGGTCACTTCCTTGAATGCTCGACATATGTCACAGGAGGTAACTTCTCGGGATTCAAATCATTGCCTGGGCTGGGGGTTGATATCGGCTTCCCTGTTCTTGAGATTAGCCCCACTGGTGAATTCGTCGTGACCATTCAAGACGGAAAAGAGGGCATGGTGACTGAGAATACATGCAAAGCGCAATTGCTTTACGAGATTCAAGGGCCACTTTACTACAACCCTGATGTAGTTGCTATCTTGGACGACATTATTATCAAGGAAGAAGGACCAAATCGCGTGTATGTCTATAACAAGCCACCATGGTTCTAGTCGCCATCATGAAGAGTTGAAGCTAACGAGTCTCAGTCACGTCTCCAATGTTAAAAGCATCCCACCCCCTCCTACAACAAAGATAGGTATTACTGCGTTGGGTGGTTTCCAAGCGGAGGTCCACTACTTTCTATGCGGACTAGACATCGAAGAAAAAGCTGCTCTACTTGAAAGACAAATCCGCCACCTACTCGACGAGTCCCAGTACCATACTCTTGTCTTCCGAACAACCGGTTCAAGCGCTTCCGATCCGTCTAGTCAAGACGCAGCCACGGTTGATGTGCGCATCTTCGCCCAATCGCGATCTGAAGACGCACTTGCACTTGCCAACTTCTTCAGGCCTTGTACAGATACAATTATGCAAAGTTATCCGGGTGCTACATTCGCCGTGGACGCCCGTCAGGGAGCTCCGAAGCCATATTACGAATACTTCGTTTCTATCTTCCCACAAGATCGCATGCGCCACGTCTGCCACATTCCGTTCAAAGAGACCCAGATTTCCATTGAACCGCCCACCGAAACCGTTCCTTTCGTTTTGGAGCAGCCAACCTATGAGACCAAAGCGCCATTTGATCTCGATGTGTTCGGTCCCACTACTCGGGCACCCTTGGGATACGTGGTACATGCTCGATCCGGTGATAAAGGCTCCGATGCGAACGTGGGATTCTTTGTCCGTCATGCCGATGAATGGGACTGGCTACGGAGTATTCTCACTGTCGAAAAGGTTCGAGCACTGCTCGGGAAGGATGATGTTGGAAACCAAATATTCCGTTTCGAGCTCCCAAATATCTGGGGTAAGTCAAAAACACGAAGCACTATACTTTCAACATATCCAAATTTCATAGAACTAGCCACTGACTTATTATATAGCTGTGCATTTCCTTTTGAAGGATCACTTGGATCGTGGGGTGGCTTCAAGCTCCACTTATGATGTCCTAGGAAAAAACGTAGCAGAGTATCTCCGTTGCAAGTATGTGGACATTCCGAACAAATTTTTGGCCAGGGGGAGAATTTGAAGTTATTACCACCTCTTTGTTCAATATATATACAGCCAGAGGATGACATGAGTTTATATTATCTGATGATTCCTTTGAGAGCGGCCGTTAGCCAGGGCTAGAGATGCACCAGTAAGATCTTTTTTACTTTTTGTCATTGCTAGAAATTCAAAACGATTGCGATGCAAGTGATACAAAAATAGAGATCTGTTTGAATGTCCAGCATTCCCTGATTTGATCGAGTCACGCTTTTGCTCTTTTCCTACCCATTTCAAACGTTGACTTTCATTTTTCCCACCTTGAGTCAATTTACCGTTTTATAATTTGTCGGTTGTCTAAAATAGGATGGAAATTAAAATATTTCTAGCGCTTTGAATGCATTTATCTATCTAAGTACCGTGTGTGGAGCTCTGAAAATATATCAAAGTAGATCTTTTTTTGCTTTGCTTACAAATCCAAGGCACACATAAATTGTTCAAACTGTTTCAATCTGTGCAGATTGAGCTTCCGGCTTTTGTCGAGAGTCATCTGTAGAGGATCCGGTCGCGTCCACCAGCTCACTAACATCACCTCTATGTTTCACGAATATATAATCAATCTCTTCCAATGTTTTTCCACCCGTCTTCTCGGAAACAAAGATTAGTAAATGTAGTAAGAATCGAATTTATCAAGATAAGGGGAGACCAACCTCTGGCATAAAGAAGTAAACAAACGGAATACTTAGTGCGATCATTACACAAAACAAGATATAAATTTTCCAGCCAGTGTTGGCAATAGCCGGTGGTGTCATCTGCGCAATCACCTGGAGATGAGCTTAGCTTAGCAGTGTTCAGTCGTCTTGACAAGGAGAATACTCACGAATGTCCATAACCACTCCGAAAAACACCCAGTCGCTGCACCGATATGTCGAATATTAAGGGGCGTGATTTCCGGTGCATATAGCCACGGTACGCTGTTCCAGCTCATGCCAAAAGAGATTTCGTAAATGATAAGCATTCCAAGAGCTAGACGAGATGAAGCGGGAGTTTGCAATGCAATGCCAACCGTGAACAATGTCATGGCCAGAAAAAGCATTGTTGATCCTAGCATAAGAACCTTTCGTCGACCTAGCCGATCAATGAGGAATATGGGTGGAAATGTGCCGACCCAGAATGCGATTTGGATAAAGCCTGCTACAAGGCTACTTAGCTCACGCGATAGCCCGACGTTTGTTTCAAGTACAATTGTCACTAAAAACGTTAGTTCAACACGCTGCGTGCACACAAAAAACAGGACCTTCATACTCACCATAGAATGCGATCACATTGATGCCGGTAAATTGCTGAAAGAACTGTACCATGAAGCACAGAATCAAGCGCCTCGTATTTTTGATGTCTGTTTTCTCGAACAACAGAGTGGAAATTGAGAAATTTGATTTATGGCTTTGCTCCAACGAAAGAGCCTGCTCCATTTCCGCCACCACAGTGCGGAGGTTGGCATGATCTTCCGGCAAGGAAAGAAGCTGGGATAGTACGCTTATAGCTTCTTCCTGACGGCCATGAGAATATAACCACCTAAGACAATCAGTGGCTGTAATTGGGTAAAGTAGGATTCGCCCAGATTCGATTACCTCGGTGATTCCGGTAGAAGTGGCATGGTAAAAATGGTAATCAAAGCAAAGAAATCTTGGAAAGCCAGGGGGAACCGCCAAACGACCTGGGAGATATCATTAGGACTGGAAACGAAACATAAACAGGAAGGTTCATACATCACCGGTTTGAGTGCGAATCATGCCATAGTCTAGCCAGTATGCAACCACTGTACCAAACTAATCAATTCATTAACAAGAGCGCGAAAGAGTTGTTTTGGACTTCGTACAATAACGATCGACATCTGAATGGCGAGCGACCTCCCACGCACGGCCATTCGCGAGGTTTCGGACACGTATACGGGCACTGTAGAAGTATTGATGCCTTTCCGAAACGATGAGTTAATGATTCAATGAGGAGTAATTAAAGCCAATCTCTATCGTACCATTCCCAATTCCAGAAATTATCCGACCGGCGATGAGTTGTCCAGCACTAAATGTGCTCGCCTGAACAGCACCACCAACAACCATAATGACACATCCCAGGGTAATTGCATTCTTTCGACCTAATTTGTTTCCAAAAAAGCCCGAGATCACACATCCGCCGAGACAACCGATGTTGAACAAGGCCACTATGGTGCCCAGATACCCGGAGCTCGGATTCCCGATGGCTGACAAGAAGCCAGGATATGACACAAGTCCACCTAGGACACCTTGATCGTAGCCGAATAACAGGTATGCGCTGCCAGCACTTACCGCAATGGCAATTTGTAGAGACCTACCTTCCAGTTTCAGCATTTTGTAAAAGTCCCAGACATCACGATCATCTATGGGTTGTATTGGCTTCGAATCTTATATCGTCTTTCAGTTAAGTTTCTCGGTCGGAATAGTAGTCCCGGAAAAAAAACCTAATGCCACATTCGGTGATGAGTGGAGATGAGAAAAAGTGTCATCCCCATGGGGCCCCAGACTCAATGATCCGGGGCTTTTCACACCGAGGCTGTCCAAACTTATTATGGACAACTGCGAAGCCCCCTGAACATGACATGCGGGACCTGAGTCATGTACTTAGAGTTTGGCCTGTAGCCGTATGTGGAATGAAAAGGAAAAAGTATGAGAATGATTGGTTGGAAGGAGCGGTGGTGGCTGATCTTCCAATGGCGAGCTCTCTGGCACTCGGTATTTTGCTTGCACACAAACTGCAAGGGAACATTTTACACCGACTTACAACCCATGCTGGTCGCAGGACATTATATTTACAGCCCAGTGTAGGCTTCAAAGATGGGATTCATTTCTGGAATTGATCAACTACTAACGCTTATCGGAATGTGCGAGAAGCCCAGCATTGGCTTACAGTGCCTGCTTCTTCAATCATCACTCAACCCACTGGGCCAAATATGACTTATTGACAAAAGGGAATTCTCGCACAAATAAGAATAATTTGACTTAAACAGCTCGATAATTCATTCAATTTATCTAAATTGTACATTCTTTGCCGTCAACATTCCCCTAGTTACATCGTAACTTTTAACATATCTCGCTTACCCATTCAAACCCCGAGACTAGCGTAGTCTCACACATAATTTCTATTGTAACTCTAGGCCTAGGCCCACGTCTCGTAGTCCGATGAATATACGGTTGAACATGGAACTGGCTAGCACCAAGACTTTTACACGTCTGGAAGACCGGTTTGTGCCACGTTCCAAAGAAGGCTATCAAGTTCAAATGATTCCGGCGCGAGGGAAGCAAATTAAATAGGGATTTTAGTTGGATTCCCTATTCTAACGCTTCTTGTTCATCTAGATAGGAAGTCCGTGTGCCACAATAAATGTAAGGGTCTTCTCTCCCACCACGATACACGCCATCGTCATCAACATCGTTCTGAAAATCCTGGATGAATTTTTGGGATTCGGGATACGAAATAGATCTCGCCATCAGGTTTACAAACTCACATGCGAATCGGACGCTAAGGAAGGATTTATCCTTCTCTTGGGGTTGAACATGAACCAGGAGCAAGCTATGATCCCTGATCGTCCGGTCGTCCGCAATGTAGAACACATTTTTGGCTACCGTGTTTCCAGTAACCCTTTTTTGAAGAATACAAACAACATTATCGATGGTTTTCCCGTGGAACGCAGATGTGTCGTATTCATAGTGCGCGTCCGAGGCGCTTGTTGCGTTGTCTTCAATGTTTTCGTCATCTTCAAGGACGTAGAGGCGGTGCGGTGAGATGAAGCTTCTTCGGTAGGCGGTGACGATAATATGAGTAAGGATCTGTGGATTTGAGTCAGATAAAAATATGGGATGCGTATTTAGCGAAAGGTCTCGGTTACATAATGTGGAATAAATTGTATGCAGACAAGCGGGTATAACACCTCGTCGTCCATTTTGATGGGCCCTTGCAAGCGATAAAATCGAAAAATTTATGCTGCTAAAGGAGGAAGGTCGGCGTCTATATAAGTAGTGGGGCAGATACCCTCCCTAGAACTTTCCATGAGAAAATACGCTAATTTACAATGATCCTGGGGGCACTACAGCCCAGTACGCCAAATACGACAATACTGCTAGACTGAGTTAATCATTGGTGATCTATAGTATCTTAATCGCCTTAAGGCGTTAGGGTAACTTTTCCATACAACCCTATAAGTCATATCCCTACACATTATTACCCTAAGTTGCCTATTATCATTATCTTGCTAGCGATATACTCTTTATTTGCCTTAAGTGGAGCACTTGCTATCTTTACTCTCATGATTGTATGTACTTTACCCCAGCGTGGACGCTGGTTTCTTCGGGACCGGCGACTATGACCCCGGACCGGGGCTTAGTTAGATAGTCCGAGCTGGCGGGACCCGTCAGAGGCCCCGCCGCCCTCGAACCAATGAAACAAGTTTCCTTCCTTCTCTTTCCCTACGGGCTTTTAGGCTACAGAGGTGAATGGAATTCTACACGAATTATCATTGACTGCAAGACTTGTATGGGGCAGAGACAGCTCATTCCTGGAGTACTGACTAGAAGCAGAATGAGAACGACCGATTTTCGTATCAATTTGGTGATATTCAAGTTTACCATCCTCCTCCCATCACGCAAATGTTCAGCTTCGGCCGATCTCACACATGAACGTTTTCTTCGTAAACGCACTCGATGTCACCCTTTTCCTCCGACTGGCTCATAGAAGATTCATGTTGTGGATGACCGGTACCATCCTTTTTGAACAGCAAATCTATCTCTTCCAAAGTCTTACCAGTTGTCTCCGGGCACACGAAGTAAACAAATGGCACCGCCACCGCGCACGCTAACAGGCACCATAGCCAGAGCTTCCAACCCACATTCTCAAGTCCAATTCCCCCAGCAAAAACGGTGATAAAGCAGAAAAGCCATTCCCCAAAGGCACTAGCAGCACCTCCAATGTGGCGAAACTGCAGCGGTGCAATCTATTGGGACATGAGCTTCCTGAAAATGCGTCCTGATATGGGCCTTGGGACTACTCACCTCGGGGCCATACAGCCAACAAACGCCAATCCAGCCATATCCGAAAATGAGGTTGTAGGCTATGATGGAAGCCACTGCGACCCATTGCTTTGTGAGTGTGGGGTGTGGAGATCCAATCATCGCGACAAATATAGTCAAGCAGATTGTTAGACACACAGCAGAGTACATCATTATGTTTTTTCGGCCAAACTTCTCGATAGTGCCGGGTAAAAAGAGGGAGCCGATTGCAAAGACAGTATTCATCACCGCGGCGAGAAGTTGAGACATAGTGGAGGAGAGGCCAATCTGGGAAAAGATTTTGACACTGTAATAAACAGCCACATTGATTCCTCCAATAAAGTAAGCAAGATATCTCAAATGACAGAAAGAAAATGAATTATCCTACCCATCATTTGTTGCACCGACAAGATCAAAAACGCAATGCGTAATCGTCGGCCCACACGCAGGTCAGTACGATCCCAGAACAAATCAAGCACATTCAAGGATTTGGTCTCCTCAGACTCAAGTTCCAAAGACTGCAGAATTGACTGTCGCATTGCTTGGACATCAGAATCCAACACAGGTCGGTCATAGAGGCGCGATAGGACTTCGTCTCCTTCCTCGAGCCGACCGCGAACATAATACCATCGTGGCGTGTCTGGGAGTATGAACATACCGACTCCTGATAATGCTGCAAAGCCGGCTTGTAGAGCCAGGGCGAATCTCTATCGTTTGTTAACGTCAGCAGAATAAGACGTCCATGATTAAATTTAATGTCTTACCCACGAAAACTGATTGTCAAGTCGAGTTAAGCCAAAGTCAACCCAATAGGCAAATGCACAACCGCTGACAAGGAATACGCATTGGAATGCCACCTCCGGGCCACGCTCCTTCTCGGTAATGCTCATCTCGGCCTATCATTATTTGAAGTTAGTCGTAATTTATGGATATTCCAAGCGATATTTACTCACCATATAAGTTGGCACGGCACAGGAAATGAACTATCGACCGATATCATTAGCTTGTCGCATTGCCGAGACAGCGAAATACAAACCCCAATTCCGAATCCCTGTTGCATTGTTGTTAGCGATTTTTGACAAAGGTAAAAGCACAACTCACGCATAGCACTCTTCCAACGATTATTTGAGCCACAGACCAAGAAGATGCTTGAATACTTCCACCAACAACCACGAGAGCATTGCCCATGACGATACAGCCCCTTCGACCCAAAGGCATGCCGAGCCACGAGACTGCCAGTGCGCAGACTGTCGCAGCGAGTGTATAGCTTGAAGCTACCATTGGAATTATATAAGGCCCGGTCGGATTCTGAAGCGGTGAGCTTGTAACCGAAGAGAAAGATTTCTAGCCACGTACCCCAAGCGCCTCACGAAAAGGGCGGGTCTCTTGAACTCCGCCAAGAACACCAGCATCGTAACTAGGAAGTTCAGTATACCTTATTTGAAACCATGACCAACGTGGAGACAGCTTTGTCTACGAACCCGTATAGTCCAAAAGCCTTGAAAATGTTATTATGATGTTCATAACGCAAGCTGAGGAAGTGTACTAGCATACCAAACAAGAGCAGAGACGCATAACACGGTATAGCGACTTCCCTCTGAGGTTCATAGTGAAAATGCCTGACTGAAATGTTTCGAACATGAAAAATGTAATATTGAAAGGATAATGCGAACAAAATCTGAAAATTACTACGTACGATAACTCTTCTATATTAGCATCTCATGTAGTACTTAGGTATTCGGGACCCAGCCCTGGAGCCGACCTTTCATAATCCGGGGTACTGGGGTAGATCCATTAGAAAAGCTTGTTGGATTCTATTCCAATATCGTTATCGGGATCTAAACGTCATATCTTTCTATGGTATACGATTTTGAAGTGCGGGTTTGCAATTCCGCGGCATTCCAGTGCACAACCAGCAGATCCTGGCTTTGATCCTCGGCTAAACAACCTGGAAATTGATTCCCATGGACAGAACTGGAACTCCGATAGGGGGTAATTCCAGTTACCCCTTACGATCAGGGAATTAGTCATGGGCGCAAGTCAAATGTGTCGGTGTATAGCGAATGGTATAAATCCTAGTATCCAAGGGCCTGCGTTCTCACATTTACTTGTTACCCAAGGCTGCAATATTAAATTTCATTTGTTACTCTGGTTATCTTCTCCGTCATTATGGCTAACCCAGAAGTAATAATTATCGGTGCCGGGCCATCGGGGATTGCCCTCGCACATACTCTGAAACACAAGCTGGGATTTGAGGATTTCACGGTAAGTCTTCAGCAGGAGACGCCAGAACCAAAGAGAAAGCTAGTCTCTAACAGCACTTAAGTTCTATGACAAGCTTGATGGTCCTGGCGGGACATGGCGACAAAATACTTACCCAGGAGTGTAAGTGAAATTCTTCTGGGCTCCATTGCGGTCACTTACTAAACTTTGTTCGTTTCTATTAGAGGTTGCGATGTACCAACCCTTCTTTATTCTTTTTCGTTCAATCAAAACCCAAATTGGTCGAAAGAGCTTTGCGAAGGGCCGGAGATCCTTGAATGTATGTTGGAAGATTGTCCGGCACTGTTCGCGAGGAGGTATCACTGACAATATTGGCGCGAAACAGACATGGAGGCAACCGTGGACAAATTTGAATTACGAAAGCACATGCAGTTTGGTGTTGAATGTATTTCCGCATCTTGGAACGCTCAAGGCTTCTGGGAGGTTAAGCTTCTTGACGTGAAAACGCAGATCACCTACACCAGGACTGCTACTATCTTCATCTCTGCCGTCGGTGGAATCTCAAAGCCACGGGATATCAAGTTTCCTGGATTGGAACAGTTCGATGGTGAAGTCTTCCATACAGCAAGATGGAATCATAGCTTTGATTATCGTGGAAAGCGAGTCGCTGTTATTGGAAATGGTTGTAGTGCAGCTCAAGTGGTGCCAAAACTTGCTGAGAAGACTGTGCATCTGAAGCAATATGCTCGAAGTGCTCAGTGGTACCACGAAAGGCCTAACCGCAACTTTACGGCTTTCGAGAAGTGGTGCCTGCGGAACATTCCACTCTGGGAACGTTACTTGCGCTTGCGCCTGTTTATTACTAGTGATAGCCTTGTGGCTACCTATCTCCCGGGTATTGCAGCTGAGAAGGCTCGCGCAAAAGCTGAAAGCGGCGCACGCAAGTACATTTACGAGACTGCGCCCAAGAAGTACCACAAAGTTCTTGTACCTGATTTCCCTCTTGGTATGTCTTTGCATAATACTTCCTTCCAAATTGAAGACTCATGCTTATCAATTTCAATTTCAGGTTGCAAGCGTCGCATCTTTGACCCAAATTACTTGCAGAGCCTTCATCGCAAGAATGTAGAGTTGGCTCCTGTGGGAATCGAGAATATTGACGAGAAGGGTATCACTGGCACAGATGGCGTCAGGACCGAGTTTGATGCTATTGTGCTAGCTACAGGATTCGATGTGCAGCAGTTTGTTGTCCCTATGGAGGTGTATGGTAAGGACGGGAAAAGCCTGTCGCAGCAATGGGCGGAGTCTCGTGGTGCACAGGCGTATATGGGAATTTATGTGCACAACTTCCCAAATTTCGGTTTGCTGTAAGTATTCAGTCGAGCAACCCTTCTATTGAGTCCATTCGATGGCTAAATCTGAACTCTAAAGCTTCGGTCCCAATACATTCCCAGCACACAACTCGGTTCTCTTCGCTTCAGAGGTTCAGGTAGAGTATCTTGCTCGAACTTTACTAGCACCAATTATCGATCGTCGAATTTCATCGCTTGAGGTTAAGCCGACTGCTGAGTACCAGTGGGTTAATTCTCTGCAAACCGAGCTGAAAGGAAGCGTTTTCGAGGCAGGGTGTTCGAATTGGTACATCAATCCACATGGGCGAAACTCTGCGTCTTGGCCAGGATACGCGTCAACATACTGGAAGGAATCTCTAAAGCCCCAGATTGGTGTGTTTAGAGAAGTGCGCGACTCAAAGCTATGGTTCTTCAACACAATGTGGCGTTGGATTAGGAGCACAAAGAAGGAAACCTACGGTATACTTTTCCTTGCTCTTACGGGCCTGCTGTGGCATCAGAAAGGATCGCCAGCCTATGAGCTACCGCAGCTATATCACAAGCTTGTATCTTCAGCTTGATGAACCGCGGTTTTTAGATTGCGTTGTGCTTCTGGTCGTTTTTATCTGTGGTATCTCTTCGCCCTGTCTGTACAACCTTCAGATGTAGAAAATTTTGATTGTTTTAGACTTTCTTCACATGTTTCAACAAAAAATCAGTACAAGTTCATGCAATGATTGTCTAGTGTGCGATAATGACAATATATGCGACGGGATGAAAAAGAAGAACACAGCCACATAGTTTAAAAAATCAATTGATTAAGTTATCTCTTCGTCTTCGCCCAATTCATGAGCTGACATATTTGAATGTTTCTGTAACGCTCACTTCAATTATTTCTATTGTTGATTCTAATATTATTGAGAATGCAGAATCACCCATGTCTGCGATGCTTTGCCCAACTCTGGTGGTCTCAGCTACTTGGTTGTTTGGCCTGTCGTATCCCAGCGAAATGGGTTCTTACTGTTTAGTTCGACAAAAAGGAGTTTTCGATGTAGCAAGCTTTCAGCAAAATTGTCCAATATTCAATTGGCCGACAGTTGATGCTTTGAGAAGACGTGGGGTAATAGCCGGAAACCCGTGGAATTGCAAACCCGTCCGCCAACTATGCGGGGGAGAACCAGACATCAGGAACATGGATTCAATAGAGCATGGGCTAGATTTTGTGGGGAGCTTCCATGATCAACCGAAAGCACTACTCATATGCTTGATCTTTTATAAGTAAACGCTTGTAATGATTATTTAGGCACAATCCATGTACTGCTTACTGCTTTTCAATACCTGATCGACTTTCTTGCAAGATTAATTAAATCGAAAATGATTCACAGGATGCTCAATAAGCAAGCTGTGCTCCGGAATCTGTCTGTTCTGGGATTACCCAAGTCAGTCGGGGCAGTTACTTATCTTGGTGGCCTATCAATAAAACATATTATTCCTGCAAGAAGATGGCTCTCCGTGAGCTCTGTGCGTTCCGAAAAGACGTCAAATCGTGCAAGAGAACTGATACAATCCAAATTATCACTTGATGGCAAAGTCACAGTCATCACCGGTATGAATGGGGGCTCATTCTTCATGAAGAAAATACTGATCGCTGGGATTTAGGGGGATCTAGAGGCATCGGGTTGACTTTAGCAAAGACGGCAGCGGCACTTGGAAGCGACGTGGCTATTCTAGATTTGCAAGAGCCCGATACCAGTCTCGCCCAGCTTGAGAAGGATTATGGTTCTCGATTTATCTTTCAAAGGTAATTCATGAAGCAGCATCATTTTCCTAAAATCTGATTTATCTGACATGAAATCGTTAGAATGGACGTGACCTCAGAGCAAGGCATGGAGCTTGCTTTTAGCAACGTGGTTGACGAGTTGGGCAACTTGGACAATTGGTGAGTTGGGTAATATCCGGTTCAGTTACTGAATTTCCACCATTATCTCATACTTACTGGGACATAGTATCACTTGCGCCGGCGTTGCTCTCGACAAGCCTTTTCTTGAACACACTTGGCAAGAGTCTCGTCGTATTCTGGATATCAATGTATGATTGCCCGAGGGTATACCCTGATCGATGTGTATATTTTATTTACAGACTCTTAGGTCCTTGGGTCATTCTTTTCCGCTCAATTAGCCGCAAAGCAAATGGTCAAGCAGGGCAATGGCGGATCGGTCGTTATGATTGCCTCCATCGCTGCGCATTGTGCCATACCCGCCCAGCGAGTGTCTATTTATGGTGCCTCAAAGGGGGCCATCAAGCTACTTGGTAAAACACTTGCAGTTGAACTGGCCCCTTTCAACATTCGTGTTAATACCATTTCTCCGGGGTTTATCGAAACAAAGATGTCAGCTCAATTTGCGGATATTCAGGAAGTTTTCAGAACAACACCACCAATGAAGCGTATTGGACAACCTGAGGATCTGGCTCTAGCAGTCGGATATCTCTTGGGAGAAGGGGCTTCCTACACAACAGGAACAGACATTGCGGTTACTGGTGGCCTGCATAATGGTCGGATCGAAGTTTAGTTTCTTAATTGAAAGTCATTTTGTAATGTTTCTACGCTTTCATCAATAAGAGGCCTCTTTAGTCTGTGGTACATCATACCAATACTTCCACCTAAGCCCATCCTTTTAATCCCCTTTGAAGCAGGTTTTTTGAGTGTTTTCGTACTCGGATGTTTTAAAACTTGAAATATATTTATCTTTGAACTACGTGAGTCATTCTTTACCAGCACACAGTATATTTCTTTTTCAGCTTTACGCATTGGAGAATCAGCAGAACCCATTTTGCTTCTTTTAGAGTCTTTTGATATAAGAAGTGGACAAAAAGATTGTTTCGTTCGGCCAATGGATCTCACAATGGTGTCGAGCATCTGAGTCAAGCAGATCATCGAAGCACCAAGTAAAATTGAATATTCAAGCTGAATTTGGCACAATTATGAATCTACCGCATCTTCAAGAAGATAATATATTTAAGATACAATTGTGGAATTTGTCATATTTCTCTTTGTGGCAGTCGAAAGAAATGGAAGCAACAACAAACTAGATGGTACTTGCTTCGAAAATAACCTTGTGCGCCCGCATACTACTAAAGTCATCGTATCTAGAAAAGGTTAGGAAATTACAAGGAAATTTGAACTAACACTTACGCTTTAACAGCTTCTGAGAGAGGACGGATATCATGACACATAAAGCTAGAAATTGTTAGACTTCATCGAAGCAATCATAACCCAGTTCAATATCACAACTCACTTGAGTTCTTCCTGTTTCTTTTGGAAAAGCGACATTGCCTGGCCAAAAATACCTATGAAAAATTAGCAAGGCTTTCATAGATCACTTGTCACCTAGGACCTACTTCGTACAGGGCATCGGCCCATCTGTAGGTGCAGATTCTTTCCGTATGCTTCGTTGCCGGTCCAAGGTATTTCTTGGTTATGAACTCCAACGCTTGAAATTCGTCCCCACGGACGCAGCAGTTCAAAGCCCATTCTGAGTGCACTGCTATGGCCGACAACCTCAATCACAACATCTGCACCTCGGCCTCCAGTAAGTTCCTTCACCCTTTCCCGTAACCCAGCTTCATCATTCTGAAAGTCCCAAGATTCAGCTCCAAGACTTTCTGCAAGCGAAAGGCGAGAATGAACGCTATCTATGGCAATCAAATTCTTCGGTTTATACTCCAAGGCTGCAACAAGTGCACATATACCAACTGGGCCACATCCAAATAGTAGCACCGTGCTATCTTCAATTTTCGTTTGACTTAGACCGGAGAAGGCATTTGAGGAGGCGAAATACCCGGTTGGAAATATATCTGCCATAAGCACCAATTTCTTCTCATCCACAGAAGCTGGAATTTGAAAGAGGGTTGAATCCGCTGAAGGAACGCGAACGTACTCGGCTTGGCCACCGTCAAGTCCAACTGTACCAAACAGTTTGCTCTCGGCACACCTGGACGAATAGCCATGTTCACAGTAGAAGCACGATCCACAACTGACAGTAAAGGGTGATACAACGCGATCCCCCTTTCGGAAACTTCGCACGTCTGACCCGATTTCAACAATTTCTCCCGTGAATTCATGTCCCATTATGAACCCAGTATTGGAGGCCTGATGCCCACGAAATACATGTAGCTCACTATTGATTAGATATTAGTCAAATAGTGTTACCAAATGTATGGGTATGTCTTGCCTGCCACAGAGTGCCGTATATCGTACTTTCAAAACGACATCCGTTGATAACTGTACTTTAGGTATCGGTCTTTCTTCCAATGCTACCTGCAAAGGGCCCTTGAAAACGACGGCTTGCATTATGAAAGACGAGTTTTGTTTTTCCGTGGCTAGTTGGGGAAGAAATGTAGATAGATTGTGTAGCAGCAAGGCAAGTTAAGGTTCAATTATAAGCTACTCGCTTTAAAAGCATTTGTACCGCGCGAAATTTCTATATACTGGGAGCCTCGGTTATCTTTTTAGGTATACGGGAAAAGCCGTTCATGATTTGAATGTCAAATTTGTACAGACCTTTTGGGGCCATATAATCCCGTCACCTCTGCGGCAATCATGACAACCTCGGCATCTTGGGTACTATATCCAGTTGCCGGATTTGGACAGCCGAACCGGGACTTTTCGACGCAGAACTCGGATTTTTTTGGTTTACTAAATATATTGAGTTTCAATTTCTCCTCTTTCATCTGACTTCAGAAATTGGCTATCAATAATTGTCCTCTCCTTCATCTTGTATTATGGCTTCCGAACACCTTCCGATTGACCTTGAGAGACCTTCTCTCTTTGATGGCCAGGGATTCTTTGCTGGGGAATGGAGACAAGCGGCCTCAGGGAAAACTTTTCCAGTTATTGAACCTTCCTCTGAAGAGACTCTGGCCCACTGCTCCAACTTCGCTGAAGCAGACTTTGTAGAGGCTATCGAGAAGGCCGATCAAGGATATCGGGAATATTTCTTCAATACTACTGCAAAGCAAAGAAGTTTGCTTCTTCGAAAATGGTATGAAATTATCATCAAGAACGTCAACGATCGTTAGTTCACTTCCCATTCCTTTGGATTCTCAAGTTTTTGACCTTGCAGTTGCAAAAATACTTTCTCTCGAGAATGGCAAAACGTTGGCAGAAGCCAAGGGTGAGGTGATCTACGCAGCGTCCTTCGTTGCGTGGTTTGCTGAAGAGGCCGTCCGATCATATGGGGACGTCATTCCATCATCGTATCCGAACGCGAATGTCTTGACGTTCAGGGAACCAGTCGGTGTTTGTGGCATCATTACACCGTGGAACTTCCCTGCTGCCATGATTACAAGGAAGGTCGCTCCAGCCTTTGCAGCGGGCTGCTCTGTGGTCATCAAACCACCGAGTGAAACCCCCTTCACTGCCATCGCATTGGTGAAGCTTGCGCTACAAGCGGGGTTTCCACCAAATATCATCCATATCGTCCCAACAAAAGACCGCAATGCATCATTACAGCTGGCGACACATCCGCTGGTAAAGAAGATCAGCTTCACCGGTTCAACAAGTGTCGGGAAAATGCTCACACAGCTCGCTGCAGGAACAATGAAGCGAATCAGCATGGAACTGGGTGGAAATGCACCTTTCATTGTTTTCGAAGATGCAGACCTCGACAAAGCAGTAGAAGGGGCCTTGATCTGCAAGTTTCGTTCTTCTGGTCAAACATGCGTTTGTGCAAACCGGCTTTACGTGCATGAAGATGTTCTGGAGGAATTTAGTCAACGTTTAATCCGACGAGTGCAATCGTTCAAACTGGGGCGGGGAATAGATGAGGGTGTGACTCATGGTCCGCTCGTCAATTCCGCCGCTGTGGAAAAGGTTAGAAGCCATGTCCAAGATGCTATTGAGAAAGGAGGTCAGCTTCGCTGCGGCGGTAATGTGCCCGCTGGTGTTTCCTCTGGGTACTTTTACGAACCTACTATTATCACTCACGCTAACAACAAAATGCTTCTTGCGTCGGATGAGACTTTTGGACCCCTCGCTGCTATTTTCTCTTTCTCGACTGAGGAGGATGTCCTTGCCGCGGCCAATGATACTGAGTTCGGCTTGGCTGGATATTTCTTTAGTGACAACATCAATCGGGTCCTTCGTGTTGCGCAACGACTAGAATGTGGTATGATTGGGGTTAACACGGGATTGATTAGCGCATCTGAGACACCCTTTGGGGGTGTGAAGGAAAGCGGTATTGGACGAGAGAGGAAGCAAATACGGGCTTGGGGAGTACCAAAACATCAAAGCAGTGACCATTGGAGCTTAATCTGTTTACTCCTGTTGACCTGTTTTCGTCATCTTTGGAAGCCTTAGTTAAGCAGTATTGGTCATCTACGTTGGGATGTTCGGGGTTTTGTGACTATCCTTGAATGGGTTAACTCGGGACAGACTGTACAAAGACGCTTAGGGTCAATTCTATCGTACTATTGAATCTAAAATACTCGATTCTGACAGACAGTAGTTCATACTCACATAATTATCATAGTAGTTTCAGTCGGTGGAAATGCAATGGACACCGCTTTTATTAGCTTTTCTGATTTACAAGAATTGAAATTTAGCATACGAGTGATATTCCGTGTCCTGGTATCCTTAGCGAATCATTTATCGGATATTCTATCAATACTACATCTTATATCGCTCTGTGGCTATCACTGGGGGCCAATCTCGGGGAGCGCGCCCCGAATTCGGAGCCAACAATGGACCTGTTGGGCTGCTGAGGTCAGCAAGGGAATCCCCACGCCGGCGCCACCTTCCCCAGTCATTTCCCCGCAGAATTCCTCCGTGAACTCGATTATTGACCTTCAGATAGCCCCTTGTCTGACTCTCGCTATACAGCGGATAGTCAACCCCTTGAAAACTTCAACATATCATGGCTGGAATATCTCCCCAACATGAGCCAGCCTCAGAACCAAAGTCAAGAGCAACAAAACATGTTACGCGGGCATGTCTCAGTTGCCAGAAGCGCAAGACGAAATGTGATGGACTGAGGCCAAAATGTAGTGTGTGCTCGCTATACAGTCGAGATTGCAGCTATTCACAACAGATCGATAAACGCAGGATGGCAGCGAAAGGAAAGGTCTCTACGATGGTAGCATACGTACAAGAGCTTGAGTCGCTGCTAACACATCACCACATTCAACTCCCATTCAATCGACCCAAACATTTCTTGCCTCCGCTGGCCTCCCCTTCACCCCCAGCGAGCGATGCTCAGCACGCCTTGGGGAGAACAACATTATCCGCAAATGATCCTGCGGCACCTTTGAACGAGCCGTCCTTGTCGACCATTTCAGATGAAAGTCCACTGCCAATGCAGGACCAGTCATCTATATCGGGAGAGTCTTCATATGATGTAAACCCTTTGTTAGACCGAATGGGGTCGCTGCAAATCGCAGAAGATGGGCAGCTACGATTTTTCGGGCCAACTTCAAACCTTCATATCTCCCACGTTGGACCTTTCCCACTTTTTAACTCCAACATTCGGTCCGTTCATTGGAATGAATCTCTTATTCTAACCGCCGCTGGCGTGAACGACCACGTGAGCGATGAGCTAGAGGATCATTTGACCAAGTTGTACTTTGCTTGGGAGAACCCAAACATTCCCTTGGTGGATGAGAGGACCTATTATCGAGAAAAGGCCCGGTATAGGCAGATGAACCAGCCTAGTCATCGATACTCCGAAGTTTTGAACAATGCAATGTGAGTACAATTTACTGGCTTGACCTAACATTAACTTGTGACCAAAGCTTGAGGCTGACATGAACCAGATGTGCCGTTGGAGCGACATTGACTTCTCGCTACTGCCCTGACTTACCAGAGTGTCTGGTAGACTTTTTCGCAACGAGATCCAAGGCACTTCTAGAAGTTGAGATGGATTCACCGACTTTGAGCACGGTGCAGTCTCTGGGTATTTTGAGCGGTGTAGAGGCCCTCCTCACTCGAGATGCTCGTGGATGGCTTTATAGTGGTAAGCTTGATACTATACCCTGTTACCTGTGGCCATCACTAACTAAGCTGCCTTTATCACAGGAATGGCGATGCGACTTGCAACAGACCTAGGCCTCCACATCGATGCTGCTCCCTTTGCTGAAAGAGGTTTGATTGATTATGATGAAGCACGACTTCGCAGCTCCACATTCTGGGGTACTTATATTCATGAAAGGTAAGTTATCTTTCATAAAAGTTAGATGTGTGGTTTCGACAAACTGACAAATATATCATAGAATGTGGAGCTTATATGTTGGTCGGCCTGAGTCTATTGACCACTTGGATATTACCGTACAGTTGCAGTTTCCCGGTGACCCTCATACAGAATCGAGCGATATGTGGTGCCCATATATCGATGAGGGCCAGCAAGCGAAAAACTGGCAAGCCCCTGCATTACTAAATGAAGTCGCTCAAGGCACAGTCCATCTTTGCACGAAAATGGCTGCAATACGGAAGGTCTTGTGAGTGAAAGTGCAAATTTCTGCTCATTTATCCCTCTGCTAACCTCCTCTCAGGTATAGTATGCCTCGAGGACGCCAGCCTGATATCAAGAAGCTCTACGCTTTTGCGGTGAAGGCGAGAGCTGAACTTTCTCTTTGGGCATCTGGTTTATCAGAAAGCCTTTCGGTCGATATAAACGATATCGGAATACGTCTCCCGCATGTTTTACAGTTACAGTATGATTGCACCCATATTAATCTTCTTTTTGCGGACATTGCTAAAATCAGACGCAGTATGCAATTTCATGCCGTGCGCATTATTGTTGATCAACCCTTTGCCTTTCAGCTAGCGGGTGTAACCGGTCTGACGGAGGCACAAATAGCACAAAGTCGCGATTGTTGCCATGATGCAGCGTGTTCTATTACAAAACTTTTGCAGGCAACTCGCCGGCATTTCTCACTCCGCCGTGTGAATATCCAAGCCGTACATCTTATTTTTACGGCCATGCTAGTCCATGTGCACAGCGCCTTTTTGTCCGCCGATTTCCAAATCCGTGACACGGCGCGAAGACAGCTGGAAATTTGCTCTCAGGCTCTTGGTGAGATAGGCCAAGCATATAAAAATGCTCTCCGGGCTTTGGAGGTGATAACTTCCATCAAAACGGACCTTTTACGTCAAGAGAGGAGATCATCCACCAGCGATAGAAACCTGATTAGTCAATCCGGTACCGTGGGATCAATGCTCGCACTGGGCCAGATAACATCTGCAATGCCTAGAGGAGAGTCTAGTGGAGCGTCTCAAGCCTGGCATGGTAGCTATACGAACGATTCGCTTTTGAACAGCTTCGGATTTGGGCTCGATTTGAGTTTGGAAACTTGTCCTCCTACAAATGACAGTCGTCCTTCCAATGAACACCCGTCATGGGAGTCATTTGATGAATTCTCGGCGCCTTTGTGTACGGAAGAGATTCCTCATCTTACCTGATAGTATGTTGCTGAGTTTTCGATCGCTGTTGCAATTTTATCTAGAGAAGCCAATGAAGAAAGATGTATATATTGTACACTGACAGGTCCTTAAGCTACCTAAGACTTCACCTGGCGCCGACGAAAACAATGTCAAAATATCTTTTTCTATGTCTTTATTTCATGTACACATTGAAGCAAATACGTCAGACTTCGTCCGCAGTTTTGCAGTATAAAATCTGGCTTTTTTTGGTCAACAGATGATTTTCTTGGTTTCAACTGCAGCCGGAGTTAAACGTAGACGAAAATGGAACCGAATTAAAAAAGCTCAACTCTTCGCCCAAATCTAAAAATTCATAAGTCCCCACTGAATGATGCGACGTCGTTGTTTCAGTAGCTCTCTCTCCGGATTTTTGATATTGAATGTGCGAGGTTGGGGACTGATATGATGCTGGTGACTCTGGAGAGGCTGAGTCGTGAGGGTCCTCATCGAAAACTGAACTGCCATCTGAGACACTAGATTCAGTAGGTGCGAGATCTTGTAGGAACCGCTTTTCCGATGGGGTCATCATGAAATGTGAGTATATCAGCTTGTTCAACTCAGGCAGTTCGAGGTTGTCCAGTTGCTGTCCGATATTTTGTGACGAGACAGATACCGGAATTCTGGCTTCGAACCGGCTGGTGGCAGTATTTTGTCGCTGCAGTCCTTCCCAGCTCTTAGAATGAGAATAGTAAAGGTCTTCTCTTGGTAATGGGGTGTCTCTCTTCTGTACAGCGGCATCCACAAAGGCCAAAGCTCTATCTGCGGATGGGTACGTATCTTTGAGCTGTTGGAGCGTTTGCGAGCAAGTCTGAAAGTTTGTAATCGCTAATTGACGAGCTGATGAATCGGTAGATTGGAGATCACTCAGATATTGAACAATCGCTGTTTCGAGCATCGCGACTTGAACGTCTGAAAACAGGCGGATGAGAGCCTGAGAGCGAAAATAACTGCATGTCTGAGTAATTGCGGCTGCCGCGTTGGAGACTCGTCGTCGTGATAATTCTTCCAGCTCCGGCAGCTGAGGCGCCATGGAAGTGAATTGCGGTCGGTGCAATGCACTGCATGCAAGATTATAGATGTCATTTAACATTGCGCGAAAATGTAGTACAACATCTCCGTGCTTATTGATGCGACGTTGGGGCTCCGACGAACACCATTTTAATGCGTCTGGCAGCGTTTCAACCCATTCTTCTAACTCGCTGTCGCGGAATAGGATCTCGGCGCTATTTGCACCTGGACTTCGAGGAACCAGAGTTTCCTTGGGTCTTCCTGTCGATGTCGTCTGTTCCAGAGAAACGGTGTATTGCGAATTAATAATCCTCGTAATGCATTTGCAACATTCTAATATCGCGATGCTGATCTGAGAGATGATCTTTCGCATAGAAGGGTCTCGAATTGCAGGGTGATTTCCATCACTTCCAAGACAACACTTGGTTGACAAGGGACCTATTTCAAAGTCTGACGGCCCCAGAACATGGTCAATAAGCTCGATATCATTTATTTGAAATAAACGTCTTGTCTGGATACAGACCAATCGATCTCTGATATAGCATGACCAAGAAATTCGATTCCAAAGCCCTGGCTGTTGTTGAATAAATAGTTTTTCGGATTCTGTTGGATTTGTCTTGATTGAAGTCCAGATTGCTTTTGCGACACCGACAAAATGCCATGCGTCATAAGTCGGATCCGAGTTCTCGTCCCAGTATGTCATCAGAAGTACACTTTGCAACGTGGTCAGGCGGTCGTCTTCGCATCCAAATTCATACAGGAGATTGACTCGTTTGAACCGAGTTCGCCGGGCTTCTTTCCTATCCTTAAATCCCTCGATAGCCAGGGACTTTGTTGTTTGAAACCCTGTCGCAGCAAACATCACTGCTTGAAATAACAGAAAACTGATACCCCGAGTTCCACTGTAACTTTGATCAATTACCATCAGAAAGTCTTCCAAGTTCAAAATTGGTGAGGCTGGATAGACAAATTGAATGAAGTTGTGCAATATCTCGTCTCTGATAATTGGTTCAGAAACACTCAGAGCACCCTCTTCTTTGAGTACATTGCAATCCTGGGAGGTAATTGAAGGAGACAATGGAGAAGCATAGTCTGGCAACCACTTGCGCCAGTTTACCGGCCCCTTGTCAGACGAGATTGTTTGCTTAGAGCTGTCGAAAGAGTTCTGAGCTTCTCCAATCCAATATTGCGTCGATTCATCTATGAAATAAAAGATTAGAGTGGCTTTTATTGGACGTAGAAGATGTGACCACACCGTACCCAATTCGCCTATAGAAGCGATTATTTGTTGGGAATCCAATTCATCATTACCACTAATTTGTTCTAGTGATGGACCTTCTCTAGGCATCGTGGGCGTGCCTTTGGCGGCTTTCCCCCTTCCATCAATGGGGATAGAGCAGGCAAGGTCGTAGAAGCGACACGAAGTGCAAGGAGCGCCTCTTGAAGTGACATCGCACCTGACCTTGCGACGACGACAACCGGAGCAGGCTCTTGCGGATCGCTTTCGATATCCGCGTCTAGCGGAGGAGTATGCTCTAAATTTGAGCATGATCTGAATCGCGGGTGTAGTTGGTAGAGGCAAAGTTTGTCGGTTGAAAAGACAAGGCCAAGCTTACATGCCGAGTCCCAGAACTTTAGTCAGTTGAAGACATAGAACAGTACATCAAGGCACAAGTTGCCTGGAATTGAGTTCTAGGGCTTCCAGGACCAGACTGACTAAGGGCGGGATTGTAAACCCGCGGAATTATCAGGCGGTAAGAAATGAAATGGCATGGCCGCATCATACAACTTAGGTACACTTTCTTTTTATTAGACACCCTGGACTGTTGAGTCAGGCACTGTTTCACGATTTTCTATTCAGCAAGCGCAGTGTTATATTGGTGGAGCGGCATTCCATCGTTTAGCTTTCGTCGGTTGCTCTCTTCTTTGAATTCGGACTTTTTACATATTCTTAAGGCAACTGTCAAAAGCTCTGTCTTATTCATGCCACAAAATGTATAACACAGTTTCAAAAACAAAAATGAAATACCAAATATAATTTCTGAATTGTTATACAACCAATCCAGACTAGTCATCATTAACGTTAGCGTCCGACGATTACACAACACTGAAGGTTATCGGTCGACCCCCACCTTGTGCACAAGTCGGAAACAAGCGTTTCTAAGCCGAGAATTCTCGCTGAAAAGAAGCATAAGCTGGTATTCTAAGCTGGTGACTCCAACCGTCTGTCTTCTTTCTCAAACGACCTTCAAAAATACCTTCGCGCTCCTAAAAAATGACCCAGGCACAAAACCAGGTCATATTCGCGCCTTCAAGCGAAGCTCCACGGGGTCTGAAGTCCATATTTCTCGCCGGTGCCATCAGCGAAGTGGATAATTACGACTGGCGTGAGCTTCTATCTACCGCTCTCTCCGACTTGTCTGTCACACTCTACAATCCGTACCGTCCTGATTGGGACAGCTCGTGGGGTGAGGACATCGATTTCGATCCTTACCGCGAGCAGGTGGAGTGGGAACTAGAAAAGCAGGAGAAGGCGGACATTGTTGTTGTTTACTTCCATCCGGCTTCCCAGGCGCCCATTAGTTTGCTCGAGCTCGGGCTCTGTGCGCGGGTACCAGGAAAGGCCATCGTTTTCTGTCCAGACGGGTACTGGAAGAGAGGGAATGTGCAAATTGTGTGCAATAAATATGAGGTTGAAATGGTGGATAATGATGATGAGCTTAGAGAGGCGGTTGTGAGAAGGTTGCCTGTTGGCCTCTGACTCCTTGGTTAAGCCTCTGATGGTGAAACTTGACTTCTGAAGATCTTCGCCAATGTTACTTGATAAGTTCGCTATATGATTATAATTTTCGTTTCATTGAACACTTTACCGATTGCGAATTCAGAGATATACTATTTAGCTCTTATCAACAGGATTAAAATGCTTGAAGTATGACCTTGTGCCAGTATTACATACCAAGCTGTCTTGTAACTGCTAATCACTGTGCTGCCTTGGTTGACAATCCACTCTTTCCATTGAGATCTTGAGCAGCACTGCCCACAACCACGTTCTCGTAACCGATCATATATTTCATTGGCAAAGCCATGAACCGCGCGCAGTCATCACCCAGCGCAGCCGAGTACTCAGAGCTTTGACAGAATCCCAACCAACCATCCCAGTCTTTCACCCAGAGCTGTGCACATGCGTCGTAATCCAGAACACTTTCACCTATGCCTGTCATAAGTGCTTTCATCTCAGGGGTTTGATGATGCTATAGTTTGTTAATAAGTGATCATAACACTACGTTATGATGGCATCACACAATCATGTTCTTACCTGAGCATATCGAAGGATATTGTGTTGAAAAGCCTGGGTAGCGACGGCCAAGTCCGCGTGAACAGTTTGCCAGTGCCTGTAAAACTGTTCGTGTGTGATGCCCTCCTTCTTTTTGAAAAACACTGAGACTTTGATCGCAGGATGGAAGTTTGGCTCAGAGTCATAATTCAGCTCTGAATGAGTAAATTGGTGATCTTCGGGCAGAGGTTTCATCGTATTGCTCGGCATTTTCAATGATGAATGTTTTTGGTTATTCAGGACGGATACTCCAATTGAAGAGAACATACGGCATACTTATAAAATCCCAAAGATACTCAGATTAGTCAATGTGGCGGGTCAGGTCGACGCCGGTTCCATGACGGGGTCCGGGTATCGTTACCGAGCTACGGTTGGCTTCCCATCAGCCAGTCCGCCATCTACGCAATGCAATTTTCCTGTGCAGCCTTAATCTTTTGTCTTTGCAATCGGAATCTGTATTTTGATTCATTTTTTTATTCACATAAACTTACGCCGTCCTGATTTAACAAAATTTTAGGTGTTCCGGGTGATTGTATCGGCAACAGTCTACGTCATATATGCATGTATTTTACTGTGGGTCAAGTGGCAGTTTTCCAAGTCATGGAGTTTGTCCAGAAAATTAAAAAGGACCGAGGCGGATGTCAAAGAACCTAGACCATACAAACCAAAAATTATGGAGATAAGCGAAAAATTCCATCCTTATTCTAATGCGGTGGAAATAACAAGAATCAAGCAGAAAAATATAAAAGATTTAAAGCCCACCAGAACATAGAACAGCCCTCAGAGTAAAGCTCAACCCTAGGGAGAGAGAGAGGTGGTGTGAAAATGGCCAGGCTCAATGCTTAGATTTAAGCTTCATGAATTAAAAGTCGGCAGGTCTTCAAATAGTAGAACTGAAGGTATTCTAGAATTGGTCACGCCTGGGTCGGCTTCATAATTCAAAAATTATACAATCAAATATCCAGCCCAGCGAGTATAGAATCTTGGTTAAGATCTCTTCAATCATCATTGTCTCTCTATATGTCTGCCAAAAGCCTTGGAGTTCATGATTTCGCTGACTAAAATATTTGTGCGGAACGTGGAATTGCAAACCCGCGGAACTGGGCCGCACTTCTGTTCTGGTAGTCTCGACGGCGCATGCCACGAGCATTGCTTTCCCCTCTACAGAGCCAAGACGATGAACATGCAATACTGAATGACACCACTGTAACACTGTTAATATCCTACTACTCCACTCTTACACAATATCGACGACCTCTTTTTGCGCCAAGCGCCTCAGTTTCGTCGACTTTATCCCATCTCGCTCTTAATCCCTGCTCAAATCGCGCACAAGTGGAATATGGGCCACGCACCTAAACGATCGCGAACAATCGAGTCGGGCGCCTGTTCGCACTGTGTCGCTCAACGGGAACGATGCTACATAGGCGTGCGGGGCATTCCATGTTCCAATTGCCGCCGATCGAAGACTCGTTGCGACGGCGTCGCTAGTGAAGAGTGAGTAGTATCTTCAATTGCCACGATCCCCCCTCTAGCATACAAATTTTAGCTAAAAAATAGGACAAATAGAATCCCAACGAAAAAGAGAGTGCCGTCGAGGGTCTATTGTGATGGTAAGTGAACTGAAATGCGCCATGCGTTCCTAGTTGTGAGCGATTTCTTACCAACATACCTCGTCATTAATGAAGAGGGGTTATTTGAATCACAGATTCGTCAGACCGAAAAAGAGCAATTGCCTCGAGGTCAAACCACTACGGATGTTCTAGCGAACACTTCATTGGAAAACTATGTGTCGATCATGAATCAGCTTCTCGGCCCTAAGCCACCCGATCGCCCGCCCTCGCTCAATGCCCCACGATATGTATCCGAGCTTCCGGCTCGCCTGGAAGCGAGTGATATGGACTACCTTGAGAGTAAAGGAGCTTTATGCCTTCCCACTGCTCCCTTTCGAAAACAGCTTTTGAGAAGTTATATACTGTGGGTACACCCGCAGGTTCCAGCGTTGGATCTGCCAAGGTTTCTGCGAGCGATCGCTGCGAACGATGGCAAAGACCGCATTAGCCTGCTTTTGTTTCATGCAGTAATGTTTGCTGCTTCCGCGTTTGTTGATATATCACACATTCAGGACGAGGGGTATGTGTCGCGGAAGGCAGCCCGCGAAGTTTTGTTTCGACGCGTGAAGGTGCGTACGAGTCTATATTCATAAGTTGTGTAGCCGTTCCCCCCGAGACTAATGATCTTGGTAGGTGGTCTTCGAGCTTAATTGCGAAGATGACCCTCTCGCAGCGGTGCAAGCCCTGCTTCTTATCATCTATTGGAATGATCTACCTCATGCGGAAAAGGGTGCGCCACATTGGATAGGCGTCTGTTTATCGCTAGCAATATCTATTGGACTCCACCGCACTCCCGATTCTTCTTCCCTCACAGTTTCGGAGCAAAAAATGCGCAAACGCACCTGGTGGTGTGTGCACAATCATACTCGACTTACTGTGGAAAGTTTGCTTTCCGCGATACGTATGCAGGAGGATCGTCAAGACCGGAAACTTTTCAATGTTTCTATGATCGCGCTCAGCGACTTTGAAATAATGCTCTTTCCCCCCGAGCTAAGAGCTGTTGTGGACGATTGCGAGGTATTGCGCAACGTTGATTATCAGAAGACGTATGCTCAAGTCTTCATCGAAAAGGCAAGACTTTGTCAATTATCTCGATTTTCGAGCATCTTGAATCGAGTACAGAGGCTGGTTCGCGGAGAAGACAAAGCAGACAGCGAACTGTACTTGGGGGCAAAATCAACCCAAGTCGAGGTAGAAGATCTTCAACGATGGCAGTCTCGGCTACCTGATACAGTAAAAACCCAGTGTCCAGCGAGTCTTGCCCCGACAGATTGTGAGCGAAGCATCTATTTGCACCAAACCTGGCTTCAACTCCTTTATCTAGGTTCACTGTATGGGGCATGCTGCAATGACCTGGAAATTTTGGATAAAGATCACGCTGTTTTTGGACAGATTTCTCGATCACTCGTGGCCGAAAAATGTCTCCTGGACATTACTGATGTTTTGGACGAAGTGGACAGTTTGGAGCTATCCGAGCAGCTGCCTTGTCCAACCTCGGCACTTCTAATATTTGTTTTGGCCTATCACCGACAACCCGATATTGCTCGGACGCCAGAAAATACACGCTTTAGCATTCGCTCACTTCACAAGTGCTGGAAAGTGCTGCGAAAATTGAAGGAATCCTCCGATCTAGCGGCTCATATGACCGCTGCGGTCGAACATGCGGTCTGTGATGACCTTTGGCTATCAATATCTGATATTTCTCTCCCGTGGCAGAAGGCATCTGTTGCAAATCGGACACCTAGCACACTATGGTGATTAATCAGCTTTGAATCGGTGATTTGGTTTCTTAATTCTGTCAAATAAAAGCATATGTCAGCGTGAGAGGCCTGGAGCTTTTACTATCTCTTCTGCATACTTAATGATTTGTCACATGTGCAGACTACTACTGTGAAGTTGAGGAAAACGAGATGACCCTAATCCTTTACTGACATCTCTTTAGTTCCAGAATTTTCTGATTACTTACTTTCATTCTCAGCCGGAAATTTGCTTTCTTCTGCTTATTCTGCGTACTCCGCCCAGCCTTCTTCTTCTTCTTCTGATCACTCCGCATCTAGAGCGTTGTTTGTTTAATGAAACCTTATTGCCAGAAATTGTCTACTTCCCAGTCAGCACTTTTATACGAAGTGCCCAAATCTCGAATTCCAAAACTGCTTTGCATGTGAAATGACGAACAAATAAGGTCTCTGAAGTAGTTGACAACGCACTCAAAGTTTGATGGTAGCCACTCTAGATATCTGTTAATTCTTCAACACTACAGCCTGTTATCTCGTCGAAAGCTGAATAGGTTCTGCTCTACTTTGACAAGAGATGGCCTGAGGAATCCACTTCGTCGAATCGGTTCTTCTGTCCAGCTGGCCAGCTGCTCCAATGTCGTGGCATCGGCGTGATTCGCAATTACACGAGCACCGTTACTCTTCAACCTACACACAACATGGCCTATGAGGGGTCGGTTATGGCGATCGTACTCAACGGTATATGTCTGTTTCTCTTCAGTAAGCAAATTCGGTGATTTGAAGAACCAGGAATACGCACTTCGACCACTGCTTCTTCTTCCACTGTCCCCAAGCTGATTGGGGACACGACGACTTGCATCGGAGTCTTGTCTTCCAGTGGATATGGCGTATGGGACTTGTCAGGCTGGGTAGAGAGGCATATTGCATTCTCTGTCGTCAACACACCACCATTGGCGAGAATGAGCCCATGTGAGGGCTCATGGCGACCCTGCAACTTTCGAAGTCGACGGACCATCTCAGCCACCGCCTGGAACCAGCAAAGGATAATCAGTCATTCCATAGATACTAGGACAAGCTGGATGGGACTTTGCTCTTACATGCATAGAATAATTTGCACCCGCGCCACCAAAAGATGTGAGACCTCCCAAAAGAGTGATTGGCTTTGGGGGGTTGCTATACGGGATTCCCAGGTGGTCGCAAGCCAGTTTTGGAACAATTGGGAAGCATCTGCCAGTATAAGCATTAAATTGACCAATTGCGAGTTTCCTAACTGGCCATCATGAGCGTGCAACTTACGAGTAAAAATCGAACAAATCAATATCCTCTTTGCGCAGTCCTGATGAACTCAAACACTCTTCCAAAGCAGTAGCAATTGCAGGGCTGGAGTGATAGTTGGATCGATTCCAAACTATAAACTGGTCAGTAGATTGCACGGAAATATACAGAATAGATGTGCCGGCCTCACAATCTTCAGTATCGTTCCCTCTCCCACCTCCTAGCGGAAAGATCCATTTGTCACGGGAAATACCCATGCGCCCAGCGAGGTCAGTCGATGTCAGAATGCAAGCTCCGGCAATGTTTACGTCATTAAAGGCGTTCATTAGAAGCGGATCTAGCGCATTCGTGGTCAGTGCATTTTCTCTCTCTACTGCATGGGCACGAACACGGAAAACATATCATTCGGTTTCGTTTTGTTATTCTTCCAATTGTCTCTGCTGTTTCGGGCGGCTTATCGAAGTTCCACGATGCTGGATGCTTTGATGCAATTCTGGCGTATGTTCCGTATAGCGAGGCGGATTCCTGAAGATTGCTGACTGGCGTCTGTCCTTTATGGGCTCGTCGTGCATTTTCATACATAGCGTAGACATGCATCGGGACTCCAACCTTGTGCACTTCTCCAATTCCTATGAAAGTGAATATTTAGCTCTGTTTCATTGATTGGAACAGACATACCAGACAGCATGTCGACGTTGTTGGCATAGTATACGTCATTTGTTTTTGGCCTTGTCCATGGCGGAGGATATGAGTTGGTTTTAATGAATGTTTTCACTGTTGATCGTACGGTCAGTCACACGCAACTTTTCAAAGTAATCTTTCAGGCATTTCTCTCCAAGGCCACATACATGATGCCATTGCTTCTCCTCCTACTACAACCCCGACCTCTATGTCGCCTTTTGCAATCATCCGAGCTGTATCATCAATCAATTGAACGGGTGCACTTCCTTTCAAATCACTGTAAGCCTTGAATGAGGGTTTCACTCCTAAGTTCTCAGAAAGCAATTCTGGAAGATCTTTGTACGGCCACGTCGAGCTAGCCACAACGCTCACACTATCAAGAGATGCAATAAGTTCAGCCGTGCGAAAATTGGTCGCATCATGAGCCGATCTTTTGATTGCACTGAGCATCAAATGTAAAGGTTCAATCGCATCTTCTTTCAACCGAGAGGCATTCTTGATTTCACCCACACCGATAATTACTGGTATCTTTTGGGCTGTCATCGTTTGAGTCTGGGATGCAATAATAGGATCTTGATTGAATTTATGCATAAAGTTGTTGTTGTTTTTTATTTCTTGTTTTTATTTTTTGAACGTTTTGGTCCTGATAGACCTCGGTATAGGGCAACGAATTTACCCCACAGTGAGCTTGCAAGGGGGTAAGCTAAAATCTGGACAAAGTAGGAAGACCTCGGATCAATTTAGTGCCACTATTTCTGGACACGCTTTGGGGACTCTTTTGAGTCTCTTCTGAGTTAACTGTTCCTTTCGCTGGCAATGCATTTGACAATATGTGGCTGCTGGTCAGATTTCTTTTTGGTTCGCAGTGACATGCAAGACCGAACCTCATTATGGCTGTCTATCGCTATTCGGCTTTCATTCTGCATAACTTGAAGAAAAGAAAGGGACATTTTCATAAACTAGCGTTATAACAGATTTGCCCTGGTAACATTATCAACTTTCTCAAGACACAAGATTGAATATCAAGAGTTGTATCGGCATATTTCAATAATCCTGAACAGTTTGAGTCAAGGTACCATGGACAGACAGGCTTCCATACATTGAGCGAAATTTACGGACCAATACAGAGCATTTTAGTGTGTGTGTTGTATGATTTGCTTAACGTCACTTGAATAATAACGTGTAAAGGGAATACAGTATGATATTCGTGGAATTTAATATCAACAATATCCCCTTGTCAGCAGCAAGACGGCCATTGCATGCCAGGTCAATCAAATTTTTGCCTGCACATATTTCTGTGCTCCTCTCAACAGCTGAAAGGCCTCAACCACCATCTCCAGCACAATCTCTTTGGCTGACTGATCCTCCTGGGTGACCATTGCAGCCCCGCAGCCCATTGGCCTGTATTAAGTTCAATAATTGTATACAACCTCTCGTCATTATTAACGTACCTTTGTGTAGTGAGGTCCTCGATCTCATCTGTCAGCTTACCTTCTCTTTCCAGTCTATCCAGCTCATAGTCCAACACGATCAACCCTTGCCCCTGGAGTTTCTCGATTTCACTGCGACGGTTGAGTTCCCAGTCCCGGATAAATGGCGTTGCAAGAGCCCTTAGCGGACGACCCGTCCATAACGTGCTTCTCATAGTATCTTGAAAGCCAGCGTCGATAATACTGCCGAATAATTGGCTTAGTCGAAAGACAATCATTATCTTCACTCTCAAATTCACTTACGCTTTCTTCCCCAGCTTGGGAGCAGCAGACTCACGGGCCGCAACGAAACGTGTGCCAACCCACACCGCGCTAGCACCCATCATCAGTGCAGCAGCAATTCCTCGGCCGTCGAAGATGCCACCCGCTGCAACGAGCTGGACAACCCCTCCTGCTAGAGGAGACTGATATTGTTGGCAAGCATCTGCGCATGCAGGAATCAGCACACTAGTCGGAATTTCGCCCGTATGGCCCCCTGCCTCGCCACCTTGGGCGCAGACAAGGTCAGCACCTGCTTCGCAGGCTTTATGGACGTGCTACGCGAATGATCAGCGAGTTGCTCTCAGGATGGGTTTGACTAGTTCAATTTACCTTTGGGTGGCCGACCATATTCTTTGTTGGACCATCAATATTTTAGCTTTCAATTCAATACCTATTGACAAATAACTAAAGGGACCTCCATACATACCATATAGAGTATACCAGCTTCATGAAGCCGATCAACCACTTCTTTGGGAGGAATCCCTACGGCCGAAACAAAAAGCGCCGCTTTCTCATCAATGATCACGTCAATCAACTGATTAAGTGCGCCCTTGGTGTAATCTTTGTTGGTCTTCCGCGCTGAGCCCCCGACCTGGGGAAGCAAAAGATCCACACCAAAGGGTAGATCCGGGTTTCGTAGCTTAGCTTTTACCTCCTGAATGGCGTCGCGGAGCATCTTTGGCGTATAACCCAAGCCACCGAGGACACCCAGGCCCCCCGCGTTTGAGACGGCAGCAACTAGGTCAGAGCCGGCAGTGTGGCCCATCCCCGCAAGCAGAACAGGATGGTCAATGCGAAGCATCTGAGTCACTGGAGTGCTGATGAGAGCCATGGTATTGCAATGGTTTTAGTAAGTGAGAAATATGTTTGGACTTATTGATGGATCTAGTGAGGATATTACTCTCCTTTTAATATTCATATTCTATACAAGAGTGCCGATGCAGCAGCCGTGGTCTACACACTAGGGACATAATCTCAGCCTCGGTCTAGAATAGAGCGTCTGTCATCCATTGAAATTATCAATGGACATTGTTGTCCATTTTTTCGGGACTCTTGTCCAGCGGACCGTGCAGGGTATGATCGGTGTGCTTCTTGTTCGAGGCGGAGAACCGAGGCTTGGTCACCATTATAAGACTCTCAGCTGGGGCTATTGGATATCGTATTTCAAGGAAAGAGGTATGAATAGAGACTCACATTGATCAAGACAAGAATTAATTTTTCTGCGATACTTCTTTGTCGCAAAACTCAGCTTCTTTCTCGTCATGCATTTCAATCCCGAGCTCGACTGCGACATACCGTCGCTAGACCTCCTCACACTCTTATTTGGTGAGTCTGGAAAGTTTCGAGGCCACGAAATATCTGTTAATGTCAGCAGAGTCCCAATTTTGCTGGGCAAAGGATGATACGGTAATCCATGCAGAGTCTGGCAACGAGGCCAACTCTCTCACCAAATTACAATCGGTCACGCTTGTCCGTCGCCTGGCTTATGTGCTGCGCACTCATCTGGGCATTGGTAAAACCGGTGCCGGCAAAGACGTGGTGACTTTTATCTGCTCCAACAATCTTCTGAATCCAACATTGTTCTTTTCAGTCATCGGAGCGGGTGGTATCTATTCCGCTGCATCAACGGCGTTGACAGTGGCAGAGCTAGCCTGGCAAATCCAGTCAAGTAAAAGCCATCTGATAATAGCCACCGAAGACATGGCCGGCAGTGCTCTAGAGGCAGCAAAGAAGGCCAATCTATCCCCGGAAAGGGTCTTGATTCTTAGTCGTATGGGACTCAGTCGAAGCCTAAGCCCTGCAACGGACAGCAGTTGCAACCACCTTACTGAAACAAGAGAGCTTCCTTGGGAGCGAATCACCGATCACAGAATTCTGAAGTCTAGAGTGATCGCTTTGCTTTACTCCAGCGGTACCACTGGTATTCCCAAAGGCGTATGCCTCTCGCATAGCAACTTTGTAGCAGAAGCCGTTATAACCCAGGCAGCTATTGGGACATACCTCAGTCGCACACAACAAGAGTTTGAATATCGCACGATCGCGCATCTTCCAGTTGCTCACATTTCCGGACTGCAGGGTTATTTCATCAACGGCACTATGTCGGGTGGAATAGTATTTTGGATGCCCAAGTTCCGTTTCGAGGAATTTGTCCATGCGTCGAAGATTCACCGGCCAACTTTCATCACAACAGTCCCATCGATCTACTTGCAGATTGCAAAATCTCCGTCGGTCACAGTCGAGTTCCATAGCCTCCTACACGCCCAGTCAGGCGCTGCGCCAATGGGTCCGGAACTGCAGAAACTGGCCGAGTCAAAACTGAAATGCAAAGTCAGCCAGGCGTGGGGGTTGACTGAAACAACAGGGGCTGTTACTTGGCTGCCCTGGGATCGCCAGGATCACACTGGGAGTATTGGCACATTGTTGCCAAATACGCGTATAAAGATCGTTGATGATGACGAACTGGATGCCCCGGACGGTGATCGCGGTGAAATCCTAGTTAAGGGACCTAATTTGACCATGGGGTACTGGGATAACCCTGAAGCGACTGCAAACTCCTTTACTGCGGACGGGTGGTTCCGCACCGGGGATATTGGTGAACGCAGGAGTGGAAAGTTTTATATTGTTGATCGTAAGAAGGTTGGTCGTTCATTCTATAACAAGCTTCCTCATACTTTTTTGTGGTGTTGTGTTCTAACTTGTTTCCAGGAGTTAATCAAATACAAGGGCCTACAGGTAGCTCCTGCTGAGATCGAAACCTTTCTAATCGGACATGACCAAATCCTGGACGCCGCAGTCATTGGCATCGCGGATCCTGCTATTCCAGGTAATGAAATTCCACGTGCTTTCGTTGTCCGTAAGTCAGGACAAACCCTCATAACAGAAGAACAAGTCAAAGAGCATGTTAAAAGCAACCTAGCTGCTCACAAACAGTTACGTGGCGGCGTCATCTTTATTGAACAGGTTCCGCGCAACCCTTCAGGGAAGATCCTCAGGCGTAAATTGGCGGAGAAGATAGATCCACGCCGCATTGTCAAGCTATAAGCTTTGTGATATTTGACCTATTTAACTTGATTTATCATCGTGGATAACATATCCTGACTAAAATCACCACAAAATTCGGTCTAAAGACAAGTATAATACCTGTACAGTAATAATGCGCACCAGTATCAAACACTAGTCAGATCACAATGTGCCCATATTGGCATAGCCACAATGAGATTCAAGTTTCAAAGTTCCCTACTGTGGTGGCCACGGGAGATCCTTCCATGGCTGCCCCTTGGTTTCTTTGGCCAAGTCAGTTAGCTTTCGCCACTGCCACAGCTCTTGCTTCGGATTCACCAGCTCGTTGTCACAGCCTAGATGACCAACAGTGTGATTGATTTTTCCTTCCCCCATCAAAAACCGTAAATAATTCGCGGGATCCCAGGAAGTTGTACGAGTTGTCTCTGCCTTGTACTTTTGAAGAGGAGTTTCAGTCACTTCAATGCGCCCTGCACCTGCCGCTTCCATGATGCTCGCAATCTCGGAAAAAGAGTGAGTATCACCCCCAATATGAAGGGTCTTTGGGACACTTTCGGCAGGTAGGCTTGCCAGCGAAGCAACGGTCTTCCCGACATCCTCGAGGGATGTGAAGGAAATCCCAGTATCGGATGAGCCGACACTTTCATACTTTCCATTTACTGTATTAAATCCAAACCATGGCCCAATGCTGTCATCCAAGAAGAGGCCACAGAAGACCCGACAGACCCTTATCTTGGGAGAAAGTAATTGCTGGGTCAGGTGAAAGTGTTTCTTTTTCTGATCCCACTCCGAGTGCACGAAGTCATGAAGGTAGTGATCAACCCCGAACTCCGAGGGAAAGTAAAGCTGAACATCTGTCTGCGGTATGGCCTCGACAATCTTTTCCTTGAACGAGTGTCCTGAAGGCCCAACTGCATTGACGAGGACTTGGACGCCCTCGAGAGCCTCTGCCAGATTGTTCTCGTCGTACTTTCGAACTAAAAATCTGGCATCCAGGCCTGGAAAAGTCGGAGATGAGCCATTGCGCGACAAGAGGATGACCTCGGAGAATTGATCACGGAACAGTGTAGAAAGCAACGCCGTAGCAATATTTTTGCCAAGATGACCTGTGGCTCCGGCAATGGCGACAACTGGTCGCGACGCGGGAGATGGTATGGCTGACATTTTAGACTTAATGTAAGAGAATCAAATGGGCAGTGGATGGGGGATGGAGGAAGTTCCGGAATGGTGATCAGCACTCCGCATTGCCCGAGAAGGCTACGTCACCACCCTTCGCTATTGCACATACATACTGCGTCGTGTAGAACTTTGACCTACTGTACGAGAATATAAATACTCGACGAATTGGAATTCTTGAATTATCTCGGTGAAATAACTAGTAAACAACCAGCTCTTAATATTAACTCGAAGTGAACGTAACCTGAAACTCTCTATACGATTAACGCTGCACCAATGAGAGCGCAGACAACCGTGTACATGGCTAGGCCCCAGATACTAAAGTCGGCACTGACAGGCGAAATAAGTTTCTTTGCAGCTCCTGTGCTGGGTGAAGAAGTACTCTTTGCCGTAGTAGTTCCGGTAGCAGTTCCGGTAGTGGTTCCCGAGGCTGTAGTCTCGACCTTCTTCTTGTTATATGGAGCCGGGGTAATAACGGTGATATAGCTTGGGAAGATCGAGAACGTATACGGATCAGGAGCACTGGTAATGCTTCCGGCATCAGTGGTATCTGAGAGAGGTGCAGTTCCAGGAAAGCCGGAGGGAAGTTGGCCTGGGTTGTACCACGTAGATGCGCCGGTGTCCAATGTGAAAGATGAAACACATTGGCTAGGATCAGAAAGAATGGAGCACTGGTCAGAGGCTGACTCGTTGTAACCAAGCTGGAAGGTTTCCACCATTGTGTCGATAGCCACGGCGGAGAGATCATTGTTAGGACACCATTCGATGAATCTACGACCGAATTATTAAATCAATCGATATGTATAGATGCATGACTAGGTCATCATCACTTACTCAGACAAGAAGGATGAATCCCAGCAACACTGGCAGCTAGCTGTTTCGGAAACAGAACCATCCGAGACATAATTTTCGCAAGGCGCATTGAGGGCGTAGGTTTCGGTGAAGTTCCCCCAGATATGACCTAAATTGCATACTGTGTTTGACCCGGCTGTTAGTAGGTGGACTGATACTATATTGACCTGCAACTGGAGCTAAGAGTTCTCACCACATCCACCAGGCGCATTATCTGGTGCGGGATAGTAAGGAATCTGGGTTCCTTGGGTTCGATCTGCGCCATTGAGGTATTGTAGGGCTGTTTCTTGGTATGCGCATGAGTAAACCTACAGTCAGTTCATATTAGCGAGGGAATTTCAGGGATAAGGAGGGTATATCCAACCTCATTCCAGCAACTGGTCAACCAACAGCCAATATTCGCAGCCAATTGAGCATTTCCACAGGCCAAGACACATGTTGAGTATACATCCCCCTCGCAATTATTCTTAGCATCAGTCATGCATGTCGTAAGTGTGTTCACATTGTTTTCGTAACATTTGAGATAGCCACTTGGGTCGACACAGCCCTTGCCATCGGGATTCAGGTTTGATGCATCAGCGGAGACTAGGGACCAGAAGAGGGAATGTGCCACGAGAAATGATTTTATAGCAGCCATGATCTGATTTAGCTTTGAAGCTTTTGCAGAGAAGTCACTCAGTCTTCATCAAACTCTCAATGCGCGGCATTAAATACATAAGCATGACACGGAATCTATGTGGCGGCTTACTGCGAATGACTAGCACACCCGTGGCTGAAGGCTTGTTCATGGATACGAGAAAGCGATACAACAAGCATCCGGAAACGGTATTTTTTGCCGATTCTAGCTTCAAGAAGCGATCGATTCTGTTGATCTAACCCAATCGGACAGATAAGGAGTGCATCGGGGTATTCGGAAGATATCCAGGGACTGCCTCCACTTTGGGCATGCACAAGTTGCACCAATTCCCGCCGAGATCCCAGGGGGTGGCTGACTTCCCAGTGTTGGACCCTCTTTCACAGACCAATCGATCAAAACAGCCTAATAAGAGTTCATAGATATGGCTTAGTCCAGTTTCAATCAACCCTGGCGGGGAGGGAGTATTCAACAGATTATCGATATCGAGCTTTGAATAGTTGGTGAAACAGTATCATTCTTCAACAGAACTCAGACGTGGCTATATGTAGAGCCCAACCCCCCGATGCTTCAATTCTTCCTTAACGCTGAAGATTATAGCCCTCAAGTCGAACCGAGCGACCTGCATAGTGGTCGCGCCGGCCCACGCGATTCACACCCGTGTCAGCATTTTGCTCACACTCCTAACCCATCCCCGACGGTATGACGTTAGAGCTGCGCTCACGCTCAAGTCAGCCGGGTGATGCATAGCCAACTACTGGCCGCAGGTAAGACACTCGCCGGACTCGCCGGCAGGCTGTTAGCGCAGTGACCGGAAACCCCGGCGCGTCCAGTTCACGATTCACGTGAGATTAGTCTGTTGGACATATACCCCTGCAGCCAGGTTTTCCGGGCCCTTCAGCTGCAATCTTGAATGCCCCGGCTCCCATCCAAGGTTGGGCTGCCTTGATCCGCTTACAGCGGCTGAGCCTCAGTGCTTGTTTCCTTCCCCGCCACACCGCTGCTGATTGTTGCGGGGTTTTGTAGCCAGCATAATCTTCTGACAATGAGCGAAACATACTTGGTAATTCCTGCTATCTTTATTTGACTTACTAGTCGTGTCTGGCGGGGTGCGATAGTTATTTCCGCCATACAGGGCATCGCATTTGGCGGTTGAGAAGATGGTCACGATCTCGGTGATTACGACGTGTTTGGTAAGGATACTTCTTCTAAGGGAGATTTTTGATGATGATAACTATTATGAAGTTTCTGAGTATGATTAAGACATGGGGGAGGTGCTGGGATCAAGTGGCTCTGTCTCTGATTTTATCGGCTTGATAGTAGTGTTGCCAACAGTGGCATCCATGCTTAATTTGCGCCATGTCTTGGTTTTGAATACTTCACGGCCCGGTTCCATGTGGTAAAAAGTAAATCAGTCGCGAAGTTCACCTGTCATGTACAATTTATGCTGTCGCCTATTGAGTAAGATTATCTTCCCATGAAACTTCGGCATGAGATGCTTGCTATGGTCCATGATTGATCACTTTAATTGCGTAGTTGAATAATATGTTACGTCGTATAAAGCACTGGATCTCACGACCACCGGTAATTTATTGAATCTATGTGTCGAGAGGCTATAAGTTAGTACTAAATTACCTACCGTACTGCATTGCGAGAAGGCTGTCTTGCGATAATACACTTGGTTACTCGGAAAGAATATAACGTTCGCCAAGTGTCGTTGCTTTCTTGCTCTCAGTATTTTACCGACAGCGACTACCTTAATTGATATATCTTGTTCTAGATGGGTAGAAAAACGGGTGAGGAAGAAACCAAGGCTCAGTTGGGTGTTGATATGCCGGCGATCACACTGATAAGGATGGAGTAGTGGGTCAAACAGGCTCTCCACATGGGAATTCAACGCTCTTTGTCTGGAAGGCTGTATGCTTCAAAGTTCCAAACACGAGATATGAGCAGGGCGAGCCAAATCCAACCTTGGAATGATACTCAGCCGCCATGCAAGGTACGAGGAGTCGAACCAGGAGTGCGACTGAAACAGGCATAGATCTTCTCATGTCACGTGTGGAGGCGTCATCAAGTGACATCTCTTCTCCTCACCCCAACTTGCTGAACTCCAAGTTTCGTCTTTGAACTTGCACGGTGCTCTGTATGAGAATTTTCCATCGCATATTCTGCATTAACCTACCTACTACACCAGACTTCTTTTGACCGGGATACACTCGCCATGAAGTTCTTATCGGCCGGCCTCTTGGCCCTGACGGCTCCTCTTGCCAGTGCGGCCGCTTTCTCTCTCTTCGATCCCTCGCAAATCTCGCTGAAGACCGATGACCCCAAGTTCCCTGTTGAGGGAGATAACCCGCTGAACTACTGTGCCGACCCGGCTAACTACCGCCTCGAAATCAAGTCGGTGGACCTGACACCCAACCCGCCTCAAGCGTATGTTGCCCCTCAAGAACGCCCTTCTTCTGGAGAGATTTACTAACTGGTATATTGATCTTGATAGGGGCCAGAAGTTGACCATCTCCGCCGAAGGTACTTTGCTGGACCGGATTGAGAAGGGCGCTGTGGTGAACCTCGAAGTGAAGTGGGGTCTCATTACCTTGATCTCACAGACTGTCGACCTCTGCGATGAACTCAAAAATGTGGATCTGGCCTGTCCTCTGGAGAAGGGCAAGATGGTGCTGACCAAGGAGGTCGAGCTGCCCAAGCAGATTCCTCCTGTATGTTCTTCCTGATGACTATGTACAGAAGCGATGGCTAATCTTTTCTCTTCAGGGCTCATACTCAGTCCTCGCTGATGTGTACAACAAGGACTTGAAGCAGGTCACCTGCCTCACGGCCACCAACATCCAATTCCACTTATAGTCTTACCGGATGATGTTATCGAATTTTGACATCACCTTGCATCCACGCTCCCAGTGGCATCGGCTCGGCTTGTTTAACCCTCAATATCATTAGCCTTTGTTGTTTTGATTACTCAAACATACACGCCGCTCTGATCTACGCCCATTATCACGACCCTCCTGAGTTTCGCATTCATGTTTTGATTTTTTTTACACTGCCCTATTTGGATTTTTCTTCCATTGCTACGCTCCTTGCATCTACGTTGATATTTTTGTGATTGTTTTTGGAACATATACCAAGTCCTTCTGTAAACTCAGTAGCTAACCTCACCTAAGACCATAATACATATCCGTCTTACAATATTAGACATGAAGTCTTGCCATAGACAGTGTATTCTAACATCAATGTTCTTTGAGATGTTCTCCAACCGCACCATTGCATTAAGCTTGATAGCGTTGAAGTGTAATGTTAATTTGGAAATACGACTATCATGTATACCCGAAATATATCTCTACGCAATAGTGGTCAAAATCAAAACTCAACTATAGACTTTTTACTCTTAGTTCAAAATCCCGAACTAAGAGGAGAGCATTGATTAACAGTGATATCCAAGAAGGGTGTATGTGCATTCTCATTTCAGTTATGCTGGGTATCTTCCCTATCTATTATCTCCATGTTGTCTCCACACCCATCTCCAACCAGACAAAGCCGGCGCTACCAGCAAGAAATCAGAGTTGATGGGATCAAAAATGTGTTGCATATCCCCAAGATAGAATATCGTAAGAAGGAAACTCTTTTCGCAGCTAAATGACCAAGACGATAACGAACGTAAATATGTTCATTCTCCAAACAGACGGCGTACACGCTTGAGAACACTGTCCTTCTCAGGGTCGTATGGGTGATCTTTGCTGGGGATTTCAAGCACAGCTGGGAAAGGGTCGGTGAATGTGTCGACACTGTGGCGGATGCGCTCTGCGACCTGTTGTCGAGAGAGTTGTTAGACGATGTGTCTATTACAATGTGCCCGCACCACACTTGGCTTGTGCAAGACGCAAGACTGTACTTACGTGCTGGTTGATCAGTAGGACGGCGATGTCTTTCCGTTCCTGGGTGAAGTTCTGGAAGGCCCGTTCGATCTCCGAGGTCTCGGTCTTGGAGTCGACGACTAGGAAGTTTCTTTGGGAACCTGGGGCTTCGGTGACGTGCTATGAATGGATAAGTCCGTTAGCATCGAGCTTCTTCTGGGGATCGCGAAGTCATGGGGTAGAGGAGATGGTGCGGAGAGGGTCGTACCCCGATGCCGGCGAGTAAAAGACCGGTGACAGAGCTGTAGATGAGGCGTGGTTAGCCTGATTGAATCTCCTCCAGAGGAGGTATATCGTATCGGGGGTGATTTACTCCTCATCGCCAATAACGGCGAGGAATTGCCGGTCCTAGAACGGAGGCCAGTTAGCGACGTTATCGGATGGGCTGTTTCATCAAGCGTTGGTCTTTACCTTGTAGGTTGCGGCTGATGCCGCCATACTGAATCCGGGTGAATGTTTGAGCGAAGGATATTCGAGAGAAGGACTCTCAGATCGAGCTTGTGATTTGAAGTGGAAACAGCAAACTGGAGGTCTTGTCCAGCTGTCCGTTGATCGCCGTGGTTATCGCGGGCGGAAGCTGCCATTACATAAGCTGATGCAATTTTGTTTACTTCCGAACTACCTTCAACTGCTCCTTGTCGTTGATGCACTTGAGAAATTTCCCGACTTAGGGTGAAGCTGCGGAGGAACAGCTTCTCTCTTATACTACTTATTCTCCCCCGACAATATGCCGCGCCTCGTCCGACGTCGCCCGCTCTCCGAGCGCATTATCTCCTACCTTAATCCGTACGACTTCTTACTTTGGCTTTCCGAAGAGTTTGAGGGTGGCGACTGGGAGCAGCTGGAGAAGAAATGGGCGCTGCCTATTGGTATTGCGTTGAATCTGATTTTCCTTGTTGCGCGAGCGAACAGTCGGTCAAGTGGCAGCAAGGCGTTCGATGATGTCTTTGGCGACGATGACAGCACATCCTTGCGAGGTTGGCTTGTGAGTGAAGACATTTCTTACTGTTTGTGTATTTTTATTTGGACCTGAAGGCTGACTGTTGCATCATATAGGCCTCATTCGTCGTCCATTTCTTAGGCCTCGCCTCCGCAGCGAATGCTTTCTATACGTTCCACAAGAAGCGACACTATCGCCTGTTCGAGAATTCCATCGACACAACCCCGGCAACACCTTCAGCCCATCGTGTGCGCGTTGATTCAAGCCCCATGATGCCCTCTCCCCTGCGCTACATTGCCAAGGCCTTGTCAACAGAATCCGCTACCTCAAGAGCACACCCTGATGCCCAGCGTGATGTTTGGGAGCTTGCAATTTGGGACCCTTCGCCCCTTTGTCTCCGGCTATTCTACTTGTTCAGCCCTGGGCACGTTGTGGTTTACTGGCTCTTCCTGCCAACACAGCTCTCCGATCCCCGCCCAAGTGTGACGATTGTAACCGCAATGGTGCTGACAGCACTGTTGTCAGTTCAGATGTCCTTTATTTCTTCCGCCTACATACAACAGGCTAAGGATCAGAAGGTTGTTCACAAAGAAGTGTTCAAAGAATATGACACCAAATACGTCCAGCCTCGAACACACCCCTTGATGCGAGACGTGGGCACCCAATTCTCCGATCCGTATAGTCAGCATCCAAAGTCAGAAAACGATCTCAACAGGGTCGACACATATAGCCCAGCGATACTTATCAATCGTGGGTTCAAGACCAGCCCCAATCCAAATTACTTGAAGCACGTTGACCCCGAAGGGCACACACCTGTGCGCCAGCCAACTGCATCAACCCCTGGAGTTTCGTCTATATTCCAAGGTCGGCCAATGCAGACCCCGAATGTAAGCGGCGAAGGTTCGCCGCTAGTCAGAAACAACAACCGCACCAGCATGCGGCAACCCCAATTCCGATCAACAGCCACAACGTCCACGGGCGATGGTGGCAGCCTCGGCGTCTTTACTCACGCAAACTCCCCGTTGCGAAAATCAGCGACAACATCATCCTTTGACCGACGTGTGCAACAGAATGGTGACTTCATCTACAAGGAGCGAGGTACGACCCCGATGCAGCGGACCTCAAGCCCTTTGAAACGAAGTATTGTGCCTGGGTCCGCGAACGCACTTGGCTCAGGCTCGGCCAGCCTTCATAGATCAGATAGCTCCTACACGCGCCGAGAAACCGGACGATTTTAGCACGAATGAATGATCCTTTCCTGTTTCAGCACCCTGCCACGTCCCTATTCGGGCAATTTCCATGCATCGTACAGCATGCGTGACTTATCTGTCATGCGCATCGATGACAGGATGCATTCCTCGCACGTAGGACCGTTAGTCGACGTTTCGCTTAATGCAGCTTCACGTCTGATACCTACCCCAGGATCTTTTAGCACGTTGACCACGCTGGGGAATGCAAGCTGCCGATCGATGGCTGGCCATAACGATCGAGTTTCGTCGTCTTATGTATCAGTGATGATTGATTATAATTCGAGGCATTCGTCGTTGCATGCATAATTCTGCACCACCGCCCTGAACTGCGGACTTAGGGCTAAGGATCACCGATACCAAGGTTGCGCCTTCTCAACATTCAACCCTCGTAACTTCCAAGTGATGCAATTGCCAATTCGGAAATGTAGGATCGACGGGAAATTACCATTCCAGAAGGCGGCAGGATATTTCATAGGGCATTCTGGCCCGGGGGCTAGCATTCTTCATCGAAGACCCTGGCATTCCAGCCAACCAGAGCCTATTATTCTTACGCGTTGGGAGTGCGAATACCTTTGAAGATCGCTCAGCAGCCTGTCGGCTTCAATGACCCCGCCCTGCGTCTTTGTTGAATCTACCATATCTCTCGCCCTAAGCCGCCGACCTACCACCGCCCAAACTCGACCTCAACATTGACCTCGAACGCAGCACAACTAACTGCCAAGTCTTCAAACCTCGTTTCTCACGGCATGGGATAGAGACATTTTACAGTTTGACCTGAGAGTCGGGTCCCCAAAAGTACACCTATTATCCACTCAATATGGCCGAAGCCTGTGTCGAATTGCCAGATGACCACCTTGTGAACCTGTCACCACGACCAATACGCAGCAGTCCGTACAAAGCCTATAGAGCGGAATATAGGGGCTCTGCCACAGAGCTGGCTGCGACTCCTCCCCCTCGCTACGCCTATCAAGCCAAAACGCCGGAATACGACGACTTACGAAGCGCATCAGGGAAGATGTCTCAGGCTCCGAGAAGTACTAAACTTCCTGTATCCAAGGCAGTTGTCGAAAATCGCAAGAATGAGCTGAGAGAGACTCCGAGTCCTACTGGCATACCCAAACCGATCACTCCTAGTCAATCTGGACCATCTGGGGACCAGCCTCAATCATCGGGCAAAGATCGTGACCAATACTGGAGCAAGATAAGACAGAAGTTTGAAAAGGACTCTCCTCTGTCTACGCGAAGCGCTAAAAGCAAGGAGAACGGCAACGATGAATCTCCAAGCCCACGTGTATCCTACCACCGCACTCGACCTCTCGCTCTCAGTCGACAGGATCAGAGCAGCCCTCGCGGAATCACCCCACGAACAGGAATTCCCAGTCCCAGCACAGCTAAGAGTGCTCCTGCACAGCATGGTCAGAATGATACTCGAGGACCGTCAGATGCCAACAATACGTGGCGCAAGCAGGGTGACCAGTGGGTTAATATGGCGTCTATCGATAACACCATGCACAACTCCGACCAAGCGGACACGGCCACCGACTCGAGTCCACCTTCGCATCCATCTGTTTCTCCTGTGTCTGCTGAAGATAGTTCGATGACTGATTGGGAAGACCGATTCGTCGTCAATATGCCGACTGCAAAAGAACCTAACCCACCAACAATGACTTCTCAGCAGATTTCTGAGTACCAGAAAAGCATTGAGAGGGTACATCAAGATGGAGGGCAGATGACGGATCCAGATGCGCTACCCAGTCGGAATGCCTCCCCAGAAAGCAAGATCAGTCCTCAAAGCTACCGCGTCAGGAGCCCAATAGAATTTAAACCCTACCAAGGGGGCTATGATGGGGCGCACGAAGATCGACCAAAGCCAGAACCACAGCGATATGAACATCAGCAAGCGCCAAAGAACCAACAACAGACGAATTCGCAGCCGCAACCACAACCCATGTCAGCGTCGCAACGTCAGCCAGCAACGCACTACTACAGTCCAGATGAGATAGGTGGGAATCGTATCAGCACAATATGGGAAGAGTCGCCAACGAAGACCAAGGAGAAGCGACACCCTCATAATGCCGATGGATCTTTTTTAGGATGCAGGGAAATCTCGGGCGAGAAGAATCCAGACGAGAGACGCATGTTCGCTTCCAAAGACGACGCCAGCCTGCACCCGCGCCCACTGGCTCTAACGTCCAAGAACAAGCAGAAAGACACGAAGAGGGTGACTGCCCAGCATACTATGAAAACAGTGGAGGAGACCGTAGTCCTCAGAGAAGACCAGCCCCAAAGTTCTCAGAATTCGAGACATGTCCAATGCTTGAAGTCGTCAACAACTTGCCAAAGCCACAATTGCCTCCAGCACCCTATCTCCAGGACCGGATCTCAGGACTCGGGAAAAGAGAACAGCCTGTCTTACAACAACTCACAACCACAGCCCGCAAAGCTCGAGGACGGTCGCGGAGAAGACGATGTGTTCATTATCACACCCACTATCACACGCACCATGATTCCAACCCCCGACAAGAAACCATCTGCGCCAAAGCCACAAGGTTTGCGACGTCCTGGTGGCGCAAGTCACACAGTCACAGCCGAAGCCATCAAGGCCGTTCGCGCAAAGGCTCAAATGATATCTACTCCATCGGGTCTACGGCCCGGCGTACCAATTCCTCACGACGAACCGAAAGTACGCACCTTGGCAACTTCGCAAACCCTGCCAGAGGACAGCTTTCTTTCTACAAAAGACAAGGAATACTTACCTCGCGCACAAGAACGAACGACTGGCACGACATCCAATTCTATCCGTGGGTTCATCCGTACCGGAGGCTTGGCAAGATCTACGGGAATAGTACGATCACCTACAGATAGCCTTGCTTCGATACTCCGCAGCAGCACAGAGTCTCTGCGAAACCGTGCAGAATCCCTACGCAATGGTTCGAGCCGTAAGCAATCAGTGACTCCTGAACCCACCCTTCCGTCGAGGGACAACTCAGAATCGTCTCGGTCTGCTAGGTCTTTTCAGTCCGCCAAAGAAACCCATACTGCTTCGGGAAAAGTGACCCCGCCGCCACAAAAGTCGGCGGCGTTGGCTCCGCCAGAGAAAAAAATACCACCCACGAAACCTGCTGCTGCTGTTGCTGCCACCGCAGCGGTGAGCAAGCCCGCACCAAGAAAGCTGACTCTATCAGAGGAACCGCCTTCTGAGAAGTCTGAGAAGTCGGACAATCCTGCTCCCTCGGTCAAGAAGATATCGGCGTTAGCGAAGCCCTCCAAGCAAGATAAACCATCCCGGCCTGTCAAAGTAACCCCGTCAGAAAAGAAGCTATCGCCTCCGGCCACAAAAAAAGCCGATGCACCAAAGAAAGACCAGAAAAAGGCAGAGCAGAAAAAAGAAGAGCAGAAAAGGGAAGAGCGAGTCAAGCCCCAACCCCGGATCCGCACTTCAGGCAGTATCATGGAGATCGCTGAATTAGATGGACTTCAAGTTGCGAGCCCATCCCAGCCCTTTCAATCCAACATTACGAATGTCTATGCCGATCTGGGTGACATGCACAATCGAGACGAAGACGAGCCTTCCAATCAAGGATCAAACCCCCTGGCTCTCTCTTTGGTATTTGACATTGTCGTGGTCGCCGTCACCCAAGTGACTCGAACTTTCCGAATGGGCTCGGACAGCCCGTACTCCAAATTCGTCGTCGTCAACATCATGAACATGGCCCGTCACTGCTACCGCGTCTTCAAATGCATATATGCTGCTTTCTCCCGGTATCAGGCTACAGGAGCGTGGCCCAAAGCTCGCAACGATCAGGCTATCAGCCGATTCATGCTGGAGCTCCTTCAGGCCATTGTCTACCTCTTCATTCTGGGATTCGCGGCTATGGTCGTCGGCCGTGCTGCTAGCTATGTCGTTCTCGTGAGCAGTTGGATTGTCTGGTTTGCGAGACCGTTTGCCTGGGTCTTTCAGTGTGTTGGGCGTGCCCTGATAATGTAACACTAGCGTGTGTTCTCTTTCCCCCTTTCTCCCTTTCTTTTTTTCGGACCTGTCCCGTGCATCGTGTATGTAGTATTGTCCCCTTTTGGAAGATTAGCGTTGGAAGCGAGTGTTTTAGTTATTTTCCTTGTGTCTGTGTCTATGTCTAGGTTGAGAGAGAGGACTTTCATTCCTTCATCTTGTCGGCTGTATTGTTAGCCTAATATCAATATACAAAGATTATTATTTCCTATCCAAAACAAAGCTCTATCATATCCCATCTCAGGTAGACGTCCACTGCTTGAAGATACAAGGTTAATTACCTTTGAGGCTAGACTATCTGGCCATCTAGTCATGACAAGTGTGAATGAGAAATAGTCCGGAAAAATAAATGATTCGAACGTAAGCTAAAGTCAAGAACGAAAAGCTGAATAGCAATCCCATACAACTGAATGATCGCAGACCCAGACGCTCCTCCCATTGCTAGTCTGGCGTCTACCTCCCAGGTTGAAGAGGGAGATTGAACCAATTCAACCATTCTCTTGCACTTTGATAAGCCAGAGTTCGATTTTGTGTATGATGCTCCAAAACTATTACCCAACTGCGCTATGCTGGTGTTGAATGATCCCTGTATGCTAGCTCCGGTGACGACCTTGTAACTTCCAAGGGAACAAAAAAAAAAGAAATGCGAGGAAACAATTTGATGTAAATTTTTTAATTCTTTTTTCAAGAAAGAGGTGGCGGTGAAAGGAGGATTCTGTGGCGGGATGAAGGAAAAACCATGTTGGATTGGATAGTCCCTTTCAACCTGAAATGAGCCAGGCATCTGCTCATTCCAACAAACTTGGATAAGTTGCAACAGGAGATAAGATTTTGAATGAATCCAAAATCAAGAAACGGAAGAAGAGGAAAGAGGACCGGAATAAAATTGCAGGGCTGACGTTGCAGAGGACAGAGTCGACCATCGCCATTATAGCCACTGCGAGCTCTATGTATCAGAATTGTGTGTAGGAAAACAGGCAGAACGAGAAAAGAAGGTAGCCCAAAGGGCATAAATTATGTTGAATTTTGTGGTTTCGACCATTCTTTTTTCCCCTCCGTTCTTCTGGACTGGTAGACCAAACAGAAAAACAAGAATGTCCAGAAGAGCACCGGGCCCGGAGGGAAGTTGACCTGAAAAGAAGTAGTGAAACCGATCGACGAAGCGCCATTGTTAAAAGAGACGGGGTATCGGTACATTATGTTGAAATGAAAACGCTGTGGAAGAAATCGTTGAGAGGTCTTCAGTCGTGACGCCATAAGACATTGCAGGGGGAGCCCGAGATGTGTTGGAGTGAATGTTGTATCGGGTTGTGTAATCGTTGAGATGATGTTGAATTAGGTAAATGTTGAGATATTTTGGTGTGAGAATGATAGATGACTCGTTGAAAGAGTCGGAAGAAATTTTAATGGAAGGCCACCGGTTCCAAGTTGAGGGGAACGGCATTAGTTGGCGGCGACTCCATTGGGTTCCGCAGTACCATTGGTTTCAGGCTTTGCAGGAACCTCGACTGGCACATCGAGGTCCTTCACTTCAAGGTCTTTGAATAGTTCAAAGACAGCATTGGAGCGGTGGAAGTCGTTGTCAACGATGTTAACAAGGTACCAGTCTTCCATGACATTTTGAATCAGCTTGCGACTGGCGCTAGCTGCGTTATAACACTTGGACCAGTGTTCTCCCAGAAGGTACGCCTCGTCCTTCCAGGCCAAAAAACTGACAGTCTCGACAATGGTGGGTTGAATGATCTCTCGTCCCGCGAAAATACCCCACGTCAAAGCATTGGGACTGTCGCGTGTGTTTGTTCTGAGTTCACCGTTCTTGTTGGTGGCGTGGTAAGTCAAATCATCGTTCTGCTCGATACGAGTGATGAGCTCGTCGATCAAGTATGATGGAACCAGGAGCTCCAGGTAGGCTTTTTGGTATACGAAACCGTTCTTGGGACCCCAACCGTAGACAGAGTGAGAAGACTTGATACCGTTGACAGCAGGCTGAGAGTTGATTGTCAGGAATCCGCGCTGGTTCAGGTCAAGAAGGTTGTCCTGAATGTCGTTGGCCTCGGTAGTGATTGGTGAGTCACTCCATGGAAGTCTGTCAAGCTTGCCTTTCAAGAAGCTGACGAAAACATCGGACAAGTCCTTGATAGACTTCGGCTCACCCCATAACTTGATGTTTTGCTCGTTGGTTCCCTTGAGTCCCACACCGTATGCGTCCAGCTCACCAAATGCAGGCGAGCGAGAATCCGTCCAGCGACCGTTGGGGAACTCGTCCCAAGTCTGCGTGCGAGCAACGTACGATGAGTTCCGGTTGCGCCAGAAGACCGGACGCACATCTTCACCCCGACGGTTGAGGGCGAGGGAAGGCCGCCATGGCAGTGCGCGTTGGATGGGGGATTCGTCTGACGGGCAAAGACCGAGCTCATCCAGAACCGCTTTGGTAGCTTGAGCTAAGTTCATGGTGTAGAAGTGCAAGTGGTTGATACCGGCAGTCATCAACTTCCTGCACATCTCGGCGATGAGACTTTTTCCAATTTCTCGAACAGCGGAATCGTCGTTCTTGACAGGCTCGAGGGCTTCCATCCACGCTGGGGGGATGTGGATTTTCGTCCAGTTTGACCGACGGATGAAAGCGGCGTATGTCTGAATAGGCATGATACCGGGGATGATGGGAACATTGATGCCCTTGGCTCGGCACCTGTTCACCCAGTCGATGAAGTTCTCCACGTCGTAGAACATCTGGGTAACAACGAAGGTACTTCCTGCATCCACCTTTTCCTTCAAGTGATCAATCAATTGCTCGACATCAGCGTTGTCATCAGCTCCCTCGGGGTAGCCGCCGACACCAATGTCGAAGTGGTTGCCATATTTCTCCCGGATGTATTTGACCAAATCCTTAGCGTAGCGGAAGCCGTTATCGGCGGCCTCCCAGACTTCCTGGTCACGGGGTGGGTCTCCTCGAAGGGCCAGGATGTTGGTGCAGCCAGCCTTGTAAGCAGCCTGAAGAGCTTGATCGACCTTTTCAATCGGCATATCCGTGCAAGTCAAGTGCATGCATGTCTCCAATCCATAAACCGATTGTGCCACATTGACCATCTCGCAAGTCAAATCCGATAAGCGACCGCCGGCACCCCAGGTGATATCAATGAAGGAAGGACCTAAGCCGTGCATGCGGTCCATCCGATCGTAGAGGTTCTGTACACCCTGGGCGGTCTTGGGAGGGAAGAACTCGAAGGAAACGCCCGTTTTTCCTTCCGCCTCATTCTTAGCCAACTTCTCCCGGATATGCATGGTGTCGAGTTAACCTATTTCTATCAGCACATCCCCGTGAAAACATTGAAGAAAGTGTTCCCATGCCGTTAAGCTAAAGATGAGCCAACGTACCGAGGATTGGGATAATAGTTAGTGGAATTGTTTGTGAAGCCAGCACACACACACAGCTGCGTAGATGAGACGTCCGAGAGCTGGACTGGATCAGCGTGGAATTTAACACAGTCAAGTCGAGAAGCAAAGAAATAAAAGTGAGAAAACAAGAAAAAAGAAGGGGAAAAAAAGAAAAAACACGAGTCTCGAGAGAGTTCGAGGAGTGAAGGAGGAAGAAATCCGGTGAGCGGATCGACGGTTTGGCGGGGAAGGCCGGCCATCGGAGCACGTGTCCTGGCCCCTTGAAGAGACGACAGTCGAAAGAGGCACGAGAGAAGAGCAAAAAAGCCATTGGGGGCATGTTTACTTCTATCTACAGCTCTTCACGATCAACCATGAGCTCCCCAATCCCCAGACCCCCCAATTGATCAAACTACAGTATAGGGCGAGGAGACCCTCGCTGTCCACCGCCCCTCCTGCCCCTCTCTCGGGAAAATTTTCTGTTATCAGTCTCCGATTCGCCCTTTGAACCTTTGACAATTGCTTCACCTCCCCGGATTTCCGCAATACCCAAGATGTCGTCTGCTCCTACTGCCGATCAGGACTACAAGTCCACCCTTCTTCCCCTCCTCATCTCCAACAATGTCCTCTCTTTCGGCTCCTACACCTTGAAGTCTGGCCGCGAGTCGCCCTACTTCTTCACCTCCTCCCTCCTCCACACCGCACCTCTACTGCGCGCCTCTTCCGCTGCCTACGCTAGTGTGCTCTCCGCCGAGCCTTTCGTCACCACCGATGCTGATGGCAACACCAAGGCCGATTTTGACATTATCTTCGGCCCCGCATACAAGGGTATCCCCATCTGCGCTGCTGTCACCAACGAGCTCGCTGTGCGAGACTCTCTTGCTGGCAAGAACGCTTGGGACAATGTCAGTTACTCATTCAACCGCAAGGAGGCCAAGGCCCACGGTGAAGGTGGAAACATCGTCGGCGCCCCTCTGAAGGGCAAGCGTGTCGTGATCGTCGACGATGTCATCACTGCCGGCACTGCCTTGCGCGAGGCTGTCGGTATCATTGAGAAGGAAGGCGGTATCGTCGCCGGTGTGGTTGTTCTGCTGGACCGTGAGGAGCGTGTCAGCGATACTGAGACCAAGAGCGCCATCGGCGTTGCCCAGCGCGATCTTGGCGGCAAGATCCCCATCCGCTCGGTCCTTGGTCTGCACGACTTGATTGAGAAGCTCGGTGATAAGATCGGTGCTGGTGAGATCCAGCGCTTGAAGGACTACCGTGAGCGCTACGGTGCTCAATAGATATAAGCTTATGATCTCCGCCTAGGGCGGCATGATATATGAGCAAAGATAAGACAAAAGAATTCGGATACCAGGGTAGTTTGGAGTTGCTATGAACATAAATTTGATTGAACATCGCCCAGCGACTGGGGTGATGGCCACATTCCAAGCAAGAGCTCATCTTAGACCTATTTCTAAATCTTATTCCTCGGCTGATGGGGTCATCCAATCTCTTCGAGGCCTGAGGGACTTAAACTTCCTTCTAGATAATGGACATTTCTAAATCGAGATACGCAAGCGAGACATCTCGCACCATCTTGAATTGACCAACGAACTTGTGAAACCAACATTCAATTCGGCAAATCTCTCATCAAGTTCCTATCTGGATACACGGATCTTTCCAGTTGATACATTTTTCCTTGAAACTACGCAGCCAAAATCAGGGAGATTCTAGTATCGTGGCCCTCACCGTGTTCTCCAACTAATCTCAGGTGTTCAGATCTCGCCCCCCTGGCCAAGCTGCCGCGCTCGGAAGCCTGAATCCCTGTGCGCAAGACAATGTTTCACACGAACGCGAAGAGATCGATCATGCCAGATTGGGCATGATGATGAGCCAATGGTTGAAGGCTTCCCGTCGTGGGCCACGGAGCTATTGCGCGGCAGGCGACAGTAGCACAGCAGGTGCTACTTGCGCGATAGACTGTGTCTGACAGAGAGCACCGACGGCAGGACAGGCACCACTCGTAGTGGAAATGGGGCCATTTGGAAGTTTGGTAGAGATCAGTAGCTGCGCTCAGGCAATTTTTCTTCATTGATCAGACAATCACTTGATCAAGTACAGGGTGTTACATCGCTTCAGTGCTCCTAGTGGTACGTGCCATGGAGACTTGGTGCTAGAGGGTTGATATTCAGTGAAGGGCTGCGTTATAACGTGGTTTGGGGACTTACCGATCGCTAAGCCCAACATGCCGGATGTAGATTTAAGTCTCTTTCGAATTCGGCATTCTTTATCGTAGTGCTTCTAGGATCAACGCTGGAGATCTGATATCTGCATTGCCTAGACACTGGGTACTAATGCACGTCATGCTCCGGTGGTCTCCCAATGGGTGCTTCTGTTTCACGAAGTGCTTGAGAACAGGACTGGGGTCTTGGAAGCTAAGCTAACCGACACTTGATTACTAGATAAGTGGTGGTTACTTGAATATTTATTTAGCATATTTATATCAATGTACTGCTAGGAGTAAGGAGCCAAGTTCCTGATGGCAATAATACTATATTTCATAGGCACAAGATCAACCTATTATATGAGACTGTGAATAGACCATATGTCCCAAGTATTCAACGCGCTATGGCGATACGATCCTGCAGTACACGATTGCTTTTCAACTGCCACATCTTATGTATCCGAGCTGCGTGACATGCATATCATGTCCGCCAACCACACCCCTTAATGGCACCCACCCGAGCTTATGACTGACTAACCTATATGTAATATCTAGTATTAAAAAGATGTAGTCAGAAATTTGGGGAATATCCAGTGTTCATTTTGATGGGCGAAGTTCTATTGATCTTGAGATGCGATTTGGATGTCATAATTTATACCTACACCATTGGTCGATAATAACAAGTTGTGACTGTATACATATATTTAGAATCCTCGTGATAAAGTCTCATGGCATCGCATATCCGGGGTACAGATTATAATGAGTTGCCAGCTGGATCGAATCGAGCCCATTCTCAAACACAACTAAGGCTCGCCCCCAACGAAATTAACATAGATGTCGCTGTCTGGGCTACCTAAGTTAGCCTCACATGATGAAGCCCAATCAGATTGCTCCCTAATACTTCAGCTATATTGTCTTAGAGTTCTATTATCAGACCCAATCTCCTTTACATGCAAATGCATAGCAGGATACAACGAAGTCTCGGCCGTAGTACCTTACTGGTTTTTGAAACATAATGATGATCATGTATGTAATCCAGATGTTATTCTACTATAGATTACGAGCGTTTATTCTTCAACGGCCCACCCGCTGTCTATGATAGACCTCAGGTTACATTCGATAGATGCAGCTCGTGTGGTCACTGTTTCCTGTTTAGATTTCTCGCTGTACTAAAAAACAATACCTTGGTGATTCAATAAGTCATGAGACATTACAAGTGATCTTGATCGATGTCACAGTGACTCAGCTGTCTCGTTCAGGTTCAAATCTTGCGTGCAGCAAAAGCGAGTACCAAATGTCTGTTGATCCGGATAGTGGATAGTACGAAAAAGTTGTACCATGCATATTTACTCCATACATTCATCAGTTCCGGCGCAGACGCAGCCTGGACAGCAATTTGAGTCATCGGTACATGTCTCAAATAGGAAAAGGAATATGCTATCTTGACATGCATCAACCACCCAGGTAAAGGTGCTCCATTATGTGAAAGACAAGGGTTTAAAGTTACTTCGCGTTTGACGACATCCTGTTGCAACGTTATCTTCTAGCATGCATCTAGGATTCAGAGGCCACTGGATCCAGATTGAGTAGAGGAATTTCGAAGATGAATGATAGATTTATCAGTGATGTGACTGCCGAATTTCGTCAATATGAAGAGCTCTTCGCCTCCATTTACAGCTGATGTTTCAATCGGACTGATATAAGATTAGCGATGCATGCGTTATGCCTCGGAAATATCACCTACCATTGCTCTGGACACCACCCATGTTATAGTATTACGGTTTATTGTGAGACCTGCAATGCATAAATTGCTCAATTAGCATTGTTGAACCCGGCCATTTAGGGATGACCTTTGTTCCGCAGAGATCTATGCAGACGGATGGAGTCTCCTTGCAAGACACAGGACTTCGCCGCCTGAGCCCCATGGTTTCTCAAAATAGCACTCGCGAGTAACAAGATGTCAATCAAAGCGCTCAGAGGTCAATGTGAACCCTTCGATTCATCTCTCCTATCAGCTGTCTTCTCGGTTTTCACCGTTGATTCCGGGTCCATAGACAAGTTTCTATTTGCTTCGACTTGCTGCCATGAACAAGAATAAACCTCTGAATACTTTGTGTGAGGGTCGAGCTCGGAGTATCAGGTTCCTCTTGAAGTATGCTGAAAGTCCCACCCATATTCAACTTCTCCTTTTTTCGGATCTTGCTTGGTTCCTTTTGTTCTTATTAGCTACACCTCATTTCCTATGCTTTCCGTCTCTCTTTTCTTTTCACCTAGAAAAGCTTCCATAGACTGGAGGATCTGTGGTCCAAGTCTACTTTGTCAGGAGTGTCAGAGATCCCTCGTCGTTAGGTCTCTTTCCTCACTCCTCATATACCTTGCCCAAGATACCTGCAGTCTTCCGATACGCAGACAGTCGGCATTCGCTCGCGTTAGTAAACCTAGAAAGTCTTCTTTTGCTACCTAGGCTCTTGTTTTGCCTCGGACTTTGTCTTGCTACATGGCACCATTCCTTTCAGGTATAAGATAACTAACATGGAATAGTCACACAGATATCTCTTCTCCGATATCCGGTTGTGTCAATAGCTCTTCTTGCGCTTCTTCATTTCTACTTGACACATGCTGCCAAACTGAGTCTCTTGATAGGTTCTCTCTGTTGGGTGTTTATCATGTATTGGAAGCATATCTTCACCACAGCTGCCCTTCTCGCAGTGCCGGGGATCAGCTGGCCATATGATGAGTCTCTCACAGATTATAACATCAATGAGAATCAAACAACAACTGACCCTCTGGAGTACTGGGGAGAATGGCCTGACCACGACTACTTCCCCTCGCCGGACAATTGGCGCTTTCCTGTATATACGCTTTTCCTCGATCGATTTGTGAATGGCGATCCAACAAACGATAATATTAATGGGACCCTCTTTGAACATGATATTAGTTCGAATCAAATGCGACACGGCGGTGATATTGCTGGTCTACTGGATACTCTGGACTATCTACAAGGAATGGGCATCAAAGTTGGTTTACCTGTCCTTCGTTTACCTTTTCCATTCAGCTAATTTCTTGACTTTAGGGCATCTATCTTGCAGGACTAGTGTTGATGAATCAGCCATGGGGCTCAGACGGCTATTCAGCACTTGACACAACACTCTTGGACCAACATTTCGGAACTGTTCAGACCTGGAGGGATGCCATTACAGAAATCCACAGTCGTGGGATGTATGTCATTTTTGACAACACCGTTGCTACGTGAGTAATAGTCCAAAGAAATGGCCTCGTCCCACTTTATACTGACTAGCAGCATTTAGGTTGGGAGATCTCATCGGATTTGAAGAGTATATGAATACAACCACACCCTTTTCCATGCAGGAGCACAAAGCATCTTGGAAGTCCGATCGTCACTATGTTGATTTCAGGTATGGCAACTCCTACAACGAAACCTGCGTGTATCCTCGCTTTTGGAATGAAACCGGCTACCCCGTGGATCAGTACGTTCTCAATGAGCTTGGTGGTTGCTATGACAGTGATTTTGATCAGTATGGCGATATCGAGGCCTTTGGTGTGTTCCCTGACTGGCAACGAGAGCTAGCCAAATTTGCATCTGTGCAAGACAGGCTACGCGAGTGGGTTCCCAGTGTCAGAGAGAGACTCATCCGCCATTCTTGTATGATCATCGCCTCTTTCGACATCGATGGGTTCCGCTACGACAAAGCTACACAGGCTACTGTCGACGCTTTGGGAGATATCTCTGGGGCGTATCGAGATTGTGCTCGTCGCGTTGGAAAACACAACTTTTTTCTCCCCGGTGAAGTAACCAGTGGGAACACACTGGGCTCTATTTTCCATGGGCGAGGTCGACAACCTGATATGCAACCAGAGACTCTTGAAGAGGCGTTTCGAATGACGAACTCATCTGATTCATCCTTTTTCATTCGTGATCAAAACCAACAGGCCATCGATGCAGCAGCATTTCACTACTCGGTCTACCGCTCTCTCACTCGCTTCCTCGGTATGGACGGTAATCTGGCTGCCGGCTATGATATCCCAGTCAACTGGACTGAGGCCTGGTATCAGATGGTCCTCACCAATGACATGGTCAATGCCAATACGGGCAAGTTTGATCCTCGTCATATGTACGGAGCCACAAATCAAGACGTGTTCCGGTGGCCAGCAGTAGAGTATGGAGTTGAACGGCAGCTCTTGGCCTTGTTCATCACCACATTGCACATGCCTGGCATTCCGTTGCTCCTATGGGGAGAAGAACAAGCATTCTATGTTTTGGACGCTTCAGCTGCCAATTACATCTATGGTCGTCAAGCCATGTCCCCTGCTACTGCCTGGAGATCCCACGGGTGCTTCCAGTTGAATTCTACTCAATATTTCCAATGGCCTATCAAGTCCGGGCGATTAGGTTGTACCGATGAGACGGTCACGTATGATCATCGCGACCCGGCTCACCCGGTACGAAATGTTATCAAACATATGTATCAGATGCGACAGGATTTCGGTGCTTTGAATGATGGATGGTGGGTTCAAACGCTTTCTAACCAAACCAACAACATATATCTCCCCGGATCGAATGGGGTGCCCACCGAAACTGGGATGTGGTCTGTTCTGCGCAGTCCATATTATCAGATGCAAGACCTAGGAGAAATGGGAAACCAGACTGTGTGGCTTGTCTACCAGAATAGTAATCGCACGGTAGATTATGAGTTTGATTGCTCTGATCCGAACGCTGCTCTCATTGCTCCCTTTGATGTCAACACCACAGTCAAGAATCTTTTCTACCCACATGAGGAGATCACTCTTCAAGAGGGCCCAATTAAACTTGGTTTGAATGGCTCTACCAAATACAATGGCTGTCTAGACCTTGTCACCATGAAGCCTTACGAGTTTAGGGCCTACATCCCGAAAGATAAATTCCTTCCTCCTCGCCCTATGATCACCAAGTTCTTGCCAGGCCATGATGTCCCCTTGCTATCTGCAGTATCTCCCGGAGAAAGTGAGTCGATGGAAATCAGCCTCTTTTTCAACACTGAGATGAACTGTACGATGGTGACCGACTCAATATCGCTCGAGTCGAAAACTGAAACTGGAGAGGTTCCTTCTCTGGACCTCAACAGCGTCACTTGCGAAACATTGGAGGCCGAGAGTATTACTTGGACTGGGCAAATTCCATCCACCTGGGCCTGGAGAGCTACACTGACTGGCATATACAATGGTGTGCATCGTCTCACTGTCAACAACGCCACAACGACCGACGGAAGGACCACCAATGCGGTCGACCATTTCCTAGTTCGGATTGGACAACAAGACAATCCAATGATATTTACTTCGGCAAACTACTCTCGCAGTCTCCTTCATGGACACCAGAATGGCACCCTCTTCATCCGTCAACATGCAGCTGGAGCAGATAAGTACCGATATTCAACCAACTGGGGGAGCACCTATTCCAAGTGGCTACCATACGAGGGAGGAAACCATACAATTGAGGAGCTTCCATGGTCGGGTACAAAGAAGCAGAAGTGGGATGGAAAGCATGTTCGCGTCGAGTACTGGAGCCGTTTCACGGGCAGTAGCGACTACGTGCAAGAGGGTGACGGTCCTGGCTGGAATTCTGCAATTCAACGTCGATTCCCCCACCTCTTCTTCAATGGCCCTTTCAATGAATACGGATATGATGCCGGTCTAGATAACGTTGTGAGGCAAGATGAAGACGGTATCTGGAAGTTCCGCTTCATGGCTGAGTGGCCTGCTCAAGGCCAATTGAATGTGTGGGGTATCAACCCTGATGGCCAGCCAGATCAAAGCTATATCTATGGAGACTCTGATGGAGACTCAATTCTTGATCGTCTTCCGCCTTCGTCGTTGAGTGTTACCAGCATCAACATCACACATCATCCGCCCAATCCGCACCTTGCTTGGAGAATCCATGTGGATGACTCCAACCTGCAATTCAAGCTTGTACCTGCAGGATCCAAATACACTCAGATGGCTCTCTTTTTCTTGCTCTGGATTGTTCCTGTGATCACAGCATCGACCTGCGCCTATGTTTTCATGAAGACATTTTATCGGATCAAGTTCAACCAGATCGGCGTAAGTGAGAAGAAGACACTGATCTCAATGGACTTTGTCAACAAATTCAAGATTCCTTCAATGGAGGCTGGTCAGTCTAGAAATCCTCTGGTTCGTTTTGCCAATAAGTCGAAGTTCCTTCAGAGTAGCTCGGCGTTTGGCAATCGAACATCCCATCGACGAAAGGTTCTTATCGCCACAATGGAGTACGATATCGACGACTGGGCCATTAAGATCAAAATCGGTGGCTTGGGGGTGATGGCACAGCTAATGGGTAAGCAACTTGGACACCAAGACCTGATCTGGGTCATTCCATGTGTTGGCGGAGTGGACTATCCTATTGATAAACCGGCGGACTCAATGTTTGTCATGATTCTAGGGAATTCCTACGAGATCAAGATTCAATATCATCAATTGAGGAACATAACCTACGTTCTTTTGGATGCCCCTGTCTTCCGCCAACAATCCGTTACAGAGCCCTACCCGGCTCGCATGGATGACCTCGATAGCGCAATATATTACTCAGCCTGGAATCAGTGCATCGCGCAGACTATGGAACGTTTCCCCGTCGATATGTATCACATCAATGATTATCACGGCTCAATCGCTCCATTGTATCTGCTCCCCGAGACTATCCCGATTTGCTTATCACTCCATAATGCCGAATTCCAGGGCTTATGGCCCATGCGGACCCAGAAAGAGAAGACAGAGGTGTGTTCGGTGTTTAATCTCGATCTAGATGTTGCCACACGCTACGTTCAGTTCGGTGAAGCTTTCAACTTGTTACATGCCAGTGCAAGCTATCTCCGTCTTCACCAGCAAGGTTTCGGAGCAGTAGGCGTCTCAAAGAAATACGGCAAGCGCTCTTATGCTCGCTATCCCATCTTCTGGGGCTTGCGAAAAGTCGGAAACCTCCCAAACCCTGATCCTTCCGACACGGGTGAATGGAATCGGGAATTGCCCAAAGAAAGCGACATCAACGTCGATAACGAATATGAAACTCGCAGGGCAGAACTCAAGCGTCAGGCTCAAGAGTGGGCTGGTATTGAACAAAGTCCTAATGCCGATCTATTGGTTTTTGTCGGAAGATGGTCAATGCAAAAAGGCATCGACTTAATCGCAGACGTGTTACCCAGTGTCTTAGAGACACGGCCAAATGTTCAACTCATCTGCATCGGGCCTTTGATTGACTTATATGGCAAGTTTGCTGCATTGAAACTGGACCGAATGATGAAGTTATATCCGGGTCGGGTATGCTCAAAACCTCAATTCACAGTCTTGCCACCATTCATCTTCTCCGGTGCCGAGTTTGCACTGATTCCTTCAAGAGATGAGCCATTCGGCCTTGTCGCAGTTGAATTTGGGAGAAAAGGTGCTCTTGGAATTGGCGCGAGGGTGGGCGGGCTTGGACAGATGCCAGGGTGGTGGTATACAGTTGAATCGACAACCACCTCGCACTTGTTAAGGCAGTTCAAACTCGCCATTGACAGCGCCTTGAATTCCAAACCCGAGGTCAGGGCACTGATGCGTGCAAGATCCGCCAAACAACGGTTCCCGGTTGCCCAATGGGTTGAAGATTTGGAGATTCTTCAGTCAACATCCATCCGAGTCCATTATAAGGAACGCGCCAAAGCTCAGAATCAGTACACTGCGGCGGGTGCATACAATGCGATTTATGGAATGATGACTCCGCAGTCTGCATCTACAAGATCGGGTGCATCAACGCCTCCGATGCAACCATCGAGTCGTCCAGGAACAATGGGGTCGCTGCAGCGAAGCTCAATCATATACAGTCGGGATCCGAGTCCAGGGGCTGATTCCAGACCCAAATCGGGGCTCAGTCGTCAGATGTCGTTTGGAATTCGACCAGTGTCAAGTAATGCCGAGCCTAGTGGCAGACGCGAACTTGGGAAAGGAAATGTTTTTGAGCATGATGATAGCACTGGCAGAGCATCTCCAGAGGCTGAAGAAGACAGCGATGAAGATTTGATGGCAACCTGCTATGACGACGATGACTATCCCATTTCTTCTGATGGGACGGATACAGGACGTGGGCAGAACCCTCAATCTCCTGGTGTTGCGCTCACCAAGGAAGCTCTCTTAGCGCGTCAGTTGGCTCGATCCAACAACACCCCGTCAAGTTCGACAGCGCCCAGTACAGCTGGAACAGATGACACTCTTATCCCGCCTTCGCGGTCATGGGCTGGGCCAGGAAGTCGGTTAAGTAGCTCATCAGCTCTGTCCGTTGATTCTGTTGTTGGAGAGAAGAAGGATTTCAAACTTCAAAAGGTCAACCCATTCTTCACAGACAGCAACGGCGAATACTATAAAGTGTTCGAAAAGAGACTTGAGGACCTAAACGGAACTAACAGCGACAATCAGCTCTGCATTGAGCAATATCTCGAGAAAAGCGAAAAGAAATGGTTCAACAAATTCCGCGATGCACGCCTGGGTCTCAACCAGGGATCTCCAATAGGTTCAATGCACGGCGGCAAAGGAGGTTCTCAGACTGGATCTATCACCAACGACGACGCAACATCGCATGAGACTGGCACGCATGAGAGAAAGGACAGCCCACCGGATGAATTCATGCTCGGTGCTAACTACGTGCCACCAACAGGCCTGAAGAAGTGGATGCAAATGCGCCTCGGGGAATGGCCTGTATATTCTCTATTCCTGGGACTGGGCCAGATCATCGCAGCCAATTCCTACCAGATTACTCTCTTGACTGGTGAAGTAGGCCAGACTGCTGCAAAGCTATATGGAATCGCGTCCGTGTACTTGATCACCTCGATTTTGTGGTGGTTCTTTTTCCGCTTCTGGAAATCAGTACATGTTCTAACTCTGCCCTGGTTTCTGTACGGAACTGCTTTTATGATTATTGGCATGGCTCACTTCGAGCCTAATGCGCATATCCGAGGGTGGATCCAGAACATTGGAAGTGCGATCTATGCTGCTGCTTCTTCGAGTGGATCGATCTTTTTCGCTCTGAATTTCGGCGATGAGAGTGGTGCTCCTGTCAAGCAGTGGGTATTCCGGGCGTGTCTGATTCAAGGCACGCAGCAGGCATATGTTATTGCTCTTTGGTACTGGGGCTCGACTTTGACGAAAGCAAGCAGTGCCGGTAATACTAATTCTCAGGGGAGCATCACCAACACCTGGAAAATGACGTGCGTATCTTGTTTTCTTCAATTTCAATGTGAAGTGACTGCTAACATACTTTCCAGAGCTATCTGTACCCCTATCACGATATTCTTATGGAGTATTGGTTTGCTCATCTACTTTGGTCTGCCAAACTACTACCGTCAAACACCCGGCAAAGTCCCATCATTCTACAAATCTGTCTTCCGACGCAAGATTGTTCTCTGGAATTGGGTTGTGGTCATTCTCCAGAACTTCTTCCTCAGTGCCCCATATGGTCGAAACTGGAACTGTGAGTCCCCATGAACCGAAATGCGCTTTCTATCCCAACTAACCACCACAATAGTCCTCTGGATATCCAAACACGCCAGCGGCTGGCAAATCCTACTTCTCTGCGTACTATTCTTCGGCTTTGTCTGGATAGTAGTCCTCTTCATTCTAGCCAGACTATCAAAGTCCCACAGCTGGATCCTACCAGTAGTAGCCTGTGGGTTAGGCGCACCACGCTGGGCCCAGATATGGTGGGGAACATCTTCATCAGGCCTGTTCCTCCCCTGGGCCGGAAGCTACACGGCAGGAGCATTAGTCTCGCGCAGTCTATGGCTCTGGCTGGGTGTCCTGGATGCACTTCAAGGTCTAGGGTTTGGCATGATTCTTCTGCAAACACTGACGCGGATGCATATTTGCTTCACGCTTCTTGTGTCCCAAGTCATTGGCTCTGTTGCAACTATGTGTGCTAGGTCTTTTGCGCCGAACAATATTGGCCCTGGGCCTATTTCTCCTGATATCACTGCTGGGGTTGGGGCGTTGGCTAACGCTTGGTTCTGGGTTGCGCTCTTGTTGCAGCTTTTAATTTGGTATGTTCTTCTCCTTCTGGAATCTTGGAGATTTATCTGTTTCCCCTGCTGACATCTTGCTATTTACAGTTGTGGCTTTCTTATGTTCTTCCGACGGGAACAACTTTCGAAGCCTTGATGGGATCTTTTTTCTATTTCTGTTGCCTGTTGAGTGATAACGAGTAATTTAATTAGGGTTTTCACCTTTGAGCTCGATTATTTTTGCCACAATTGACTCTCGGTGATTTCTTCGGGTTTGGATTCAAAGTTAAACAAGCTCACCTCCTTGGTATCTAAATATAATGGTGTTACTTTCTTGCGTGTGAAAGAGACAGGAGCATTAGGCATGCCTCTATCGCAGTTAAGTATAGGCCAATATTGAGTTCGATGCTATAGAGAACTTTATTTGCCCACTCTTCTTTACCTAGCTGAACAGCCCTTATATATTTGAGGTTATATCCCACTCTATAACTAAGCACTTGGTGTATAATTTTAACCTCCATAGTAGACCATTCGGTCAAATCTATCTAGATGTGATCCCTCAATCGAATCAAGATTTGCTCCCCTTCAACTCGGGAGTTAAACCACTGCTTGCGGCGAAGGATACCATCACCAACGATACTCGACCCACGAAGCAAATCCGCCTCAACAACCTTAAGAATAGCCATGGTTACTTCCAAGGTCCCTAGATTCTGCGCAATACACGCCCTACTCCCCTTCCCAAATGCAAAGAAATGATCAAGCATCTCGTTGGTCGGCTGAAGCCAGCGTTCCGGCATATATTGCAACGGCTCTGGGAAAACAGCTTCATCTTGATGTAGTTGGAAAGAAGCGACACCGACACTCGTTCCAGCCGGAAAGTAGTATCCATGATACTTCCATCCTCCGACAGGAACCTCTCGCGGTAGTCTGATCGGGTTTGCCCAGGATAGACGCAGTCCTTCGCGAACAGTGCCTCGAAGATAGCCGCACGAGGCAGGGTCTTCTCCCTTAGCGATTGATTTTTGAACTTCCTCATGGAGTCTGTTGTATCTGTTTATATATGTGAGATCTGCTGTATCGGTTGATTTCTCGCTTAGGTAGACTTACATTTTGGGATTCTTCGCAAGAAACCACAATATAGTAGCAGTATTCATACTGGTTGAATCTGTCCCAGCAAAGGAAACGTCTTTCACCTCAATCTGGGACTGTGAAACAGACTGTTTCTCCAACAGGCGGCTCTGATAGCTTGCTCTTGCAGACGATGTATCATTCGCAAGTGTGACACTCTTCACAAGCTGCCCAGTAAACTTGTCGATACGATTGAATGCCCTCTCAGTCGTCTCAGACGATATGAATCTCGCAGCAACAGCCATAACAAAATCCGTCAATCTCCCCGGCGCGAAATTGAAGAAAGCCCCAACACCAACAAATGCATCCACAAAAGGCGACGCAGACATCACCCCCGAGTCCTCATTTAGAGCCCCGTACCGATGCTGAAAAAGATGAGTGCTGACAGCATCAATAGCCATACAACGCGAAAGATTAAGAACATCCACAGGTGCCCCCTTCCCAGCATCCCGCTTTAGGCGATCTACAAAATCATCAAAGACGGTCATCAACTCCTTCTCGGACTGTCTAATGGAAGCAGTTGAAAAAAGCGGCGCAACAGCCTTGGCCCTGCTCGCACGCTCTGGCAACGTCAACGTCGAGAAAATAGTTTTGTGGCCGTCAATATCGAATTTCGAGTAAGCTTTCGCCTTGGGAAATCCACCCCGGGCGATGTATATCGGCTCGATAGCATCTGCGCTGGCGATATCAACATCGTTGGGCGCGACACGGAGTATTGGGCCATATTTTTGGTGCAAGTTGAAGATTACTGTGCATTCATCGCCGATGTAGGTGTGGTATGCTAGCCAGAGGGAGGTACAGGCTGCGATCTTGGGGCCAGGGGTTTGGGATAGAGGGTGGAGATAGAGGCGGTAGATGTATTTGCTTGTTAGGCTGGCTATTGCTAGTGATAGGAGCCATAGGGCAATGGTCGGGATAGACCGGGATATGAATATGACAATAGATGTTAGGGCCATCTTGTTTTTGTGAGTTTCTGGTCCGGCGTGTTGATATTTAAGCCTTTTCTTGTTGGCAAATCGGAGGCCTTTGGCCTATCGCGAGTCGGACGGGCCGAAGGAATGTAGTGGGGGGGTGGGTTAGTTGAGGGGGGATATGGTAGCTTTTGATTTCTATGGAATGTAAAGACGGCAAAGCAAATGAAAGGTGAATTGGAGAATACAAAGCGAGAAATGTCATGACAAGTAAAAAAGAAGCAAACATGCAGTAACGTGACTCGGTGCAGTCGGTGTTTCCGATGGGATGTTATCTCTCCAGCACCTGGGCAACAGCCGTAGAAGACTCGAGATAACCATGAGCCTCGAACAAGCTCACAGTTTCTAGTTTATATCCCCCCTCCCCCTTGTCCACTCGCAATGGCCTACAATCACTACCCGACAGAATGGCAATGAAGGAGGCGTTCAACGCCTCGACAACCGAAGATGTCGCCCTCGAGCATATGGGCTACCAGCAAGAATTCAAGCGCTCATTCGGCCTACTCGACATGGTCGGATTCAGCTTCAGCATAGTAACATGCTGGACAGCGCTCAGTGGAGTATTCATCATCGGCGTCGAAGCAGGCGGTCCGCCAGTCATGATCTTCGGCTGGATAGGAGTCTGAATATTCACCATTTTCATCGCGTTAGCCATGGCTGAGATGTGTTCACGCTGGCCTGTGGCGGGAGGTCAGTACTCGTGGGTTGCAATGCTAGCGCCGCCACGAGTATCGCGACAATTGTCCTATATAACCGGGTGGTTCATGTTGATTGGTACGAAAAGTCTTGTTTTATACATCCCTCGCGAAGATTCACATTCACATTCACATTCATATTCCCACGAGAATACCCTGCTAATTCAAACACAGGCATCCTGGCAATGGGCGCCGTCAACAATTCAGTCGGATCAAATTTCATTCTAGGACAAGCGAACCTCATCTTCCCCGACTTCGTCATCGAACGATGGCACACAGTCCTCGTCGCCTGGGCTGTAGGTCTATTCGCGCTAGCAGTGAATATCTTCGCGCCTCACGCTTTACACCGTCTCTCGCGAATAATCCTGCTGTGGAACATCGCCTCGTTCATAATCGTGATCATAACCCTACTCGCAACAAACAAGCAGAAGCAACCGGCAAGCTTTGTCTTCCACGACTTCCGAAACATGACCGGTCTAGGTACGGCCATGGCGACGATCGTCGGTATCCTGCAATCCTTTTTCGGGATGTGCTGCTACGACGCGCCGAGTCATATGACTGAAGAAATGACGCATGCCAGTCGCGATGCTCCGAGGGCAATTGTTCTGTCTGTTCTTATGGGCGCCGTGACGGGCTTCGTGTTCCTGCTTACGCTCTGCTTTTGTATGGGCGACATTGGGTCGACGGCTGGGTCGACGACTGGTGTTCCTGTTATTCAGATCTTTTATGATTCCACGCGGTCAAAGGTCGGGACTTGCTTTTTGGCGAGTTTGATTACCGTTATTGTTATCGTTGCGTCTGTTAGTCTTGTTGCTGAGGGCTCGCGGTCTGTTTATGCTTTTGCTAGGGATCATGGATTGCCGTTCTCCGCTTTGTGGTCGAAGGTTGAGCCTAAGAGGAAGATTCCTGTGTATTCTATTGTTCTCACGTTGGTGGTGCAGCTGGCTTTGAATGCCATCTACTTTGGGACGGTGACGGGTTTCAACACGATTGTTTCGCTGGCTACTACGGGATTTTGTGAGTGTTGTGATTTTTTTTTTCCGGTGATCAAAAATTAACAGTTCGGTATAGATGTTTCCTACGGCCTTGCCCTGTTCTCCCGGTTATTGGGCTATTTCTTCGGCCATCAAACTTCCTCTTTTGAGGGATCATCATATTCGCTGCCTCTTCCCGTGTCCCTCGGCTTCAATGCCATCGGCTTGGTCTTTTTGCTATTTGCTTCCATTACATTCAACTTTCCATCTGGGGCGCCGGTCACTTCGGAATCAATGAATTACACCAGTGCTGCGATCGGCTTGGTCACACTACTGAGCATTGTTACCTGGTTCACTACCGCAAGGAAACGATTTACCGGGCCATCGGATGTCAGAAACATTATACTGGAGGGTGTAGAGAGTCCTTCAGCATTGGGGGCTGAAACTTACTCCAAGGAGAGCACGGAAATTAAATAGCACATTATAAGTTACGATATATCTGAAAGCAAAGCATTCATCACAGCACCAGTAAAAGACTACATGTACCAGGAGAGGGTTCTACAAGGAAAGCAGATCCACGATCATAATTCATTCTCGTTGTAAGTCGTAGACTCAAATTAAACAAACAGCCCAAGACAGGCGTCGTCGCAAATAATAGGGGAATATGTTTTTGATATCCAAACAATGTAAAGCCAGCACCAGAAATGAAACACGGGCACAAGTGTAAAGGCGCCCAAATAACAAACACAAGGACAAGTTTACCACTCGAGGGGCTCGTTCTTGACATCCCCGCGGTTGGTCTTGGGGACAGGGGCAGCCTCGACCATGGTGGGGCCACCGCGGTTACGGCGGAGGTAGCCACTGCCGTCCAACCAGGGGGTGTCGAGGGTACGCTTAGCCTCGAAGGTGCGAATCTTGCTCTCCATTTGGAGGGTCAGACCAATGTCATCGAGGCCGTTCACAAGGCAGTGCTTGCGGAAGCCGTCGACGTCGAAAGAGACGATCTTGGTACCCTGAGCGTCCTTGATCTCCTGGTTGACGAGGTCGACTTCGACTTCGCGGCCGGCGCGGGCCTCATCGGCGATCTTCTGGAGGGCGACTTCGTCGGAGACGACGACGGGCAGCATGCCGTTCTTGAAGGTGTTGTTGAAGAAGATGTCGGCGAAGGAGGGGGCGATGATACACTTGATGCCGAAGTCGAGGAGAGCCCAGGGGGCGTGCTCGCGGGAACTACCGCATCCGAAGTTGGGGCCGGTGACGACCAGGATCTTCGAGTTACGGTAGATACCCTGGTTCAAGATGAAGTCGGGGTTCTCCTTGTCATCGGTGTAACGAAGCTCGTAGAAGAGGGCAGAGCCGAGACCGGTACGCTTGATGGTCTTAAGGAACTGCTTAGGGATGATGGCGTCGGTGTCGACGTTGGCGCGGTCCAGGGGAGCGGTGATGCCCTTCAGAGTGGTGAACTTGGGGAGACCGGTGCTGCTGCCACCGCCGGCGGAGGAGTTGGTGTGGGGCTCGTTGTCGGCGGGCTGGTCGAGGATACGCTCGAGGTCATCCTCGGTTTGGGGAGAGTCGGCCTCGGCCTCGGGCTGGACATCGATCTTGGGAGAGACCTTGGCGAGGACGGGGCTGGAGACGGTGTGTTCACGGACATCGGCGAGCTTACCGACGAGAGCGGCGGTGGCGGCCATGGCAGGGGACATCAGGTGAGTACGGCCCTGGGCACCCTGGCGACCCTCGAAGTTACGGTTGGAAGTACTGGCGCAGCGCTCCTTGGGGGAGAGAATGTCAGGGTTCATACCCAGGCACATAGAGCAACCAGCCTCACGCCATTCGAAACCGGAGTCGGTGAAGATCTTGTCAAGACCCTCAGACTCAGCCTGCTCCTTGACCAGACCGGATCCAGGAACGATCATGGCACGCTTGATGTTGGCGGCGATCTTGCGGCCCTTGACCACCTTGGCGGCGGCACGCAAATCCTCAATACGAGCGTTTGTGCAAGATCCGATGAAAACCTTGTCGACAACGACGTCCTTCATTGGGGTACCAGCGGTGAGACCCATGTACTCCAGAGCGCGCTTGCAGGACAGCTTGCGGTTCTCATCCTCGAAGTCATCAGGGCCGGGAACAACTCCGGTGATGGGAACAACATCCTGGGGAGAGGTACCCCAGGAGATGGTAGGGACGATATCCTTGCCGTCAAGGAAAACCTCAGTATCGTACTTGGCCTCGGGGTCAGACTTCAGGCTGGACCAGTAGGCGGTGGCCTTGTTCCACTCGGCGCTGCCGTACTTGGGGGCGAGGGGTCGGCCCTTGAGGTATTCGAAAGTAATCTCGTCAGGGGCAATCATGCCGGCACGAGCACCACCCTCAATTGACATGTTGCACATGGACATACGGGCCTCCATGCTCAGTCCGCGGATGACGGATCCGCTGAATTCAATAACAGCACCGTTACCACCAGCGGTTCCAATGACACCAATAATGTGGAGGACAACGTCCTTGCTGGTAACACCGGCAGGGAGCTCGCCATCGACCTGAACGAGCATGTTCTTGCTGCGACGGGTAATGAGGGTCTGGGTAGCGAGGACGTGCTCAACTTCACTGGTTCCGATTCCGAAGGCGAGAGCACCGAAGGCACCGTGGGTGGAGGTGTGACTGTCACCGCAGACAACAGTCGTACCAGGCAGGGTGAAACCCTGCTCGGGTCCAATGATGTGGACAATACCCTGACGCTTGTCACCCATACCAAAGTAGGTCAGGCCGAAGTCTTTCACGTTCTGCTCCAGAGTTGTGCATTGGAGACGGGAGTCGTTCTCCTTGATGAATTCCTCGGCATTCTTGAAGCTTTTTCGTGAAGAGGTAGGGATGTTCTATGGGGGGAAAGAATTGTTAGTTGCGAATTGCGAACTGCGCAGAATTGGATGAAACATACGTGGTCGACAGTAACCAAAGTGCAGTCCGGCCGGCGGACCTTGCGGCTGGCGTTTGTGAGACCCTCGAAGGCCTGAGGGGATGTGACCTCGTGAACGAGGTGACGGTCAATGTAGATCAGGCAAGTGCCATCTTCTTGCTCATTGACAATATGGTCGGAGAAGACCTTGTCGTACAAGGTCTTGGGTTTTGACTCTGCGGAGGGCATGGTGGGGGAGCTGAGAGGACAGTAGAGAGAAGGGATAATAAGGTGGGAATATATGGAGTATAGGGAGAATGGATGACAGATGCGCAGAGCCCGCTTTGAAAAGAGCGAGAAGAATATGGAGATCTGGGGATATGGAGAGAAAGCACTACTGATATATTTTTCTGGGCTGCAGAATCCGCGATGTCAATGGGGAGCTTCTCGAGGGGCAAGGCCGATCTCGGCCGGTCAGCGGCGAATGGTTACACTGTGATTGGCTGATGTGGACACACTGCAGACCCCCGATGTCGGTGTTGAATATTCCCAAATGGAGCAACGCGGCTACGTGCGCTTGATGGCGGAAGGCGAATCATGAATTATTTTACTTGGAATGAACCCTGAAATGGCAGATAATGGACTGAGTCTAATGAAAAATCGGGCACCTGGCTATGCATATAGTACTGTGAATTGTCCAATATCAGACTCGGTATAGTAAGCGTAGTAAGCACATGCATGACGTATCCAGCCTAACTTGGACACTGTGCTTGACCGACTCCGGGGGGTCAATAATGAACAGTCGCCCATTGGCTGCGGACTCCGATCGGCCCACTGTGAGTCAATGCTTAAGAAGCGGCATCGGCTTCGACTCTTTCGAACCTGCATCACATAATCATCATAGTCCAAATACGGTGAATCTCCTACATTGCATCGTGTTTGGGTTCTACACGGTAAATTATTAACTGACAAGACCTATAACCTTCTGTGTATTATTACTGATCCAAAAATAACCACACCCCGCTATGTCTCCCCATTTGAAGCGTCCTACCTTAGACAAGAAGCAACCTATAAACTGTTGCAAAATGGCGCTATACCTGACTCCTTGGCAACATAAGATGATTGTACTCATAGTACCCAACAGAAAGCGACTCAATATATCTCGAATTTCCAAGCTTGCAAAGTGTAGTGAGCGTTCTATCACTAGCATACGCAAAAAGCTGTGGTTATTCGGCGGTCCCAATCCTCTTAAATGTAGGTCTAAATTTCATCGGGGCCAACGCTACTAGATACTGTCAGCATATATTCAAGAGGGGATCATTTTGTCTCGTGTTTTTAAAGAGGTTTGACAGATGCTATATTATTCGAATCCTTGATAGGGTAGCTCCTGCAGCACTATGGGAGGTGACCGGCACCAAAAGTCCGTGCTTATTACAGATAACGCAGCCTTCCATCATTCAAATCGACTGAGGCTAGGGTGTACATGGAATACCCCTCTTGTGATCCAATATCTTACCAGTTTGCTTTGTTCCTTGGGGTCCTGGAATCAATATTACTTTGTATTTGGGGGGAGACCCTGTGTCTGGTGCTCCATCTAAGAAAACGTTCGTTAGATCGTGAGAAGTAAGGCAATGACGATAGACAAACCAAAAGCTCTCCAAAACTCTTCACAAGTTCGGACCCATTTAGATCACAGCCTTTCTTTGTGTATTCTGGGTCACCATTATCATGGAACTGACATGTTAGCGATTTCCTTGGCAGCAGAAGTTGAACTCACAAGCTTCATAGCATACGTCTTCTCAGCCAGCTGTATTTCATAGATCGTCGAGGACGTTGAGCAACTGATCTCTCGTCTGATTTTTATTTCGGAAGGACCTAGATCTAAAGAGAAAGCACTCTGGGAATGCATGGTTGCTGTGGGCTACATTGAGTAGGAGGCCAAGGTGAGGAACACAGAAAGGTGAAGCAACAACCTTGGAAGAGTTGGAAGCACCAGTTGACGACTCCTTGTATTATATAAGTTTGATAACAGTCATGTGATGATTCGATGTAGATGTTGTTATTCAGATCATCCCATGGTTGAAATTAAGCTATGTCTTATTCAACGCTATGGCGAGTTATTAAATCCAAAGCGGATCCGCCCAGACCCTTTCACATCCCCACCTGCCCCGCTTAAAGATGAAGCAACTTTTTACCTTCGTTTCTCTGGCCTGGTTAAAGCCGAGACCGACGTACCCTTCGAGTCGGTTTTGAACAACTTTCTCCGCAACTTAAGGTACAACGCTGATGCGAACATAACACTGTCCCCGTCACTCGTTTACCGGATACATTACATGTGTCCTTTACAGAAGTATCGAAGCGGAAAGTCAGGGCAAGTTCTCAAGTACTCCACCGGGCTTTTAAGAACCTGAAGCAATCAAATCCATACGTATTGCCAGATAGTCTAAAAAGGAAATCTACAGTCATAAACATAACACCCAATCCCACACCCACACCCAGTTCCATTTCAATCACCAAAAATGCAACGGAGACCAGAAACCAGGCTCTAAGACGATGAACCCGCAAGATCCATAACAATCCTCTTCCCAGAAACAGACCCACTCCTCAAGACCTCAAGCGCTTCATTGATCCCCTCAAGACCACCCTCAGCACGAACAATCTCGGGCAGCGTCAAGTTTGTCGAATGAAGCAGATCCTCCAGCCAACAAACCATCGCCTCGCCAACCTTAGGCGCAGAATGGAAAAGCTTAATCGGAACAGTATGATACTGGATGCCCGGATTCCGCTCCGCAGGCAAGCCCGTCAAACCAAGAAGATGGGCATGGCCATCCGGGTTCAGCGTCCGTTCGAGTATTGTTGCTGTCTCTTTGCCGACTATGTCGATTGCATAGCGTAGCTTGTTACCCGTGACGCCACGGATGATTTCTACTGCTCGATTTGGGTCATGTCGGTCGACTAGGAGGTCGGCGCCTGACTGGATGAGTTTGGCGCCGTGGCGGGCGGCGTCTGCTATGCAGATTACGCGGAGGCCGGCTAGTTTTGCTAGTTGGAGGGCTATTAGGCCTGTGGTTGTGGAGGCTGTTGTGGGATGGGATGTTAGTTCGGTTCGGCGGGGATGTAGCGTTGGGTTGCGAGACTTACCTCCCCAGATGGCGATCCATTCTCCCGGTTTGGGTTTCTCTGAATCTAGGAATGAAGCAAAGCACTCTTCGCGGATGTCGGCGGGGATGTCATTTTCATTCAGTTGTTTGATGATGCTGGGTAAGTGGGGGCCGGGGGCCTTCTGGATGAGGGAGAAGTCCAGGCCGAATGATACGCCTAGGGCTAGTGCGGCTGCGACATAGGCAACCCCCACTGAGGATGCGGCGTGGATAGATGTCGAGGCGGGGATCCGGGCTGCATTGAAGTCTGTGGCAACGGCGTATTCTTGGAATGCTGCTTTCCTGATATCGCGGTAGTCTGTTGATGGGACAAGCACTACGTCGCCTACTTTGAGACGAGATGACCCCTTTGGAACTTGTAGGACGAGGCCGGCGAGATCACGTCCGTTGATCCATGGTAGACTGGGGATACCAAAGTTGAATGCCCTGGTTGCTTGGTTAGTTGCTTGTGGAAGTAATATTTGGTCTAGATAGGGCTAGAGTAATACTCACGGTCCTTTCCAGTCGATAGGATTGAGGCCGATAGCAAGAACCTATACGTTAGTGATCAGCATCATGCTCTATGGTATGGTTATGCAAGGTACAGGGATTCTGAGCCTATCATACCTTGACCAGAATCTCTCCTTCGTGTAGGACAGACGGGATAGCATGGTCGTTCACCAGAGAGTATTGTTCGCGGGCTCCCTTCAAGAGAAGTACACTCTGCCTGGATAGTTCCGACCGCGGTGACGGAGGCTCACTTTCGGAACTTGTGTCATTTGTGAAGTCCGAGATCGATTCGGTATAAATGTTCTCATGGAAAGTAGGGGTCTTTTGCAACCCATCGAGTTGTAGATAGGTAGAAGTCGTCGACATGATGCTAGGTGCTAGTAGAGCCATTTCAGAAAGCACGGTAGGGGAGATGACGATTCCAGCCCTGGGTTCTATCTATATTCTATGTAATACTCAAGATCTCTCGGGCGAGAAGATCCCATACTTATTTTAAGGAGGGGGGTTGATATCAAGCACGTAGGTTGGGGTTACCTCCACTGCTTATGGATCAAGGAAATGATTTGATCTCCGTGATCGAACCCGTTATTCCCGGGACTTGCTCATCGCGGGGCATAGATGGCGTGATAGATGGGTTGGGAGAAGACTGGGGTAGAGTGATATTCCTCTCATATGGGCACTACAGGGAGAGAATGTTACGTTCTAGGTTATTTGTTCGATAATGCTTCATGGATCCAAGTATAGGGTTCTTGAGTGTTATTTACATTGCAGTTCATTTGTATAGTTGTTCAGTTCCTAGGAAAAGGGATCAAATGGGAAACTGATGTGATCTGCTGCATCGATGACGAATGCTTTCAACTTTTTGGGTTCAAATCGCGAATAGGCTGCCAAGATCGACATTACAAATGAGAGATGAGAACATTGAACACATTAACTCTGAAGTCTGCTAGATGTTCTTGACTTGGATTTTTGTATTCTATCAGAATTATACACACGGGGCATTGCGAGGAACTTGCTAGGAACTGCCAATGCATATCTTGCTTGGATGTCTATGGACCAGAACGACAATATAAACTCCTAGCAATGATAAGCCAGTAAATTACCTATACCGATCTCTATTCCGGACTCTACTATATCATATGAAACAAGGTTATCATCTAATCCAGATGTTAAATGGTAAGCCTTTCAGCCGTCTCTGAGGCGCTCCGTGCGAGCACGTAATTCCAGCAATGAACGACAACATCCTTTAATTGCAAGACTAGATCATTTTGGCCCTAGACAGGGGTCGAGATAGGTCTAGATAGGCACAAGACGATAAAAATCCATCGATGCTGTCATTCAGCGGGATTGGGGACATTCAAGCCGAGGATGTTTAGCCGGAGCTATATAGATCTCTCACGGGCGCTATAATAAAAAAGCTGTCGCCAAATCAATCACTTTGGAAAATCTTGGGACCCCAGATTTTTCCATTCCATGATGGCGAATTCCGAAAAAGGCGTGTCGCCGAACGATGCAGAGGTAAACAGTGCTAGTGCTGGCTCTCTCAACTCGCCGGTTCTTGGACAACCACGAAAAGGTAAGTCAGGTCCCAAAAAGCGGTTTCTTGTCGCATTCAATCTAATAATCAAAATAGTCAAATGGTACCGCTCAACATTCTTCAACGCCCTAATCCTCGGACTATGCAACTTCCTCGCACCAGGAATCTGGGGCGCAATGAACTCCCTCGGCGGCGGAGGCGAAGAAAAACCCTACCTAGTCAACGCAGCAAACGCCCTAACCTTCGGTCTAATGGTGGTATCGTGCTTCCTCGGAAGTGTGGTCGTCCGCTTCATCGGAATCAAATGGACACTCATCGTTGGAACCATGGGGTACGCACCGTACGCGGCAGGACTATACACGAACAACCGCTTCGGAGACGAGTGGCTGGTGATCCTGGGCGCAGCGTTATGTGGCATATCAGCTGGCATCTTCTGGATGGCCGAGGCAGCGATCGCGCTCTCCTACCCAGAGCCCTATAATCAAGGTCGATTCCTGGGATTCTGGCTCAGCTTCCGTGTTGGCGGACAGATCCTGGGTGGTGTGATTAACCTCGGCATTAATGCGCATCGGTCTACGTCCGGGTCGATCTCTTATACGGTTTACCTGATCTTTATTGCGTTGCAGGCTTTGGGTCCGTTTGCGGGTTTGCTGTTGAGTACGCCGGCGCAGGTTCAGCGGAAAGATGGCGTCCGGGTCCAGCTTCAGGTGAATAACAGTATTGGATTTGAGCTGAAGAGCATGGTGAAGCTTTTTGTCAGTCGAAAGTTCGCGCTTGTGATTCCTCTCATTTGTCAGGCGGTCTATACTGAAGCGGTGATGTTCTCGTATGAGGGCTTGTGGTTCTCTGTGCGGGCGAGAGCTCTGGGCTCATTCCTCTCCGGTGTCATTGCGTTGATCATTGGAAATCTGCTGGGTGCTTTCCTTGATACTAAGAGGATTTCCTTGAAGGCCCGCACGAGATATGCTTTCTTCTTCGTTATCGCGTGGCAGGGAATGTGCTGGACCTGGGCGTCGGTGGTGACGACCGAGTTTAACAAAACAAATCCGATATATGACTGGACCGATCCTGGGTTTGGGAGAGCTTTTGCGCTTTTCTTGTTCTGGGTTGCTGGTTTCCAGCTGAACTATATGTACCTGTGAGTTGCAGCCTTGCTTGCTATCGTTGGAAAATACTAAACATCAGCAGATTCTTCTTAGTCGGAAAACTTGCGGATGATCAGGAGGAGGTTGTTCGAATTGCTGGTTTGTTGCGTGGGACCGAGTCGGCTGCTCAGTGTGTCAGTGTAAGTATTCTCCTCCCGTTGAAAGACCTGAATATTAATCTATTGCAGTATGGCCTGAGCAGTGTGAACATCATGGCTGCCGTGGGAAGCGTATACCTCAACTTTGGCTTATGGGCCATTGCAATCCTTCCAGCCTGGTTTATTGTGAAGCAGGTCGGAGTTGCATTCGGTGATAAGAAAATTGAGCGGGAGACTGGTGCCCTGCGCGAGGCCTCAGACAATGAATGAGCTACGGAGTTGACATAATATTGACCACCCATAGAAGCATGTTCAGTTGAGAAAAGTATACAGGATCAACTTTAAAATCCCTTGTTAAAATATACATATTGAAAAGATAATCTTTTTATAAAGTCCGACTCTAATGTTCTCGTAACACATGAAAAATTTCAAAGCTATGCAATGAAACCGAATTCTCGGTTGTCATGATGAAACACGAGTAACGCAAGCCGATGTCGGACAAATAGACCGAGCATTCCACAGAAGGTTTGCACTGCAACCATATGCCACGCCAGTGTATCTTCTCTCATGGGACCCATCCATACCAGCCACAGGTTCAGAATTGTGAGATTGGATGATTCAGTAATTCGGCCAGACTCATCTTGAGTGACCCGCACTAGTTTGAGAGTGTGCAAGAGGCGGAGCCCAGCATCGACCAAAGGCGAGGGAGGTTCGGTCCACTCTGTGACAGAAGCGTCCAGGAGCCCAGTGGAGGCACTGAATTTTGGAAGTCGGTGGCGAGGGCAAGGTATCAGTTTGAATAGCTGAGGCGTCGAGTACAAAAAGTTGAAAATCTGTGGGATAAACAGCAGCAACAGGGTTTTGCTGAAATGCCCTAGAATGCCAACCACGGCAAACACCATTCCGGCGAAATAGCAGTAGGTGTCTCCGACAAACACCTTTGATGGATACCAATTGTGACACAGAAGAGCTGCCGAGACTCCGATGAAGGGGAGCAAGAAATAAATCGACAACAAATGAGAGTCGGTGGCAGGATGCGGGTATGGCGTAACAGGTGCCAGGTACATGGCATCGTTGAACAACAGTTGAACAGCAATAACCAGCGACTGGGCTACCTCAATACCGTTGATTCCTGCCAGCATGTTGATGGCATTTGGACAAAAGATTGCCACGGCTCCCATGTACATGTAATACAGCCATCCCAGGTCGACAACGTCACCCAGGTAAGATTGCAGCGGCACCGGAACGACGACTTGCGTGACGCCAAAGTCAACAAAGTACACAATCAGCATAGGAATGGAAGAGAATGCTGGGATCAGAACTTTGTGTCTCCAGCGAATATCGAAAAGATCATCACCAATACCGAGGATCACGACCGATTGCAAAGACAAAAGACCAGAGAGATAAGATGCAAGCTATACGAACAAATTAGCATGCTTAGGAATGACATTGATTCAAAATTACCTTTCCATGTGGGAAACGGTGCAAGTATCGACCGTTCTCCACATGCTGAGTCTCAATCACAACGTCGCGGTTACCGCCACCGGAGGTGGCTGCCACAATGTCCTTGTAAAAGGCAAATGGAATAAAAATGATCAAAGCCATCAAGTACACTACCGCGCAGACAGCTCCCATGGTTTCGGGACTTTGTTGATATATTAGCACTTGTGTGATCGATCAACTTCCTCAATAGTCACATACATTTCGGGCCGTCTTGGCTTTGCCATGTCCTTTCCCTTTAATCCGGCTTTTAAAAACACCGGTCCAAGCCATATAATCAAGCTGTAGGCTGCTGCAAACACAATGCCAACCATAGCAATTGAAGCCATCAGAGGCGCTCCATCATCCTGGAAGGTCGCGTACAGGATGGATATACCGGCCCCAACAAGAGCTAGTAGACTCCATGTCTCTGTGCGTGATAGCGCACTCAAGGTAGACATTGCAACGATGCAAGGAACAAGGTTCCTCTCTGGCAACAAGATCCAACAATTGAATCTCGACAAAGTCCACGTTGACGACGCGCAATCTGTTCAATACTAAGCTCATCATGTTCTGCCTGCAGTATCTGACCGCCCATAAGCGGTGGCAGCCACCCGCGATGCTTGCGGCCAAAAAAGGAAAGAGCGAACATCTGTTTCATATCTCATACCTGCAGATGCATAGATTCATAATCATCATTGGCTCTTTCTAATTCTCATACTCAACTGATCCTGATCTGACTCTATGGGGGCTGTGGAGCGCCCCGAGATAACCGGATTTGCCGACTTCGATGCGGGCCATCGGGATCTGGTTACTGTCACCAGGTTTAACTTCTATGGCAACCGTATTGTCACAGCTTCGTCTGATCACCGCATGAAGGTGTGGGATCTTAAAGATGGCCAGTGGCAACTTATAGACACCTGGCGCGCCCACGATGCCGAAATTCGCGACGTACGTCCCCAAACAAACACATCAAGGGCGTGTATTGGACAACAGTGGCTAAAGTACGATACAGGCAAATTGGAATGGACCATTTACAGGCCAGCATATCGGCAGTGTCGGTGAAGACATGAAGTTAAAACTCTGGCAAGAGGACGTAACCCAGCCACCAAACTCGGGACGGCGTTTCAGGTGTATCTTCCGTCTGACCGCGCCGGAAAGACATCCATTTGTGTCACTTGACTTTCGCAACATTGATCTGGAGTCATGGATGGCCGCCATTACGCGAGATGGCTACCTGATGGTTTTGGAACCCACCAGCCCTGATACCCTGGCCGACTGGCAGACAATTGACCAATTCCGAGTGTGTACGGCGCCCGAACGTGGGGAGGAAACAAGTTTCAAAGTCCAGTTTCATCATGATCCAACCGACCTCACTCACACTGTCTCACCAGAGTCCGATCGGAAAAGCATGTCATTGGTTGTGGCGGCGATGGATACGGTCAAGATCTACCGCACTGATTCAAACCGGCAGTTCTACCATGCAATTGAGTTGAATGGGCACAGCGGACTTGTGAGGGATATTTCTTGGGCCAATGGCTCTGTTCGTGGCTACGATCTCATTGCGAGTGGCGGAAAAGACGGCTTGGTTCGCATTTTCGAGGTTTACACAACGCCAGCGAGTCAAGCATCGCAAAACAACCACAACCACAAGGCTGAGCGTCGCGTCCAATCCCCTTCTGCTCGGGCCAAGTCGCAGTCTGGGATCGGTTCTGCTTTGGCGAACCGTGTACCTGCGTCGCAGACTGACCGTCGAGCTAGTGGTGACTCCCAGTTCCGACATTCGTTCAAACAGGTTGCTTGCATCGATACTAAGCACCTCGATGTATGGCAGGTTCAGTTCTCATTCTCTGGTAGGTGTTTAACCTTCGTTTCGGCGCCGGTCCATTTGACTAACAACCCTTAGGTGACTCGTTGATTTCCTCTGGAGACGATGGAACCGTCCGCTTTTGGAAAAGAGCCCTATCAGGCGAATGGCTCGAATTTGCTGAAACAGACATGGCATCCCAGTGATCATCTTTATATAATTTCTTGCGAAGATGTGATTTGGGACCCTTCATCTATGCACTGTTTATTGCTGTTCCCTTTTGGCTCTCCTCGCCCTCCATTCATCTTTATCAATGATACCCTTTACATTTGATTTATGCTTAATTCGGTGTTCACTTGGTAACTGCTAGTGCTAACTTCATTCTTTTCTGAATTCATAATGTTTTGTTTTGGCATGCGGAAAGTGCGATGGCGTAGTTGGCCCCTCGACCACTTCCCCAGGTGTAGTTTTCGAGAACCTCAACCTTCTCCTCTCGCAACTTGCAACCCTTCATTATTTATATGCATTGTTAACCCCCAATGGCTGTCGGTCCAACCATCGGCACCGGCCTGTTCATTGGCGCAGGCCAGGCTCTTGCCGTCGGCGGGCCTGCCTCCCTACTCATGTCCTATATCATTCTGTCCTTCCTCGCATTCGCCATGACCACGAGTATGGCAGAGGTGTCTACACACATGCCCTCGCGATATGGAACCCTTGTAACCAACAGTTACCTGTACATGTCAAGCAGCGTGGCATTCGCCTCATCATACCTCCGCTGGTATACCATCTCCATGTTCGTCCCATACGAGATCACAACAGCGATGGTCAATCTTGGCCTCTCCAAACCAGGCACCACGATCGCTGTTCGCTTGTTAATCATCACGACCATTATTGTTGGTTTCAATTTCTTGCCCGACAGACTGTTCAGAAGCTCTGAGCGAATGTTCACTTCGATCAAGATTGGTACAATGGCGACCTTCTTCGTTCTGGCTCTGGCTATTGGTCTTGGGGGTGTTGATGGGCACACTCGCTGGGCTTTCAAGTACTGGAAATATCCAGGTGCCATGAATGAGTACATTCTTCACGGATTGTGGGGACGAGTGCTTGGATTCTTTCAATGTCTGCTTGATGGCTCCATTGCCTTCACCTTTGCCCCCGAGCTGATTGTGCATAACGCCGAAATGCCTGCATCGGTTGGCGAGTCAACACTTCTGGGCTTAGCAATTCCAGGCAAAGTGTCGTCTGACATTTTCCAAACGGCCTTCCCGTATGTCCTGAGCTCCTTGGCCATGGGCATTATGGCACCATTCAACGATACCCGCTTGACCAACAATGGAACCGGCTCTGGACTGTCGCCGTTCATGATCGGATTTAAAGACGCTGGCATTCAGATAGTACCTACCCTTGCAACAGTCGCGATCTTGCTCTCTTCGGTGGCTTCGGGTCGATCATTTCTTTACCTGTCATCTCGCACCCTGTGTGCCATGTCAGAGCAAGGCCATGCTCCTTCGGTTTTTTCGATTCGCAATCGTTGGGATGTTCCATACCTGGCTGTCGCAGGATCCGCACTGTTCTCTATCATTGCCTTTGTTTGCGTCAAGGTCCCAAGTCCAATCATGAATAACTATCTACTTCGTCTTGTCACGAGCGGTGGTTTCATTTCCTCGTTGGTCGGATGCACAGTTCACCGTCACTTCCATCGACGTCTTCGGGCAAACAGGATCACTACTCGCTTTCGCTTTGCTATTCAACCGTTCGGTACTTACTTTGGGATGTTCGTCTCTGCGGCACTGCTGCTGGCCGGTGGGTTGTGGGCAGGACCCAAAGCCATCCTCCCTGGGACCCGAGCAGCTAGATTGGTCACTTCCTATATCAATATTGGAGTGTTTGTTCTACTCTTCCTGCTTCATCGCTTCCGAGACCTTGTCCCTGTTGTTGAAGTTGAACGACCGATCGATATGGAGGGACGCAGGCATGGCGATCGCGAAGCTCGGGAGGTACGACCCCATAAGGCGCCTTTGAACCGTGGAAAACTTGATGCCATCCCTGAAGACTCGGATGCCTTTGAGTTGCGACTTAATCACAACATGTTCGCAGAGCCCTGAGTAATTTGTCTAGGATATGACCCACGACACGGACCGAACAGTGGGTATAGAGGAGGGCTTGGCATGTCTGCGAGTAAGCATTAATGTTAGACGTTATTGTTAACGCTGATCATTTGGTTTTGTTTTTTTCCCAAATTTGCCTTGGCATTGATATCACATCTCCGGACGTGTATTGTAGACGGAACAACGGTGAAGGTGTAGGAACCCTAGTCCCCCCCCTACTATGTTTCACAGGAAATCGGGTGTCAGGCTGACAGACCGCATAAGAAGGATTATCTAGAGGTAGCCTGAGAGACCTTAAACGGACTCATACAGTACTGTATCTTTCGATAATATACCCTGGGCTGATTTTAGTGCACAACCCTTTATAGTGGCAAAATACGCCAAATCACAAAAGGCTCAGCTTTCCCCCCCTTTCCTGACTCTATAGACTTCTCAGACCCGATGACCTGCCCCTCACACGCCACGTTCTCATCGGCGATCTCTCTCTCTCTTTCTCTGAAGCCATTCTGATTTCTCTATCTACTAATCCTCTCCTACTTTACCGTTGGCTCCCCTGTTTCCAGTATTGGTTTTTTTCCTCCCGTTCCGCTCCCGCCCTTGCGTTCCGGGTTTCCGCCCATCTCCCGGGACTAGCCTTCTGGTTCATTCTCTTGTCCTCCCACAATCCCTTTCAAGTTTGAGAAACAACCGGACCCCCATTTCCCCTTTTCTTGTCTACTAACTCCCCTCACATTCCTATACACCTATATGCTCCTTGTCGTTTTTAAGGTCATTTTTCATGCTGGAGGCAGTCCTTGATGTGGGATATTGTTCATCCGAACCTGCTTTTCCAGCACAAGAAACAGGGCCAAAACTGCCCTCTTTCTTTTGATATAGTCAGCTGATTTCTAGATGCCCCGTGACATTCCCAGAATGCCGCTAGTCCCAATCCTCCCTAGCGTGGCTGGAAACGGTAATACGGAACTTGGAATCTCCGGCTGCGATACTTCACCCCAAGGGTGAAATGCGAGGATGTTTTCAGGTCGAGCCTCCCCTTAGGGCTTCTAGCCCATTATTCTTACCAAAGGGCTAGCTGGCCTACCAGCATACCCCCTGTCACCATGTCTATACTAAAAACCCTCCCCCCAAGACTTACTTCCAGGCCTCATCGTGGATACACGCTAAGCCCCTTTCGCTCATGGCGCACTTGGTCTCTGCTGCCGGCCGAATATTCTCTCTGCCTAAGGCCCCGTAGCCTCCTCCTTCGTCTCTCTCCAGTTCACGGAAATCGCCCATCTTCTTTTTCCTCTCCTTTTCCCTATTCCTTACCGTCGCGCTTTTCCTCCTTTCTAGCCCTAATTCTCTTCATTCTTTTCTCTATCCTCTCCTCCCTATCTACTACTACTCGTATTCTCATCTTCTCCTCCCCCCCCCCCCCTCCACGCGATCTCGCTCACCCTTTTCACTCTCTTCGACGCCTCCACTTCCAAGATCCCACCAGGTCTCTACACAATCGCAGGACCTCGACGTGTCCTTTTCGAATCGCCTTGATCTCCTTTGACGAAACCTACTTCTCGCCAACCTATTTTTCTCGCCCATTTTCTTTTACCCTGGAAGTCACCATCCAGGCGCATTCGAGCAAGGTCTTCGACGCTTCCACCAGTAGCCACCATCAACCCAGGGCCCTTCATAATCTCACATCTGGGCTCTGTGGTATCATTTGATTAGCTGGAAAGGAAACATTGTCGCCTGCGCACGTTATCTTGTGCACTTCCCCTCGTGGTCGTGACATTTAACTATTCCATCAACGCGTTTGCCGTCCACCAAGGGCTTGGGAAGATACATGTCCCGGGGAAGACGTGACGGACACATAGGATAATGACAGGTCGTTTACGCCCCTGTTAACTAATACGTGATCTTGTCTTCACCTGAGAGGGGGTTATCTGTCGGACTATGACAGATACCTCCTCCCTCGCCATCACGCACGCCACAACGGATTCCTATCCGGTCCCCGCTCCTCCAGGCTCTCCTGCCGCCGACGGTGCAGTCTCTGACTCTGCCGCACCCGATGAAGAAGAACCTTATACCATCAAATGCATTTGCTCGTTTGAGGAAGATGATGGTAGCACGGTATTCTGTGAAGGGTGCGAGACATGGCAGCACATTATCTGTTACTACCCCGACAAGAAGGTACCAGATGTACACAACTGTGTTGACTGCGAGCCACGGCCATTGGACAATCGCCGTGCCACCGAACGACAACGGGTGCGGCGCCAACGGGAGAAAAGCGAGGATAGGGACCGGAAACCCAGGCGGCCTGGGCCTAAAACTCAACGAAGGAAACCGAAGGATACAGAAGTGAATGGGTTTGGACATCAACGATCCGAGTCAAGTGCACGCGAACAGCCACCGACGAAGAAGGCGAAAACGTCACACCGTCCCTCCGCATCAATTGGTGGTCTTTCCGGTATCCCGGCTCTTCCGGCTGAGTCGCGCAAGCGTCGTTCCTCTACCTCTGTCGCTTTGAGTCCAACGAAATCCGAACTTCCTATCCCTCTCTACTCAAACGAGTTCCTCAATCTTTACGACCGAGATGAAGATTACGATGAAATTGACAGCAACCTTTTTGTCAACATGAGCCTAATGCGGGACACTGTCTCATGGTTGAAGGACCCAGAAGCTTTGGCGCGAGTCACCAATGGACGTCCTGCTGAAGATACTTTTCAATGGTCTGATGCGGCATTGGATCGGTCTCGCTGGCCCTCATTGGCCGTCGATACGATCACAGACCCAAACAGTGAGATCGGTGGCAAGCATCCAACGTACAGGATCATCAAGACTCAAGATCCTGTACGACGGGATGAAGTTGTCGGAGAGATCACTGGCAAGGTTGGCTATTTCAGAGACTATTGTCTTGACCCAAGCAACCGGTGGTCCAAGTTACGGCACCCTGAACCCTTTGTCTTCTTCAGCGCACATCTTCCCCTCTACATTGACGGTCGTCGTGAAGGCAACAAGCTTCGTTACATCCGACGTTCCTGTCGTCCCAATGTTAGCTTGAAGATCTACATCACCAATGATGTAGAGTATCATTTCTGTTTTGTTGCCAAGGATGACATTCCTGCCAACTCGGAGATTACTGCTATGTGGTACCTGGACCCTGAATTCCATGAAGCTACCAATGGCGTGGTGAAGCAAGAGTCTGGGGATCCAGAGGCTGCTTCAGTCTGCATCAGTAATACGCTTGCCAACTTTGGTACATGCGCGTGTGAGCTTTCTGGCGAAGAGTGCACAATGGCCAAGCTTGACCGCCGGCGACGTCCAAAGCTGGATTTGGTAAAGACCAATGGCAAGCGGAGGAAGGTCAAGAGCAAGACTGTAGCATCTCCAATGGAGACAGGTCGTGCTTCTACGAGTCGTGCAGGTAGTGAGACAACTAAACATGACGAAGATGACCCTGCAGCCGATAGTCGATCAACTTCAGGCTCAACTCGTGGTCATCCTCGTAGTCGTGATCTAAGTCCTGCTCAACCTCTGCCTGAACTCTCTACTCGTGAAAGGCGGAAAATCGCTGATGCGGAAAAGCAATTTCAACAACTAGAGGATCGGCACGTGCATCCCAAGAAGAAGAAGCGATCCAGTGGACCTTCTCATTCTACACAACCTGGTTATTTTGGGACTCAACGTTCAGGAAGATCTCAACCTCCTACACAATCTCGTTCTCCTACCGCTGTGTCTCCTGGTACAATGGCTTCTCGCAATTTGAATCCTCCTGGTCTTCGCCGTCGTTCTGTCTACGTGGACGTCGGTATTCAGTGCAACCGCGATGATGAATCCCCTCCTCCTCCCAGGATTCGTCCTCCTCCCAGGATTCGTCCTCCTCCCTACATTCCTATGACTCGGCGTCTTCTGATGCGTTACGATGCGGAGAATATCAGACTAGCAGAACTTGCGAGACAGCAGTTGTCTTCGGCTGGCTCTGACAGCGCTGCGACTTATGCCACCTTCGGGTCTCCCGCCCCCTCGCTCCGCTCGCCTGCCGTTGCGCATGACCGCGCGGAGGCTACTGTGGCTACTATGGACAGCCCTTCCACTCCTGTGCACGGAGATCGTGAATTCAGTGCTCGAACTGAGACTCTTGGCTCCAGCAACGACCCACGCAAGCCGCCCATTTCCCCTCCGTGGCCGTCTACCGCCGCTCACAACGTTTTGATTCCGGGTGCGTATCGCCGCAGCAACCTGCATGTTTCTATGCCCCCACCCCACGGTATCCACGCGCCTTCCGCAATCAGTCCTGGCTCTACTGGTAGTCTTGCGTCCCCTCTTGCTCATGATCACGCTCCCCATGCTTTCGTGCCACCTTTGGGTCATGCTCCCACTCCCACTCCTGCGAAGAAGAAGCTCAGTCTCGGGGACTACCTGATCCGCCGGGGAACCATGGCATCGGACAAGCCTACCGCAGCCAAGAAGTCTCCCTCTGCCGGAGATGGCACTGCAGACCGTCCTATCACTCCTACTGGAACCGAGCTGCATGACAAGTCTGAGCCTACTTCTTCCCCACAAATGCCGATGAAAGATGCCCCCGAATCAACACCCACTCACATCCCTTCCATCTCTTCGTGATTTGATTCACGTGGCAGTAATGAGGGGTCTGTGACAAAAGGAAAAATATGGAAAGCGTCCCTATGGATTCTTTATTACGTTTCTTACGACCCAAAATTTCTTTTCTCGTGTGACTTCATCATTTCGACACTACAGCGACAAGAGCAAGGGAGTACACAGGCGTTTCATCAAGCCCACATGCTTTCTTTCTTTTTTTCCTCTACTGTGCCGGCTTTCTCTCATGGTTCTTCTTTGCTTGTTTTACTCTACCAACAAATACATCGATATTTGTGTGTTTCGGCCTTAGCTATCGCTTTTGCCATGGCCATGGTATGGTTATGGCTATCAGACGACGGCTTTGGCTTTCTCGTTCCGGATGGCGTATGGCGTGGTTTGAATGGCAAGGACTGGGTTTGGTCCTCTCTTTTTTCTGGTTATGGGAAATACCATCGGGTTGGGATAGGATCTTTGTGATGGTGTATGTGTACCAATCGTGTTCTGACTTTTTCTTTATTTCTTGTTTTTCTTTTTTTTTTCTATGGTCTATGGTCATGTCTGCCTTGTGGCGCAGCTTGGATCTTTGAGCCATCTTTGTGAGATTACTGAGTCTCTTCTCTCTTTCCTTTCGGTCACGTCGTCTGATGTGACTTGATAGCTTGTATGAACACTGCTTGATCATATGTACAGTTTTTTCTCTGTTCTTTGCGTAGTTTGTAGATTGCGTTTGGGGGTTTGCCTGATTGCCTGTTGGCACTTTGTTGTCTGTCGGTATCTCTCCGCTTGTTCGTTCCTCTGGTAAATAATCATCACGGACGTGTCTGCTCTGTCTGCTCTGTTTGCCACGACATTGGTTTCTGCGATACTCACTTCCTACAAAGACACATGTAGCTGAACTTACCATGGCTTTTTGACGTTATGGATACTTCTGGACGGAGAAATAACTAGTGCGATTCGACTAGGAATAACAATGTAGACTACCAAGAAAAGCTTTGGTGCAGTCCATCACCTACGACCCGACGAGGAAATGCATAATCACGGTAGATATGTCACAAGCAATTTGTCACGGTCCTTGAACTTTCATATAATCCCCTTCCCTAAGGTAACTCCGACGTAACTGTCAGCCTCTCTCTCTGCCTCTGCCTCCAAGTATTCTAGGTACGCAATCTTCCTCAACAACACGTCCGCCCCATAAGCACTGTTTCATTTTGCTATCTGTGCCCGAAATGGTGCGCATTATATGGGTACTATTTATTGTGAAAGATATCCAATGAGAAAATAGGTCCATTGCTTACTATAGGCAAGCGCTATACTTGTGACCTGCTGTTATGTAGTTCAGATTTGTGGAAAGTATATATTCGCATTTTGCTCTGCCTTTACCCTATAGAATCCGGTCCATTTGTATACATCTCATATCATCTTAAAGTCTCTGCCATTTGGTAAGAGAGAATACTCAATCAAAATGAAAGCTCAATGACTATCTTTTAAGCGAAAGTAAAAGTCAGAAAGAGGTTAAGACGCTTTAGGTGAATGCGCGTGAGTTCATATTTTGTCAAATGGCGTCTCTTTCCATAACCGGAGCGGTAGTTCAGTGGTTTAGAACGTTCGATTGCAAATCGAAAGGTCGGGGGTTCGAGTCCCCCCCGCACCTCTCTTTTTTATTTTTGTTTGCTTGCTTTCTTATCTGTGGATACTAGAATTCCTTCTATGTAATCCTGTCTCTTTTTTGGATCCTGGGTAGATAGTGTGCAATCAATCATAAATATCTGTGATCTATCTGTCTTGTATCTAATTTCTTGATACTCGCACTTCACATGAAAGTCAACAAATGAGCGCGCAAGATGAGCAACGATGCACGCTAGACAAAGCCATGGCGAGGGTTTCTCTGCATATCACCAGAGAACTTGCTCTTAGGTCTGGTCTATTTTGATTACTAGGCGATGTGCCTGTCTGCCTGTCCAGGTGGTTGATGTTGATGTTTATGATGAGGCTCGGTTGAAGGAAATCTAAGCACTCACTTATACCGGAAACACGCATTGGAAAAGGGACCGGTTGTGCAAACGCTTTTCAACCCATTTACCAGTTCTCCATTCAGAATGGCTGTGAAGAATTGGAAAGGCAAAGCTGAATGGACTATCCTCGCGTATATGTAGCAGTCGGCTCGAGACAGAAATCTCGAAATTCTTGGGGCGAACCCGGGCTCTACTTGGCTGCCTTACCTGCCGGAGCAACAGTGCGATATTGTACTGATTAGTGTTATATAAGGCAGCGAAGTTCCAACCACTTTGCGTTTGAATAGAGCAGAAAGCGACAGAGGAAACTCATGTCGGCCTAACGGTGTAGCGTTATATGTCAATATGTATTTACTCAAACTTCAGGGATGGATCAACGGTTTCGGAATTCATCAGGGTGTAAGAAGTGCTGCCATTGTGATCATCCGGCACGAAGTGCGAGGGTTGACATCATAATCTGTCAACAGTGAGTTGAGAAATATATAATAACATAGGAAACATATTCTCCCGTGTGTACTGTTCAAGTACACGAGATCTTTCACTGTAGTTGCGCTAAACGGCCTATCTAGTGAAATAGATTATTAACGGGAGAAGATATGTGGATCTGAAGTTGTAAGGTCGAGCAAGAGAATTCAAGCCTCCAAAGTAGACGGCACGAAGTCCGATACTTGACTTGACTGACTCAAGCGTCGGGCCAACCCCGCGACCCAACCGTTAACTTTTCTTCCCTTTCCATATCTCTACTTACATCCCAACAGTATATATGAATTCCGAAGACTTTACGCTGGACGAGATCCATTCTCGCAGATCTACAAATGAAGCCACCGAGATCGAGCAACCCGCCCTTCCCCCAGCAGATGGCGGCAGAGCTGCATGGCTGATGCTGGCTTCATGTTGTCTGATTCAGTTGCCCGTTTGGGGTCTGTGATGAGACATAAAAGGCAGATCAACCTATTAACCTCTATTCTAGGCTTCTCCACTGTGTTTGGTATCTTCCAAGAATACTATACAACGCATGACGTCCTACAAGGAAGCAAAGGCGACCTGGCGACCGTTGGGACTTCTTCCACTGTATGCGAAAGGAAATCGACATACGTGAATAGTCTAATACTTTCTCTCAGGGCATCCTGTATCTGCTTTCGCCTGTTACCTTTACGATTCTGACGCGGTACCCTCGCTTGCAATACTACAGTGCGCCTACAGGCTTGATCATTACAGTGATAGGATCTCTGCTATCCTCATTCTCCGTGCAAGTATGGCATCTTATTGCTACCCAGGGTGTCATGTGTGCTCTTGGAAATGCGCTCTTGTTTAGCCCGTCGTCCTTGTACCTTGACCAGTGGTTTTTACACCGAAAGGGCCTTGCACTTGGGACTATGTGGGCTGCGAAAAGTGTCACTGGCGTTGCTCTGCCGTTTGCTGCCAGTGTCTGTCTGAGCAAATTTGGTCCGAGTACCACGCTGAAAGCCTGGACCGTTATTACTGTATAGTTATATCCTTTGTCTAGTCCTCTGCGGAATTGATAGAAGGGCTTCGAGACTTGAGTGAAACTGACTCTGAGATTCTTAGTTTATCACTACTCTCATGGCACTACCATATATGAAACCTCGAATCCCAATCTCGGCTTCGGCTTCAGCACGTCGCTTGGATTTGAGTTTCCTGAAGCAATCCAGTTTCTGGATGCTGGAAGCGGGAAATATCATCCAAAGCTTTGGCTATTTCCTGCCAACAACGTACCTTCCTTCGTATTCAACGGGAACGGTAGGGCTATCCCAGACAACTGGTACACTGTTGCTCTCGCTCGTCAATGTAACCTCCATATTCGGCGGTATCGCTATTGGAATCCTATGTGATCGCTTCTCTGTCACCAACGTCATGTTTATATCCTCAGTTGGCTCGGCATTGTCGGTATTTTTGTTCTGGGGCCTGGCGTCGTCTGGCTCTGAATCCTCAGAGACGGCCATTACCCTTCTTATTATATTCTCCATGACATATGGATTCTTTGCCGGTGGCTTTAGCTCGACCTGGTCGGGCGTTATCACTCAAATCAAACGTGATACATCGCCATCACTAGAGACCGGTCTTGTGTTTGGTCTTCTGGCTGGAGGACGAGGCATTGGAAATGTCATCAGTGGGCCACTGAGTACGGTGTTGATTCGCTCCGGTTCTTTAAGTGATTCGAGTGGCTCCAGCGGCTACGATTCTCAGTATGGAACTTTGATACTGTTTACAGGCATCACAGCTTTCCTGGGGGCATGGAGTTGGATGTGGCGATACATCAGTCCTGCAGTACGGTGTCTGGCTTGAAACGAGATACCAGGGATTGACAGGAAGTTGGTGAACCTGAACTGGAATTTCTTGAGAGTATATGGAGTAATTAGAATAAATAGTAAATTGAAGACAAGGAGTCAATACGCACATAGTTAATGCCAAGTCGCGGTCACGTGAGGGCAGATATGCGGAGCTTCTACTCCAAGCATTCTTGCATCTCTCGAACTTCCCAGACTACTTCGATTCCGTCGTTGCGCATCAGGGCCACTGCCCTATTCATCATAATGGCTACGTCCGACGCCGCAACTCACGACCCTCTCCTTTCCCTCCGCCGCGCAATTGCGGCCGGTAGCCTCCCAACACCGACGACCTCTCCCGAGCTTTCTGCTGAAACGGCCACCGAGGACCTGGCTAATGCCTCCTATCTCTATTTCACACAGCCGACTCTTCAGACAATTCCATTGGCTACCCCGACGCGATTCATTTCTGCGAACTCGGGCTCCCCGGTCGACCTGCGAAGTATCCTTTTCGCGTGGCAGAACAAAGATGTCGCTATTCCTGAGTACTTCGCCTCGGCGAATCAGTTCAACGAGACCCTGAAACAGAAGGCCTCACAGGAAGATGGAAAGGAAGAAAGTGTACAGATTCTTGTCTTCGTTGAACGTCTCGATCTCATCACTTGGCTGGAAGGCGCTTCTGATGAGAGTGAACACATCAAGCCTCTCGAGGGTGCTGCAGCTGCTGCAGAAGCTGCCGCCAAAGCTGCCGGTGCTGCACAGGCTGAGGCTGCCGCCGGGATCGCCGCCGGCACGGCTGGTGGTGCGACCGCTCCAAGCGGTGTTGCAGGAGCAGCATCAGCTGGAGCTCAAGCTGGTCGCCCACAGAAGCTGATCGGGCCTCGGCTGCAGGAGATATATAACGGGGAACGCAAGACAGGTGATCGGAACACAGTGCTGCGCGGAATTAAGCCAACAGTGAGTTACGAGAAATGACCAGATTTACCAGAGCTCTAACACCTTCACCAGGACTTCTCGCACGTTCGTAAGAGCGCCGAAGTGTTCCTCAACCGCAACCGCCCCGGCCACCCAGCTAAGCCCGGCAGTAAGCCTCAGGTTCCCGCGCCTTCAGCAGGACTCCCGGTTTCGTCATCGCGCAAGTCCACATCACACTCGCGCCCAGACCCTATCATCCTGATCTCACCCTCCGCTTCCTCCCTCATCCGCATGTCGAACGTCAAGTCCTTCCTGGAAGACGGTGTCTTCGTGCCTCCGGACCACCCAACCCTCTCCAGCGCAACCAATGCAAACCTGGTCAAGCTGGAGCGCCCACTCCGCGGAGACCCTTCCAATCCCAATTCTGGCGCAGTCGGTTCCCGAGGTGGCTCCAAACCCACCAGACCGACAAAGTTTATTGTTGTCGACGGTACCGCCAACTTCAAGCCCGAGTACTGGGACCGCCTTGTGGCCGTCTTCACTACCGGCCAGACCTGGCAATTTAAGTCCTACAAGTGGTCTTCCCCACCCGAGCTGTTCAAGCACGCCACCGGTGTCTACGTTGGATGGCGAGGCGAGGATGTCCCAAGTCAAGTCAAGGGCTGGGGCCGCGGTGTGCAGAACTTCGCCGTTGAGCGTTGGGACGAGAAGAATGGTCCGCAGGGTGGTGGTCGCTGGCGTGATCGTGAGATCGTCGAGGGTATCTGGACTGCTATTGAGGAGGGCATGAGACTTCGTGGCTGGTCCAAATAGACTTGCTACAGTACTTGATACCTTCTTTCTGCTTTTCTTTATTATTTTCCCGTGGCATCATGTTCTCTCTCTCTCATATACCCTCTCACTCGAATAACGGCCAATTCAATCTATCCACATGGCACCCTCCTTCCTCTCCAATTTCCATCCATCCTCCCCTCAAAATTGAACATTGATGACCAACGACATTCAAGGCGTGGTTCTGGGCGTTGTGTCTGGTGGATTATCTGATCTTTCTTGAGCCATATGTATCTATGACGGTGTCTTCGTTTTGCTGAGAGACCCAGAACAAAGAACAAGAATAACATTTACTTGAGCTCAATTCTAAAAGAAGCTAGCAAGATAAACTTAGTACAAGGCCTAGATTGAGATTGCCGCCAGCTCTTTTGATTGGTAAGTGAGATGGATGCATTGGGGGAGTGAGTCTTGTCTCTTAATAGGATACTCCTCGGTGCCAGTCAGTATCTACGAGACTTGACTTAGATCTATCGTCTGATGCTATTTCCGTGTGCTACACAGAGCATACTATACACCAAACCCACCCATCCAACCTACAACCCTATAAATTCCAAAACGAAACAACAATCTATACCACATCCCACTCTTGCTCCCAATCCAATCTCACCCAGACCCAAATATCCCCCGAATCAACCACTAACATCCGGCAGTGGATATATCACATCCCCCCAGCCGACAACAACCAACCCGATCCCATCCCATCCATCCCAAGTCCCCAATCTAGGTTTCACAATGGAGATATCCCTGTACCGTACCATGAAGCAGTAAAGGTGCAAACACTAGAATGCAAATACAGAAACAAACACAGAAACCAATACAGTCGTATAACACATCATTTTGATATATATACTCTAACACCATCCCATTCCATCCCGTACACCCAATATTGCCGATCACCCCTCCAGTTTCCCCCGTCTGCCACTGTGATAGTACTGGAGTAATACCTGCAGATACTGCAGATGAGATCAGTCACATATCCCACCCTTGCCTTCCGGTTTGTGAGCGGTGATGGTGGTGGTGGTGATGATGATGGTGATGGTGGATGCATGCTCCCGTGCGTGGAGGACGTGGATGGTGTGGAGGGCTACTTACTCCATGCATGCTAAATATTGGGGGATTTGTCATTTCACAGGAGAGAACGCAGTACTGTACAGACAAATACCTTTGGCGAGCGTACTAATTTTCGTTTTGGCATTTGACATTATTGCTACTGTATACAGTCGCTATGGTTGTTATGTTGCGATATATCCTTCCAGCGCTGTAAGGTAGATTTGCTTCTCTAGCGTTGTATGCATCTCATCTAGCTACAGTACTGTATACTGTACATCTACGGAGACACTACATTATATCACTTTACTGTACCGTATAGGCTGGATTTCTAATCTGGCTACGGAGTAGGTAAATCATAGACTTACTGTACTGTAGACTCGGAGAGGCGAGAATCAAGCCGCTGGACGTGGCATAAGAGCGCTTAATCCGAACTGTACAGTACAGTAACAGCAAGTGGCAAAGCACGTAGAGTTCAGAATTTCGATCTCGCTGCTTTGGTCTTGGTCTTGGTCTTGGTCTTGGTCTTCGCGTTAGGGATGATCTACAGTACATGACATTACATTACATTACATTGAACATGAAAGTAAGTTCAGTGAAGGGGGTGTGTCCATGCAAGGTGGCAGATACGGTAGTAAATAAGTTAGCGTTAGCCCGACAAGATGTGAGTACAGTAGCAGGTACGGAGTAGTGATAGTGGCAAGCCAATATATAACCGCTATAAGTTACCTTATTATTAATATAGGTAAAGATGGTGGCTGTACTTTTCTTGGAGGAGTTAGGTCTGTCGATCACTAGGAGAGAATGATTGGCCCACCAAACACGCGGCATATATCGAGCTACAGTACAGTACATGTGGGCGCATGTGGCTCGCCATGTGTGAAAAGTGACATGTCAATTTCTCCTACTTTTGCCCGGAAATAGAATGGTTGGGGGAGTTGTGTGGCAAGTTGTGCATTTGAGCATATTACTCTGCAGAGCGATGCTGGGGTACCATGCGGAAGCTGCAGGATCTTGATGTAGGGCATGGAGGGTTTGGTCTTGTTTGTTCTTATTTTCTTCTTCAAATCCGTTCACTTTTCTCCTTTTTTGGGGCTACGATGTATATTTGATTTTTTTGTTGGGGAGTAGTCAAGCCTTGCATCGATAAGGTAGGGGGTGCGCTGTATCTCTGAAGCTAACAGGATATATCTGACCATACTGGAATCACCCTCTCAAAGCAAGCCTCGACTCGAGGTACAAGCCGCAGATCAGGGAAACTGCCGAAGCCAAGCCAGACCACAAGTACATACAGTACAGTAGCAAAGCAATAGCAGACTCCACAATCCTGCAACACTTGCATGGCCTCACCATGCAATCCAAATGCAACATGCACGCACCCACTCCCCCGACCTTCCCCAATCAGTCCTAGTCCAAAGCCCAAGCCATTATGAATTAACCCAGTGCCCTTCTGCAGGCCGCAGATCGACACTTCGCTTCGTCCAGATGTACTTGTGCATGCAGCATGAGAGCATGGGGTAAGTTAAACCACGGAGAGGAAACAGGTACAGCCCAATCTCCTCAAGCCAGTGAGCTACGGTAGCGAGTACCACTAATCGAATCTACGGACCATCCCTAGACGGGATGCATACAGAGACATGTGTGCGAGCTGTGTGCCCATGTGCAAAGCAAAATTCCGATCGAGTGCATGTAACCATGTAACCATGTAACAAGGCCGGCCTATTGCATTTCTCACGGCGAGTTTTCAGTCCAGGCCTTGAGACAGGGACTGAAAATCCTTTTCGACCCGAGGGTCGAGACGTGCCTCGTTTCAGGGGGTTCGCTTCAGACCCGCCTGGTACGGCGTGAGACAATCAAATCGCAGACAGCTTGGACAGTCAAGAGAGATACTATGAGCAAGCCCTTTGTGCGACGTGGCCGGTGTACAGTATAATTGTATAGTAGAGACGATCTTGCGACGGAATTTGGTCTAGCGGGCCGTTGCGTTATGGGGCTTTTCCCTCTATGAGTTAATATATTGGATTGCTCCGTATGGGAAAGTAGCCATATGACCATGAAGATCATACTGCAGAGACTCAGGCTACAACGTGACATCATCTTCACCGTGGCCATTCCGCAACGTTGTAGACGGAAGACGGGCGTCAAGCTTGACCGAAACGTGGATAGCCGACCCCGCTCGAGGATGCAGATGCATTGAATCGGCCGTCAAGATCGCTTCTTTGGGCGTGAATTGCCCCGCTAGGCTACGCCAACGGTCAGAACAAGTGGAGAGCGACATGGTATCCTTGAATGGCATGCGCTTGGCTCGATGTTTTTCTTCAGGTCTAGCCATTTCTAGCCGGTTCCGGTTGAAGCGAGGACCGTGAGATCACATTATGCTGCAACTGACTGATTGTAGACCGTGGTGTTGCGACGATCACAGTATCGATCGGACAACTTCCGTCTTCCCCGCTGTCATGCAGTAGCAGAGCCGATGAAACATGACCGGTGTGTTAGTACAGAAATAGCCGATCTGTTGAGTCTGGTTATCTTTGGGGTCCAAACCCCTCGCAGGATCAGATTTGAGTCAGAGTAGGAGTGGTTACATGGTGAGAATGACTCGAGTGGAGGGTGTAGGGTAGAAGGTATGGAGTATGAGGAATCCAATGTATGCCAGGACAACCCCTCCCCGACATCGGGGGAGCCTCGGTTGGAAGAACGCGTTTCTCGGGGTGCTTTTTTTTTGGTTATCTACAGGCTCTCAACTGTCCATCTCCGGGGATAGTCCTGTCTTCTCCGAAACGGGTGTAGTGATAACCGTTGACTTTAAGATAAGTGAATTTATAGATGGCATACTTTGTGGGTGAGACCTCCGAGATCGCATCCCACGCTCCCACCAGGTTGGAAGTCACATGCCACCTAGGCATTTCTACATAAATCCCTAAATGAGGCCTAAAGGCATCCGTGGCCCTCCCAGAGGCTAGGTTAGGTCTTACTAATAACCGAGACAATTAGAAGGTTGACCGCTCTTTTCTGGAACACGATCCACCGTCAACGTGCGGAGGAATACTTCGGGTACCGGCCGAAGATCATGATTTTCTTGAGAAAATTCGCGGATCTTCCACGTGGACTGGGCTTTTTCTTTTTTGGCCTTTCCCGTGTCTATGTGGAGAGGCTTTTCCGGAGTGTTTCACACGTATGCTTACCACTTTCATGATAGTACATGTACGCTGTCGAGAGTAGAGAGTAGATAGTAGATAGCAGCTCATCGACAGCCACATAAGCTGAAATACCGAGATCGTCAAGATTGCTCCATTGAGACGTACCAAACACTACTACTGAATCTGATAACCACGGTCACCTCATCCTATAGTGTGGATATAGTTCCGTGCCAAGCCTTTCATTCGGCCGGAGCAAAGAATGCTCAAACTTGGATCAGGAACATCAAAATCTTCCAATCTGCTAGTGTGCTCCATCGTGGATGAAAAAGCTCCATTGTTTCTCGCAAATTCCCCCTTAATCAGGAGAATTCACCTCTTTCATCAGGTGGATCAGACGGATCCATGGGTTTTCCGAGACCGAGCTTCTTAGCGTCTTCTAGAAGGATTCTGGAAGGCTGCTAGCCTTCTAGCGTGGAAGAGGAGAGACCAGTTTGCCACACCGGACTTCGCCGTGCTCAAGGCCAGCCACGGCTGGTTCGGTCGGGACTCACAAACCATCAGCCACAAAGTGTAGCTTCGTTTCATTCTGTAAAGAAGTGAAGGTTTTCAAAGTCTATGACGTGACGAGGCCGTTTTCAGCAAGTGGATCACGCAGTGTATCCATGGGTTCACGGGTAAGATACAGGTATAGTTTACCACCAGGGAATACAGGGGCTGCTGAGCTAATCACATTATTTGCAAAAGGAAACCTGGATCCGATCACAGTAAGGATACCGTCACAAAACCCGACGTGGTTCTTGCTGTGCCTGCAAGCCCTCTCCCCCCTCATCCTCGTAAGCGGGATGTCCGAAATCCACAATCTGACAGCTCTCTATTTCATACACTTACCCGAGTCATGAGCCAGGACGCCCGTTTCATGATATTTGCGGCTACGGCGATAGACAATCTATTCAAGCTCCAAATTTAATTCGATCCAATCAGTCGTGAACAATACACTAACCACATCCGTGTACAAGTATATTACACTATGTGAGGCTCTGCTCGGTGCACATTCTGCGACGTGCACCCCCAGGTCCCACTAGTCCAATCACTAGTCCCTCGCTAGGGAAGTTACTTTCCTTCAGGCGCCCCCTGGGAGTGACATCCCTGCGAGGCAGATCAAGCTCGGAGCTTCGAGCTCCATGCCACAGCTGGAAACTGACTGGAAGCTCCAGACTCGCCGTGCGGCTGAGGTTGGTAGCTGCGTAAGCCACAGAGGCTATATATGGAAGAGGGAAGGGATATCAGGAGGGCCTGGCCTCGATCTTCCGCTGCCATCCGTGAATTGACTGGCTCAGTCCAGTGTCTATCCTATCTCTTCCGGTCTCTTTGGGGGTTAGGGTCGGACTGAATGGGCTAATACGTGTTGATCCCGGATCTGTGCTTGCGAGTCGGAATGGTTGATCTGCGGCATTCCACGTGGCTGGCTTTTTGCTACTGTAACTTTATGGGATAGGTGCATGTACTGTAGTGCATGTACTGTATTCGGGACATGCGCGTGGGTGATTGGTGATGTGCCCTCCCCACATTCATAGCTATCCCCGGCAGCTTGGGCCTGTCCACTGCCTACGTAGACATGTACAGTATGCTTCGTTGAGATTGGTCTAGATCAATCCAGCTTATCTACGTATCACAATCCCGATTCAGCAGTACAGTCAGTCAGGAGAAAACAAAAAGGATAAGGATAAGAGCCAAGAAAAGAAAAACAACCATTGCTCAATCCTGGCACCAGGTTGCCTAGAGACCATCTGTTGTATCAAGGGGCTACTCCTCTATCTAGAACCCTCTTTCCCAGCCACCTAGCCAAAAATGAAATTCAAATTCAAATTCAAATCATGCTATCACCAACCAGCCCAGGCTACAGAGTACATATGTACATGTACATGCACAGTATCCACGAGATGGCCATGAGACGCCATTTAGAGTTTCGTCGATCAGTCCGAGCCCACGCAGCATCAGGGCATAGTTTGAAACCCAATCCTTTCAAGCCACATTCCTCTTAAAAGGCATGGACAGAGGCAAGGGCCAAGGCCATGGACAAGGTTTGCTTTTCGGATGTTGGTTCCCTGGATTCCGCCACTGCCACATGCGCGTCCTTGTGCATGTGTATGTAGAGGTACATGTACGTAGATGTACCGGTTAGTAACCGTGCAGAAGGAAGCCGAATCAAAGCTACTAGAATCAGCCACCGGTAAGGAGGATGTCATGGTAGCAGACTTCAGACTAGTACCATATAGCAGTACCAGTCGAGGAGTGAGTAGTACCAGTACCAGGGTATACATGCATAAGCTTTGCACTCAACTGATCGACACCCCAGGCCCCCTCCCCCCCCGAGTCTGTATATCCACCATAATGTCTTGGCAAATGACTACCCTAGGGGTCACCCATTTTGAGTTTTATGACTCGCAAGGTTGAGTACGGGGTCTAAAAAGGATAAAAAAAACCGGAAACCCCCCCAAATATGCACATGGAGTAACAGTGACATTACCACATGTGTTCCTGAAACCCCTGGATATGTGAGTTTGCCAAAAAGGGCATGAATGTGCTAGCCATGTCCTGCAGGAATCTATTGTCGCGTGGCAGTCAGGGATGTTGGAATGTGTAGGGTACAAATGTCCACCCTTCTGTACAGTATGTTCGTACATTAGATTAGGGTCTAAATTTGGTACCGATCAAAATACAATACAGTGCAAAAGTGGCCCTCTCAATTACCATACCATACCCACCTATCTCCGGTATACCGTGTTATTCTCCGTGGGAGATGTATAGCATGGAGGATCAACACGCAAATCAATTGAGGGTCCTCCATACACCGTTGAGCATCTGACCGCAAGTTTAGACTACAAGAGGAAAACCTCCGTGAGCCAATCTGTTAGCGGGCCTCAAAAATTGGAGCGGTAATCCACTTATCGACTAGTGAGGGCGGAATAAAGCGACAGGGATTGAATCCACTATCGGCGCTAGTGTCTCGATTTCTTGATAAGTGATTATGGGTAATATTTCCATGTAATGTATTGAAGTTGAAGATACTAAGCTCAAGACAGACTAGAGCATACATGGTTAGTTTTCTTGTTTCCCTTCATCCACACAGTAGATTCTAGTGATCGTATAGCTGGCACCGTATAAGATATAAAAGAAGGTTTGGTCTCTAGCGGTTCGGCTTTGCTCGGCCTAGGGCTGAGCCAAGAATCGCATTTTGCCCGGAGTTTGGCGCCCTTTTTTTTCCAATCTTCTTTTTTTTTTTTTTTTTTTTTTTGGGCCCCGATTTTCGCCACATGGGAAAAAGTTTGGATCTCCCCTGGACAAGGTTAAGCACAATCTCGTTTCGCTTGGATCCCCAAATCCACGTGGCGTGGCTTCGATCGTGAATCGTGAACCGTATTTACAGTAGTCCCTGAGCCTCTAGGAGTGTTGACTGATTACGTAGATAGATGTGATCGATCACGATCGATCTCTCCACGAGTCGTTTATGACATGTCGTTATTTGGAATGTTCTCTATCAGTCAGTTTCGTGGGGATTGCGTGTTCTATGATTCTTCGATCGGTGCTATCAACTATACACAGTACATATCGCTGATCATCGATAGTATCACTTATCACGTATGACGCTCGGTTCGATTTGGACTTCCTATGAAATATACTTTGGGTGACAAATCTCTTACTCATTAACTATCTTGGGAGGAGTGGCCCCCTCCCCAGCTTTGGACCCGGGACAGTGGTACTCTGACAGAATCCCGTATTCCTTGCCGAGCATTGCTCAATTTGTATCTATCACCGGGGATGCCTGAGCGGTCAGATACTCTACCTTTTTGCCCAGGCGTACAGTAGAGTAGACTGTTCTAGGAATAGCATTTCGGTACTTGGGATGATTTTCACATTGACGTCTGATGTTTCGCGTGATCTCTTTTACGCTCTGTGGTTGGTCGGGGTTGAACTTTGAGCACTGCCATTCGGAAGACATGTTGACGTGTCTGACAGCTCCAGATTGCGCTCTGGAAGCTCAGATTGATGACATAGTTCATGCAAGTGAGATCCTTGGGGCCGTCGTGCCATGTCGGATACTTTTCCCAAGATGAGGCTCTCGCGATGACCGTTGCGACGGCTAGCGTTGGATCGGACTGAGTCATTGAGCCGAAGCCTACGCCTTGAACCCCTGCATTTCTATACTCTAAGTTTTGGCCCCCTCGTATTCTCAGGTCGGGGTGACCGGGGTGGCCGGGGTGACGGATGATGTGATGCCCCTGGGTAATTATAGTTGGTGATCAGACTAGGCGATGAATGATGACTGGTGAATAAGCGACGATAATGATGCTGTTCCTGTGTATCAGCGGTTAAAGTGTAGGATGTTGAATGGTAGGGCGCCAACCGTAACGTTCAATCGCAGATTTAGGGGAATAGATATGCGAGGCTGCGCCTCGCTCTAGTCGCAAAGTAGTAAGAGGGGAGCGCTCAGACGCTAATCATCTCCACGTGTGCCCACGTGGGACAAGGGTGTGAAAAGAAGAATGGAATCACCATGGAAGCCTGGTGAGATTACTTGATTTTTCCCATTTATTTATTTTGATATTTTTTTTCTCTTTGATACTTGAATGTATTACGCAATGATCTAATTCAGGTTCGGCTGGTGCCAAGTTTCGCCCTGAGGATAGTGTAGTTTCAGAATCAAAGGAAGACAAAAAGGGGTTAGCGTGGGTGCCGAAACACCGATGCAGTTCGACACAGTAGATAGTTACAATAGGCTGGGGGATCAGAGGAAAGCGTTGTCTTCGCCCCACTGCCGATCGGGTGGATCCCCACCCGTACGGAGTACTCCGTACGTGTAAGGGTAAGGGTAAGAGAAGTGTGCCCTGTCAGGACACTACACTGTAAATCTGTGTGTGATCAGGGCATTGATCAAGCTTCCACAGTTTGATTGTCTCTTCTAGAGCAGGTGATCCAAGGTTGGAGATGGATCGAGTATATCATGGACTCTACGACCTTGTATGGGTATGAGACAAGTATGGTATGTGGGTCGTTATTCCAAATCATGGATTTTCAATACCACCCATACCGAGGCAATACACAATACAATCCACCGATCTTCCCACGTTGTATGCAAACTCACGCGTGGGTTGTGGGTCAATGGATGACAGCCTGTTCTTCACCTTTTTTCATTTTTCCTTTTTTTTCTTTTCTTCCTCTTTTTTTCTTTTTCTTTTTTCGCCTTTTTTCCCTCGTTTTTCCCGTTTCCCCCTGCCCATTTTCCTCCCCTCCTTTTTAGTTTTCCTTTTAGGAATAAATACGATTTTTGAGCCTTTTTATTCATCTTCCCCCCTCCCCCAATTTCCCTAAAATTTCATGTTTTCATGTTTTTTTCAGGTTGACCTAACCCACTTTTTCCAAAGTCTGGTTCGCCCGACTCAATGCCAACCCAACCCGGGAGCCACTACCGAGAAGATTCTCTCCCTTCACGTACCTCTCCTGATCCTCTACACTTCACTGGCTCTGTAGCCGGTTCTATATCTCGCAACCGTCGCTCTTTTGCTGCCTTGGCCCAGAAGACCACTGTTGCCCTAGGCTTACAGAACGCATCCGCATTACGCTCGTCGACTTCCTACACTAGTTTGTCGAAACACTCCGCGACCCCTTTGACCCCACCACTAGACGATACCTACGAGCAATTGACCGGTTCCTCGCGCCCTTGCTCACCGGCGTTGGCCGACTCGACGACCCCATTAAAGCGTCGTTTCACTCTGCAGCGCCTTCCGACTCCCCCTCAAGACTCCCGCTCCGACCCGCCGTGCGGTTCTCCCAAGATGCATCAGACATCATCGCGCTTATTGCGCATGACCGAAGATGAGCGCCCATTCACCAAGGTAGGTGTTGACTGGAATTGCGAAACCGGATCTCAATTTGGGGACAATTGAAGCTGATGTGCGCAGGATTTCATGGATTTGTTCTCCACCTTGATGGTTAGCTTGAAGTTGGATTCACACCGCGTTCGGTTCACAAGATATGACCACACATTTACCTCCGAAGAGGCCATCAACAACTTGGGCTCGCTCAAGTTCTCCCAATCCAACCGCATGCCCGACCCCAAGGACCCCTCCCGTATCGTGACCACCACCACAACCACCACTTTCTCCATGGCCAAGGAAATGGCCCGATCTGTCTGCCAGCGATTTGTCGATGCGCGCTTTATCGAATCCGTGGACGGAAAAGCACTTCCGATTTTCCCTCTCAAGGGTGCCCTCTTCCAGCTCACCCCCAAGGGCATCAACATCCTGCAGCGGTTCTGCCAGCGGAACGGTATTACCGCCCGGCACGTGATGGACGTTTTAGAGTCCCCTCGCAACACCATGCAACTGGTGAACCTCGAGCGCGACACCGAATCCGATAAATTGTCTCACGACCGCGCGACCATTGAGGTCATCTTCCGCCGCTTTGCTGGCCAGGATGGCCCCAATGTCAAGAGCAGCATCTCTACCTCCGACTCCGACTCTCTTAGCGACTACACCAACGGCTTGGTCGGTGTCAAGGTGGCCCGGGAACGGAAGCTGCAGGATGGCAAGGTTTACGCTAACACCTTCACTGGAAAGGGAGCAGTGGACTGGCTGATGGATTGTTCGACCACAATTGAGCGCCGCGAAACCTCCCTGATTGCCGAGCTATTCCTCAAGTACGGCCTCATCACGATGATCCAGGACGATAAATCGTTCCCTGACGGTGGAAACAACGCTCACTTCCAACATTCCAAATATGCTATTTATGGCTTTACCGAGCGTGGACAGCGTGTATGTGGATGGATTGCCCGTGAGAAGGCTCGGGAAAACGCGACCACCTATGACAGTCGTGGCATGCCCAAGGATTCTAACAACGCCCGCTTGACCCACATCCTCCAAGACCCCGCTCTGCGTCTCCTTTTCCGCGAGTTCCTTCGCTACTCCCTCTGCGAGGAGAACCTCTCCTTCTATCTCGATGTTTCCGAATTCACTTCCAACTACCACAAGGCGGAGAAGGTGGGCACATTCAACAAGGTTGACTCGGTCCGGGAAACCTTGGCTGCTGCTTACGGATTGTACAACGCCTTCCTGGCTCCTGGCTCTCCATGCGAGCTGAACATCGACCATGCCCTGCGCAACAGCCTGGCCAGCCGCATGACCAAGGCCGTTGGCGATGACGAGTCCATGTTCAAGAGTTTGCAGGAAGTGGTCCACCTCTTCGAGCTGGCTCAAACCTCCGTGTTCAAGTTGATGTCCAGTGACTCGGTTCCCAAATTCCTGCGCGATCCCAAGTACTCCGTCGTTTTACAAGAGCACGATGTGGACATTCTGGGGGGCTCCCGCTCATACTCACCCACACCGAACGCTCCCACAATCCCCGAGCGGAGTATGAGCCGGTCAGCCCGCGCCTGACAACCACCGACCACAAGCATTGACCTAGCGCGTAACCCCTTCGAAGACGACTCGTACCATTGCGATTCTGACTCCTCATGAGCCCTCGGTGCACACAGCAGCCGAAACATTCAACACCTGCGGTTTTACAGCATTCGAGTCCCATTGAGGCACACTAGTCGAACGTATTTCTGCACATACACCTCATGCTTGTGGACCCCCCAAACACGGATCCCCCCTCCATAGGGCACAAAAGTATCCGGCAGCTTTTGGGACCCGATTTCACCAATCTCGTCACGATCGCTTCCACGAAGTTCCTTACCTCTCCGCATGCAGTACAGTATATACCCAGTGACTCTGATGAGTAGAGTTCTGGGTGTCTCTGGCTGCCATTATCTCCAATTCCCTTTTTCTTTTTTTGTCCTTTCCTTTAATCCCACTCGTCACGAGATTCCCCCACTCCGAACGAAAGACGTTATGATCGATGGCTCATGTTATAGAGAAGGCCGGAACTGGAAAATTATTTGTAATATTCGCATGGCATTGCTTTTTCTTTTTCTTTTTCCATTTTCTTACCTTTTCTTTCATCTCATATCATCCCTTGGTTCTTTCATCCGAACCGGTCTGCAAGGTCTGCAAGGTCTGCAACAGGGGCGCGTTGAGAAGAGAACCAGAAGAAGAAACACCAGGAAAACATTCAAAAAAAAAAACAACAACAAACCAACATGAAAGAATGGGAGGCTGCTTCTTATTCAACGCTATTGAGCATCAGACCCGGCGTTTTTTTTGCATGTTTTTCCTATTCTTTTCACATTATCTCTATCATCATCTTTTCTTCCTGCATTTCTTTTCTGTCTCTTTTGAGCATTTCATATGATTCCACTTTCTTTTCTCTTTTGCTCATTTTGCAACCTTTACCATTTCTCATTGCTTTCCTGTTTATTTTTTTTTCTTCTTTCTTTTTGGTTTCCTCTTTCCTTCAAGTACCCTGCATTCTTCCTGGGCACAGCGAGCGAGTTCTGGTCTGTTTGTGTATGTCATATTATTATATTCATTTCCAATGGAAATGGCACTGGACACGACGATTTTGCTTCTTCTGCGTAGTGTATGGTGTCTGAGAAGTGTATATAGACATGCGCATGAGATGCTATCTATAATCGATTTCTGTCGTCTGTCTGTCACCGGCTAGAGATTACATTAGCTAGCATTATTCACATAGCATATTCAAGGCCCAAGGGCCTGACCGTATTATAGATAGAAACGCAACAAGTTATGATCTATAGAGCCAACACTCAAGGAGTTGAGACCACCCACCAACTAGATACAATACTAATACAAACACAAGCCTGGATTGGAAGTAAGTAAATAAGTGAGAAACAAGTAACGTTAACTTAACGTTAAACAAGAGCAGGTAAACCAGCTCCCAAACACACCAAGTCTATTCACGCCACCACTGTCCCAAAGCACCACCAGACCCAGCCATCTCAATAACCTCCTCGAAACTAATTTCCACGCGGAACATCTGCCCATCAGCAGTTCCGTTCCCACTGCCAACAGGGGTAACAAGACCCCAGCTCAACAACTTCTCCCAAGACTCGCGGGCAACGTCCCGTCCCCAGACCCTTCCAGGCGTAGCAGCCGCACCACTCACAGAAGCATTTGTCTTCGCAGACGTCAGCAGCCGCACATATTCCGCGTATGCAGCTGGGAAGGAGAGTGCTAGCGGGGTCATGCTCTGGGAACCGTCGGTTCCGGGATCGAAGAGGGCTGCTAGGCGGGTTGCTGCTACTAACAGGGCTAGGGGGAGGGAGGAAGGGCTTGATGATGTGATTGATGTTGAGAAGGGGGGGGGTGCTGGGTCGGGGCAGGAGAGCGGTTGGGATGTGAAGGCTTTGGGGGTTGGAATTTGGGGGGTGGTTTGGGGGTCTGGGGTTGACACGCTTTGGAGGAGGTCGCTGATGGGGAGGAGAGCGCTTGTGAAGAATTCTTTGGGGGTTTTGGTTTGGTTGTAGATTCGTCGCAGGTGGAATTGGAGGTCTTTGTCGTTCCACATGTGCTATGGAGAGGGTGGTTGTTAGTATGTTGACACATCAGTGTTGATGGCGGATGGTAGATTGTCCTTACCTGGAGATATTCTTGCCATCCGTCGAGGAGCGTCTTCCATTTGTCTGACTCGACTAGGGAACGCTCGGTACCGAGTTCATCTGCGATACCTGCCATCTCGCTCTCATTTAGATCCAGACTTCCTAGACAGGCATCTGAGAAGTTCTCGAAGGATCGAGGGAGTGGGACGTAGACGTATCGATGGCTGAAACGACTCTTGACACGTTTCTCGAGCATCTCGGTGACGTCGACCTTGGTCGTCAGGCCAATGACTGCAATTGGTGCCTTGCGTGCCTGGGCAATATCGAACAGATTGTACAGCAGGGTCTGTCTTGGATGGGTGACGAATAAGTCGAACTCGTCCAACAGGATCACGATCGACTTCGCAGCAGTTGCACCTCCACCCCCCGAAGCCCCGAACAGTTCTTCTGGGTGTGATAGCATAGCCAGCAGTGTCGCCATGGTATCTGCATAAGAGCTGACCTTGGCGGCGTCGTCCTCGGTGTGAGTCTCACGACCGAGCTGGCGCCACATCTCTCGTAAAGCTAGACGGTCATCCGTGTGCAAGAAACCATTAAGACGAACAACGTGGAAATCATTTCTGTGCTCCTTGGCAAGAGATGAGATGATCGATTCCACAATGGCGGTCTTTCCACATCCCCGAGACCCAAGAAGAAGCATTGAGTTACCCTCGCCGACGGAGACAGTTGACTCAACTAGTTGATGGACTTTTTGGTACTCCGGCTCAAGCCCTCGTAGCGGAACCTGTCGTTTCCCAGACAGCTTTTCAAGCAGAATGGTTGAAAGAATGCGCACTTCATCCCCTAGACCACTCTGGCAGAGTGCTTGGAATTTCTCCGCGTATTCTGGCAAAGGCTCAGAGACCTCCACGGCATCCTGCAGAGCCGGTTGGATCTCATGGAGATCTTGTTGAAGCTGCATCGCCACAAGATCATCCAGACCGTCCTGGTATTCCGGCGAAGGCGACTTTTCTTTCGGCTCGTCAGAGACCTTTTTGCTGGCTCTGGGCTTCGCTGTGCTTCTTCTTGATCTAGTCCTGGCCACAGCGCGGGGAGCAAATTCCGGAGAGGGCTCATCAACTTCCATTTCAGCATCTTCCTCATCTTCCTCCTCATCCTTGAAATCATCGTCTTCCTCTTCGACCTCTTCCGCGCCATCGTCGTCCTCGTCTACCAGAGGAGATTGTGTTGGCTTTTGCGCGCTCCGGGCTGGACGCCCACTCCTCGGTGTAGCTGCCGATTTGCGCCTCGAAGATGGCGTAGTAGCTTCTTGCTCAAACCTCTTCGGTGTTTTTCGCTGTCGTCCACTTGTCCGTGTTCCAGCCCGTGCGGGTGTCTGCACCTCCTCGGTATGGGTAGATTGGCGCCGGGATGCTTTTCTAGGCGTCGGAGATGCTCTATCGCTATCGGGGGACGATGGGATAGCAAAGACATCTTCATCTTCGGTGCCCATCTCAATGTCCCCGTCTTCATCCTGGGAGACTCTTCTCCGCTTCGATGCACGGGGGTCCTTCATAGCTGCGATTTGGGGAAGCGAATTGAGGGGTTGATGCGATTGGAAGGTATGCGAAGCGAGGGAGCTTTATATCGAGATGACCACGCTGGGCTCTGTTTGCGAATGCTGTATCAGTTGACGTCAGAAATTGAATCAACACTGTCTACCGTCTAGCTGCGACCAGTGATTTAAGGAGCTCGCTCAAGCGGATTGACGTACCAATTACAATTAGCAGAGAATTAGCGGCACATTGATCAGTGCCAACAAAGGCAGTGTTCCCCAGGTCAGAGTACTGTTGAGTGTCGGAGGACAACAATTGCAACAATTGCGGCCGAATTTCTCGCCTCAGGCCGAGACGCGTGACGCGAAATCAGGTGCCGCAAGGAGCTCTGGGTCTGCGTCGTGTATAGGGTGAAGCTCTCTCAGGGATCTAAATCTATAGAAATATTTCTTCAAGGATTGTAAATCGCATGGCTATTAATTCTGTCAACCTGGTTTGCCCCTGACAAACTCGACAGCTAGACAGCATGGCAGCATGAACTATGGCAGCATAACTTAACGTTATGACAGCCAAATGTAGTGAACAGGTGAAAAGCACCCAATCACTTTCCAGTCGCATCAATCTCATCTGCCGACTATATTCCGAGCAATACGGAGTCGATGGTCGGCATCAGCCCAGCCGAGGTCCAATCCATGCCGGTGGAGAACTCACAACTCTTATTTCTCCCTTATACTCACTTGATACTCACTTGATAGCCCCATTTGCTCTCCACATCAAACATCATGTCAGACCACGCGATCACTGCCCCGTCACGGAAACTGGACGAGTTCGAGGAACTCGTGTTTGAGTATACAGGCCGCATGGGTCTGGGGAATGAAGAGGTATGCGCAACTACACATCCACAGACAAGCTACAAGCTACAAGCTATATAAAACGACAAAGCAGCCTCTCCTACACCACCAAACCCCCCAACAAAGTATGAATTAAATAGCTAATAAACCCCAGCACTGGGACGTCGACGCGCGCAACTGCAACCTACGCTTTGAAGCAGCAAGCCGCGGCCCCCCAGCAACAGTCTCATTCCTCTTCACTGTAACGCCCGCACTAAGCAATATGATGGGTAACCTGCACGGCGGGTGCGCAGCAACACTAATCGACGTCTTGTCGACGACGATCCTGCTGGGCGTGTCTGAGCCAGGCAAGTTCTCCTTTGGGGGCGTGAGTCGCAACCTGAAGGTTACGTATTTGCGGCCTGTGCCGACGGGGACGGAGGCTCGGATCGTCTGTGAGGTTATTCATGTTGGGAAGAGGCTCGCTTTGCTTAGGGCTGAGATCCAGCGGGCGGATAGTCGGGATATTTGTGTTGTTGGGGAGCATGAGAAGGCGAATACGGATCCAGAGGTTACGCAGAGGATTTAGATTGGTCCGTTGTGGTAGAGGGGTAAGAGTTGGGGGAGGATGTTGTACTTAGATGGTGCGTTGAATATCGATTTGTATAGATTGTCTATGAGAAATTTGGGTGATACTGTTGTGATACGCTTGTAATTCTTCATTTGATTTGATAGTGCTAAAAGAGCGGATAACAAAGGAGACCATTGCACATGTCCAAGAGAAATATAGTCAATCTAAACCCTAAATTATCAGAAGACCTGTATGTCCCTTACTCGGCAGCCAGTTGCTGATCCTCACGGAGACCCTCAACCTTAAGCTCCTCGCCAGTGGCACGGCGGTACATATCGCGAACATCATCTAAGAGGTGTTAGTGACGAACCAATGAGATCGGAAGTGATTGTCTTACCAGTTGTAGTCTCGAAGTGTGATGTGGAATCGTAAGACTTGGAAATGAAAATGTTGGACTCCTCGCCGCTCTCGATAGGCTCGTAGAGGGGAATGGGGGGACCCATGAAGGTCTCCTCAATCTTACCCAAGCGGTCAAAGCCGGGCTCGAGCTCGATGTGATGGTTGGCGTCGTTCTCGGCGATGGTGGAGACGATGGCGATGTAGTAGCCCTTGGGGCAGACGTTGTGTGCAGACGAGACCATGGCAATGTAGATATCTAGACTCATTAGTTCGGCGTTTAACCGAATGTAGCGTTCTACTTACCGTGCTTGCGTCCAACCTGGGACTGGGGAATGATAAGCTGCAGGGAGTCGCTGCTGTCGGTCTTATCAATGGGGTGGTTCAGAATACAGATAGCCTTGAGCAGGTATCCGGTAACCTTGGTTTTGTTGGGGAAGTAAGAAGGATCGGCGATAATCTTCTTGGCCTTGGTCTCGAACTTCATGGCCTCAGACTGGTCATCACGGTCCTTCATGGTGGCCTTGATACCGGAGACCTTGCCGTTCTCGTAAAGCACCTCATCGATGTCGGTGTTCAGCATGTAGGTACCACCGTAAATGGCAGACAGACGGGCGAAACCCTGGGGCAACTCGCCAAGTCCGTACAGAGGGTAGATGTATGGCGATTTACCATAACGCGCCATGGAGTTGACGTACAGGCGAATACGGTTAATGGTCTCGACAGCAGCGCCGGGCTGGTTGATGTATCCATCCGAGGGGAACAAAGCCATAGAGTGACCGATGAAATCGCGGGTGTTATCCTCGAGGCTGAACTTATCGTAGACCTCCTTCATGGTACAGGCGTGGATGTTCAATCCTACTTCGCATTAGCCACCGCCTTGAAGCTCGCCCCATCTCAAGTACGTACCCTGGTGACTGGCAGAGTCATCCTCCTTGAAGTCGCCAACCCACTCCAAGAACTTCTTAGCACGTCGCTTCTCGAACATTCCCATCAGAGACGAGCGCAAAGCTTCACCGGCATCCGAGGGCACCTTGGCCACGGTCGCCTTGGGGCCCTTGCCCTGCTGAACATAGCTGCCAGCAATCTGCTTGAACTCAAGGTAACGGGTGACATCGGTGGAGACCAAAATGTTGGTCAACTCTCCATTCGACATGAGCAGCTTAGGGACCAAGTCGATGTTCCAGTCGTTGACCCGTCCATATTTCTTCCAGGGCTCCTCGCCGGGGCGAACGTTGCCGTACTTCTTGAACAACTGCAGAACTCAGTTAGCAGAGCCTCACGAGAATAAACCGGTGTACATACTGTCTCGATGTTGACGGAGGCTGCCTCGCTGTGGTTCAATGTGAGCTGTTTGGATCTTGGGGGGCAAGGTTGACCGAGATCACTTACCCTCCATAGTGGTCATTGCGATCGATGTGAAGAACCTTGCTTCCCTTCACGCTCAGGACACTGTAAAGTAGAATGATGAGTATAGCTCAACCCACCAGCAAGCGTGGGTTACCTACCCAGACAAAACACACTCGGTCAGGCCTGGAAACTGTCAGTTTAAATGGCGGGGTAAGAGGAGCAACACAGCAAAACATCGCGCAGCAACTCACCAGTGCCGAGCACCACCACATCGTACTCGGGGGCAATCTCATCCATGGTTACAAGTGAATAATTGTAGGAGGAAAGAGAAGTTGAAGAGAAAGAAAGTTAAGCTCCCCGCGCAAGCGGTAAAGGGGAACTATTAGGCGGATCCGCCACTAGTGAACCTCCGACACAACAGGGTAATAGACGGATCATTGACAATTTAGAGCCCCTGAGCTGGAACCAAAGCTTTCAGGGGCAGATCTCATTTGAATAATATTGGATACTCATTTTCAAACGTAATGGACATGCGCATTTAATTCCCAGCTAATGTTACATACTAAAATTGGACTCGGGGTGGAGTCTATATACACTCCTACTCGTTGGCCTAGGCCTTAGCCTGCTCTCCAGACATAGGGTGTTCAACCTTTGCCTTCTTGACCTTGGGGGTCGTCTTCTCGGACAAGCTCTCGGGGACATATCCTTTTTCAAGCAGGCGCTTGGCATCCTCGTACGCATACCAACGCTCACGCAGGACGTGCTTCATGTTCTTCATGGTGCTTAGAATCTAGGTGAAATTGTCAGCTAGGATCACCCAACGGAAGTGTGAGCCTGAGCAGGGGTTGGAGTACGATCCAGCTCCAGGCGAATGGGGGGTGTATAAGCTCAAAAGCACGCGCACGACTCACCACTGCGTCTCGTTCACCGGATTCGTATTCACCGTAACCGGGCTTCAAGCGGGTTCGCTCGATATCTGAGGTCATAATACGGTTGCGCTCCCGGACACATACATGCCACAGGGCATGTAGGTCTTCCCAGCTTCGTTCGCGGAGTTCTTGAATAGACCAAGAACGACCTGTATTTGCAATAATAAGCACTGTTCATAAGCCCTGACCAATTGGCTGCACTCACCAAAGCTGTGATCGTATTCTGGAGTGCTCAATGCCTCACGGTTAGGAGGAAAGAATGCCCAGAGTCCGTGGTTGGGTGTTTGTTCACGTGCAATCATATCCTCCGGCGACACAGGCTTTGGTAACTCCCATTTTGACACGGTCAATGGGTGTCGGGGACCGGTGCGGTGGATAGCTGATACACCGCGCTGCTTGCTCTTGTCACGTCGAGGATTGACGGCAACGGAGGCTGTGGAAGAAAAGCTTGAAGACTGGACCGGCGACAGGGTGACGGGAATATGGAGGGACGGCGCAAGGTAGGGAGGAGGCAACGAAGCCCGAGCCAGGCCTCCTAGGCGGCTGGCAAATCGTGGGACCTGCGAATGCATGGTTGTGATGGTTGTCTGGACAGTCGGGATCGGAGACTGTTTGCTGATGGCCTTTTTCGAGGCGGCAAGGCAGTCACGTGCCCAGCGGCAATATCACACTCTTCCCCACGGATGCGACCAACTCACCTAAGAGTCATCGAGTTTCTTGGATATTCGTGTCTTTAGTTCGTACAGCTATTCTCCCACGATCCTGGAGGTCGTTCATATCGAAATATACTGTGCGCGGCCGTCCGATCTTTAACCCAGGCATTCCCCAGCATCCGCGCGTTTAACTGTCCAATCGACTCGACCAGCGGAGCAGTGCCGCATCAAGCGTGAACCAAGAGGCCCTTTGTGGACTGTTCCCCCTCCACAGAGTCTACCCCGGCGTTTTACTCGGTCAATCGTCCTCTGTGATCATTTCCAAGAGATCTTCAAGGTCTCGTCAACTAGCTTCTTGTTGGAGCATCGACTATGAATAGGCCAGGTTCGTCATTTTCCTTTAATGCCCTTGAAACCCTTGTCGTGCCTTATCTTGTACCTCCGCGGAATGCATTGGATCGCGGACTATACCTCGACGATGATCGTGAATGTGCTTGCCAGTCAAAACGGGCCAGCGATTTGAGCATCAAGGAGTTTTGTGCTCCAATGGCACGCCTCGCAGCCGGTGCCTTCATTTGCGACCGAGACATTGCTGCAGGGACACGCCGATACATTCCTGTGGTAGTGTTCCCAGCAAGCGTGTCTCGACGCGAAACGATCGAAGATCGTACTGACTTGTCACGCTTGTGTCAGGACCAGACCCGCATCTGCTAAGAGGCATGCTCGGATTCTCCTCGCAACAGCAAGCACAGGCCCGAGATAATTTACTAGCTTCTGCGCAGTTGCCAAACGGCAAACTTGGTGCGCCTGCCTCTGGCTAAACTTTGGGGACACTCATATTCTTGCCTGAGAAATTGCTAACGTAGGAGTGATTAGGCGGCGCAGCGAATTGGAGCTTCAATCTACCCGTCAGCGGATCATCGAGCCTTCAGAGCAGTCAACAGCGTACAATGGGAACCATGGGGAGTTTCGCACAAAGTCTTGGGGGATCCCAGTCAGCGGCACCGCTAGATCTCTCGTAAGTGCTATCAGGCGAGGCCTGTGGGGCTTTCATTCGGTATCTGGATTGCAAGCTAATGAAATCGGTGGCTTTAGGGAGTTTCCTTCATTATCAGGAGCACCACAACAATCTCAGTCGCAGTCGCAGACCCCTGGTCAGTTGATGTGGGCTAACGCAAGCCAACGTGCTGCTCAACAAACACCTGTTCAAAGGCAACAGCATCCTCCGACGTCGCAACCTCCTTCTCGTACCTCTCAAACCCAAGGTCTTCCCACACCTCAACAGCCGCAACAGCCTCACGACGATATGTTCCCTTCAGGTTCACAATTCGCCAATCGGCTGGATGACTTCAGAAATGGTGGCCAGGGCATCAGTAGCCAATTAGGCGCTGGAGGCCAGCCTCAGACGGGCAATATTGAAGAATTCCCTCCTTTGGGTCGGAACGCTGCCGCCGAACTTCCTCTCGGCCGAACTGGGTCTTTGATGCAGGGTGCAGGCTTCGGGAGCTATGGCGCTGGTATGTTATATCCGAATCTCAATGGGCCCAGTTATGCATAGTTGTACTGCCCAGGGGCTTTGCACACTTCTTAACTGGCAGGAGACCCTGAGAAAACTTCTTGAAGCATTCGAATCAATTTACTGATACCGTGTTTAGGTCTAGGGGCTTCACGGTCACCTGTCAGCCAAGTACCTAATGGTATTCTCGGACAAGAGAAAGATGTAAGGCTTTCCCTGTCTAAATAGCTTTGGAGAAACTCTGACATTTTAACAGGACATGAACAACAATGTCTTGTCAGGACAGCGAAACTTCAGTGACCCACAAGCATTACAACAAAGGCCCTCGGAAGATGCCGATGGCCAAGAAGTCTCTAACGCACCTCAGAGCACAGAACAGCCGCCACTTTCCCAGATGAGCGAGTTAGACAGGTTTGGATTGGCTGGCTTGCTGCGCATGATTCACAGCGAGAGTCCGGATGTTGCAAGTCTCGCCGTTGGCCAAGACCTAATGACTTTAGGGCTAGATTTGAACCAGGCTGAGTATGCATTGCCATTCCCCTGCACTATACATATTTTCTGACAGTCCTAGACCTTTGCATACTTCGTTCGCTACCCCATTCGTATCATCGATGTCAGCAGTTCCTTTGGAACAGGATTTCTCTTTGCCTGCTTGTTACAATGTCGCCAATATCCAACCGCTTCAGTCTCGCATCCCTGGCTTCAGTGATGAGACCCTATTCTACATCTTCTATAGCATGCCCCGTGATATCATGCAGGAACTGGTAGCCGAGGAACTGATGGGCCGCAAATGGCGGTACCACAAGCTCGAACGTTGCTGGCTGACCCGCGACGAAACATATCCCGGCCCCGTTGATGTAGAGCGCGGAGTGAGCGAGCGCGGAGTTTATCTTCTCTGGGACCCCACAAGCTGGAAAAAGATCCGAGTGAGCATACACCGTCGTTTTCCCCGGAACTTCAGAAAAGTTTAGCTAACAGTTTTGACACAGCGCGAGTTCATTCTGCGATACGAAGACTTGGACAACCGGTTGGACCCCAACCGAGGAGCCACTCGCCCAGTTGGCGCAACACATCACGCCTCATGATTTTATATCGAAATTGATATGAGCAAGGTGCGGCGCACAGAATTCTATCAATCAGCACTGGCGTTTGGTTTACTGGTTCTCTGTAATATTGCTCAGTCGCGTGGTCGATAGTACATTGTCATTTGGGAACAGGTTGCGTTGATTCAACGGGGACTAAATGGGCTTTACGGAAATCCAGAGTATGATCATGTGAAATCAATGGCCTTGATGACCTTGCCAATTCAGCGCGGTAGATTTTCTGTCTGTAACGTACACAGTTCTTAATGAACCGTAAATCTTCCGTCTACTGAGGCTTGCGTGCAGTAGAGATAATAGCAATCCACTTCGTCTCAACATCCCCATTCTCGCCGTAAGTATCTAATACATACTTCTCCAATGCTGGACGAACTTTGTCGGCATTTGCCTCGCGTTGCTCCTCCGTCCAGAACGATTTGACGATTAGGCCCACCATCATAATGGTGATATCCGTAAAGCGGGACGACGGCACGCCAATGTTCCTCGATTCTTCGTGGACATTGATGTCCTCTAGCCCACGCTCTTTGAGTTGGAACTCGATCCAGGGAACCGAGTTCCATTCTCCATCGCCTGTGTTGTTGAGAAATTCTTGCGTCGTTGGAAATGGCAAATTTCCGGGTATAGTTGCAACTGCTTTGCGTGCGATTGGAACCCAACCGGCTGTCCTTTTATTAGTTGGGTTCTATGTGGGGAGTTATGGACACTTTAGACTCACGCTCTATCCAGGTCGAGAAGGCGGTCGTTCCCCCAGGCTGCAAGATTCGAACAGTTTCTAAAATCTATCGTTAAATTGGAAACTTCGAAATGGGGTTGAGAGGACTTACCATCAAGAGCATCGAAGGGTTTGGGAATCGCCATGAGAACTTGCAACAAGATCAAAATCAGTTCAATGTTGTCTTTGTACTTAGGGTGTAAGCAAAGGGAGCCCACCGAAAGCAGAAAACACATGAGTGAAGTGATCACTAGGAAGGCCAGTCTCTTGCGCATTCACGACCTTTGTCTCAGCATTCTGCCAGCCTTCCTCTTTCATACGACGGGCAGTGTATTCAAGTAGTGGCTTCGAGATATCTCCACAGGTCAGTTTCCAGTTCTGTTTGATAGAAATATCCAACTTTTCATTCAGAAGACAGGAAATGATGCCTGTGCCACAGGCATTGTCGAGAACAACGAGAGGATGACTTGGTCTAGCCTTTGCATCATAAACTAGCTTGCTCTGTTCAATGAGTGAGTGGCCAAATGTACCGGTAAATTGCTCGGCAGATTTGTACTGGGCAGCAAAAGCCTCGCTTGTGAAGAGGCTTTCGGTGTCAGCCTTGGGAGGCATGGTGGATAGGAAGTATATAGGACTGGAGCGTATATTGATATTTGGAAGACTTCTAAGGACGAGGCGAGTTGAGAGCATGAGGAAAGCTCTAGGTATGAGATCCAAGCAATCTTAAATAAGTTTTGGCCTTGGGATTGAAAAGCAACATGATCTCTCCATGTCATGCTGCTAGGCATGTAAGTGGTAGAAAAGTGTCCGACAATGTCTCCGTGGGTGGAGACTGAGGCCATAATTCGGTTGCTATACATTACACTAAAAGGACCGTTATGATAAATCAAGGGCTTCTGAATGGCTCATTTTAATATCGTAAAATTGTAGGATCCAAAACCAGAGGTGCATAATAGGCAAGTTGATACGTGGTTGGCTGCGTGGCGCAAGTACCCTGGTGAAGTATGTTTTGTTTGGCTGTAATGGTTGAGTCAGAGAGCAATGGAGTCATCAAGCTGCTCATTCTTGCTCATAACCAACAGCTAGTAACTCAGCACAGTAAGTCTCCGATAGGGTTGACAAGAGTCGAAGTCGCCGAGTTTCATACTTCGCCAGCACGTGACGGCCCCGCGCTGACCTCAGCAACAGCGCCAGACCCGAATGGGCAAAGCATAAACAGCTGCTGCGGCAAAACAATCGCGCTTCCCCTCCACTTTCCTCGCATGCACTCTGCGCAGCAGAACGCCGTTCCAGAACCATGAGGATTACGGAAATTGTCATAGACGTGAGTCGCATTGCATGACCTGCATTTCCCGCGCTAATTCTTTTGTCAGGGCTTCAAATCGTACGCCGTGCGTACGGTGATCTCGGGATGGTACGCAATCCTTGTTCAGGCAAAAAGCTGGCTCGGTGTTTCGGCAGGAGCGAGAGTGGGATGAAAGTAACGGACTTAACTAACCGCGCAATGCAGGGACGAGGCGTTCAACTCCATCACTGGCCTGAACGGCAGTGGTAAATCCAACATTCTCGATGCCATTTGTTTCGTACTCGGTATCACCAACATGTCGACCGTTCGCGCACAGAATCTCCAGGACCTCATTTACAAGCGAGGTCAAGCCGGTGTCACCAAAGCCAGCGTTACGATCGTATTCGACAACCGAGATACAGCGAAATCGCCGATCGGATTCGAGGAATATGCGAATATCTCAGTCACTCGCCAGATTGTGCTGGGCGGCACGAGCAAATATTTGATCAACGGTCACCGCGCACAGCAGCAAACCGTCCAGAACCTGTTCCAGAGTGTTCAGCTGAATATCAACAACCCCAACTTCCTGATTATGCAAGGTCGCATCACAAAGGTCTTGAATATGAAGGCAGTCGAGATTCTGTCGATGATTGAGGAGGCAGCCGGTACACGAATGTTCGAGGATCGCAGGGAAAAGGCCAACCGGACAATGGGAAAGAAAGAACTGAAGCTGCGCGAGATCGAGGAATTGCTGAAAGAAGAAATCGAGCCTAAGCTTGAGAAGCTTAGGTCGGAGAAGCGAGCTTTCCTTGACTTCCAACAAACACAAAATGATCTTGAGCGTCTGACTCGACTTGTTGTTGCTCATGACTATGTTCGTGGCGGCGAGCGACTGCGAGTTGCGGGTGACGATTGCGAGAACAAACGCAGTAAAGTTCAATATCTGGAGGACAACGCATCCAAGCTCAAGAATGAGATCGCCTACTTGGAGGAGGACGTGAAGCGAGTGCGCACAGCTCGCGACAAGGAACTTCGGAAAGGCGGAAAGTTCCAGGGACTGGAGGATGAAGTTAAGAATTACTCGCATGAGCTAGTTCGATTGACTACTGTGTTTGATCTGAAGAATGCGAGCATGGACGAGGAAAGAGAAAAGCGAACGACCATCCAAAGTACCGTCACAGAGCTTGAAAAGGTCTTGAAGGAGAAACGAAAGATTTACGAAAAGGTCCAGGCCCAATACGATGCCGCCAAATCCGAACTCGACGCGCAGAACGTCGAGGTGGAGCAAAAAGAGGAACTGCTCCAGACACTTCAAACCGGTGTTGCTTCAAAGGAAGGCCAAGAGAGTGGCTACCAGGGTCAGCTGCAGGATGCCCGCAACCGAGCAAGCAATGCCGCAACAGAACAAGAGCAGGGCAAGCTCAAAATTAATCACTTTGAGAAGAGGATCAAAGAGGAAGAGCCTCGCGCAAAGAAGGCGAAGGAGCAAAACTCCGGCCTCCTTCGTGACCTCGAAGGTCTCAAAACACAAGCCAGTAAGCTTGAGTCAGAGCTCACCCGGCTTGGATTTGAACCTGGAAAGGAGGAACAGATCTATCAGGAGCAGACAGGGTTGCAGCGCGACATTCGTGAGCTCCGACAAAGGGCTGATGCTCTCAAGCGACAGGCAGCGAACATCGATTTTAATTACTCAGACCCCCATCCCAACTTCGACCGGTCCAAAGTTAAAGGTCTAGTTGCTCAGCTCTTTACTCTCAACAAAGATCAGGTTCCTGCTGCGACTGCCTTGGAAATCTGTGCTGGAGGTCGTCTTTACAACGTGGTTGTCGACAGTGCAGAGACTGGTACACAGCTGCTTCAAAAAGGAAAATTGCGCAAGCGTGTGACTATTATTCCCCTTAATAAGATATCCGCGTTCAAGGCCTCAGCGGAAAAAATTGGAGCTGCCCAGAATCTTGCCCCCGGAAAGGTTGACCTTGCCTTGTCTTTGATTGGACACGACGAAGATGTTTTGGCTGCTATGAACTACGTGTTCGGTAACACACTTATCTGTCAAGATGCCAACACAGCCAAGAAGGTGACCTTTGATCCGTCTGTTCGGATGAAGAGTGTTACGCTGGAGGGTGATGTTTACGATCCGTCTGGAACTCTTTCTGGTGGAAGCTCCCCTAATTCCAGTGGAGTTCTCGTTACTTTGCAGAAGTTGAATGAAATCACCAAAGAGATGCGAAGCAAGGAGCGTCAACTGGCCACTTTAGAGGACCACATGAACAAGGAAAAGAAGAAACTCGATGCTGTTCGCTCAATTAAACAGAACTTGGATCTCAAGACCCATGAGATCAGACTTACCGAGGAACAGATCAATAGCAACTCTTCATCCTCAGTATGTATTTATGCTCGTCTAATTATGTGATCGTGCTAACCCGTCTCAGATTATCCAAGCCGTCGAAGAGATGAGAGCAAACATCGAGCAACTGAAGAAAGACATCGCCGACGCAAAGGTTCGCCAAGCCGAAGCATCCAAGGATATTAAGCGGATTGAGAAAGACATGAGCGAGTTTAGCGACAACAAAGACAACAAACTCGCAGAATTGGAAGCCTCACTCGCCAAACTCAAGAAGAGTCTGACCAAGAATTCTAGCTCGGTCAAGGAGCTGCAGAAGGAATTGCAGACCACCAGACTGGACTCCGAACAAGTCGGTAGTGATTTGTCTGCCGCCGAGGAGCAGTTGGTTGAATCCGACAACACCTTGAAGGCTCAACTAGAAGAAATAGAGTCACAGACACGAGAGCAGACCCGCTTAAAGGTAAGTGTCATTTTACTAAAATTGAAGATCATAGTGCTGACAAGTACAGGATGCTCACGATGTTGCACAAGCCCAACTCGATGATGAGAGGGCTAAATTGACTGGCTTCGATGAAGAACTACGAGAATTGGAGGAAGCGATGCAGTCCAAATCCTCTCAGATCACCGAAGAAGGCCTTGAAGCGCAAAAACTTGGTCATCAGCTCGAAAAGCTACAAAAAGATCAGTACACTGCAAGTCAGGCTGTAGCTCACATGGAACAAGAGCACGAGTGGATTGCGGACGAAAAGGAGCATTTCGGACGCGCCAACACACCTTACCACTTCCAGAACCAAAACATCGCTGAGTGCAAGTCAACACTACGGAACTTGACTGAGCGATCTCAGGGCATGAAGAAAAAGATCAACCCCAAGGTCATGAACATGATTGACAGCGTTGAAAAGAAGGAAGCTGCACTCAAGAACATGATGAAGACGGTCACTCGCGATAAGCGCAAGATTGAAGAAACCATCATCAACCTTAATGAATACAAGAAGGAGGCTCTTCACAAGACCTGGGTCAAGGTCAACGGCGACTTCGGACAAATCTTCAGCGAGCTTCTACCCGGCAGTTTTGCCAAGCTCGATCCCCCAGAAGGCAAAGATATCACCGACGGTCTGGAAGTCAAGGTGTCCCTGGGCAAGGTCTGGAAGCAGAGCTTGACAGAACTCAGTGGTGGTCAACGTTCTCTCATTGCCCTATCGCTGATTATGGCACTCCTGCAGTTCAAACCCGCGCCTATGTACATCCTGGACGAGGTTGATGCTGCTCTGGATTTGTCACACACCCAGAACATTGGTCGGTTGATTAAGACTCGTTTCAAGGGATCTCAGTTCATTGTCGTCTCACTGAAGGATGGCATGTTCCAAAATGCCAACCGTATCTTCCGTACGAGGTTCAGCGAGGGTACTAGTATCGTTCAGGCGCTGACCCCGGCCGATTTGAAATGAGTATGAGCATGAGCATGAGCATGGATTTGAGCACACTTGTCTATAGTTTTCTTCCCCCCCTCTTTCTTGGCCTATTGGGGTTCTTGTTATGACGTTTGGCAGACGGTGTTTTCGGACTGATGAAAGTTTTGGTTATGGATGGGAATGGATTTCTGTTCACGATATATGCATTGCGAAAGGTGCTTTCGCTTCTCTGTTGAACATTGTTGTGTAGATTGCCCTGATGCTGTAGGCGTACATAAAGATAAGAGTTGAAGAGTTGTATACTCCGACATCCGACTCCGCAACTTGTCAGGCACGTGTTGTTCACCGATCTTCCCGACCCCAGCGCCACTTTCCCAAGCCGCTCTTGCGATTCTTGCTGAATGATCTCGCATTGCGCCCTGATACCCTAATATACTTAGCTTATTCTCAATTCTCTTCGATCTTATATTGGTCACGTCACGCCCTCCCACACGACATCCTACCTTTCTCGGAATCGTTCCGCCAACTACGCGAGAACCCGGAAGCCTGACTCAACCGCGCGCAGATCCGACACAATGACAGACGACGAGCCCTCACTGAATATCCCTTCGCTTCTTACTCTAGCGGTCGTCTCGTTCTTCGTCCTCCGATGGTTCTTTAACCGCGATGACGCCCCCGCAGGAAGCAACCGAGGCCGGGGCCGTGGGAATGTCGTCGATCCGGCGCAGGTAGAACAGATCTCACAAATGTTCCCTCAGCTGAGTACGCGAGATATCATGTGGGATTTGCAGCGTAATGGAGGAAGCGTCGCTGCGACAACAGAGCGGATCTTGACAGGACGTGGACTGGAAACTGTACGTGTGGCACCCGATACTGTCATTTGCTTCGCTGGCTGGCGTTGGTGGCAACTTGACTTCAGACGAGGTCTCAGACGAGACGAGACAACGAGAGTATTGACTAACAAATCCATATAGCCACCACCTTCATTCCAACCCCAGGTCGCAATCCCCTCCGCCACCATCCTCGCTGCGCAGACCGCTACGGCCCCGGCACCCAAAGCAAACGGACAGGACTTGATTTCCCGATACAACCTGAGCGCAAAGGCATCCAGCAATGCAGAGCCAGAAGCGCAGCCGGCGACACCATCCAAGTCTGCTTGGTCTCAGAATAAGGAGGAGCGTCAGCGACTGCTTCAAAAGCGCCGGGACGACATGATTCTTGCTGCGCGGAGGAAGATGGCGCAGAAGAACGAGGGCAGTGCCCAATGAGACGACAATCACCATGATCTGGCTATTTAGGGCTTTGTTTTACGGTGTGATGCTGATATTCCTGGCCAAATCTGTACCCTCTCTTCTCCATTCCTTCACTTCCACTACCTCGCCCCGTTTGTATTAAAGCGTTTGCATTGCTGTATGGTGTTAGGTAAATTGGAATAGCCTTGGTTATAACCGTTGGTCATCGTCAGTCCAGGGACTAGGGTATAAGTTATCGGATTATGTACATGAACGTCGTGTTTTTTTTTTGGGAAGCATTGGTCTGCGTCACATATGCACCGTTGAACTCCAAATAAATGATGCCCCCAAAAGGAAAGGGTTCTCCCAATGCGCTTAGAACTCCATGTAATCTTCTTCCTCGTCGTCGTTTTGTGTGTCGTCGTATCCGCCATTGGCTCTTTGCTCGGCCATCTGTTCGCGTCGTGCTTGTTCTTTAGAAGAGCCGATTTTCCTGCGATAATTAGCATTGATCTTGTTGAAAGGGTCTAGATCAAACATACCGGAGACCATCCACCACGCCAGTGACGAACCCTCGCTCCTCGCCCAACTCCATAGAACCAACGCCCGTCAAAGCAACACCACCGCCACCAGTGGCTGCAGCATCTAAAACATCGACACCGGACCTCATCTTCGCCATGCGCACTTCTCGCAAATCTTTCAGTAATCGGCGAATCTGGTCCGGGTCCATTAGATCGTCGCTCGCAGCATCGAGAAGCATGTTCCCAACCTCGACCCAGTGGAACGGTAGTGAAGGGGCATCCCGTGAGGAATTCACAGGTTGTGCTGTATTGTGTGGTAGGAAGGGCGGCGCAGCATAGTATCGATTGCCATCTGGAGTATACTGAGGCCGAGCAGTTGGTTCTTGGCCACGGTCTAGAACGCTGGGTTGGCCGGGCAGCGGAGGAGGTGGAGAGAAAGCGTTCTGATAATCCTGGTGTCCAGATTCAACCTCGAGAATAAGACTAAGAGACTCTGGGTGTAGCCAGGGTGGTGGTATGATATTCGCACGGCGTTGGCGTTTGAGTAGAAGTGCGAGCCAGAGGGGGAGGGCAGCACGTCGTGGAGGGATCAGAGGTTCAACGGGGCCCTAAGATAGTCAATTTCATACGTCCAGTTCAAAATGGTCGTGGATATAGTTACTCCTAGTAATTCAAGCCCCTCGAGGCGCTGTCGAGGCACAATAGTCACGGATTCCATCTCCGCCAGAAAAGCAATCTCCGACGCCGTAACGCCCCGCGGCAAAGGGAATGCCATTGTGCTCTCGAGAACAATACACAAGAAATAAGAAACAAGCTGGGATCACACACGACTTCGATCTGGGTGTGTCCGAACGCCAACTCGCGTCGGCGGAATGGCGTTTGGTCCGTTTGCACTCCCCATCTTCAAGTTCCAAGCTCCCGCCTTCACTTCACCACACTTGGCCTCTGCCAATTGAAGAGCTGAGCATGGTTTCACCCGATGAATCCCAGCTCAGTCGAGCTGCGCGCTATGCCGTTCCTTTCGGTTTGCTGCTCATCCCCCTCTGGATGATCCGTGTCAACGCGGTTGTCCCGGAGCCATACCTCGACGAGGTATTTCACGCTCCCCAGGCTCAGGCATACTGGGCGCACAAGTGGGAGCAATGGGATCCAAAGCTGACTACCCCGCCGGGTCTGTATCTGTGGTCTTACGTGCTCTGCGCGGCGTTGCTTCTGCTTCGTGGTGAGCCGACGAAGCTCACAACCGAGGTTCTACGTATGACGAATGTTGCTACTACTGCTATCTTCCTTCCTTGGAGTTTGCAGGCGCTGCTCGATAAAATTCAGAAGGTGAAGAATGACCGGAACTTGAGCTCGTATTTGGGTCATACTGCGTTGAACATTTGCTTGTTCCCACCGTTGTTCTTTTTCTCGGGTCTGTACTATACAGACATTCTTGCCCTTCTCGCCGTGGTTGAGGCCTACAATTGGGATCTCAAGAGGAGCTCGGGTGGTATTCTGCCGACGCTGGGCTTCTTGGCCTTCGGTTTGGCTGCACTTGTCTGTCGGCAGACGAATATCTTTTGGATCTCTGTCTTCTTTGGTGGACTTCAAGTTGTCCGGAATATTACAACGTCGTCTTCTACTTGCTCTTCGTCTAAGATCTCTAAGATCGTGAAACAGGGAATGCAGCAGAACGAGCTCTATGATCCTCTGGTCTCGGAAGCTACCTTGGCTGGTGAGTCAATGTGACAGAGCATACATAGCGTGCAGATACTAACATAGGCATTAGACTACTTCAAGACCATCATCTCATTCACAGCTGTTGCTGCGAAGAGACCATTTGCTGTGCTCATCTCTGTTATTCCTCATCTCATTGTCCTCGCTGCCTTCGGTGGTTTTGTGATTTGGAACAACGGTGTCGTCTTAGGTGGGTTTATATGATCTGGAGAGTGTGCGCAAGCAGAGGCTAACAAAAAACCAGGCCACAAAGAGTTCCATACTGCGAGCATTCACTTGGCCCAGATGCTATACATCTGGCCTTACTTTGCCTTCTTCTCGTGGCCACTTTTCGTGATACCTCTGATCAACATCCTTGTCCCCAAGAAGTCTATCCCCGAGTCTCTGGATCTGGGCTGGCCAGCAAAGCAGAGAAAACTTCCATCATACAAAGCTGTCCTAGCTGTGATTCCTCTCATGCTTGCCGTGGTTCATTTCAACACCATCGTGCACCCCTTCACCCTCGCTGATAACCGCCACTATGTATTCTACGTGTTCCGCCTTCTCCTTAACATCCACCCAGCAGTAAAGTACGCCGCAGTCTTGGTGTACTTCCTCTCCGGCTGGACTGTGATTTCGGCCTTTGGATTCTCTACTCTGGTCGTGGCACCCAAATTGATGCGCGTCCCAGAGAAGCCTGCACCAACTGCCTCTACTCCTGCTCCTGCTCCAGCTCCGGCCCCTACCCCAGCCCCTACTCCTGCACCAGCAGCCAAACCTACTCAGCCTTCCCAGCCACCTAAGGGAACAAAGAGGACCACCCGACCCAACCGCAAGCCTGCCCCCAAACCCAAACAACCAGATGAACAACCCAAGACCAACACCATCGATCCAAATGATCCCGCAGTCATCGCCAGGATCCAACGATCGATCCTGACACGCCAAAAGACCCAGCTCGAAGCACCCCGTGTCAGCTTCGTCCTAATCTGGCTTGCCGCAACCGCATTGTCCCTCATCACTGCACCCCTGGTTGAACCCCGCTACTTCATCATCCCCTGGGTGATGTGGCGTCTCCATCTGCCCCCATCACCAGGTCTGCTCAAGTACCGAATCACCCGTCCTCGCAATGAAGAAGACAAGCGCGCTGCTGACTTCGTGGTCAACTCTCCCAAATTCCTGGAGACGGCTTGGTTCTTGCTCATCAACTTGGTGACTGGTTATGTCTTCTTGTACAAGGGCTTCGAGTGGCCCCAGGAGCCTGGAAAAATCCAGCGCTTCATGTGGTGATTTGGACATGCATTGCTGATCCATCGGTTGGTTCTATACCATGGGTCGTTGTATCATAGGACTTTAAAAATCTGTACTCATACTGTCAATTCATTAATTACAATTACAATTCCAGCTCAAGCTCCCAGTTTCGATGTCTCCTGTCATATCAATCCAATTCAATATATTGCCTATTTCTTAATACAACAACCCAAATCCAATCCAACTCCAAGCAAAAGGTTCCAAGCTCCAAATTCCACCCATATATATTCCCCTATCATGATCCCCAAACTAATCATAATCATAACCACAGCCACACACACCACTCAAGTAAAATCATCCCAGAACCCCAGCCATAGGCGCACAAACCGCCGACCCTACAAACCAACGCAAAAGGTCAGCCCCAATACAAGAGAGCTCTCTAATGATTCCACTCCATTCATGAGCGATGGACAAAAAAGCAAAACATACCAGGGGCAACAGGAACCATAACAGCCCAAACCTCCCGACAAGAACAATTGACGCCCATGATATGTTCACATTTCGCCAGGGGGCGGCCAGCTCTCGGGACCCGTTTCATTGGTCGGTCGTAGTGGGTGCATTTTGTTGATCTGTGGCCGCGGATGCAGGAGGAGCTGGGTTGTTAGATAGATATATAGATGTAGATGTGGATATGGATATGAATTGTGGTGGAAGTATGACAAGAAGAAGACGTGGGAGGTCTTACCAGGACCATTTGTCGCCTTTGGAGTCGAATGGCATTGTTTGATATATTATTGGGTATAGATGTGGCGAAGTGAGTGAGGGAGTGTGTAGAGGATAGGGTGATATAAGGGGAACAATGAACTAAACAGTTGATTTAGATTGAAGGGTAGAACCAACACCCAAGACCTTAAAGCACAAGGAACGAATAACTGGCGCAAATGTGCTCAAATGCGCGGGGGATAAAATTGAAGAGATCGGCGTGATCTGCAGGGATCTCCATAGCCAAGGGTGTCTATACAGCTACAGCTCCAGCTACAATCGAAGCCATGAAAACACTAGAATAATGATGAGAATATCAAATGTTCTTAATGATGGCGTGAACTAGGAACTGAAGAGCATATCGGCTCCCTCGCAAAACAAATCGAAGTCGAACCCCAGACTCCGTCGCTTTTAAGTCAGAAACAACACGCCTCATCTTATCTTAACTCCATTCCAAATCATAGGTATCATGGCCCGAGGACAAAGCACAAGCATGCACAGAGCAGAGCAGCAGTCTTATCGAAAACAGAAGCAGAAGCAGACGGGGATGAGAGAAACATAAAAAACAAGCAGAATGGGTTCAAAGCTTCAGGTCCAAGTCCAAGTCCTCCACGCTGCCAGATCGCTTGGCTGTAGGGATGGCGCTGTCAGGCAAGGAGAGGGCGGACATGGTGCGCTGGTTCTTTGGTCGGGAGATGTCTTCGGTCTTGGTGCAGATCCAGGTGGAGGCGTACATGTTCACACTGGATTGGTTAGAGTTTCGAACGCATGTAAAGTGGATAGCTGGGGGTGGAGCTAGCTTACCGGTCAATGCATGTGCCTGGGAAGCGGGCTCCCACGCGACGAGCGGAGAATCCGTTCTCTTCAAAGTGCTTGATGTACCAGGGATCGATACTTGCTGAGCGGAGGAGGATGCGGCCGCCCTTCTTCAAAGCGTGGTTGAATGTACGGGCTTGGGCGGGGGCTGCGTCTCCGCTGGGGTCGAACCAGTCCATGGAGTCCATGACCACGGCGATGGTTAGGGTTCCTGGGGTGATACGGTTGATCACTTCGTTGATCTCATCAGTGTGGATGCGCAGACCATCGAATGCACCGGGCGTAGAAAGCTTGACATGTGCCTGAGGAGATAGGTAGGTAGGGTGGCATCTATGACGATTAGCAAGAGCTCTGTCAATACTTTCAAGTCAACATACCTCCGAGAGAATTTGCCCTGGACACAAAGGAAGTAGAAGTAGTTGTCGTTGCTGATGAGAGTATCATTGATGACGGGGTCGAGCGTGTTGACAACATACTCCCAGATGGACTGGCCACTGATATCCTTTCCGATCTTCATATCCTCGGTCAAACCATTGCGACGGAAGAAGTCATCTACAATCATGTTTCGCTGGTTGCGAGGCACACCCGCTGCCTTCCAGGCAAACCACTCAGTACTGACAATAGCCCAGTGCAGAGGCCGGCTCATGAGAACGCGGCGGATGCGAGGCCAGATTTCACGTTGCTCGGCGAGAGTTTGTGCTTCACACATCTTGCGGACTTCGCCCTGCAGTCCGAATATATTGAAGAGCCAGCGGACCATGCGAATCGCATGACGGGAGCCACCAGTCTCGTAGAGACCGTGGCCAGAAGTGGAAGTGAAGGTGTGAGTATGCTCGAGCCAGTATTGGAAAGCTTGGCTGGAGAGATGGGGACTGAGCTTGGAGATGAGCAGCTCGCGGAATTGCGGGTGCTTGCCCTCACCGAAGATCTTCCACATGTCCCGGTGGCCGAGGGCTGTGTAGCTGGCAACCTTCAGCTCAAGGAGATGGTTCTGGTTAGGATTCAGGTCCACGGCATGAACCCGACGGGGACTCTTCTGTAGGTAGTCGAGGATATTATCACCGGCACTTGTGATAGCGAGAATGACATCGTCTTTGCCAATGTTCAAAAGTCGGTGGTCAACCCGGGGGTCCTCCCAGGTGAATGCGTAAATGTACTCATTTTGGAACTGGGTGTGCTTGGGAAGCATGTCGTTGTAGTGAATGCGGTAATGCTGGTTCTGGTAGAATGACGATGGAAGCGGCAGGTTTGCACTCAAGTTAATGACTGCAGACTCATACGCCTTAGACCGGATCTCCTGCGAGCTGCTCACAACTGCCTGGTCCATTTCCTGCTTGTGATTGGCAGGAAGCAGGTAGGGAGACTCGGTGAAAGAGGCATCCAACTTCTCAATTGACTGGCTCGACGGGGTAGATTGAATTTCCTTAGGGCAGCCGACAAAGATGTAGTATGGAATACCACCAAGAAGGTAGTTACGCTCACTGGCAGAAATGACGGTTCCAAACTTGTACTCGAGGTAGTCACGACGAGCAGCCTCGAGACTGACACGATCGAAATCGAACCAGGCTCTCCAGAAAACACGTCCGAGCCAATTCACATGACGGTTGAAGGCACCACCAGTGTAATTGCGACAGGAAACATCCACAATGCTTTGAACTGTATCGGGGTTAGAACGGAGCTTCAGGATATCACAAAGAAAGTTGCTTACCATAGAAATCACAGACACCCAGAATGCCAGTCGATTTCAGGCGAGAGGTCAATGAATCGACAACGCTGTAATAATCTGAAAGAGTCAACGCCATGCCTTGTTTAGCGTTCCCACCAATACTTACCAGGAATCATGGATAGACTGTAGCTCATAGTAACCAAGTCGACCGCATCATTTGCATTTACATTCACAGAGCGAGGATCAACAACCCTCTCCGGAAGACGGAATGACCGAGCATCCTGGCACAGAACAGTGACATTCTTCCACCCAAGACGCTCGAACCGCTGGCGGGCAACTTCACAGAGCGACGGAGAAAGATCGACCAGGTACACTTGCTCGAAGAATTTGTCCACGGGAAGGAAAGTCGCCATCGCCTCAATATTGTATCTGTTCCGAGTCAGCTTCCAGTTCAACCATTGTAACCAATCTGCCTCTCTGCCTACCCAGTGCCGCCACCAACCTAAGAACGTGTCAGCCCTAAATGTCCATCGAGTCACTCCAATCGCACACTCACATCCACCCAAACTGCCTTTCCATTCTTGATATCCTTAGTTCCAACCTTGTGCTTCAACTGCGCCGCCACAAGACCGAGCATGTCCTCCCGACCACAGAGAAGACGACGACGGGTAGCATCGTACACGGCAGCCTGCAGCGAGAAGTCAGTCACCAGTCTGATCCCACCCAATCCCACCCACTCCCAACCCACCTGAGTCTTGTAGAAGCTCTCCAAAGCATCCTGCTGATCCCCAGCCTTCTTGTCATGGGGTTTGATAAAGTTGGCCCAAATGAACTTGAGGTACGGTCCCGCCCACGTATTAGCGACCTTGACCCGTTGTTGCGACAGCAAGAGAACGAGCGCCACGAGAGCAAAGACGGACAAGGCCGCCGTGGCGATGTAAATATGCATCCAATCCATTCTGCAAGCAATGTGCAATGTGCAATCTGCAAGAAGCAAGGAGTGTTACAAAGTCAAGAGAAAGAGAGAAGACATGGATTCATATAGAGGAAGAGCACGAGATCGGAGCGCAGGAGCCACATCACGGGGAGGAAGAAGACAGCTCCTCCTATCACGGAGACACATGGGTGGAGAGAGAGAAAGAGAGAGAGAGAGAGGAGGGGCAGGTACAAAGGACTTGGGGGTTGCGTGCAGGGACGGTAGTGGTTGGAGGTAGTCAGTACATGGAGACGATAGTATCTATTTCCGGGAGCGTGTCGAGGATAAGTGGGTATAGAGTAGCATAGATTAGGATAGTACAGTAGAGCATGTAGCATATAGCAAATAGCAAATAGTATACCGTAGAGAGAGCCAACTTTAAGCGCATTTGGGTTCCTGCAGTAGCCTCAGTTGAGCCAGTCACGGACGTGCCCGTTGCCATGTGCTGCTTGGCACTGCCCCGTCGGGCTCGTGGGGGCCATGGCTGCCCCTGATAGGCTGTGCTGGGCCCTAACTCCCAGGGTCTACGGGAGCCAATCAAGGCCCCGGGTGCCGGCACATTGGGGGTTCCCCAGATTTGATGGGATCCCGCATCTAGGCTACGGGGGGATCTTGGGGTTCTTATCTTTGATTTCGTGGATAATCGGACGGTAGATATTGCATTGGTTCTTTTGTTAGGAAATCGCGGCTAAGTTCTAAGTATCGTTGAGTCCGTTTTGGGTTATAAGTGTATAACTTATATGACCGCTGGACTCCTAACCAGAGCCGTGATCGTTAACATCGACTGACACTGTAGAGCGACATCTTTCTCTCCCTCATTGAGCCCCGCCTCGTCATATAAAGATCAACAATATCGGAGTCTCTCGGTTTGAATAGGATCCACCCGAGACGCTGGCGATCAACGTGTATGGCACCCACTCAGGGCTCCATGTACGTGCATGCTGCGACAATCATGCTCAGTTATTGTCTCAAGTATCTCAATTTGACTTCATACTTGAAAATTGGGCCCACGCTACAGTATGCTTCCATAAAATCCAAAATGAAGATATGCCCAAGATCGGCCGTGGCGTTGCTTGAATCTACAGTGAGCTCTTTGGCTGCGAGTCCGGAAGGTAAAGCCAGTCTGTTCAAGTCAAGACAAGCAAGTGGAAGAAAGAACCCAAGACGCGGAACTGTTGACTACATGTGTATAGCTAATCCAAGTATCAGAAGAAAGCCTTGGCCAAGGCCCAAAGTACGAGGAGAAGGTGAGAGAACTGATTTAATTGCATGCGCAGAACGCCTTTTTCCTCATTGCTTAGACGCCAGACCCAGTAATCTAGATACTTCAAGAATCAATGTTCAAGAAACGATCCCATTATACATAAACCAAATGCCGGTCAAATCTACTCGTCGTCGCTCATGCGAGTATCTTCGGCTGGCTGATCGGCATCATCGTTTTCAATCGGTTGCTCCTCCTCGACCGTAGGTTCGGGCGGCATTTGGCTCGCGAACTTAGGGTCGACCTGCAGACGGTGCGTAGCCCGCTTGTATATCTCTTGCTCGTCGGGGTCACGGACAGTAACGTGCATCTGGTCGACTTGCTCCTCGGGCTCTTCCTGCTGGGTGGATGCAGGTGCCAGACCGGCCTGGGCGATGGTACGGGCACGTTCGGGCTTGAGACGGGCCTTGCCAATGATGGGGTAGTAGTAGGCGGCCAGTTGTCTGGTATCGCCGTCTTTGGGGGTGAAGAGAGTCATTGCGATATCTTTCTGCTCGGTGCTGAAGGACTGCGCGCTTGTGGCGTAGGTGCGGGCTCGATCGTAGCGGAAGTATTTGTTGCCGTCGGCCTCGTGCGTGTAAAGGTCTGAGTCGTGTCGGTCTGGATGAGTCAGACTCATGCTTGTGTGGATCTTCTTCAGAGCATCGACCTTCTCAGGTAAGAATAGGCGGTAGTCGAAGGGTACGGGGCCCGGGTGAGGGTAGATATTGGGGTTCGCTTCGTGAAGAGCCACCTTGGACTCGTGCTCGTGAACGATACGCTGCTCTGGTGCTGCTGGGCTCAGCAGACCAAGTTCCATGCGCTTGTCCCGCTTGCCGGCGACGGCTGCCACAGGCGCCTTGTCGAACTTGAATTGAAGGAAACCTCCGGGTTCGGGGAAGCCTTCCAGGTCAGGCATGACGGGGAAGAAGCCGACTGGCTTCAGTTTGGGATTATCAGGATGCACTGGGTTTGCCCAAGCATCCACTTCCGCCTTTGTGGGAGGTAGGCCTCGGACGCGATTCTCAGTATCCTCGCCAGTATGCTTGCTCTGCGGGTAGGCAATGTCGAATCCCTTGGTAATGAACTTCTTGACATGCTTGGGGTCGTCGACTGAAGGCTTTGCTTTCTTACTGGGCCGTGCCTGCGCTTTGGCAGGTACAGCAGCTCCAGCTCCAGCGGTGCGGTCGACGGAGATATGCTGTGTGCGGCGAAGGAAGCTGACATTGGTATTCTTCTGTACGGGGTTGCGGAGTTGGTCGATGCTCATAAGGAGTGGAAGATCAGCTGGGTCGATAGGCTGAGGGGTTTCGGGGGCCATGATAGCTATAACAGACAGATTAGTCTCAATTATGCGATTTGATAAACATTCAGTTTGCACATACCACTCTCATCGCCCAAATGTAAACCTGGAATACCGACAAGGTCAATGGGCATTCCACCTTCAGCGTCGACATCGATGTTTGGCTCCTCGCGACGCGCCAGGTTGGATGCAAATCCGGGGGTGAGGAAGCGGCTTAAGCCCTCGTGCGGGATATCGAGGAACTTGGGGGGCATGTCTGGAGGAGGAAGATCATTGCGATAGCGCAACGAGGCAATATAGTCTTGGTGGAAGCTCCCGGAGGACTGTCCATCTTTGGACTTGGACATCTTGTTGTCCGATGCGGTCTTTTAGACAAGGACTGTTGGCGAGTTGATCTTGAGAGCTGTCGTCGCAAACCTACGTGTCGGTATGGGACCGAGGTAATGGCTGAGAGATCAAATTCGAGTTGTAATGCCCTGGATGCCCAATATTCCAATCTTTCAGAACAGGGCCTTTCTTCGGACTGCGACAGCTGGGGGCGGGTTGAATCAATTGAAGCTGGACGATGCAGAGCGAATTGCGGCCGCCAGAGAATCATCATTTTGCCGACTTCTACCGCCCTCACATTATACACGCTTGGAGTCACCTCACGAACTGGGAGCGTTTCTCATGCGCCAATCGTATTATATTTGTTTATGTGTCCATGATTCTAAATCTTGTATAGAAAATCCGCCATCAAGGGAATATTGCAAGTTCGTATATGTAGAATCTCACACTTTGTATTGACAATCAGCCGTCAAGTGAATACTTCAGTGCTCGTTCTCTGCTCGAAATACTCCATTGCATTAGAAAATATCGAAACCCGTTTTGATAACAACCAAAAATGTAGAACTCCCGTCGCCACCGCCAGCTTCTCATAATAGCATCACAAAGCCAAAGTACACAATCAATAAGCCCACATACACTTGTAAGCCATCAACCGCGGCCCAAGTCGATCATACTCCAATCGTCCAATCCAGCTATCGTTTGTAGTGTTCAATTTTCCAAAAATGCTGGCACCCTTCCAAACAACAACCTGAGGGTCCAAGTCTCGAGGTGGTGTTCCAATCATGATCTCCTTGGCGAAACCAGGACGAAGAGCCTGCAGACGCTCTTCCAGGAACAGATGGAAGCCAGCAGTCAGGCTACCACCACCGACTACCATGATACCACCGATGAAATCACGCATCTTCTTCTCATCGGAACGAGCTGCATGTGCGATGGAAGTCAAAATGGCGTTATCTAGAGGGAAAATTGGCATGATATCATCACGCTCTTCCACGGCTGGGGGACGGGGAGTCTGTGACGGAGGTGCAGCTGCCGCAGGTGTGCTTGTACCGCCTGCCTGGGGAGTTCCTGTGGCCTCTGGAACAGGGGATCCGGCAACAGAAGACTGGGGAGTACCCTCAAGCTCTTGGAGTTTGCTGATAGCAGTGGGATGCTGAGGACGGCTGGGCGTGGCTTGAACATTAACTGATTGAGATTCGCCATTTGACTTGGGCAAGGGGGGTGCAATAGCAGTCAGAATCTCCGACTGAGCGGCAGAAGTAGGATCATTGGCTTGTCCGTCGTAGATATCAGCGGATCGGCCGATCAAAGTCCGTCGGCCATCAATCTTGTGCTCGTTATCGAAAATGCTGGGTTCAAAGACACCCATTGGTGCAAGATGAACTTCGTCAAAAGCCTTGAATGAGTACTTTCGTGTATCTTGGCCCGCCACTCGAAGATGGAAGTCGAAAACTTGGGGAGAGACGCTCGCTTCGTTCATAGTACAGATGTTCTTCTTTAGCTCTTCAGCCAGAAGGAAGTCATGTCTGCGTCGTAGATTGATATCGGTATATGGGAAATGGTCATGCAGCATCATCTTAACAAATGCTTCGGTCATATCTTGACCGCCAAACTTCAAGTTCACTCGCGAGTTTTCAATGCACATGCCTTCTTCCACACAGCAGATAGAGGTCTTTTGCGCTCCAATATCTACCACACAGGCTGAGGTGAAGCCGGCACCAAAGGTAGCCGCCAGACTTTCTTGAATAAAACACACTCGAGCAAATACAAACTCACGCATCAACATTTCCAGGATCTGAGTGACATAGGCCTTGTCGTAAAGATCTGGAATAACGATTACACACGAATAATGTGTCCAGTCTTTCTTACTGGGCAGGCCCAATTGATTCTGAATCGCGTCCTCCAGGATCAGTGAAATGTCCAGGAAAAGCGACCTCTTGCTTTCGTAGTCTTTTTCGTTGCACCAGCCATTTTTGATTGGCCAGTAGAGCTTGTATCGAGGTTTCGATGCGTCAGGAATTCTCAGCGCCGGCTGCCCAACAACATACTCTGGCGGAGGATTTGAGAGTTCGGTCCATTCAACACGCATGGGGTCGTTGTGCTCAGAAATAATCTCCGGTACTGTTCTGCGGTTGTAGTTCACCACCATTTCCTTTGAGTTAGGAAGCATTCGTCGCTTATTCTGTCGCATGTGCACCTTCAAGTCGGCAGACATTCGGTTGAACTGAGAAGACCACTAATACAGTGTTAGTTCTGATCCTAGACAATAACAGCGAGAAGAATTGCACTGAACATACCTCAGTTCCAAACGCCTTCTCGGGCTCTAGCTCAGAATCATCCTCAGCCTTGAACCGTTTCGGCTTGGGCTCTGCATAATCTTCAGATTCGCTGGTCGCTGACTTCCGCGCGATCACCATGGGCACGGTTTTTGGTAGCGCATCACTCGCAAGTCCTATGCGGAGGTTCTGGCTACCCATGTGAATAACAATGACCTTGGAGCCAGCCATCTCAGCCGGTGTCTCCTCTGCATCCTCCATGTTGGCATCGCCGTCTGCCTCGGCCTCGCCGTCTGGGTTCTCTGTCTTGGCCATTGCCATGGCACGGTCGTGGTCCTTTGCCTTCTTGGTCATCCGCGTTCTAGCCTCCTCATTTTGCAGTCGGAAGGCCAGGTTCTGATCATCACGCTTCAGGTAGTCACTATAAAACGTGCGGTTAGCGTTGATGTCCTTGACTCAAAGGAAAAGGGTGGACTCTTGTTGATCGATCTGGACTGTACACGTACGTATAGTAGTTCTTCTGGTTGATGGCAGCAACCTGGGGCCAGCTGGATAGTTCCATGTTGTTATCGGTGCGCTCCAAGCCTGCAAAAAACCCCAGTGTTAGTTATTTCTACTAGACCAAGGCGTACTCATCGCTTGTTTGATGAACCTTACCCTCATCCCGAAGGGCCTTACCCGACTTCTTTCCGACCATGGCGCAAGTCCGGGGGAGGTCAATTGCACGTGCGGGCAAATCTAGGAAGTGCGCTGGGACTGTCGCGCAGATACAAAGCCGACAAGGGTGTAGAGGTGATCGAATAACCAGATCCGAGAGAAGAAGGGACAATCGGTATGAGCTCAATCCCGCATGATCTCCCCCGATTGACCGCCCACCGCACAGGCCGACCCGTCTTTCATCTGTTCTCTACAACTTAACCAGTCACCAGTTACTGTTTACCATTTAACGTTACTATTTGCTCTTCTCTATTCACTTGCAAAGTCTTCCCTTCTTCAACCTTACACGCGCACATACATCATGGGTGGTTCACTATCGCGCATGTGGTCCCTGATCTGGTCCAAGAAGGAGATCCGCATTCTGATTCTAGGACTTGTACGTGGCGTCATATTTCCTATGCAGGATAATGCAGGATTAATGGAAGTTAACTCGCTCTCTTAACCATTCAGGATAACGCCGGAAAGACCACTCTGCTCTACAGACTCAAGGTGAGCTACTGGACCCCCACCCTGTCCGGGGAAACTGGGACCGGCGCGATGGACACGAGACTAACAATGCGCGCTCGCAGATTGGCGAAGTTGTCACCACGATACCTACAATCGGGTTCAACGTCGAGTCGGTCACATATAAGAATCTAAACCTCAATGTCTGGGTAGGTGGTGCACATCTACACGATCACATCGAATTTCTTACTGATGCTGCGTCATAGGATCTCGGTGGCCAAACTTCCATTCGTCCATACTGGCGATGCTACTACGCCAACACAGCAGCCGTAGTCTTCGTCATTGACTCCACAGATATCGAGCGACTAGGGACCGCCGCAGACGAACTAGCAGCCATGCTCAACGAGGAGGAACTTCACGATGCGGCGCTACTTGTGTTTGCCAACAAGCAAGATCAGCCTGGTGCCAAGGGCGCGGGCGAGATTTCAGAGGCTTTGAAACTGGGAGAACTGCGGGATCGGAACTGGAGCATTGTCGCGTGCTCTGCCATTGATGGCAAGGGTATTAATGAGGGAATGGACTGGCTGGTGGTATGTTTTCATTCTCGATGCTATTGCTCTCTCTCTCTCTCTTACCCCAAGCTAACAATCTTCCAGCAAACAATTCAGTCGGAGAACGCATAAGGGTCTGGTGTTGGTGTCCGGTTTTAGATTTTCATCGTTGATATACCTTATGTGTCCAAGTTTCTCTCATATGGGTTCGAAGCCTTCCTCTGCATTTGGGATGCTGTGCCTCTTCTTCCCTTCGACGATGCCTCGGCAGAGTCCTTGTCTTATATTGTTTCATGATCTCCTCGGTGTCTAGTCTCGCGGCTTACAGATAATTGTTTAATTGAATGTTGAGGCTGAACCAGGTAAATAAAAGCATTCCAGTATACCTATATAGCATCCATATGGGCATTAGTATCATGATATTTGATACCATCTAGATATCCAATGGTTTCCAAGACTATGAGGCTAACGTATGTTACCCCGACTGGCTTATCTTGCCCTCACCCCCGCACCTGCGATACACACCAGAGAGTCTTTCCGACTCAATCCTGTGGACTTGAATACATATCAGTACATTCAGGACATCATGGCGACCCTTCAGACCCAAACCGCTGCAGTCATCACTCCCACGGCTCCTGCCTCCGCCAAGGTGGAGGTGCAAAGCAACCGGCCCATCCCCATTCCAGGAAATGGAGAAATCCTCGTGAAACTCGAGTTCTCTGGGGTGTGCCATTCGGATTTGCACAGCATTCGGGGGGACACGCCTATGTTGACTGATGTGGCTGGTCATGAGGGCATTGGGAAGGTCATTGGCGGTAAGTTAATCTGGAAGCACATGTATATTTCAATGCCTAGAGTAGATCCTGATGACTATCATTGTGTGTTTTAGTTGGTCCCGAGGTTGACGAGAAGCAATGGATTGGAACGCGTGTGGGAATCAGGTTTGTTTGTTGTTCAGTCGGGTTGACGCTGGGCCATATTGACTCGTGGACATTCAATCAGATGGCTCTATAGCTCTTGTCGACAGTGCGAGATTTGCGAGATCAACCATACCGCTTGTCCGTATCAGAAGAATGCTGGTGCTGTGAGTAGATATCTTTACAGGATGCAATATATGACTTCGACCTTGTGGTTTACTTACTTCGTCAATGAATCCAGAATGTACCTGGTACTTTCCAGCGTAAGTCTCTACTCAACGAAATACACCACAGACTTCTGACTGTATATCTAGAATACATCGTCAGTCCAGCGCGCCATGTGACGAAGATCCCGGAGCAGCTATCTCCAGATACTGCAGCGCCCCTTCTGTGTGGTAGGTCTGCTCCACTGACAGCAAGGTATGCAATCTGAACTGTTTTAGCTGGAATTGCTATGTACTCTTCAATAATGAAGACCAAAACTCGCCCGGGGGACTATCTCGCCATCCTCGGCGCCGGGGGTGGCCTAGGGCACATGTAAGACTCCGATCTCTCTCACCAGTTTCACTGATCACTTACCGTCTTCTCACTTAGGGGTATCCAAATCGCTGCCAAGAAAGGCCTCAAGGTCATTGCAATTGACAGGTGCGCAATACTCTAGTTCGGCAGGGACATGGTAACGTGACAAGTATACTGATAAACTTGTTTCAATTGCTCAGCGGAGAAAAGAAAAAGCAACTCTGTCTCTCACTAGGCGCCACGGAATTCCTTGACTTTCGGGAAGTCGATATCGTGCAAGCAGTCAAGACAATCACGAGCTTTGGAGTGCATGCCGTGATCTGCACTGCAAATGGTGAGCGGGCATATGAGCAAAGCATGCGAATGCTTCGACCTCTGGGAACGCTGGTCTGCGTTGGTATTCCCGATGAGCCCTTCAAACTCCCAGCTACTCCCTTTGATATGATTGTCAAGGGTATGTTTTTAACTCCACGTCTCCGGTTGAAGCATGGACTGGGCTGACTTATCTGTGAAAGGGCTCACTATTGTGGGCAATTCAGCGGGCACGGCAGAGGAAATGGATGAGGTTTTGACCATGGCTGTTGCTGGCGATGTGAAAGCGCATATTGAGGTCTTTGGCTTGGAAGAGATCAATGATGTGTTGGATCGTCTTGAGCGCTCGGAGATCGATGGTAGGGTTGTTTTGAGGATTCCCGAGTAGTTTACATGTTTATTGGTGAAATGGGCGACTGGCGATTTTCCACCTCTTGCATCATCTCATATAAAATGAATACTAAAGTGTAAAGGCTCATGCGATATGCCTATATCCACCCCCGAGGAAGCGGATAGCATCCAATCGTAATTTGGACTGGGAATCGTCATCGCATGTTTACTTTACGTGATCAGCTCGAGGTGATTATTCTGCGAACTACCCAGGGCTAGGCAGCGCCCGACACTTGGTCTAGAGCAGGGATATGCACCCAGAGCAGCAATTATTGATTATTGACTGCAGCCAAGGCTGTTATCATGCAGTGGGTTTGCTTTGATAGTCAAGGTCACTGTAACCCCCACGCCCTCTTTTGCACACGATTTCCATCAAGATACTTTCAAAGGGATGAGCCACGGTGTTTGTTTTGAATAGAAGAAGAATGTGCCCGTATTGATGCGGCATGCAAATTCGCCAATCGGGCCGAACTCAGATCTCGGGACAGGGCCGATGCTTCATCCGATCGATGCATAAAGTTATACCCGATCACTGCCTATCAGCTCGATTTCACTTGCCTGTGGATCATTTGGCTGGAAGCAATAATTTACTGGGTCCAGCATTTTTTTCTATTTGCATTTCTGGAAATAGTCGTTCGCTAAGAGTGAGCACCAAGCTTTTGACTCCGTTGTGCCCAATATCTTTCAGTGGACCCTAGAACAAATCTTGTACTTAGTTCATCTGGTGGATCACCAGCTGAAACCCTTTTCACATTCCAGATCATGTCTCCTGTGTGATTAACTACACTCTGCCCCAAGGACCATATTGGCTTCGAATCAATCTGGCCGAGCATCATGATTGAGAGCCCACCCTTAAAGGCTGAAGCCTCTGATAGGCGTATACCTTACTGGCGGTTGATGACCGACCAAGGGGTAATCACCCAAGAGATTCTCGAATACGACTATGATGGCGCTGGCACCGAAGAGGACCCTTATGCTATATCATGGATTCCAAACGACCCTCGAAACCCACTGTTATTTGACACAACAACAAAGGTGACCATCACCTTGGCCGTCGCGTTCTCCACCCTGATTGTGTCCTTGACGTCCTCAGCCTATAGTGGCAGCATGCGCCAAATAGAGGACCATTTCCAAGTCAGCACTGAAGTAGCCACCATCGGCCTCTCGCTGTTCGTATTGGGATTCGCTATCGGACCCTTGTTCTGGGCTCCAGTAGGCGAGACACTTGGACGACAGATCCCTTTCTTCGTCAGTACCGGCAGCTTGGCCATATTCTCAGCAGGTTGCGCCGGTGCCCAGAACATCCAAACCCTTCTCGTTCTGCGTTTCCTAGCGGGCGCTTTTGGCTCTTCCCCATTCACAAATGGTGGCGGCAGCATCTCTGATATGTTCACTGCCCGACAGCGAGCATTAGCCATCAGTCTCTATGCCGCCGCCCCTTTCCTAGGACCTTGCTTAGGTCCAATCATTGGAGGCTTTCTAAGCATGAATGCTGGATGGCGATGGGTAGAAGGCTTCCTTGCAGCAACGGCTGGCCTAGTATGGATAGTCATCACCGTGACAGTGCCAGAAACCTATGCCCCCGTGCTTCTACGTCGAAGAGCCGAGACCCTGTCACGCATCACGGGCGAGGTATACCGCAGCAAGGCCGACCTAAGCAAAGGCAAACAATCCTTACCGAAACTCTTGTCCAATGCCATGTCGCGTCCGCTATTATTGCTCTTCCGAGAGCCCGTTGTGCAACTCTTCTCGATCTACAGCGCCATCGTCTACGGCACACTGTATATGTTGTTCTCCGCCTTCCCCATTGTCTACGAAGAAGGCCGAGGCTGGAACCAAGGCGTGGGCGGACTAGCCTTCCTGGGAGTAATGATCGGGATCATGTTGGGCATTCTGACAACAATCCCGTATAACAAGTTATATCAGCGCGCACAAGATGCCAACGGAGGCTACGCACCCCCAGAAGCTCGTCTGCCAGGCATGATGCTCGCGGCCATCATCACACCCGCTGGCCTTTTCTGGTTCGCGTGGACGAACTCGCCATCGATTCACTGGAGTGTGAGTGTTATCGCGGGTGCGCCGTTTGGCTTTGGCGTCGTCCTGATCTACTTGGGCGTTATGAATTATCTCATTGACTCGTACACCATTTATGCTGCCTCGGTGTTGGCTGCTAATGCTATTCTGCGTTCTATTTTCGGCGCTGTCTTTCCCCTGTTCACCAATTACATGTACCGGAATCTCGGTATCCATTGGGCTTCTTGTGTTCCTGCTTTTCTTGCGGTTCTTTGTATGCCTGCTCCTTTCTTGTTTTACCGGTACGGGCCGGCGATCCGGGCTCGTTGCAAGTATTCTGCGAAGTCGCAGTTGTATATGGAAAAGTTGCATGGAAGTGCGGCTGCTTAGTTTTATATAATCGGATATATATGATGATTTTATAGACAGCTTGGTATTGTGAAGGCATCTGTCGAATTTTATCAATTCAATGGTCATTGAGTCGGCAGTAGACAACGTACAATGAAGATGTTTACAGTAAATGTCTCAATCCAATGCACTGAACAAAAATCATTCACGGCACCATCGAGATCACGAACTGGTAAAGTAGTCTAGATATGAAACACGATAATCTACGCCCTATTTACAAGGTATTTTCTTCTCTTCAGTACAGTAGTTAGCAAAGCCGCCTCATCATCCAATCCCGTCTCGACAATGCCGACATTCCATTCCATCCCTTCGTCCACATATACCCCCGTCAATCACCAAAGAAGAGTAGGGCATAATCACTGCCATTGCCCCACTGCAGTTATGAGGTCCATGATAACGCTTCAAAGGTGCATTGATTGGTTCTGAGTTACATTCCCTATGCAGGGATTTGATCCATGGGGCTGGGGTTCGAAGGCGAGAACTCTTGAGATCTAGGCAAATGAAGTGAGGTATACTTAAACTTTTGAAGCTGCTGTTTCGTCATTTTGAATTTACGGAGAAGCGTCTCCGATTCATTTACAATATGTCGACTGCGACGGTGATCCCTACCGAGGCTGAACTCAAGGCTTTTGACCCCAATGACCCGAGTGTCACTGAACTCATTCAACAAGCTTCAAAGATTCATGACACTGACACAGTATTAAACGTCTGGGATGCAGTTAAGAAATACAAGGTTGCTGTGTTTTGGGCAATGTTCCTGTCCACCAGTTTGATCATGGAAGGATTCGACTTGTCCATGGTATGTTTCTATGTACACGATTCAGCAGTTCTAGAAGACGACCGTTGACCCTTCCAAAGATTAGTCTATTTTATGCCCAAACGCAATTCAAGGACAAATTCGGAGAACTTGATCCAACCACTGGCAAAAAAGCCATCACAGCCGCCTGGACAACCGGCCTATCCAACTCCAGCTCCGTGGGTCAACTAATAGGCCTATTCGTAAATGGCTGGTGTCAAGACCGATATGGGTGTCGCCCAACCATGATGTTCTTCATGGCCTGGCTCATTTGCATGATATTCATCCCGGTCTTTGCGCCCAGTTTACCCGTTTTAGCATTTGGCGAGATCATGTGCGGAATTGGATTCGGAGTCTTCCAGGTCATTTTCATTATCTATCGTAGCGAGCCTCGAGCTGGCGCTGACAGGCTTTAGACGCTTTCCACCGCCTATGCCTGCGAAGTCGTCCCCACCGTCCTCAGGTCCTATGTCACCACCTATGTTTGCATGTGCTGGGGATCCGGTATCCTACTGTCATCTGGTGTTGTCCGACTGACTCTCACCATGGAGAGCGACTGGGCCTGGAGACTCCCCTTTGTGCTGCAATGGACGTGGCCGGTCCCTCTTATTGTTGGAGCTTACTTTGCCCCCGAATCCCCTTGGAACGCAGTTCGACGAAACAAGATCGACGAGGCTAGAATAAGCCTGCGGCGCTTGCGCCAAGATACCCCTGATCGAGAGCGGCAGGTTGAGACTGCTCTCGCATATATCAAGCATACGACACAGTTGGAACGGGCTGAGACGGCTAATGCTAGCTTTTTGAATTGCTTTCGAGGGGTTAACCTTCGCCGGACCGAGATTGTAAGCCCTTGGATAGAAAGGACATCACACGAAGATTATATACAGTATTCTAACAGATTTAGAACTGCGTCGTTTGGGCTGCGCAAATTCTCTCGGGTAACGCCATCCTAGGCTACGCGCTGATCTTCCTTCAGGCTGCTGGCTTTTCGGAAGTCCAGTCTTTCAACCTGAACATCGCCATTTCTGCCTGTTACGTTGTTGGCGGCTGTCTTTGCTGGCTCTTGTTGCCCCATTTCGGGCGGGCAACTATCTATATGAGTGGCCTCTTGTTTATGTTTTTCTGTGTCTTGATCATCGGCATTCTAGGATTTTTCCGCAGCACAGCTACTGATATGGCGGTAGGGGTCCTGCTGGTCATTTCAACGCTGTGCAATATGATAACCGTAGGACCTGTCTGCTACCCTATAGTTGCCGAGACCCCCTGTGGTGAATTGCGATACAAAACAATTGCTATCGGACGTGTGATTTACAATGTAACTAATATAGTGTGCAACTGCATTACGCCTCGGATGGTTTACTCGACATGTAAGTTCAGTCATGTTCCCAACGCACTTGCTGGTCTTACCTGATAACGTTAATTATAGCTTGGAATTGGGGGGCCAAGACTGGGCTCTTCTACGCCGGTACTAACTTGATATGTCTCATCTGGTGCTGGAACCGTCTTCCAGAAACGAAGGACCGTACCTTTGGTGAAATTGATTTGCTGTTTGAAAATCGCGTTTCAGCGAGAAAGTTTAAAAGCACCAAGGTTGATCGTAAGTGGCATGTCCGACACAACTGAGTCAATTCAAATCCCTCTGGCTAAACGTGAAGCACAGAATTTGCTCATCAATCTGTTAAGTCCAATGAAAAAGCCAGTGCTAGCTCTCGGCACTTGGACAATATTGCATGAGATGGAACGACCCAGCTGTCACGAATGGATAGAACCGACTTCATGATATCGTCATATAACTTCTTAGGGTTTAATCCGAAGATTCAAGAACAAAGCAAAAACCTATCATATTATTATTTCTCATTTTGGCTTTCGGTGAAATCTTTATTCAATAGAAAAACCGAGAAGGAAAGCCGCCAGGAACGAACTACTTTATTAAGGGTAGTGCTAAAAAGCCAACACCAATTGCTTTAGACCTACCCTTACTCTATCCCTTCACCCACCACCGTTCCTGACGTGCGGGTTTCGTAAAATCTGCATACCGCTACAATAATGCCTCCCCCCAGGACCTCCAATGAAAGATCTGCAATAGTCTCGCCTGTCAAGTCCCCTGCAAAAAGCTTCATTCTACCACCAGTGAGTATAGAGCAAGTCCCTCTCGTTTCGGGTTGTGTCCCTGAGAAGTGCCAGTTCACCGTCCCCCCCGGCTGGACTTCGATCCCATCGAGCTCTGCCTATTATGAAGAATGGAATGGTGCCGACTCAGAAGGCCAAACAATTGCTCGGTGCTATGGTCTCCAGCCAGGACAGCCGGTGATGGAGGATTACGAAGCGTGGACAACAATTTTCTTGTCTGGTAATAAGTTCTATCTTTGGGAGCGGATGGGTGACGAAGTGTATGAAATTGTCTCTCAAGAGATACGCGAGATCGCTTATGTGATTTCCCGGTCAGAGCTTAGAGGGCTGGCCAGAAAGCCTCTTATTCTAATTCGGTAGGGAATATGCTTGCGATGCTGGGAGATTTTGTGTCAATAGACTAGCTAGTTCTGAGTGGTCTGATTAGCGGAGACTGAAAGGGCACGCACCGCACCTCTAATACTTCTTTCTTCTCTCTTCTCTCCAGTCTCTGTATTTAGCAGTTCCCTCTTTCTGAGTCCTAAGGTCTCCTAGGTAAGTGGGATAGGTTGTCTTTGAGACTGAACGTGAAGGGCGAAGTGCAAGGTGGTATATAAGTAACAATGTGCGGGTAATCGCGAAGAAACAAATACCTATATAAGTACCTAGGTACATAGTAGTTAACTTATAGAAGATTGTCCTTATATAAGCCTACACGGCCAATTTCCTTTACTAAGCTGACCTAGCAGGCTGCGTGTCCTTTTAGATAGTCTATCTCTCCAAAGACCACCTCAAGCGCCCCCTGAACTTTTTCTAGGACTCTTTGTTCTCTCTGCAAAACGACGAGCATGACTGTCTTTGGTGAGTCTGCTTATAACATCCTCCGACGTAATCTAGTCAACTAGACTGCCATCGTAGCGTCCCCAATTCAATATATATTTTTACTATGCCACCAACTCCAAGGTTAAAATATATAAAAAAAAAAACAGCATGGCCATACAAAAAAGACAGAAGCTATCAAAATAGGATATTATGAAGCCCAAAGCTGCAATTCTTCACCTCCATTGAATTAGTGTCAATCCCCTTAGTCTGCAGGTTTAACGGTTCCCGCCAGTCAGCGACCGCCCTCCAACCCCAAGACATCAACCAAAATGGAACCACCAAACAAGAAGATCAGAATAGACTCAGAATCTCCCGAAAGGGATTCAAGACTGGAGTCGCCTCTGTCAACAATACACGACATAGCTAGTCTCCGCAGTATCATAACACCTCCACCACAGTCTCGGCAGGTCGCATCCACCTGTCCCGACACAGAGGAGAGCAATGAGCGAAAGACCACACCAACAAGCTCAAAAGTGAAACCAATTGAACCGAGGATTATCGATTCCCCAGTTCAACTCACATACATCCGTGATCTACCCACCAGCAAAGGGTACAATGTGGACGCGGTTCGATTGCGCGATATCCTTGGAGATCCAATGATCCGCGAATGCTGGCAGTTCAATTATCTTCACGATGTGGATTTTCTCATGTCGCAGTTTGATGAAGATACGAGAGGTCTTGTCAAAGTCAGAGTTGTGCATGGGTCATGGCAAAGAGAAAATGCGAATAAGATTCGTATTGAAGTGAGCGAATCCTTGTTTATCGTCTAACGTTAGATCGACCACCTAACATGTAACAAGGAAGCATGCGCGCGGTATCCCAACGTCGAACCAATCATTGCATACATGCCCGAGCCATTTGGCACTCATCATTCTAAGATGATGGTGCTTCTTCGGCATGATGACCTAGCCCAGTAAGCTGCTCAATCTTGATACCCGGACTCGACCGATCTAACTATACCAGGGTTATCATTCATACAGCGAATATGATACCCCAGGACTGGACGAATATGACCCAGGCCGTTTGGCGCTCTCCTCTCTTGCCTCAAAAGCCATCATCGGCCCCAGCAACCGATCTGTCATTTGGCTCCGGGACCCGGTTCAAGCGAGATTTTCTCGCCTATCTCAGAGCATATGGCCCCTCCAAGACCGGTCCGCTAGTCCAACAACTGGAGACCTATGACTTTAGAGCTGTGCGTGCTGCCCTTGTTGCCAGTGTGCCATCAAAGCAGCATGCCAGCGAGTGCAATTCAGACGAGGGAACATTATGGGGATGGCTCGCATTGAAAGACCTGACGAGTCGAATTTCTACAATAAACACCAAACAAGAAGGAAAAGAGAGCTCACCAAACCCTCACATCGTCATCCAAGTAAGAACCCCAACCTAACCTAACCCAACCCACTACCCAACAACAGCCCATCGATCCCACTAACAAACAAAAACCGCAGATCTCATCAGTAGCAACCCTAGGCCAAACAGAAAAATGGCTGAAAGAAGTATTCTTCCAAGCCCTCTCCCCCTCACAACCCCAATTACAACCACAACACCAAACTCCAACCCAAAAACAACCAACCTACTCAATAATCTTCCCAACACCCAGCGAAATCCGCCGCTCAATAGACGGCTACACCTCCGGCGCATCCATCCACATGAAAACCCACAGCCCAGCCCAACAAAAGCAACTCGCATACATGCGTCCCTATCTCTGCCAATGGGCCGGCGACGGTCCAACAAACAGCTCCTACATCGATCTATCAGACGATCAGCCGCCGAAACGGGAAGCTGGTCGTGCGCGCGCGGCGCCACATATCAAGACTTACATCCGGTTTCGGGATGGGGATATGGAGAGTATTGATTGGGCGATGGTTTCGTCGGCGAATCTTTCTACGCAGGCTTGGGGCGCGGCGGTGAATTCTGGTGGGGAGGTGAGGATTTGTAGTTGGGAAATTGGGGTTGCTTTTTGGCCTGGGTTGTTTGAGGATGGGGATGGGGATGGGGATGGGGATGCGGAGGTGGTTATGGTTCCTACGTTTCAGACGGATCGTCCTGATATCTCTTCGGATAATGGAGAGAAGGCGCAGGAGGCCGCTTCTGCTGTTGTTGGATTCCGCATGCCCTATAACCTACCCCTGACGCCGTACGGAGCATCGGATGAACCGTGGTGTGCTACTGTCTCGCACGATCTACCCGACTGGCGCGGACAGAGCTGGATGGGCTGATCTTGCTATGATCTGTCCATCACGAACAGCTCTTACTGGTATATTCATTATGCGCAACAGACCTCCGAGATCACCATATGATTATTCAGTGAAACTATTCATTCAATGGGAAAAGTGGACAATCAATAAACGCGAAAATCTTTCATGGATAGTAGCATGCAATTGTATTCGTCGTGTTCGTTTAGATCGGATCTAGAGCTTCAGGGAATGATCCCCGCACTGGAAATCTCCCCCGATATCTGCGATGGAGTCCATCATGCCCAACCGAATTCACATTCATCCAACGAGGTGATTCATTTCCTTATATCGAAGCCGTTGCGCTCGAGTCAATTTACTCGCGGGTACCGTACTTGGCAATGAGGGTGTTGACGTGGGCGATGTAGAGCTGGTTGGCCTTGGAGGGGTTGTAGTCCTTGACCTTCTCCCAGGCGCCGAAGAGCTGCTTCTTCTGTAATGGTGGAAAAGGAAAAAGTCAGCGGGTGTTCGTTATTGCTTGGGGGATGCTGCTCCTGGTGTGTGTGGGTGTGTATGGCATGATGTTTCTGCCGCCACTACCACAACGAGCTCATCCAAGCTCATCCGGGCTCATCCAAGCTCCCAAACCTCGCAGCTAAATTGACATACCTGGATATCGAACATGCCGGGCTTCTCCATAACCTCAGCCTTGGAAACCTTGTAGTAGATGTAGAGATCCTTCTTCTCCAAGAGACCGGGGGAGGTCTTGAGGAGCATCACAGCCTTGGCGGCGAACTCAAAGGCCTTGTTGAGGACATCCTTGTCGGCGCCCTCGACGCTCTCGAACTCGCCCTGCTCGGCGACCTTCTCGTAAGCGGCCTTGAAGGCCTCGATGTCGATGCCCTCGGCGGCTTGTTGCACTTCGGGGGTGGTGTTGCTTTCTTTCTTCTGGGCAGACTCCAGGACAGCGATGAAGGGGGCGATTTCAGACATTTTGGGTTGATGAGAGAGTTGTGGAGCTCAGGTTGGGGATTGGAGATGTTGAGGAGGGGTTTGTTTGGTGGGGGTTTGCTGACACACTCGCCAGTTGGTCCGAGGTAAACCGTCACTTATGCAGGCGGACTATTCGGGTTTCTTTTGTGTCTTTTGTTCATATGGAGGGGAATATAAGTGACGGATATAAATGATGGATATGATAATGTGCATTGTTCTCTTATCGTTCTATCAGACGCCGCAGATGCAAGATGACGCTATGAATATCAAATGCAAATGTACTTCACCAGTCAACCGCCCATCCATTGTTCGTCAAGAACTCCTCGCAAGCAGCCTTGAGGGCATAATTGTTGCGCAAGTCGCGGACAGTCATAGGCGCACGCGTCAGAGGATCAACCCCCGACTTCTCCACGTATTTCGAGATGCCAATGCGATCAAAGCTAGTTCCAGAAGGCGTGATGACTGGATCATGCATGATCTCAAAGGTAATCCCATCGATGAGATAGTCAGGCACAACCTAGAAAGCAGCAACGTCAGCCCAGATCGTGTCATAGATATCATCTCTCCCTCATGCCTCTAATCCCACCATAGACACCAAACCAAACCAAACCAAGCCCCCCCCAAAAAGGAAAACAAGAATAGAACTCACCCTCTCCTGAACCTCCCCCTTCGAAGAAAGCGCAAAAGCCTCTCGAACATTCCGCACATTCGTCTCCGCATCAACCCTCAAAGCATCCCGATCCTCTCCAAATCCAATCTCTCCAATCTCGCCTCTCTCCAATTTCCCCTCCAACTCCTCCAGCGCCCTCTTCACATCAGCCTCGATAAGCGCCTCCACAGCCCCAAGCGTCGCATTCATCTCTCTCAACCGCCCAGTCTCCCTCGCCGCCCAGATAGCCTGCTTAGCGCGCAACACAGTGTGCGACAAGTTTTCCGTCTGGGCATTCTTCACCGCGAGACTCTGCTTGTACGCGTCAGATGCAACATCGTAGGCTTCCTGTGGGCGCTGGAGGCCGAGCAGTGCCTGGGCGAGATAATAGCTGCTTTTCAGGGCGAGAGGGTTCTTCGCGCCGTGGAGGGTGATTGCGCTGCGCGCGTCATGTTCCACATCTGCCCATTTCGTAAGGTGTATTCGGGTGATTGCGCGGTTTGTGAAGAAGCTAGGGTCTTTAGGGTTCTTTGCGATCCTGGAAATTTTAATGCGGTGTTAGTTTGGGTTGGTTCTGTTGTTGGGGTTGGGGGGTTTGGATGAGGGGAATAGGAGTGAATTCGGATGGGCCGGATGGGGCTCACGCTTGGGAATAGAAGTCTTCGGCGCCTGTATAATCCCCCTCCTTGTAGAGCTCGTTGGCCTTTGCCTTGAGCTCTTGAGCCATGATGCGTGGTTGTGGATTAGAAGTGAGCTGCGAGTCTGGAGTAGGTGGGGGGGGAGGCGCTCCACACGCAGTGCTGATCTCGAAGGATTGGGAACTTTTGTTCACGAACTACTGCGAGTCTGGAACATATATCCCCTCCCCCTGTCTACGCTACATGCTACATTTGATGGCCAGGAATCGAAAATTGGACTTTAGACAGATCTATGCTCGACCAGTCTGAAAATGGCAGTAACATTGGTATCATGCGCTGAGAAAACACTAATCAAAACGTCTAAGCAGCAGTACGGAACTGAGTTTCATAATCTGTGATGGCCTGAATCTTGGCTGCAGAGGCAGACTTGGGATCGAAGCGGTAGTTGAGCCAGTCGGAGGCCAGCTTCTTGGCCAGTTCAACGCCGATGACTCGCTGGCCCATACATAGGACTTGGGCATCGTTGCTCAGGATGGAGCGCTCGACGGAGAAGGGGTCGTGGGCGGTCACAGCACGGATGCCAGGCACCTTGTTCGCGGCGATGGCTACCCCGAGACCAGTGCCACAGATGAAGAGACCCCGGTCTGCCTTGCCATCCTTGATGAGCTTGGCTCCTTCCACAGCGGGGTGGGGGTAGGCGGTCTTGTCATCGGAGGTGTTGACGCCGACATCGATGATCTCGGCGACGAGAGGGTTCTTCTGGAGCGTGGCCTTGATGGCATCCTTGTAAGGGACACCGGCCTCGTCGCAGGCCATGACAATTCGGAGGGGAGCAGACATTGTATAGATGTGTGGAAGAGGAGGACTTGGCAAAGACGATGGAAATAGATGGTACAAGTAGAGTACAGTAGAGTAGTTGAACAAAGGAGTAGATATGATTGGAAAGTAGAGAACTGGAGCTTCAAAGAAAGACCGGATTTGGGAGACTTGGAGGGGGTTCTTATATCTTTGGACGGCAAACACTACTTTCGATCTGGTCTAGATACCAGCATCCCAATGGGCCCGTCATAGCACTATAGTGAGCCATGAGTGGTCAGTGGCAACATGAGGTTAAACCGAGGCCGGATACAACAGTCTCGTTACATGCGCCTTACCTCGTATTACACGGGATGTTCGACTCCATACACCCTATACACCTGAAACCCCCCAACTAGGCTTCTTACAGCCATCGATGTCAGTGAGCAAGGGACATCAAAGCTAGATGGCTGTGGCGTACAGTTCTGTGTCCTCTTTCCAATAGCCAAGTACAGCCAAACACCCAAAACGGCCTAGAGCCTGAATTCCCTTCCCGCCAAAAACTTGGTTCTGTGGCTCAGATACTGGGCACTTCGTATGCCTCAGTCCGAGCACGGGAAGTAGCTGACCTCATAGTATTCTAGACTACCTAGGCACTGTTAAATCCGAGGCCGAAAACCTGGCAGTCGATAGATATGCCTATAGATAGCGAATGTGAACGTGAATTGGCTCAGATGCCTAAAAAACAAGTCACTCAATGTTGGAAAGTACGTTTATCTTCCCATTGATGCGCAGGCCCAGGTCTCAGATTGCGATTTGCTCCACTTCACTCCACCTACTGCAACGTTGTTGGTTGGTTCATGGCAGTGTCAAGCAGGCTGTCGCATAACCGGTTCTGGAGAACCTACTCCGGATTTTGGATCTGCACAAAGTATGGCTTTGACGTACTTTGTATTTTTGTGTTTCCTTTTTTTTTTTAAAATTTCTAGAATTGACATTAACGTTAAGGTACTACGTAAGGGATAATGTACACAGCCTCTTTAGGTTAATTGTATACACTTGTCTGCCCGGTTTCTGCCCTGATGCTACATTGGTCGCGGTCTCGACACTGGCTCTGTCGAAGCTGATTTGTTGGTGGCTACGTGTACTCCAAATGTTTGCTATACCCCTGAACCACGGCTGAGCGTGACATCATGGTGGTCGTATCCTTGAAGCATACTGTACTGTAGACCAGGATTCGGAGCATACAGTACAGTACTTGACAGAGAACACAGGAAGAAATGCTAATGCGGGCACAAGTGAAAGAAAACGACCAACTTATATCGTTTTCTGAATAAAACGATCTCTGCAATTCCCTTGAGTCATTCATAGCAACTCACCCGAGCACAGCCAAGAGTGTGTCAAAACGCCAACCCCAGACCCGAGCCGTCTTTCCGGGGATCCCTCAATTTCCACTCTCCACTCCACAACTATACAACACCAACAACAACAACCGCAGAGCAACAACCACAACACAACCACAACAATGGAAACCACCTACCCAATCCTCCCACCCAAGCTCCTCCTCATCTCCCTAAAGATGTACTTCAGTCCAGACCGCACACTCTCCTACCTGCAAGCACTCCTAAACCCAACCAACGAAATCGTCCACCCAACCAACCGCCACAACCTCCTCCTAGCCCTAATCCCCGACTTCCTCACCATCCACCCCTGCGCCGCGATAATAAAAAGCTACGAAGAAACCCTACGCACCCAAAACCTCCCCACCACCCCGCCAGCCTTCCTCCTCGGCGCGCAAGACTGTTTCTGGGAACCGGCCGGCGCCTACACGGGCGAAGTCTCGCCCGCGTCGCTCGCAAGCCTGGGATGCCAGATCGTCGAGCTGGGACACGCCGAGCGCCGGGCCATCTTCCACGAGACGGATGCGCAGACGGCTGCCAAGGCCGCGGCGGTCTGCGCGCACGGCATGGTGCCGCTGGTTTGTGTGGGGGAGGTGACTGCGCCGGGGGCGGTGGCTTCTGAGGCGGTTGGGAGGGCGGTTGCCGAGTGTGCTGTTCTGGTGCGTGCTGTGCTGGGTGCGGTTCCTGATGCGGCGCCGGTTGTGTTTGCCTACGAGCCTGTTTGGGCGATTGGGCAGCCGAGGCCTGCTGGTGTTGATCATGTTGCTGCTGTTGTGGAGGGGATTCGGGGGGTGGTGGGGGAGAGGAAGGGGACGGTGAGGGTTCTGTATGGGGGGAGTGCTGGGCCTGGGCTTTGGAGTGAGGGGGGGCTTGGGAAGGCTGTTGATGGGATGTTTTTGGGGAGGTTTGCGCATGAGATTGGGGGTGTTCGGGAGGTTGTTCGGGAGGTTGAGGAGAGTTTGGGGCTTTGAGCTGCGTCTTGGTGTGTGTGAGTCTACGGTTGGGCTGCTTTGGGGCTTGATTTTTGCTCATTGATATCTAGGTATAGATGCTTGATACTCTGACTTTGACACCTCATATGCCAGGTGTATATCCCCTCGAACACCGAGAACTTACAGATAACTTACATATATGGTACCCTGTTCCACGCCATACAGTCCCTTGTTATGGTTATACCGGGCGAAAAATACATCATCTAGACGAAATCCGCCACAGTTCCAAAGAGGAAACGGGAAGCCCATCTGGGGATGCCGAGAAAACGAGAAAAACTGGAGTTCATTTCCCCGGTTTTCTCCACATCAGATTTGCTCAGATGATCTGATCTGTTTTTTTATAGAGATGCATGATAGGTCAGGATCTGATAGGATGTGACAGTCGCTAATTCTTTCTTTTCTTTTCTCCCAGGTACCGGTGGACTCCATTGCACGGATCGAGTAATCCGAGATGCTCTCTATACATTCCCTCTAGCCCTATTTGTTGTTACATTCGGCACTTCCCGACTGGTTCTACTCTACTGACCTACCGAACTACTGGCCCCTAGCTCATATGTCTAACCGGACAGTCTTTCGGGCGAGAAATGCACACTCGACTGCAATGCACGGGACAAGTGCAACAGTAGCTCGTATTTTCGTTCCAATATCCAATCCAATGCATGCTATGTACAGAATTCTATCAAACCAGACATCCTCTCAACGGTCAACCCATACACCGCTTATTTTTTCTGCATCTCCTCACGCAGCTCCTTCTTCACCCGCGTGACAGTACCAATGCCTCCATAAACAACTCCAGTATACATCATGGCGACAGAGGCACCAGCCTGAAGAGCCTGGCGCGCCTCCTTGCCAGTAGTAATACCACCAGAAGCGAAAATTACCTTACGCGGCAAGGTGGCCAAATCAACAGCCTTCTCGACCGCACCCTCGAGCTCGGTCGCGGGGGTATCGGGCTTGGCTCCAGCCGCAGACGAGGGACCCTTGTCCAGCAAGGCGCGGTAACGCGCGACCAGCGCGACAGAGCGGTCAAACAGCTGCGGGCCGGAATAGCCACCCGTCTCTGTCAGGGTCTTCTGCTCTGTCTCGGGGAGGACAAAGCCCTTGGGCACGGGGTCGGGCCGGCGGTTGGTGGTGTTGCCGACGATCACACCGTCGACGCCGGAGTTCCAGACTGCGTCGCAGATGCCGGCGATTTGCTCGTCGGAGTCTTCGTCCGGGCTGACCTTGACCATGACCACGGGCTTGGTCTTGCGCTCGATGTTCTTGGCGGAGCCGACGACGGCGGTCAGGATTGCGGTCAGAGGCGCGGTGGCTTGGAGATCGCGCAGGCCGGGCGTGTTCGGGCTGGAGACGTTGACGACGAGGATGTCGGCGTAGCGGGCGACGCGGTCGACGCAGTAGACGTAGTCGCGCTTGATGGCTTCGATGTCGTTGTCGGGCGTGAGCTTGTTCTTGGCGACTTGCACGGCGAGGAGCTTGCCGGGGACGAGACTGCCGGGGGGAACATTGGCCTCGCCGTCCAGGACGCGCTGCTCGGACTCATCGTGGACGCCGAACCCGGCGGCGTAGGCGAAGTCGATGACACGCTGCTTCAGGACGGCGGCCATGTGGTCGGCGCCCTTGGAGTTCAGGCCGTAGCGGTTGATCATGGCGTGTTGGGAGGGCAGACGGAAGACACGCGGCTTGGGGTTTCCATCCTGGGGCAGGGGAGTGGTGCCGCCGACTTCGACGATGGCAGGTCCGAGGTCAAGCAGCGCATCGGGGATGTCGGCGTGCTTGTCCAGACCGGCGGAGATACCAATGGGGTTGGAGATGGTGTAGCCGAAGATCTGGTGGGCTGTTAGCGTTGGTCTATCAAGTGGGTTGGTAGGGTATTACCTCTGTTGCGAGGGCTCCGTCGCTATCTGGGTTTCCACGCTCGCGCGGGTGAAGACCGTACGGGTAGAGCATCTTCAGCATGTCCACGCCCATGTGGTGCGCATCCTCCGCATCCGGGTAGAACTGCCGGATCAAAGGCACGATGCCGTATCTGTGGATGCTGGCTCTGGTGTCGGTTCCGTAGATGTAGCCCACCAGCAGAGTCAATGCCAATGAAGTGCCATACAGCGCCTTCTTGGAGCGACGGCCTGCCTTGCGGGGAATTTCCTTAGCTTCCTTTGCGGCATCTTGAGCAGCATCCTTTACGGTATCCTTTGCAGCTTCAGCCGAATCGGAAGCATATCTCTTCGCACCGGGGACCCGCTTCGGGATCAATGCCGACGGGCGTTGGGTGAAGCGGGAGGTAGGAAGGGCACGAGCCCGAGTGCTGGCTCTCCAAGCCAGTGTAGCAGCGGTGCAGGACATCTTGACCGTGGGGGGTGTGGAGATTCAATTGATCTTCAGCGGAGCCACGCCGAACCTATACTGCCGTTAGTTTTCCGATCGTGGTAGCTTGACTATGTCGCATGGGCTGGTCGAGATCCAAGCGGCTCCCGCTGGTGTCCAAGTGGAATAGCTCGGACGGGTTGATATGCACCCCGGGAAAGACTTACAATTGCAATTGAGCACGATCCGAGCTTCTCGCAGTCCCTTGCAGTTGTCAAGGGCGGATTCGGGTTCTGCTCTTTCCGGGCGGTGGCGATATTACCTGCAAAATATGGCGGTGAAGCCATATGGAGTATATCGTCTCATGCTTGATGCTCTTGTGCTATTTTGTTGTTAATGATTTTATCGGTAGAATACTTCAATCATGTCGTTTCTCCAATCCAAATTGAAAGCCTCGGATCAAAAAAACCACATAGTGTGATGATCTTTCATTTGACCTCGACCTGGTATCGGGCGCCAGGTGCTAGGACCGCCACCAACTCCCATCTCGTGTTGATACTTAACTTTCTCTTATACCCAAATATCAGAGATTTCTAACATCTCCATACTTTCAAATCCTTTCTCCCTACATAGATATCTTTACATCAACCGACACTGAGTTCTCCACTTATCTTCATTGAGCATCTCATCGACCCCAATCCAATCCCTAAAACAAAAAGAATGTCCACCCAACCTCTATCCACAGCCGTGGGATTTGATCATGTGTGCTTCGACGAAAATGAACCTTCACAAGAAAATCCACAAGAAAATCCTGCATCTTCCCAACCCCCAAATAGACATTTACAAGAAGCCCGACAAACAGACCATATAAAGCAACCCTACCGCTCCTTCAACGTATTCAAAGATGTTCGTTCACCTCCAAATCCCAGCCTCAAGTACCAACCCATAAGAACTAACGTCAACCCCATACCAGATAGCACTAGGCATATACGCCTTCAGCTTCAGTCTCCAAATCCACCCATCAGGAGGCAAAGCCCAAACACCAAGTCCAGTATACCACACGCTGCGCATCCCATGGTACAAGCAGCGTCTGTACCTCCCCAGTCCATTTGATCTCTACGCCGGAGGCACGGTAGTGCGCAGCCGAAAGGATCCCTCGCCGGACCGGCAAGACCAGCGCGCGCGGATCCGCTACCACGGCATCGAAGGCCTGTTTGGACTACATGTTACTGCGGAGTTATTCCACATGGTAGAGTCTTCGGTGTTCAGGAACGATCTTCCTGGATCTGTGGCTGTTTCTTCACACCTGGTGGAGTATTGCTCTGTTGATATTGTCCGCGAGGGTATTGGGAGGACGTATCGTGTTGAGGTTGTTAATGATGGGATTGTGAAGACGTTTTATTGGAAAGGGTCTAAGTCTGCGCTGGTTCGGTTTGATGCTCGGGGTGGGGATGGAGATGCTGGTGACAATAATGGTAATTTGAAGTTCTTTGCTGCTGATCGGCCGGATGATGTTCTGGCTGTTTGGCAGAACCGGACGGATAAACGGATTCTGGGGTCTTTGGGTGTTATTGCCGAGTTGGATGCTGAGTCGGATGGGGTTCTTGAGGGGCTCATTGTTAGTTGTCTGGCTGTGGTTGTTGCAGAGAGAATTTCTGGGCGTGGATGGCTTGGTGGACTGGGGAAATCTAAGAGATCTTGATCTTGAACTTTTTGTATCTTAACTGCTGGAACTTTAAGGTATTTATAGCAGTGGGCGATCAACAGCGGATATTGTAGAGTGAGTAGTTATAATTTATATAAATCTTACGCTCTCTTTTGGCCTTTATGTTCACTTTTTCTGACCATTGTCAATTTCGTTGACTAATTTATTCTTTTCAACTCGAATAAAAATAGAGAAAAAAGACCTATGATCTAACTCTGTTGTATCAGGACCAGGAAAAGTATGATCATGCACTAAAGCTTCATGAAACTACCATTTTTAAGCCAGTGACAGCAATGCAAACAAATGATTACCAATTTCATTGAGTAGCAGACATCGAACACCGTCTATTACTCGAGTACAAAGTACAGAAATAGAATTGACATCGTGAAACTAAGCAGAAAAGAGACCGAGTCTTTCATCCCAAAATTCTTTGCAACAACAAGCACAGGCTCATAATCCCCCGGCTCCGTACTGTTGCGAGTTCCATCCCAGCAATACTTCTTAAAGCATTCTCTGCAAACTCCAGGCACCTGGGTCCTGGTTCGATCAAAAGACCGACTAAGAATCGCGCAGCCGGCGCATGTCGACCAGTCCCAATAACCTTTTCTTGTCCCATTTCCCATTGTCATAACATTGTAGCCGTTTTCAATCATATCGTCTCGTTCGGCAATGGAGTATTCCATCTGGAACGTGGATTTGTTGGAAAGCATGGTGTAGGGATGATTCGGAACATACACCACGAGTGGAGCTGGACCGGTGAGGTTGGCAGTATTACAACCGAAGAATGTTGGACGTGTGTTCAAGCCGAGATTGAGAAAGGTGTTGATGTCTGGGATGCTTGGGAAGGCAGTTCCATTCCCGATTCCCGAAGAGTTGAGACTGCGTTCATAGGTTGCCACGAGAGGGCTGCCGCTCGGCCAATTGTTCTTTGTACTTGCTGATGAGTCTACAGCAAATATCACGTCAACACCGCGGACAGGTTGGATCAGTGGGTGAAGTGGAAGGTTTTGTTTGTCTTCTCCGCCGTCGACCACATTGAGGTTGGGGGTATGTCTGTATGCAATCGTGGCTTGTTGATAGTTGTAGAATGGATTTGGGGAATAAACGGCAATGTCATCGCTGTTTTCTCCAAGGTTCTGAAGAATAACAGCAAGAAGTGATTTGAGTCTCTCGGGTAGATCTGTAGTGTTCAGCCGGAGGATGAATTGATTAAAGAGCGTGGAGGATGTTCCCATGATAAATCCAGCATTGTCGAAGCCTTCAACGCAGACATCAGAAGATACCTTGCCACTGTCAAACCGAGACCCGAGATACTTCAAAGGCACGAAGCCAAAGATTGATGGATCAAAAGTGCCAAACTCCCAAGGGTTGATCTCATAAACAGTGGAGTTGCTTCCGACGAGTGTTTCGCCTGGATTTCGCCCATCGGCAACCAACAGAGGCAGGGGCATCTTTCCCTGTTTGAAGTCATCTGTCAATGCAATGGAGGACCATGTATATCCCGGACCCCCATCCTCGGCGTCTATAAGCTGATAGGACAATGCACGACCCCAGTAATCCGTCAAAGAGATATTAAAGCCCGCTTCCTTCTTCCATGAAACCAGCTCGGCCAAATCGTGGTAGTATTCTGCGGTGTGCCATGCGCCAAGTCCTTTTCTTGCCGGTCCCTTGATGATAGTGTTCTGAAATTTCCAGATCCTGTGGTGAGCTTGTAAATCGGAAATGGTGGTGAAGTTGTTGACATAGATTGAACCCAGTAACCACCCACCGCCAGACAAGCCCGACAAGTATGTGGCTGACTGAAGCACACCACCAAGATGGCCCATTTGGGTTGTTCCGGGAGTTCGGCTATCAAGTGCTTTTAGTGCACCTGCTCCATTGGTCAAAGCTCGGTATCCTCCCCCAGAAATGGCAATTCCCAGGTTGGGAATGTCGGAGATGGTTGAAGAGTGTGACTCAATGTAAGAGACCGCATCGAAGGAACTCATGTTGAGATGGGCAAAGAGTGCTTTCAGAGCAGGGACTGTCTCTTTCTTTCGAATTTGAAGCCATCTTGCTTCATCGACAGATAGTCTGGCTGCATTACGAACGACAGGCTTGCTGGCAGGGCAGGTGATGTTGGCTGGTGTGTACCCGCTGGGGGCATTAGGCAGGGCTCGTGACTGGACCGAATTGATTTCATGATTGAAAGACGGAGCAAGCGCCACAATTCCTGGCGATCATATTGTTGTCAGTAAGATTGTTCTGTCCCGGAAGTTGACTTACCAGGAACCAGGGCTGCAGAGAGGCAAAGACAGAGAACGAAAGTGAGCCTCATAACGGACTTCGAATCTTCTATCGAGATATTCGACAAAAGAAAGAGTGCGCGAGAGACATTAAACAAAGTTGAAGTTGTAAGAGAGTCAGATCGCACAAAGATAGCCATAGAGAGGCGTGACACAACACACTAATCGGGCAGGTACCTCCAGGCAACGATGTCAGGCGAGATTTTATGAGGAGAACTAGGAATAATTCCTGGCTACTTATTTGTTACAGAATCTGGGATACAAGGACTCATTATGCAAGACTGTGTGGCTTTTCCAATCTTTAATAAACAGTTATAACATGGAAGGTAGATGGCACGTGATGTGTCTCGCCCTACTTCGACAGCTTAAATTCCTTAAAGATACGAGACTATAAGGCCACAGTCCATCAATACAATGAAAAAGACATCACCGAGATCAAATTAATACAGAGATAAAATTTCCTCGAAGCGTAAAACTAGAAGAGTATTCTCGCAAAGTATGCGATAATGTAGTACGAAACTCCGAGCCAAACTCAAGATCCATGGCAAGAGCCCTCCTGCCACCCAGTCATACCACGAGAGAATCTCCCAAGCAGCATCTCCCCACACAAAGCCCCCAGCAAGACAGTAACGAACACGCCAGGGTTGAAGCTCATGACACCCAGCATCCTGCGCAGACAAAAGTCAGCAAAACATACCCAAACCCAACAGACAGCTATCGAAGTAAGCCCGACTCACAGAAGATACCCAATCAAAGCCCGAGTAAGCTCAAGCAATCCCCGTACTCCGTCCATCCGAAGAGACCATCTTCCACTGGCCCTCCAGGAAGGAAGACCCCAGTTACAAGACCACATCCTCTGCAAAGCACCTCTGTCAAGGAGATGGGTAGTCGAATGTCCCGACTGATCATCGTTGTAAGCAACCGGTAGTGTCTCCTCGATATCGATATCTTCATTCTCGCCTCCGTTGACGCGCATGTAGGTGGTTAGTGGGCTGAGCTTTGCTTTGTGGGTGTTGCGTCGTGAATGCATGGCCGTAAGCTTCAGAGTTGGCGGGACGAGACTGGGTTGGGACCATGATTGCTCGAGTTGGAACTTTAGTGTCCCGAGGAAACGGTTGAAGATTGCGAGGAGGAAGAAGAGGAGTAGGGCGAGGATGTATTGGGTTGGGGTTGAGGTTGTCCAACCGGTGAAGAGGACTGTGATTGTTGTGGAGGACGAGAAGGTTGATGCCATGTTCATGTTCGTGTTCATACTCATGCTTGGCGAGGTGGTTGGGTCCTTGTTTAAGTTGTCATCCATGTGGGAGTGCGAGTGCGAGTCCAGATGGGTGCCCATGGCTTGATATCATTCCCAGAGATGTTGGGGATGGAAGTGCGGGAATAATGGACGATGAGAAGTCGTGGCCGTGATGGAATCAACGACAATAGACTTGGGCGTGAATTGGGATTTTCAGTTAAAGATTTAATGCTCTCAAATTAGATCGTAGAAAATTGCCGCAAATGCGCTCACCCGATCAGGTTGTTGTCTCAGACTATTTCCGTATGCAAGTCAAGTGCATAAGTACCCTGCAGGACAGTTTCAAGCACATATAAATCCAGAAGCCAGACGTTCGAGTGCATACATAGAAGTCGAATCATGACTTCAAGTCTAATCATATTTCACAAGTGAAGAATACCGGACCAAACGGCTACCGTCTAAGCAAAGCAGTGATTATAAAAACAAAAACTGAAGAAATTCATAAAATGGATCGCCATGGGCCCGTCCAATGCTTCACCTCATTTCATATCGTGTGTCAGTCCCGCCAAGTCAAAACTCGCATACAATACACAGAATCATAGGACAGTCGTGGATATAGAGACAGTGACAGCAGGGAGATTAAGAAAGTATGATTTTATGAACGACCGTACCGTGTCTTTCCAAAAGAGAAAGGCACGTAGCGGTACTTGATCATGTGCTGGATTTGTCGTCGCACTGGGTATAATTGTTAGCAAGGTATCCACGAAAGATAAAAGGACAAAATAAGTTTAGATTGGGAAACGTACTCGTCAGCACAAAGAGGATAATCCAGTAAACAACCAGCACGGGCCAGAAGACGGGAATATCGAAGACGGAGAACCAGCAGCAGACAAAGCCAATGGTGATAGCCTGGGTAGCCGAGTGCCAGAACTTGAACTCCGGTAGGCGGCGAATGAAAGGTCGGAACTCCTCGTCCTTCTTGGTGGGGAGGCTGGGGGAGCCCGCGTCACCGTCCTCGAGGCCCTCGTCCTGGGTGAGGGAGGGATCGAACTTGGGAGTCAGGAAGGCGAGGAAGAGGTTCAGAAGGTAAATTCCGAGTGTGTAAGCGACTGCGGCGCAAGATGATCATGTCAGCGGTTTGTTTGTGCCAAGGTTCCTGGGGCTTCCATTGGATGCCATCTCGCATTGTGTTTTCCGGGGAAATTGTTGCATTTCAGAATCACGCAAAAGAATCAGGGGCATCGTACCGATGTACCAGCCCTGCGCGAAGACAATGCGCAGGAAGAACAAGAACAGGAGAACACCGGAGCCTACCCAGCGGTAGGTTGTGTATGGGGTCGAGGCATCGAGATAGGCTTGGTATTGCTAATGTGAAAAGCGCAGATTAGCATGCTGTTCTGACTGTTCTTGCGAATTCGAGGAATGAAGGAATCGAGAGCATGGCGCAATGTCCTTGCCCCTCATGGAACACTCACCCGGGTCAATTTAGAGGTGTGCGCGGTCATGGCCGTGAAAGGCGACTGGTCGGGCTCAGGAACATCCATGATGAAGAGAAGACGTTACGTAGCGGACAGATGAATGCCACCAAAGAGAAAGAGAGGAGGGAAAAAGGAAAGAAATGCGATATTAAGATAAGCTGAAACCAGACATTCCGGAGGAGAAAGGCACAGGCTCAGGAGCAGAAAAGTGTCCACTGGCCCCTGACCAATCAGGCTTGAGACAATGCCCCAGCCACTCAGGAACATGTGACCCAAGGCAGGTGACATGTGGCTATGCTGTGGCCAGACACGCTAGCTACTTTGGGATGGCTTAGTCACTACACGTGAGCCTCGGGACGGCTAACTTCGGCGCTCGGTCGCGGGGAAACGGAGCTTCGATGATGTTATGCCAGAGCCGAGTACTACTTCACTCTTTTGTTCTTCAACCCTTGCGATTTACTAAGTACTAATAAAAACTTCATAACTCACAATGTTTGCAAACAAATGCGCCCGCTTGGCTACCTCTAAGACAGCTGTCCCTTTGACCTCATATCTAGCTCGAGTCCGGGGATATTCTTCAGCTGCTGGTAGCTATGAGCACATCCTCACCTCGACTCCCAAGCCGGGTGTTGGTCTAAGTATGTATCCGGTATACCTGCATATTTTCAATTTCAATATTGACCGCTTTTACAGTCACCTTGAACCGTCCCAAAGCCCTCAATGCCCTCTGCACACCACTCTTCAAGGAGCTCAACGAAGCCCTGAGCAACTACGACAATGACCAGAGTATCGGCGCAATCATCCTTACTGGCAGTGAAAAGGCTTTTGCCGGTATGTAAAGTCATTTAATAACCACACCTCAATGCCACCCAACACCAATTTCTCCATCATAATTCGCCAATCCCAACCTCCAACCCCAAAACTAACAACCACCCAGCCGGCGCCGACATCAAAGAAATGGCCCCAAAGACCTTCGCAGATGCCTACAACGAAAACTTCATCGCCCCCTGGTCCCATCTAGCAAACGCAATCCGCAAACCAGTAATCGCCGCCGTATCTGGGTACGCCCTGGGCGGCGGTTGTGAGCTAGCACTGATGTGCGACATTCTTTACTGCACCGAGAAAGCAACGTTCGGTCAGCCCGAGATCAAACTCGGCACAATTCCCGGTGCAGGCGGTTCGCAGCGTCTGACCCGCGCCGTTGGCAAGAGCAAGGCTATGGAACTCATCCTTACTGGCAAGAACTTCAGTGGTAAGGAGGCTGGGGAGTGGGGTGTTGCTGCTAAGGTTGTTGAGGGTGGTAAGGAGGAGTTGCTTGAAGAGGCCCTCAAGACTGCCGAGACTATTGCTGGGTATAGTCGTGTTGCTGTTGTTGCTGGGAAGGAGGTTGTCAACAAGAGTCAGGAGTTGTCGCTTAAGGAAGGGGTGGAGTATGAGCGGAGGCTTTTCCATGCTTTGTTTGGAAGCAAGGATCAGAAGATTGGTAAGTTTATTTCGTCGGATTATGGATGATTTGTTTATGCTTATATTGTGTCTTCTTTCTAGGTATGACTGCTTTCGCTGAGAAGAAGAAGCCCGAGTGGTCTCATGAGTAGATAGATATGTTGCTGTATTGATAGAGAGCTGGCTCTTTTGATTGCCTGAATACATACAGTGCATGACGCTGGGGATGCAGAAGGAATGATAGTACAATTGACATAAACCCGAACCATCTGAATGACTCCCAGCTCTTATTCGCGAAAAAGCATCCTAGCGTGAATCGTCAAGATCCATCTTATCCTCTGGCCGAGCGTTGCCAGTCGGGGTTCCACACTTGTACTGCTCCAAGCCGCGATTGATCCCAACAATTCCCCACGCGAAGACAGCCACATCACGGATCGTATCCATAAGACGGTACGAATGAGGACCTGTTTCTCCAGGGCCTCCAGCCTTGTCTTGTTCGGACACAGAGCCATACACGGAGTCCGATGCGCTACCAGAGCTGCGGTCCATGTCATCACGGCACATAGTAGAGACCTGTTCAGGGAGAGGGGTTTCGTGGACCGCCTGCCTAGGCGCAGGATCTCGGCACAGAGTGCCCGTCACCTCTGGGCGAGATGGTCGCATAATGGCAGGGTGAGAGGGGGTGTATGACGGCGTGCCGTAAGAGAAGACCGGCTCAGGGGCCCACGGTGCTGCAAAGATACCATTGGTATAGACGGGAGCTGGCTCGGGGACTGCAGGGACCGCGGGAACCGCAGGGGCAACAGGAATGGGGGCACGGGCTCGGCGCAAGATGACAACGAGACCGTCTGAGGTACAAGAAACGACCGCCTCCAGCTCAATCGGAGGAACTGCTCCAGCCGCTTCCAATCCGAGACCGGATCCATGTACGTCTTGGAGAGGGTTGCGGAACCAGAATCGGAGGTAAGCGATAGAGTCGTTCCTCTTCGCACCTTCCAGACATCTCACTGCATCTCCCAGACATTCTTCTTGAATGCAGTAGTAAAAGCTCTGGGAAATGAGCGCATTGGGACTGAGGCCCAGGATTTCTGATACTCCGCTTGTAGCGTACATGATCGTCGCAGTTCGAGTGAAGCGGTTCACAAACATGGCTGCGCGGGGCTCGTGGAGCGGCTCTGTCAACCGCTGGGAGAATTTGTTGGATATCCATGTAAGCATGTGGTAACGAGGATCATTGGGCGACGAATTGAAGAGCTGGCGGACGATAGGCGCATCAACAGCGCGTTCTAAACAATTGGAGGTATATTAGTAGAATAATCGAAAGAAACGAAAAGCAACCGGAACTTTGGGATATATCCAGCCTGGTAGAGCAAAGCTGCAAACAAAAATCGCCCAAAAAAAGGCTACTTTCTGTTCATATAAAAACGGAAATGACGTACTCTGACTTCCATGTCCTCGACCGTAAACAGTAGTACTTGCGATCAACACATCGTACACCACGGTAAAGACACACTCGCAGCCCACCCAGGAGCCATTCTTATGCCGAATCGAACAATAATTCAAGACAGCTGCCTTATCCAATCGAACCCCGCGACCATGGATGGATCGGGCAAACGGCAGTTCCTGGGGGTGGAAATACTCCCAGCACGAGCGATCGAGAACTTCATGAGGTTGGTAGCCCAGCACCACCTCTATGCTGCCCGACGCATAGCGAATCGAGGCATCCCGGGAAAGGTCTAGAGCGATGTTAGTGAGCACGGACAGAGACTGGGATCGATCGATCGGGAGCGGAGAAAGACCTGCCGTGGATCGTGATGAAAGTGGTGTCCATTTTCCGGCGTTTCTGCACTGCAGAATAGTGGAACCCACGCACTGTGAAGAAAGCGAAGAGAAAGACGATCCAGCATCGGAGTGGAGAAGAAGTCAAGAGGGGAAAATTAGGAAGTTTTGACGGAGCATCCACAACGGCTGTCAACCAGGGATCGGAGGGCCCTTTGTCAGGCACGTTTGGACTCCGTTTCAGGCACTCGAACTGGGAGATTACAGACGTACGAGGAGCTCTGCAATTACCGAAAGGACTGAAAGGACCGAAATATGTGCCTTTAATCTTATATCCCTTTTCTACTTGCCATACATCGCATTCTACGAAGAACGGGACCTATGACGTGACTGAGGTGCCTGAGGTGCCTGAGGCTGAAGATCAACCTGATCTTTTCGGTTAGCGTATCTCACGCCTATCATTTATACAGTAGAAAACCATAGACCAAATGCAACTGATCAAGTGGACAACCATGACTTTCAAGAGCTGATTCACTGTTACCTCCCAACAAACTTGTCTCATCGATCACCCCTGAGCAGCTTATCTCTTTGATGACATGAAGATTTCCTAAACAGGCTAGACAAGAATGCAAGGTATAGCCAATCGAATCAGACCCTGGCAGCAGGCTTCCATATCCCAAAGCTTAACACATGGATGCCCAAGTCCTTCGAAGAACGGAAACTAAAATTTAAGAATTCGATATCTAAGATCCAAAAAGACTTTCCAACTTCCCATTCTCCTACCCAACATGTCCATACGTTCTAGAGTCCCCTTCCAACTCTCGGGCCGCTATGCTGAGAACAATCGCTGGGAGATCTTGGCCGGCCCCGGTGACTCGCGCGTAACAGGAGAGCAGGTCATCAAAGACGAAGACATAGTCAGTAAATGGACTGACAGGGTCGTGCTAATTACCGGCGTCTCATCTGGCATAGGTGTCGAGACAGCTCGCGTATTAGCATCAACCGGAGCCACTGTATTCGGCACAGCTCGCAATCTCACAAAGGCAAAGGAAGCCCTGGGACCCTCGCTCCTCGCCAGCGGCCGTGTGAAGCTTCTATTCATGGATCAAACCGACCTGTCTAGTGTCCGTGCCTGCGCTAGAGAATTTCTCAATCAAAGCTCTACGCTGAATATTCTTATCAACAACGCGGGTGTAAGTTAAGTTTACTATAATAGATCCACCCCTAGCACTACTACTCCGATCTCACCATATGAAATAGGTAATGAATACCCCCGAAGGCCATACCAAGGATGGATTCGAGCTGCAGTTTGGAACGAATCACTTATCGCATTTCCTCCTCTTTTGTCTTCTCAAAAATACTTTATTGGAAACTGCCCATTCCACGAAAGTTGATTCCCGTGTCGTCAACGTTTCCTCGGCAGGACATCGATACAGCCCTGTCAACTTTGACAACATCAATTTTGACGGAAACTACAACGGCTGGCTTGCATATGGGTCTAGCAAAACGGCCAATATCTACATGGCCACGCAGATCGAGCGCTTATACAGTGCACGGGGTCTTCATGGGTTCAGTGTACATCCCGGTGCGTTTGTGAGTCCAAATCTTCAGAGGCATTCACAGGAGGAGATGAAGGCTGTTATGGAAGACAAGCGGGCGCAGGTATATCTGTCAAGTATGGAGCAGGCTTGTGCTACGACTGTATATGGTGCGGTGTCGAGCGAGTTGAGTGGAAAGGGTGGGTTATATTTGGAGGGGGCGTCTGTTGCTATTCATTCGGCGCCTTCTGATGGAGATGCGCTTGAGTATGGATTTAGTAGTTGGGCTTTTGATGAAGCGAAGGAAAAGGAGTTGTGGAAGCTGAGCGAGTCGTTGGTTGGGGTTAAGTGTGACTAGGAGTCCGTTTTATGTATGCTGGTAGGTAACCTGGCTGCTCCGGGAAGATGGACATTTCAGCTTTCAGACTTCCATTGATTATCACAGCGATAGACGATCAGCTATTTGGGCATTGAGCAGGGTCGTTCTGTAAAAAAAAACCATTTTGCGATGTTAGGATGTTTGAAGACTAAAAATAGTGAAGTTATTTAAAAAGTGCCATCCAATTCTGCTAACGGCTCGAACACTCGCGTCTCACCATTGCGGACTCATCATCTTTTGGATAAGATTCCGTCCTTGGCAGCTGCTATAAATCCCCTCGAGAAAGAGTATCAGTAAACAGAGGGATCCGCGATGAGGCTCAACAAACCCGAAAGGCCGAAACTCCGCCGAAACCCCATGGACTTTCACATCTTTCGTACTTGAAGATAAAAAGACCCAACCCTCAGCTTCTCTTTCTTCACAATCCAAGTCCTAGAAACATGCCCACCCACCACCACATCCTCTCACTAGTATTCAACGAAATCGAGGCTCTCGACCTCTTCGGTCCTCTAGGCGCCATCATCCCCCGAAGCGACTATTACACCGTCCAATTCGTGAACTTGCACAACTACACCCCACCCCACGGTATAGAAACATCCATCAAGAATGGAGTCGGCCTCGCAGGGACCATCACCATGGCCGAAGCACTGCGCAAAGACTACACCTTCGACACCCTCTTCATCCCAGGCGGATTCGGCATGATGCCACTAGTCTGGGACCCGATGCTAATGCAGCAAATCGGCCAACTAGTCGACCGCGCCGCCAACGTCTTCACCGTATGCACCGGGTCGATTTTGCTCGCTGCTACAGGCCGTCTGGACGGGCGTCGGGCTACTACCAACAAGCGGATTTACGACGATGCAACTCCCAAGCGTACGTTGAGTCATTTACATCCGCTTTCAGCCCCTCCGCCTAAGAAGATAAATCTTAAAAGTAGAACTGATGACTGTTTATATTCTCTAGATCCAGATGTAAAGTGGCAAAGGCGCGCTCGCTGGGTCCAAGATGGGAAGTTCCTTACTTCGTCGGGCGTTACGGCGGGAATTGACGCGGGGTTTGCTTTTATTGCGAATACGTACGTCGCGCCTGAGGATCGTCTGACTCAGGTGCAGGATGTCGATGCGCGCGGAGAGGCGACCGCGGTTCCTGGTCATGTTCCCGAGAAGGCTTTGGAGTTCGCTCATATGACGGCGTTTAGGCTGGAGTATCGCTGGCATTCGGATCCTACTGATGATCCTTTTGTTGACTTGCCTACTGCTTGAATGGTGGCTCTCATTATCTTGAAGAAGTGGTTTCAATAGTGTCTGATTGATGAACGATTTCCATATTTATTTCGTGTTTTGATCAGAGGAGATGTTTCTTTTGAGTTTCTTTTTAAAAGGGTTTAGGGCAACTTGAGCTTCTTTAAGAAGAAGTGGTTATCACAGAGTCTGAATTGGGTCGCCTTCACGAAGACATCTGGGCACTTTATCTAAGTATAGCCGGACATGCCTCACCAAGGAGGAAGGCCCTCAGTCCCCATGGCATCGAAAAAGTTCGCAGCCTCAAAAGCATCAGCGCTCGAAGGAGTCATCGCAGAGTTAGACGCAGGTTCACTCCGACTCTCTAACGAGTAAGGAGATTCACCAGCGAAGCGGCCTCCCGAGAGACTACTGCTTTGGGTTGGGTATAATATGTTTTCATAACTTGAAGCCCCGTAAATATCTCCAGCAGTGGGTGAATTTTCTTTTCCCACATCTTCCAGTAATTTGAAGTCAAAGAAATCCCACATGTCAGGACTTAGGCCATTGGAGAGAATGGGCATCACGTCTAGATCGGGGAAGCCGTCCGCAACGGGCATTGATAGAGTCAAAGAAGTGTCATCAGGAGTCGATGTTGATAGTCCAGAAGCGGGCGACTCTATTGGAGCTGTTGGAACATTCAAGGATTTTAGAATCCCCACGACTTGAGGATAAAGGGAATGCTTTTTGTCGGGCCCCGTCAAGTGGGTGATATCGTCACCGGAATTATCTTCCAGCTTCATCAGTGCTTCGAGGACCGCAACACTGCGCGACACCAAGCTTTCAAGCAGATCTCGGGGTGCAGAGTCCCCGGAGGATGTGTCAGGTGAAGCTTTAGTTCGCAATAATTCAATGGCTTCCCGGATGTGATCCCGCGTCATGAGCCGACTAAGCTGGGCACTAGTGCGCTCGGCTTCAGTCGACGGGGAATCGAAAAGTAGTCCCAAGACAAGCACAACAGTCGCGTTGAAGAGTTGCGTTTCGTTGGAGGATAATGAGCCGCAAATTGTGCAGCGAGCTTGGATCTGGGCTTGTGTATTGATGATATTATGGGCAAGCTGTTGGCATGATGCTCGGCCCATGGGTGTGGAAAGAGTAGCTCGATGAAGTCGAAGGAGTAGACTCCATAGTTGCTGATGTAGCATGAATCGCTGGACTGGAATGGCGGCCATGGGTCCCATCGCTGTCAGCCCGACTGTACTTCCTAGCCTAAAGTAAGAAGGTAGATTTGCCACGTATTTTTCATACTTTTGATTTAGATGTTGACGTCGCTGGGAAGCTTCATTTGCGATATCGCCGAGATCAATTGATTCCCGTACAATAACAGACAATTCCAAGGCGTGTATCGTATAAGACAGCATGGTGAACTCAGACCGAGGGCGGTCGGCAATTTTCCCATGGACCCCGAGAAGGTCATCATCATTGATGTGCAACGGCATTCTGGTGTTGAATTGTGAGGGGCGAATGGTATAGTAGCCCAGAGCTTGACCGCGTGACCAATCTCGCATGACAAGAGTCCACCTAGTATTCCATAATGTTTAGCGGGTTCATCCCGGGCGGAATTAATGGGGATTATTCATGGTGCATACCAAATGCGAATTGCAACCTCGGTGCGAATTTCAGGTGGATCTGCTGCCTCAGAACCATAGTTCAACGAGGGCGAGACATTTAAATCTGCCTTGCCCAAGCGATGCAAGCCAAGTTTGCGCGCGCCCGAAATAGCAGTGACTAGTACGGCATCAAGCTCCAAAGATGTCTCTTTTGTATCCAAAAGGAGCATGATGGCTGCCTGTAAGCTGGAAATTGAGCCACAAAAGAGGGAAATATTGCCCTGAAGACAGCGCACGCCGAGAGATCGCCATGTTGCTGCTGGCTCATCTGAGGCGCGCAATTGCTCCACGCGGAATGTTAACGGAGTAAGCTGGACTCCAAGAAGGGAAGGAGTTGGGTAGAACGCGAGCCCAAGCACAAGCTGCGATGAAACAGTCAGCCAATGCTTGACCAACTGAGATTGAATGAGAACGGTACCGCAAGAACCAAACTCGCAAGGACGTCCATAGACAGCATACTGGCGATGGCTGTATCGGGAGAAGCCATACTCAAACAGTGGCGCAATTTGTCGGCCTGCTTCATGAAGCTCGGGGTGTGTACCACACTGCCCAGGGGTCCCTGACAACGTGTAACGAAGACCTCGTAAAGAACTTCAACAAGATCCCATTCTGGGAGCGCTTGAACCACATCTCGAATCAAGCCAAGCTTTTGACTTCGCCGCTGCGGGTCTTGGCTCTCCCAGTATCGATTGGAAATGTCGGGGGCCACACCCGATGTGGGGAGCGGAATCACATCCACGAATTGCTCCAAGATCTGCGCTGTTTCCTCAACTTCCGGTGCTTCTTCTTCCGGTGAAACTTGGCTGCGACTCTGCTCTATATGCTGGCTTTTTGTCCGCTTGGCTCTCGGCTGACGTTCATCTTTGGTGCATAGGTGGACGCAGTCGCGCTTCACGCATTCCAGCTAGAAACAATGAGTTTGGTATGTCTATGAGATTTGCGCACTCACACAGGGCTCCTTGCGATCACACTTCAATTTTGAAGCGCGACATCGTGAACAAGAGAGGGTGAGCTTCTTCGGGGCCATGTTTTGAGTGGGATGTAAGACGATGAGTTGCTGCAACCCGTTCGGCTTAGCCCCAACAGCCTCCCGTGATTTACATCTTCCCGCATTTCATTCCTGCATTCCTTTAAAATTGGATAGATCTGTATGTGACTTCATGCATGCCTTGCAACGATTCGCTTATATGCTTGCATTTCTCTGGATCACCCAGAATGGCTGGGCAAGGTGACAGATCACAAGGGGAACACCGCCCCATATAAATGCGTCCTGTCCTCGTCAAGTCCCCTCGGTGTCTCAGAATCAGGAAGTTGACACTCATATTGCGACTCTGTTGTACGTTGACCTAGTCTGATCAACACCCGAACTCTACGGGCGCCCTTGAAACCCCCTGGGGAGACGTTCGCAGGCTCCGCTCTTCCATTCATCTCGCAGCCTTGGAAGAGATGATATTCGGATGATACTAGATGTCAGATCTCTAACCAATGATCTTTAACACTCAATTTCCCAGGAAGGACTCAAAACATACCAGAAAATTCGGATAGTTCAAAAGACAACATGCCTTACGCTGGAAACCTATTACCAAACATCGAGAGCAAGGTATCACAGATTGTCTCTATCATTGCAACATATCGTCATCGCTCTGCCACTTTTCCCGATCGCTTCTCCAAGTTTGTCCCTACGCTCGAGAAGCAGATTGGAGACATTGTCTCTAAGAAGGAGACGCTCCGTTTCATCCTTCCAGCTTTCCCCTTCAAGGCCCCCTCCGAGGGAAGCAAGGGTAAGAAACTCGGTCTTTTGCCAGACAAGGCCGAAGAAATTGCCTTACAGACCATAAATGGCTTCGCCGAGTCTATTGCTGAAGTCTACGACAACGGGGCGAGCGTTGTGATAGTTTTGGATGCGTCAGAAAATGGCGGTAAGCATTGCCTTTTTTTTTGGTAAATGATTCTATCTACGACACACAAAGCTAACGATGTCTGAGATCTTCTAAAAGTCGATCATAGCGACGCTTTCACATACCACCGAGAGCTGCAAAATCTCGCCGCATCTCTGGATCTTCGTCATCTGGAATTCACGAGCCTCGGAGCCCTGGTGGGCATTGTGCCACAGGAGACTCAAATAAACGAAAAATACTCCGAATATATGAACAAGACTCACAATCACGTTGATCACTCCATATCCCAGGCCTCGTCGGCCGAGGATAAGAACCGAAAAACAACCAGCCATCACCACAACACTGCTCTCCCAGAGAGCAAACACCCGGCCGCTCTAAAGACTGACATTCTCCAGCGAGGAAAGGTAAATTTTGGTTGTTACAGTAGCATCAGATGGGGCTAACCGATCTAGGCTCCTACACCTCTTTTGGAATCAACTGTGCCATACGCCATCCGCATGTCGATTCACGAGTCCAACAATGTTGGGAAGATCACAATTGACTTGTTCCCTCCTGGAATTAATCCAAACTCTATCACCCCATGGCATGGGACTGTTGCAATCCTTCACGATGCCAGCCTGCGCGTGGTGGATGCATCCGCTGTTGACATGAACGAATTCGAAGTAGTCAAAAACGCCGCGGGCAACCCATGGTTGCTACGCGCCAAGTGTGACCTCTTCAATTGGCCAGGTATGGCGGTAGACTTTGAGCCACTCTTCCCCTGCGGCATACAGGTACGCCCTAAGGAAGGACATGCGCCGTTGAAATTCGAGGACGTCGATATGAAGCGCGTGCGTCGCCTCGCTCTATCCTCGGCGCCTCTTCTTCTGCGTGGATTCACAATGGAAATCGAGAAAGAAGTCTTCCGCAAGAAAGCGCGCCAGTTCGGTGAGATCCAGCAGTGGCCATTTGGGGATATTCTTGAGGTTCGCGAGAACACAGATCTTAACATGAACAATGTACTCACGCGTGAGGCCATGCCCTTTCACTACGATGGAGTGTTCAAGATGACGCAGGACGAGAAGACAGGCGAATGGGTCTCCACGCCACCTCTGTTTCAGGTGTTCCGTAACCGCGCAGCCTTGCAGTCTGAGGGCGGAGCCACGCTCTTCGCGTCATCGCGTAATCTTCTACCTCTCCTCGGACCTGATACTATTCCTCTTGAGGAACTACGCACACTGAAGTGGAAGGCCTCTACAGAAGTCAATGATGCATTTGGGGGCCATGATTTACACCTTCCATTCATTGTTCCTCACCCGGAGACGGGTGCCGATACTTTCCGTATGCATGAGCCATGGCCGGAATCAAAATGTATCGCTGGAAGCAGCAAGCCAACTATTGTACAGGTCATTGGCTGCCCGGAGCCTGAGAGCGATGCGCTTTGTGAGAAGCTAACAGCTCTGCTCTATGATCGACGGGTTGTATATCATCACCAGTGGAAGACTGGTGACTTTATCTTTAATGATAATGCTACCACTCATCATACTCGAACCGCATTCACTGAGGGACACCGCGAGCACTGGCGTGTGCATGTTAACTAGGCTGTATTCTTTTGTGTCTGAATTATGTTTGTGTTTCCTCGGTTTAGATGTTAAATGATCTGAAATATTTGAGTTATCACCAAGAAGAAAACTACAAATAGTCATCCACAACTGTAAAAACGCCTATTTTTATGCCAAATGTTACACTAGACTATAAGCTTTTGTAAAGAGATTGTTCAAAAGTTTATGCCAACTCGTTTCATATACGAAGCACTTTTACACGGAACTTGGCTAGTTTCTACCTAAATAAACACAATCAATTAACTTCCCGTTACAGAGAGATGATATTCTAAGTCTAATCAATGAGATCTATTTTTGTACGTCAAACAGGCAATTACCGACCGAAATGACGAAAGGCACCGAATCACAGATAGGGGTTCAAAAACATCCCACAGCTAAGCTGTGTCGAAAATAGCCTCGGGAGGGGACTGGTCTTCTTCCTTCGCCTCAAACCTTGGGTCACGAACAAAGAAAATCACAATGAAGAATGCCACAGTCGCGAATCCGATTCCAAGCCAAAATGCACCGCGGTAGCCGCGAATAGGATTCTTTCCTCCTTCATTGACATGCGACTCAACAGTGGCGGCAATACCAAGGCCAATGGAGATAGAGTACTGCACCACCGTTGAGATGAACGACCCGGCAACACCCTGCTCCTCAGGCAAGACGGCGTTGGAAATGAGGATCCCAGAGGAGGCGAATGACAAGTCAGGTCCACCAACAACAAGTAGACAAGCTGGGAAGATGAAGGCCCAGTAGACATTTGAGTAGTTCACGAAGCTCATAAGTAGGTTCCCAATGAAGAAAGAGAACATGGAAACGCCGAAGATATACTGAGCAGGCGTTTTCGCGATGAAAAGTCCAACAGCCGTGGTAGCGAATAGACCACCAATGACCAGTGGAACCATCTGTGCCACCGCTGCAAGAGGCCGGGCTTTGTGAATAGTCAGGATATAAATAGTGGTGTAGTAGAGGAAAATTCCAAAAGACATCCAGCCAAAAGCCATGGCAGAGACGACGGGTGCAAAGCCAGGTCGGCGCCAAAGAGAATTAGGCAGGACAGGAGCAAAGACGCGGGACTGGGAGAAAATGAATGCCACAAGAAGGAAGACGCTGACAATAAGCAAGGCGTAGATATACGGCTCTTGCCAGCCAACAACTGAAGCCTGGCTCCATGCAAACGAGAACAGAATCAAGGCCGAAACACCGAGCAGGCTACCGACGTAGTCAAATTGGCGGAGACTTAGTCCAGGAATTGGGGAGCCGATTCGGTGAGGAACAACGACGAAAGTTGCCATACTCAGAATTAGACAGCCCAAAGCCCAGAACCAGAACCCCCATCGCCAGGTAACCTTCTGGCCAAAGGCAGCTCCAATCAACCCGCCGAAGATATACCCCGATGGAGCGCAGAAGCCCAGGAAAGCAAAGGCGATATTCTTCTTCACAGACAGAGGGGGGAACGCACGCGCCAAGAGGGCGAATGAGTTGGGAACTAGGGCGCCATTGCCTATTCCCATCATGCCACGAGCGATATCGAATAGTACAACGTCATGAGCAAAGCCGCAAACTACTGACCAGATAGCCATCCATATCCAGCCAAAGAGGAAGACGTATTTGTGACCGAAGTGATCGCCTAGACGACCAGTTACTAGGACAAATACGCCACCGCAGAGAGAGTAGGAGGCCAAGAACCAGGACATTTGACTGTTGCTGTTTGTGCCGAGAGCAGTACCGATCTGCTCTATCGAGTAGGCGTCAACGCCAAGGCCTCCGACGGAGAAGAGTTGCGACATGCCGATTATGAGGATGAAGATGGCTTCGTGGAAAGTCGAGGAGAAGTTCGCTGGTTTCGTTTGTGGTTCGGCCTTCTCAGCGGCCCCTAGGCTCGACATGACTTCTTCGTTAGGTTTGCTCATTGTAGTGGGAGTGGTCGATTTGTCGGTAAACGTCATATTATGTTAAGGATGAGGAATAGATTGATAGAAAGGGATGAAGGGAAGGAAATAAATCATTTTATAAGTCATGATGGAAAAACTCTGGCGTTCTGTCGTGGAGCCATGGAGATTTGGATGTCTACAGTGCGAAGCTGGCGAAAGTCCGCGGAGTTTCAGCAAAGTCCGATCTCCCTGTTTGACCTTCCTTGGCTGCGTCAGTGAATATCTGAGATTAGCTACTGCTGCATATGACCAAAGAGACTCAAATTATGTCGTCTATTCCTATGAAGTGCGAATGAGAGAAAATTTGTTTGTAATTCAGTGGGAGGTACTGGCTGCCTTAGAGTTCAGGCATGAACTTTCTTACTATTTCGAGGCGAGGCGGGTATAGGAGCACACAGCAACTGAGTGTGGAAGAGAGTTCGAAAGGTTTGATATTGTCTTCATAGTCCTGGAATTTTCAAACTGCACAGCCGAGACAGATCCAGTTGTAGAGTGCGGCTCTGCTAGCTAGCTTCATTGTGTGAAATCAACACCCGCACACAGCTTTCTTATCGTCTCAATAACAATTCCTCCATTCAACAGACTATAAATCCCCCTAAATTGCTCTATTGCACTCGAAATTTCATTTTGATCCTCCGCCCACAGCCCGCAGCCCGGGATACGCATCCTCAGCTTCAGCATCATACCGTGCAGTTGTCATACTCCAAGCAAAGTTGGCAGCAGTCACATCATCTAGCACCTCAAACCATCTCAAAATCCTGTCTGTTCCACGACCATAGGCAATATATTCAGATTTCAATTTGCAGAACAATTCCTCCCGAGCGATGATTTCATCACGGACCATTTCCCTAGCCCTGACCACATCAACAGCATGCCACTTAGCAAGAAGAAACACGGCATTTGTAATCTGTCCAGTGCTTCCGCTGACCTTGTTGTTCAGTAGTTCCTTCTCCCAGGAGAAATAGTCATTGACTAGACACCAAGAATCGTATGCAGCCTTTGTGATAGCGGAAATCGACTCTTCCTCTTCGTTAGTGAGATAGAAGTCCATTGAGAAGGATACTAGCCGCATGGTCCATCTGTTTAATCCGGTCAGTCTGGGGCCTTCTCGTCTGTATGTTATTCACGATGATTTCTCACGGGCATCCTGCATCAATTTCACGGAATGAGAGATATTCAGTCAAATCCTTGAACTGAATGTCTCTGATTTCAAGGAAGATATCTGACATCTCCTTCCAGAGTTTGAGAATATTGTTTCCTTGTGTTTTATCGAACTTCAATAATCCTTGGGCCATTTTGGCCTGCAGTTGCATTTTCACATTTCTTTGGTCAGGGCGTTCATTCTGGTCATCATTCAGGCCTTCCACCAATTGGCTGTTTACTTCTCGGAGCTGTAAGTTATAACCTGTAAGAGACTGATCTTCGCATATCGGCCCGAAATAGCTACCTGCGACTCAGATTGACTCTCAGCGTAATCAATGACTGAAATTCCCACTTAGTCAACGAGATAATGTAAAATGAGTGGTTCTCTTACTATCGTCGTGAACAAATGCGTATTCAAGAATATAACTGACCAGAGCAAGACGATCTGGAATTGCCGCAGTTGCAGCAAGCGCCATAAAATTGCCAACTGTTGGATTTATGCATCCCACAGCGTAGCTCTTGTTTCTTCCATTTCGTACCCAGTCATTGTGGATAGCTCCTTGGGAGTTGAGAAGATCGATCTGACATTCCCAACTTCCTGAATCGGCGAGATGGGCATCGCGATGGATGCGAGGTTTGAATTTGCAGAAGTACTTTTCCCCTTCATATGCAGCTACTGGTACTTGAAGGGCCATAGGTGCAGACAAGCTGTTGGAACTAAAATATTTGTTGCGTATAGTTGCTGTTCTCCGCTGGTTTTGTCAACAATTTAATTCTATAACGGGTCCAAAGCCACTGAAGATGATACCGGGATAAGTAGCGAAAACGCAAGAGATAAGTTTCAAGTGAAAATCAAGACCCTTGGATATGGAGCCATGTATATATCTCATGCGCCTTTCTCCTTGCATGAACTGTTGTGTATTTTGTGGATAAATGATACGCTTTCTGGTTGGCTCCATCCAGACTTGATACGTGTCAATGCATATTTTACACAGCAAATTCCACTATTGTGGAAGATTTGCCATAGTACTGGATTCAAGTAGAATGATCCTATCACTATTTGATACTCTTCATTTCGATCATTGGCTGACCACTGCTTCGTGTATGTTCCTTTCTATCAAATCCACTGCCCCTCACCGCCAGTTTCGTCGGGTTTATCCCCACCACTATTTGGGCTACACAGGGCTAACATAATAGAAGTACAGAAACTAAACAACTATAACATTAGCAAGATACCAGGTATATATGTACTTGGATGCCGTATTGAAAAAAGTGCCTTATGCTATGTGCGGGCAATATATATATCGCTGGAGCAAGCCATTTTTCATGTTGCGAGGCTGTACTGTTGCTTCCTGACAAAACCATGACTCGAGTTACAGTGAGAAAGATAAAGTAATATTTAACTCGAATTGGGTTTATTTAGGACAATTGACGTAAGAAGCCAAGATTGTTTACAGATCTCCCGTGTCATCAAACTGAAGCCCCATTCTCCCGCTCTTCCAAAATCTGACGCACCTTAGGAAGCACAAAGCGACCATAATCGATAGCGTCATTCAGATTATCATAACCACGAACAGAGATCAGATCAGCACCCAGATCAACATAGTCGATCAGTGAATCAGTGATAGTCTGCGGCGATCCCACCAAAGCAGTCGACGCGCCGCGGGCATTGGTGGCGGTAACGGTAGGATACCAAAGCGCACGATCCTGCACCTCCCCACGGGCGGCAATATCAAGCAGACGCTGCGATCCAACATTCTGCGGCGGCGGCGCATTAGCAGGGACCTTGCCTTGACCATTTGCACGATGCTTTGTCAACGCATCCAGGGTGCGGTGCGCCTTTGCCCAAGCCAGATCATCCGTTTCGGCGAGGATAGGACGGAATGTCACCCAGATACGAGGTCTATCATTGTCTGCACGGCCGGCCTTGGCAGCTTCGGCATAGATGCGATCGATCTGCTCCTTGGTCTCCTTCAACGGCTCGCCCCACAACCCGAAGATATCGCCCAGTGAGCCTCCGATCCGGTATGCCTCATCCGAGGAGCCGCCCACGGACACTTCGATCTTGGCGGTTGGTCGGACATCGTTGTTGAATTGCTTGAATTGATAGTACTGGCCTTCCCAGTCGAATGGTTCGTTGGATTCCCAGGCGCGGCGCAGGATCTTGATATACTCTTCTAGTCTGCCGTACCGCTGGTCTTTTGTTAAGAAATCTCCTTCTTTGGCTTGCTCTGCGTCACTTCCACCGGCGATGAAGTGCACCACGACACGACCGGAGCCTAGTTGGGAGAGGGTTGCTAGTGCTTTGGCTGCCACGGTGGGGTACAGTGTGTTTGGGCGCAGAGCAATGATGACCTTCACATTCTTAGTCGCAGAAAGAATGGTCGCGCCGATGGTGAAGGGATCGTATGAGGATGAACCATACGGTACTAGGGTATAGTTGTATCCGTAGTCATCTAGAGTGCGGGCATAGCGAATGAGGTATTCGGGATCGATGGATGCATTGGGGATGGGGTTCAGCTCGGTTGAGGCGTTAGGAAAGGTGACACTGATAAACTCGGGCATCTTGAAGGTTTGTTTACTGTCTGAAGCAATTGGATCGGGGTATACAGCATCGGCCTCTTTATATCTTGGTGATGGCCTGACGTATGACGCGAGATATCAATGAATTGCGTCTTAGCACGCAAGAAAATGCTCCGAGTTGAGATTACAAATCTACGGTTTTATCTGATCTTATCTGATGTCGATGTGAGAAGATTCATTCGGATCTATGAGTATGAGAGTATCTGATGGCGACGGAAGAGAGTAGACCAGGTACCTCCGGTTCCCGAGTACACCATCGAGCTTTCCGTGTTGAACCGTCACAAATACTGATAGATATGGCAGTCTCGTGAGGAACATGATATTCAGTACCATATTTACAGTGATTCATTGAGTAAGTCTGGACTCGTTGAGCGAACGGCAGCTGCATTTATACCAGATCGAAGGGCGGCCGTGCGCCTGATACGATTTCACTCGTGCAGTATCCCCATAGGATGTCCTTTCCAGCACTACTAATCCGACCAAACCATACAACTTTAATCTCCATACATTGCGCTGCATTAAAACCGAATAGGCGATCCAAGAAATTAGACTGTTCCATGTTGGCCCAGGACCTTGCTTTGGGTCTCCCCCACTACCTCCCCCTCATTCCCCGACATGTCATCAAGCATCATCTGCTCACTATGTTTCTTCCACTCCTCATACCTCGGATATATGACATTCTGCATCGCTGGATGTTTACGATAGTATGTCTCATGATTAATTTCACAGACACCATCCTCTTTCCCCTTGTGGTCGACACAGAAAGGCCGATTACATAGATGACATAGCTGGTTTGGAAGGTTGTCTTTAAGATATGGCTTCCTCTCCCGCATTCTGTTATGAACGTGACAGGATTCAACAGGAGGAAGATGGTCCTAGGGAGACATTTAGCCTACTAAATTAAGATAGAGGTTGGTGCGAGGAGGAGAAACAGACCATTGTCGAACGGAGATTATGCTGATAGGCTTTGAAGGTAGGGTCTCGCAGGAGGGGGTAAGAGAGGATTAGAAGATAATGTTAGAAATAGGGTATTGCTTCATATTTAACTGAGGGAGAGCGGGGTAGTAGTAGCTGATCAGGCTGACTCGAAACAGGTGCTTTGGCACTGCGTACCCTTGTCCTCGACGCGGGCTTTAGTATAGATCTTCGTATTAAACTAGTTCGTCAGGAGTTCATTCTTCGCGACGTATACATGACATATTTGTCACTGCTAGGCGATTTTGAAACGAGCGAAGTGCAACAAAAGGATATAACTTGACTAGAACGATGCCTCGTAATCGGCGATCTTGACCAGGCGGTGCTTTAACGCTGCGAGATATCCGTATGGTAGGGAACATTCTCAGGATGGTAATCTGGCTGCGCTCAGTAGCCTATGCCATCTGCGATATACATGGATAGCTCCCCACTGTGGATCATCTTATAGAGAACCACTAGTTATAATTTACAGAAGCTAGATTTGGGCCATTCTGGTTCGACTCCCTCAGGCTGTTTTGGAGGTGGGGTATGGACGTGTCGGATGTATTGATTTTGCAAAATAGTCAATATAGACTGGCAGAACCAACCGAAGAGAGTAGGGAGTCGCACCAGTTTCGGGACATACTATATCAACCCTCTAATCGCAGAAATTTAGTATAAAACTGTAAATACATGTCCGTGTCATTGGATCTCCCGCTACCTTAAGTCATTCACTATGCTGACACGTCTTCAATGGCCTCCAGGGTTAATGCGTAAATATGGTTGATGGACCGTCCTAAATAGATTAGCGGAAAGTGACGGTCCATATTCAAAGCCGATATCAACTCTAGCAGTCCTGACATATCTAACACCTGGAATATTGAGGCACTATCTTGGCTTAATAATTCCAACAGCCCGGCACTTCACGTGTCCGCTTGTCACCACCGATAAGTCTCTGGACTCTCCAATTATGTCCAGTCTTCACGAGCTCCTTCATCGACAGCGACCAGGACGATGGGAAAGTTCCGCGCTCGGCCTTGTGTATTCCTCGCAGAGATGCTTTATAGCTTGTACGAGCCTATCCCAGCTACACCACTCATACAGCCTATCGCAGTTGTCTGTATCTCCGATACGCACAACACCCAAACCAAAGTCCAGGATGGAGACATCCTCATCCATGCTGGCGATCTCACACAATCTGGATCCTTTCAGGAACTTCAGGATGCGATCACCTGGCTACGCAGCCTACCTCATCCCACCAAAATTGTGATTGCTGGCAATCACGAACTCTTACTTGATCCAGCGCGGGATGATGTGTCTGGACGAGCAGCCTCCGAGCGAGCTCAAATCGACTGGGGAGATATCATCTATCTAGAGAACGAAGAAGTAACAATTTCTTGTCCAAATGGTCGTCAACTTAGGGTCTACGGAAGCCCTCACTCTATCCGCAATGGCAACTGGGCCTTTCAATATCCCCGAAATCAAGATGTATGGGCTGCCTCAGTACCAGACGGAATCGATGTGCTTATTACCCATGGTCCAACACTTGCTCATCTTGACTTACTGAAGTTTGGCTGTCCTCATTTACTGCAGACCCTATGGAGAGTTCGGCCAAGGCTACATGTATTTGGCCATATACATGAGGGTTCAGGAACAGACTGGATGCTGTTCAATGGGCTCCAGGAGACGTATGAGCGGACTGTCGCTGCTGGAGGGGGCATTCAAAATCTACTGCTTACAGCTTGGGAGTTTGTTAAGGGAGTCATGCGCCCAGCCGTGGAAGCAAAATGTTTACTTGTGAATCCTGCCATCGTTGGAGGGTTGCAGGATAATGAACGAAGGCAGCCTATCAAGGTTTTATTTAAGTACTGTTACAATCTTGCTGAATAACTATATTGGATCCCAAATTTGCCATGCATGCTTCCTTGCCCCTCTTCTAAGGGCTTGTCATTTCATCTCTCCATATGGTGATGTCTTTCTCGCTGTTTGAGGGTATGCCCCACGAGCTTACCATGATACGCATCCCGGTGTGTATTCACGATAGCTACTGATTATAGTGGGTCAACTGCTTACTGCATGAAGTACCGTTCCAAAGGCTAACTTAGATATAAATTCAATGATTTATCTGACAATGGACTCCATACGCTTTGTTTTGTGGGTGTTCTGTTAATGAGCCCCGGGCCTAAATTGTGACACGATATATGAAATACATGAAACGTGTGAATCTACTTCCTATCAAGGGAAACTAGGAGTGCTAGTCAAGGAGAAAATGGGGACTTTGAGTGGCGGCGTGTATTTGTTAGCATCAGCGCCCGCGTTGAGCAGCCGCCGCACGACCGCTTCATGCCCATTCTCGGACGCCCGGTGTAGCGGCCTGTAGCCACCTGAGTCTTGGGCATCCTTGTCGGCGTCCTCCTCGAGCAGTTGCTGCACGACTGCCTCGCGCCCGAACCTAGCCGCGTAGTGTAGCGGCGTTTGGCTATTCCAGCCTTTAGCGTCCTTATCGGCGCCTGCGCGGAGCAGCCGCCGCACGACCGCCTCATGCCCATTCTCAGACGCCTGGTGTAGCGGCCTGTAGCTGCTTGAGTCTTGGGCGTCCTTGTCGGCGTCCTCCTCGAGCAGTTGCTGCACGACTGCCTCACGCCCGAACCTGGCCGCGTAGTGTAGCGGCGTTTGGCTGATCCGATCTTTAGCGTCCTTCTCGGCGCCCGCGCGGAGCAGCCGCCGCACAACTGCCTCGCGGCCGTACTGTGCCGCCCAGTGTAGCGGCGTCTGGTTATCTGGGTCTCTAGCATCCTTCTCAGCTCCTGCGTCGAGCAGCAGCTGCGTGACCGCCTCGTGCCCGTACTGGGCCGCATTATGCAGCGGCCTGTAACCATTCGAGCTTTGAGCCTCCTTATGAGCGCCTGCTTTGAGCAGCTGCCGCACGGCCGCCTCATGCCCACCCTGGGCCGCTCTATGTAGCGGCGTCCAGCCATTCGAGCTTTGAGCCTCTTTGTCAACGCCTGCGTCAAGTAGCTGTCGTATGACTGCCTCGTGCCCACCCTGGGCGGCCCAGTGTAGCGGCGTTTGGTTTTCGGAGTCTCTAGCATCCTTGTCGGAGCCCGCGTCGAGGAGTTGCCGCACGACTGCCTTGCGTCCAAACTGGGCCGCGTAGTGTAGCGGCGTCTGGTTATTGAAGCCTTTAGCGTCCTTGTCGGTGCCCGTGTCGAGTAGCTGTCGCGTGACCGCCTTATACCCTTTCTCAGCGGCCCAGTGCAGCGGCGTTTGTCCATAATTTGGTATGAACTTGGCACCCTTCTCGAGTAGCCGCCGGATCGTAGTTCCGAGCTCGTTCTCTGCCGCAAACTGTAGTGGTGTCCAACCCTTATCCTCATAGGCCAAATAAACGTCAGCACCACCATGGACCAATATCTCGACTATTACTCGTTTGTTGCTTATTGCCTTGCAGTGTAGTGGCGTCCAACGGTCCTTGTTTGTAGGGATAGTGTCTGCGCCCTCAATGTCTTTGCTATAAAGTAGCTCAACTACCTCCGCATGCCCATTGATTTCCGCGAATTGTCGCGCAGTCCAACCGTATTTGTCTTTGGAATCTCTATTAGTGCACTTAACGAGCAAAAGATTGACCACCGCCTTGTTTCCGTTCATCGCCGCGAGATGTAGGGGTGTCCAACCGAACAGGTCGTCTTCTGCGTTGACTTCCGCGCCGCGCTCAATCAAAAGTTTGACGAAGTCCAGGTCGCCGTTCTCGGCTGCACAATGGAGCGGAGTCCAACCAACCTTGTTGTCCTTAGCTTCGATATTGGCACCTTCGAGCAATTCCGCCACTGCCGTGTGCCCGTTCATCGCTGCGAGATGAAGAGGGGTCAGATTAACGTGGTTACAGCTATTCACGCTGACATCACTTTTCTCGATAAGAAGCTTCGCAATGGGTGGAAACCCAAATTGCGCTGCTATGTGCAATGCTGTATTCCCATCCTTGTCCTTCGCGATTGCATTGCTTCCATTTTGTAAGAGTTCCTTCACGATAGCAGCAGACCCCCCGTAAGCAGCGCGATGCAACGCAGTTTGTCCATAATTGCACTTTAGATTCACGTCACCGAGAGGTAGTAAATCTCGCACCATAGCCTCATTTCCTCTTTCAGCCGCAAGGTGCAGCGGCCAACGTCCAAGTTTGTCGGGACCGTTTTGGATCTGCGGTTGGATGAGCTTCTTGAAAGAATTGTAATCTCCTCTCCATACCGCACAGCGTAATCTCTCATCAGAAACACTGTTTGACCGATTATCATGGTCCATATTTGAGTGGGCTGCATCTATCTTGTTTTCTATTATTGTTTGGCCTAGAGCATGAGACATCCCTTCTTCGTCGCCCTGGTAGCTTGATATGATCACCTGCGTTTTCGTGGAAGACCAGTTTCCCCCTTCCTTCTCTTGCACCTGAAGGAAATATATTGCACCAATATATTGATAGCGAGACGGCTTGTCTGTTGCCCTCACAAGCAAAGCCCTTGCTACTGGGTCAGACTCTTGCCCCGGGCGGCACTCAGCTAAGAGCAGACATGGTTGAGAACTCCTCAGAGCATCCTGAACTCGCCGTTTCATTAGCGGATGCATGCTATTCCACCAGCAGCTCTTTTCAAGTCCGGCCCTTATCGGAATGACACGCCACTCCCCTTGGATGTCGCCATTTTCAAAAACCGTGAGGGAAGGGTTAGAAGAGTCCAAGGGCAGGTCAAAAAGATTGGCCGGGCACCAGCTAAATTCTTTGGACATAGTCGTAGCGTTATGGAAGAGGTGTCCAGGAGCCAGCCGGCCGAACTTCTTCAGAATGCTCTTATAGGTGTCCTGCTGTAGGTCCTTTCGAGCGACGCCCACTAGTAGTGCGGAAATAGTGGCCATATCTTTAGGCCAAGACGTATACCGTGAGGCCAACATAGTCAAAAGGCTATTCAGTGTCGTGATACCCCCCCGGAGATTCCTGATAATCCGGGAGGCTTCTTTGCGGGGGCTATCGAGCTCGTTTTCTTCGGCGAGAATCTGTTCGTCGAGATCTTTAATAATAGGGCCAGAGGGTCCTTTAAAGATCACCTTTACTTTGCGCGACTTAGTCAATTCTAAGGCAGTCCACCCTCGACTAAACCAGGGCGACATCAAAATGGCGAAACATGCAGATTTAGGATCCCAAGTCCAGTTTCGCAGGAAGCAATCGTGCACCAAGGTGATTCGGGCGTCCTCGTAGCTACTCTGGATCTTTTCGATAGCTTTATTACGGGCAGCCTTTTGGCGAGGAATACAAAGTGTATCCCACCAAATTCCGTCGCATTGGAATTGTTTCGCAATATCGTAGAAAAAGGCATATAAACACTCGTTGACTTCACCGTCTTCCCAAGCTCCAGTCCCAGTTCCGTCCGACCAGACGTGAGAAACAGCCATGTATGGCCGAAGAGGTTTGAGCAGAGATTCTCCATCAAGATCCCACACTGTCGAATTTCCATTGCGTGCAGCTCTATCCAGTGTCTCCCTCCGGAATCGATCTCGTATTTGCACGCATTGGTTCTTTTTTTTACACTCATGGCGCTGCTGAACCGCTGTAAAATCACGCTGAGAGTGCTCACAGAAATCAGGGGTGCAATCGTTATGCTCGTTCCCGTCATAGTTCTCACGCTCATCAACCTGATCTGTTACCCTTTGTATCGAGTTGAAGCCTGGCAGTAGATTATGTAGGTTCTCCCCTGCAACAGCCCATACGCGGTTTGGACAGAGGTTCAGGGTTTTCGCTTCCTGAAATGCTTCCAGGAGCTGATTGATGTTTGAATCCATGGTTTCTGCTTATTTGTCTAGAAAAGGTGGTAGAGACAAGAACATACTCGTTATTTCCCTTACAAGAGAGCTCTTTGGGTGTCATCGACCCCACTTCACTGGCAGCAAATGATCACTAACACCCCACGCTTCCTGCGCGCAGATGCCAACGCACCGAGTGTGTTAAGACGGCTACACTATCCAATAGCGATGTTCTATCATATTTCAGCTGAGGGCCCACAGCGACAATCCCGCCATTGAGGACGGTTCTCCTCTGACTTCTCGCCCTCTCTAGTGTGCATCCTTCTAAGCCTTGGTCGCGCGACGCTAAGGCGCCTTCTCTTTTCTCACCCGGGTGACAACCGACTGCTGCAGATCAGCCATACAGTTTGCTGGAATTTAGTAGGTGGGTGACCGCTAGCGAATCCTTTCTGTTGTATCTTTTTTCTTTTCCTTTTCTTCTTTTTTTTGATTTGAAATTGAGTATCTTATCTTCCACGTTTTTGTCGAGAACTATATAAGTTTTCTATTGCAACTTTGGGTGCATTCTTCTCGTCGCCTTGCAAGTGAAGTTGTTTTTATGACACTCTGACGGCATGTTTTAGCAAAAGGCGAAATAATGTGCGATTCACCAAAACCATGCGAATACCGAGATGGCTCAGACTTGCCTTGTTTATCTTTTGGACTCGAAGCTCTCCACTGAAACGTCAAATGAACTGAGAGAACTTCCTTTCGCTAAAAATGCCGCGGAAACTCGTTGCCATCATCACAAACGCACGACGACATAGAGTCCTCATCTGGAACTCCGCGCTTGGAGACTTTTCCAAAACAAAGCATCTTTTGTGGCGTGGGTAAATCTGGATGAAATTGACGCAGTCGGTCTTTTAGTCCAACCTCGAATGTCCTTTAAGCCAAATAGCGCCCAATATATTACGCACCCGTCCTGGGAGGCGAAATTGTGTTAGAAGAACTCATCAAAGCCGGTATGCCTCAGGTTCAGCGAAATCTTCTCCGGGTCGTTAAAAAAGTACAATCGGGTATTGGCGTACTGCTGATATCACTTCTGGATGACGCTAGATAAGTTCCTAGTCTTAATCGTAGCGTTAACAATATTGTTTTCGAGAACTGCAAAGGCACCTTCTCATTCTCTAGCTCTCTAGCATTTCCGTCAGTTCCACCGGTCCCTCAATTGCCCTGATCTACTGTCCAAAGTAAAGCGGCGTGCAACTGACGCACTGACTCGTGAACAAATACACGAGACAAAAATGCCCTCTGGGATCTATATCAACGCTGTCACTAGAAATGAGATCGGTCTGTGGTTAAAGATCATATCTCGGAGTACCTAGCTAATGGAAATAGAAACATCACAATCCGGCTTGGATAACCTCTCGGCGGAGATATTCCATTTGGTCGTCGAGTTCCTCTCACGTGCTGATCTCCCTGTCCTATGTCTTGTGAAAAAAAGTATTCGCGCATTCACTGAGCCACTGCTTTACTCGAAGTTGCGTGGGTCTGGCGAAAATCTGAATCTCCTGCCCGAATTACTCGATTTTGAAGGACACTCCTTTGCATGTCTCGACTATCTAGTTGTTGAAATAGGGATGGCTCAATGGCAGTCTGGTCGAGCAGTCTGGTCGATACTAGCAGTGAAACCTAACAAGAAGTCGTGTAGGCAAAATACAATAAAATGTCGGGCAAGACTTTAAGAAAGGAGAGCACATAGGGTTGATCTGAAGAGAAGAATGTGTCTATCTTGCTCACTATGCATAGAGAGGTCTCAGCTGTGTCACGAGTCACATCCCACCCTCTCGAAGATGTGCTGGAGGTACGGTGGTCTGCTGACATACAGTTTCCTAGCGTCACAAGCATATTCTATACCGGGTGAAGATCACCCACTCTCACCCTGCTTCTCACCCTGCTTCTCACCCTGCTTCTCACCCTGCTTCTTACCTCATCTATAGCGTACTTGCCAGCTCAGTCATAAGACTTGAACTGTATATCATCCTCTTTAATAGTGAACCCAGCACATACGACCACAGGGTGTGGAGAACAGGGCTTCCCGTCCGCTCAGCCGTACTTAAGCCACACGCCGGTAAGTTAGTAGTTAGGTGGGTGACCACTAGCGAATCCTTACTGTTGTATGTTTTTTTTGTTCTATGTCTGTTTTTAATTTGTTCGAAACTTCCTTTTGCCGCCCTGCTCTTCAGCCCTGCGTGCGGGCCGCCCGGGTTGACACTAGGTTACAGTAAGCGCCAGTTGGGCTGGGCTGACAGATTTCCCTATCAGATTGACTGTGGGCAGAAAGGCCTGTGAAAACTAAGATGTTTTAAAAGCATTCTCTAATCTCAGTGAATTTACAAGTTGAGTCTGAGAATAGAATCTTCCTTTCTCATTTCGATCCAAAACATATCCCATGTACGAATAGGCCATGCCTCCGTGCCCGTCTCCAAATCTCGAGTCTTCCAGTCTGCTTGAGCACAATGATGCATATTTGACTTGGATTCCTCTTGACCCGATTACCCCAGGTACCGCGGCAAGCCGATTGCATTCGAATGAAAGCTCAATCACCGTATGCCCCCCTATTTCGAGTTCTTTGGATGCTACCGATGGTAACCACTTGGTAAAATACACCTTGCCAAGATTCGCGACTATTGAATTTCTTCGACAGTGGCTTCCTGAGGTTGACCCAGATAACCCAAGGGCAAAAACCTTCCTGCGCAAACTCTCCAACCGCGATGTAGCTCTGATTATCCATCAGTCAGTTGCAGGGTTAGTCTTGGTATTCAATATCACTGTGACTGCGCTTGCTATTCATACCTATGAGCCTATGAAAGGAATGGGAGGCATTGTCGACGTTCCTGGAGTCACTAATTGTGACCAGGTCCGATCATACAATATAGGGATCCACTTGGTTATCAACTTTCTATCGACCATTTTACTTGGATCCAGTAACTACTGCTCTCAGCTTTTAGTTGCGCCCACGCGGAAAGATATCGAGAAAGCACACAAGAAGCGGACAACACTTGACATCGGAATCCAGAGCGTTCGGAATCTGGGGGCTGTTGATACTCCAAGAAGAGTCCTTTGGGTGCTGTTAATGATAAGCTCTGGACTTCTTCACTTATTGTATGTACACGGCTTGATTTCATATCCCAGATTCTTACCTTTCCAGTTGGAACACTGTTGTATTTTCGGCCTCCCCCAAAGTTTCGTATAACGTTGGAGTTGTAACGAGCGATTATCTGAAAGATGCAACGCCTTGGAAATACTCTATGGCGGGGTTTGACGAAATGCGTCGAAATATGACCGAGTTAACACCCATTTCTCGAGCCGATTGCATCGAGAGGTACACAAATAGCGACAATGGACTTAGCGATGTGCTTCTAGTTGCACGTAACATCAGCAAACATGATCAACTGTCATTTGCCACCGATAATTCATCATCTCTACTTTCAAACTTTTCGGCATTTGAAGCTGCTTCTCATGGAGGCGGGTCTAAGGGTGTACATTGGACACAGGCAGATTCATGGGTGTGCTCTGCCTGGGCGCCTCTTGGCTATTACGCACTCCCACCGGACAGCGAGAGAGTTACTATCTGCTCTGCCTCGGCTATGAAGGCATATGTGGATTCTTGGACTTTCACAAGATGGGAGGAAGCCCCGGGAGCCCCTTCTGGGATGCAGTTATGGGCAGGTGTGGATCACTGCATTCCTGCTAGTGATCTCTATCCCATGGAGAATAAATGTGCGCTTCGGGTGAGCTACGCTCTATTAATTATTGTGTGTGGATTGAACCTCATCAAACTTCTTTGTATTTTTTGTACTGCCCGTCTCCATCATTCAGGTCGTCTCTCTACCGGGAATGAGGGAGACACAGAACCTCAAGCAGCCTACCTTGTCACTGTGGGCGACGCCATTGCAAGCTTCCTAGAGCATGAAGATGACCATACCAAGAGTTTCTCGCTAGTTACTCAAAAGGATTTCAGCAGAGGGAAATGGCCGGACGAAAATCAAGAACACAAACAATTTCAACCCGGTGCTAAACTGAGTGTCAGGCGGTGGTTCTCTTCAGTTAGCATCTTGCAATGGACTTCGACTCTTTTGTTGTGAGTACACCTTCTAAGCACTCAATCTCAAAGCATTAACTTTGGTTGAATAGATGCGCTGGGTTTATGACATTCACATCTGTTGAGCTTGGCCAAAGCCTCAACGCAAGAAAGAGTGGAGGGCTCGCAATAGACCTACCATCCCTCTGGTCATACGGTATCGGAACTGCTCACGCATGGAGCGTATCCTTAACGGGTACATTATCTCACATGGGCCAGGAAGATGGTTTTTTTCTCGCCACTATATATGTGAACATCTTTCAAATTATCGTGAGCGGTTTGTACCTTCTATGCAACAATATCATATCAGTCATGTTGATGGCATCTGAGTGGAACTCTTACCGCTCTCGAAGACGCTCACTCCGTGTGTCTTGTCCCCGTGGATACCAAAGATCCAGCTACTTCTTATCTCTACCATATCGGTATTCAGTTCCTTTAATGGCCGCATCTAGTGTACTTCATTGGCTGGTCTCACAGAGCATCTTCGTCATTCAGACCATTGCATATCAGACACCAGAATTTGACCGTGCCCCAGACCTGGACGGATCTCTTGTGGGGACATCACCAATTGCCATGCTTATGGCAGTTATGGTTGGCGGTGTCATGATTTTCACAATGATTGCCTTTGCAATTTTCTCAAAGTATCAGCCATTTCCTATTAAGGATAATAGCAACCTTCTTTCATACCCTGCACCATTAGTCGGCACATGTAGCGCTGCTATAAGCGCTGCGTGTCATGCCCATCCAGAAGATCCAGAGCCGGCTTTATTACCTCTTCGATGGGGGTATGTCCGAGATGACGCGGAAAATTCAAGCGGACGGTTTCGATTTAGCACAGCAAGGGATATTGAGTAGCCGATACATTGCTAGCGAGTAACCGTTTTTTGCGTCTTGATCATGGTGTTGTTGACTTTTAGCTTATTCTCTCGATTCTAGTGATTCTTCTTTCTTGAGATCAATAATTTTAGGACCCAAATAGACTTTATGAACTAAAATGAGTGAGCAATCACTACTTACCTTTCACAAGTATGTCTGACTTCCACCTTTTTACTTGAGCTAATATTTTCATAAAACCCTTCGACTCATATCATGAAAATTTAGAAATTAGTCGTGAAACACGTTATTCTATCTTTGGGGTGCATTCAACATGTGCTCATAGCGCTCCCACTTGCCCATGAAGCTTCTCATTCTGCTCTTTGACGAACAACGAAGGCTTCAATAGTGCCGCCATGGAGAGGCAGAAACGCGACTTCAGCCCAGCACACTGCTTGGCCTTTCGATCTATGCCACATCTCTCTGTCCCCAGCGATCTGAGTTGAGATCGATGCGACCATCACGACTTATTGCGAGGCGACCGATCAAATGAACCGACTTTGCCCTTTGTGCATAGTCCCTTTGAAACCTAAAGAATTCCAATTTTGGTGAGTGCTGTATTGTCTTTTATACCCATTATCAGTAGCCTCCCTAGGTAGTACTAAAATCGTTGATACTACTCGGACATTGGAAAAACACTGTCAACGTAGATTCCCTAGACTCTCAATCCTTACACCCGATAAGATCATAGTTCCTGCTACGGGCGAAGGGGCGCGTGCCTTGAATGTCTATTTAACACCACAGTGGTATATGTCACTGTCGACGGGGCTCAGTAAAGCCTGGAAAGATCAAGGGGATTAAGAGGTGCAGCTTTCAACCGATTTCAATGTTGGAGCCAACAATTTTACTGTTAGGAAAGCGTACCTTACCGAGCGGAGAAATCGAGGTAAATGGTGAAGAGAAGAACTTTTAGTCACTATGGGTTCTGATCTTATTAATGACAACAAAGAGGACGAAAGAGAGGCTACGCAAGAAGAATCTTTAACTATTACCCATAGGCGTTCTTATGAAGCATCTATATCTCACGACGAAATTATAATTTCCTTCTAGGGACTAACGTGATTCATATCAAAGCTGCGCACATACCGAAGCCGCGCACCCCACCCAACTTAGTCATTTAAAATGGATTCTTCTCAACCACAACGCCATCAAAGTTGACTTAACTAACTGCGCGATCTAGTAGGACAGGACCCTATATTATGACCTTGAATTCTACATTCTGAGTATCTCAGTAACGCCCGCGTACGTGGCTGTAAAGGTGCTAAACCCTGGTTTAACTCACTAGATATGGGCACTAGAATAGTCTACTCTCGCTTTAATAGTAAGGTAGAGGTATCTTGAACTATAAGGCCTTCTTAAGAAACTATCTACCTTGTAGATCTAGCCTTTGTTTCGCTTCTTCTTCTCTTTTTTAGCACGTAAATCGCTTACTTCTTTCTTGATAATAGTTACTAAATATATAGTGAAATTGGAGATGCTCGATGGCAGTCTGGTCGAGACAGACGGGTCGATAAATGGTAGCAAGAAAACCTAATAACAAGTCAGATCAGGGAGTTCTAGGCAAATGACGCCTACTAGGGATTATTAGATGCTATATTAAGGAGTAGGGTGATCATGAATCATGAATTAGGAAATGAGTGGCATTATTGTATCTATCTATCCTTCTCTATAGTCGTAGATTGTCTATATCACTTCCTCGAGGAAATTAGTGCAGTGCCTAAGGCACTAGTCATATATCACGTGATCTCACTACCACACACTACCCCCCTTTATAAATTAACCGTCCCCTGTTTAATACGCCTATCAAACTAACTTAAGTAATATCCTCGCGATTAACCTGTAGCGGAGGATTAACTAATGGACCTAGTTCTTTTCTCCTAAAGAAGGAGTCCTTACCGAAGGGGCGTTTCTCGCTATCTACTATAGTCTAGTATAAACGGGTATATTCGTGCTATATCTTAGACCTCTACGACTTTACGTACTTAATAGTAGTATCTTTTATTAATATTAGGCAAAACAAGAAACAAAACAAGATTCAACAAAAGAACAAGAACATGAAGAAACACATAAAGAGAACTTGAAACAAGAAAATGGAAACGTAACTGAAGTCACAAACACAAATACAACATGGCATAAGAACTTCAACACAAGTTGGAAGAGAAAAACAATACATGCAAACACGATACGTAAGAATTCTATGAAGTCTCCAAAACAAGTAAACATACAAAAAGGAACAAGACAACAGAAAATATGGAACATCAAGAATTCCAGAGAAGAGCAAAGAACTACAGAAAAACATGGAAGAATTACGAACACAGAAAAATGCATGATAACCGTATTCAAGAAAGCTGCATTCAAAAAAAAATGCATTCAGAAAAAAAATGCATCCAGAAATCCGAGGAAACCTCAAAATACAATAACAAGAATAAAACCCTACGATTCCTACGAATGCAGCAAAAGCCAAATATAGCAAATAAGCCGAATGCAATCGAAAAAGAAGAACGAAGTATCTAACTTAAATTGAGCAGGATTACCTAGCAAAAGATCATTATCAATTCAATCATCTATTTCTCTGATTTACCTACATACCGTTGCAAAAGTCTCCCTACACTACCACTTTCGCCAGCTTAAAGGCCGGTTTTCAGCCCCAATTATCTCAACAACTTTATACAGAATGATATATTCCTTAAAGAGCTCATTTATTTATTGGCCAATTACGCCAGAGTTCTTGATTTTTAAAATATTTTATGAATTTTCTGTATCAAACGGCACGGCGTTTAAGCACAAATCTCGAAATTATTCCGTTTTTTAAGTCATTTAGTATAGGAATTGCCGTAAAAAACGGAAAATTCATAAAATATTTTGAAAATCAAGAACTCTGGCGTAATTGGCTAATCACTAGGTAAACACTCTAGAAAATATATCTATTCATATAAAATTGTTGAGATAATTGGGGCTGAAAACCGGCCTTTAAGCTGGCGAAAGTGGTAGTGTAGGGAGACTTTTGCAACGGTATGTACCTTCGGTCTTAATCTCTCGCACATTCTTCATCTCACTTTGTTTTTATCATTTCTTTAAATGATCCCTACCCTATTAACCTAAAACTCCAGTATAGACTAACTTAGCGTTCTACTTGGCATCACTCCTCGATTCCCTCAAAAGGATTTAGCCCGTATAAGGCCTACTAGGCAACGGTATGGTTGAGAGACAAATCATTGACGTTAGAAGCTAGGAAGCATACAAGGCAAGTATAACCCAAGGGAACTTCGAACATAGCCACGACCCGCTAGCAGTGCGTAATAACTAGTAGTTAAATACTAGAGCCCACGCTGATTCCTAGAATCAGCGATCAGTCTACTCATTACAATATATCACTTTTATTGTATATGCTATCATTGAGTTTTATCTCACTTACCTACGTAAAGCCCGGAGACTAGCGTAGTCTCACAGTTCCATATTAAAGCGAATAGTACTTTAAAAGAGCGTAACACTTCGCGTATAGACGTAATTTCTTACTTTTTGATAACTTGAATAGCTAATAATACCCTATGCTCCTGATTCCCCGAGTTTCGAGAAGACTAAGTACGAATTGGTGGCATGGTGGGTGGTTGAAGAAGGAATGTCTATTTAATGACGCGTTTTCGGGTCGCTGATCCACTCGCTTATGTAATCCACTCGCATGCCTCGGGTGCAAGATGTGAAATACGTTAGTGATTGATGTCCCCGGAGCAGTGCCGCCCATTGTCCCGCGGCCCGGAGAAGGTGATTGATTGGTGCCAAGTATCTCCTTAGCTTACCTTTCCTTTCCCCGTGGGGTTTCTCTTCCCCTAGTCCTAAAGCATCAAGTCGCTTAGGCTTTCGAAAATTGGATCGATGAAATCCGCCATGAACAATCATCGAGGTCCACGCACCGGATATCGTATTTCAGATCATCTTGACGCCGCCTAAGCATAAAAGAATGGCCAGCGCCAACGGGAACCACCAAGAGTCACGAGATGCAGCCAAATCCCAAGAAGACGTGCCGGCCTGCCAGTCCTGCCGGAAGAAAAAAGCCCGCTGTAGTCGGGCACAGCCTTGCTCGGAATGTATCCGTTTCAATATCGACTGTGTCTACGATGAGCGGCGCATGAAACCCGGACTTCGCGCGGGAGCGGTAGACCAATTATACCGACGCGTCGAGACGTTGGAAAACATGTTCCTTGGCCAAGAACTACTTTGGCAACAGATGTGGAAAACAGATCACCCCAATGCATCCCTTCCAGGCAGCAGCGAGGAAGTGACCACTATTGCAAACTTGGCCCAGCGGCGAGAAAAGCTCAAGTCTGCGTTACTCGACGCATCCTCATCCCTAGGTCAAAGAGATGAGCAGATATATGGCGGAGGCTCGGGTACGAGTGCCAATCCAGCCAAACGACGGCGCTATGAGTCAAATTGTTTACCCTCCGCCCGAATGGAGATCAACGATGTAGTTTCTTCGACGGAGGTCATGGCTGAACTGGTGGATTTCTACTTTGTCAACGTCCACCCTTGGATACCTGTCCTCCACGAGGCAAGGTTTCGGGCACGTGTACATTCCCCAAATGAATACCCGCGTGTCACTTGCATTCTCCACGCGATTGTTGCGGTCTGTTCAAAATTCTCTGAAAGCGAGATTTTGCGCGACACAAAGGCAAAACTGAACGTTGCAGAGCAGAGTCGACAAAAGGTCATCTTGGAAAGCATGGAGACATTCTCAGTCGAGAACTTACAGGCGTTGGTAATTATTGCGTTTGACACAGTGAGCAGCCTACTACTCACCATTCAATTTTACATTCAAGCTTATCTGCTCGGGTACTGTAGATCGGCCGTGGGCGTGGTCCTTCGTCTTGGTCCATTGTTGGAAGCATGGTTAGTACAGTGAAGCAATTGCAACTCGACGTCGAAGAAGACGAGATATCCTGGGCAAGAAATCCTGGAGAGACCCTGATACGGCGCATGGTCTTCTTAACTCCCTCGACCTCTTGGAGTGAAGCAGAAGAGCGACGACGGGTCTTTTGGGCGGTCTTTCTGATGGATCGCTTCTGCAATGTATCCACAGGATGGAAGGTAAGTTTGAATAGCGCTGATGTCAAGCGTCGCCTTCCCTGCGAGGGAGGCATCTGGGCAAAGGAGAAAGAAGTTTGGACCCCTTGGTTCGGAATCTCAGACACTAAAGATACCATGTCAGCCAGTTCGCTTCCAGTTGGCGGCCCAGGTTCAACAAACTCGGAGGAGGAGGACTCTATCGGTGGTTTTGCGTACAATGTTGAGGCTACCGAGTCACTCGCGCTCGTCACAAACTTCTTCCTTCACCACGCCTTCCTTGTTTCAGACGCTCAGAAAGCTAAAATTTGGTTGATGAAATTCAAGGAACTGGATTTGCGACTTATACAGTTAGTATTGGTATTATGTGAATCACTCGGTCTGTTTCTGACGTGATCATATGCTCTAGATGGAAGTTGTATCTGCCACAGAAATGGCGAGAGGCCTCTGTCTTGAATGCAGACGGTGTTATGGATCCAAATTTGACGCTAGCGCATATCACGCATAACACCGCGGTGATCTTACTGCATCAAGGGATTGCTTACCCTCCTCCTCATTGGCGAGCCTGTCCTATCAAGCTTCCATCTGCATCATCGGCGGAGACGTGCCTAGACGCAGCCTCTGAGATCGCGACCATTGGCCAGCGATTCTTATCGTTCTCGCTGATTTTCACCAATCCTCAATTTGCCTTTTGCCTCTTCATTGCTGGTCGAATGATCTTAACACATGCAAGATACAATCAGATTCCTGTTCCGTCGGCCCTGGATGTTTTAATCTCCAGCCTCCTCGAGATCTCCCAGAGATGGACCGGTAGCGAGCAAGGTGCAAATCCAATGGTAGATAACCTCGCTTCAAGCTTTGCCAAGCGGCTCATGGAGGCTCAGAGTAATTCCGCTGCTGCTTCTCGGCCTAGTCTAGATATCAGGCAGACTGCATACTCGGATGAATCTAGGGATCAACCTCTACAACCGCATTCAATCGGACACTCGCCACATGATTCCGGCCTCCTTCTATCGAGAATTTCAGATGGAGTAAGTTCAAAAGGCGATGTGAGCAAAGCCTCACCCCAGGCGCCTCTTGATCTGGATCCATTCAGTTTAGCCTTCCCGCCCCTTCCATTGGCGTTTCAGCAGGACTTCGCTGTGTTTTCGGGCTCTAATCCAATGTCTGTATTTGAACAATCATCCAATGGTCATCCGCATCCGAACTTGGGCACGCAGCCACACGAGTCTCAATATTCTCCGTGGCAAGGTCACAACGCTCCTATCGGAAACCACGTCGCTAGCCCACAAGATCAGTTCGGCTATGTACTCGACCTTGTCCCCAGCCCTAGTCAGAGAATTAGTCGCTACGGAGGTAGATTTACAGAAAACTAAGACTTGAATGGGCGCGCAAGGGTATTTTCCACATCTCAAAGCCCAATGGATCTAGGTCTCAGTCCAACCCCGCATACTTTTCAAGAATTTGCTATTTCTGTGTTTTCTATCGGTTATTTGTTTAAATCAAAGCACACTCTCAAGCCATCGTTTCATTTCCCTTGATCTATAGCCAAATCATGGTCGGATGGAGTCGCCAATCCCCATGTGGAGCATCATATTACCAAACAGCAAGAAGTAATAGTCGGCATAGACTAGCCCATGGTTTGACCATCTCCTCGGCGCAAACTCATAATTGTTGATAGTGGCGCCACCTAGAATCGTCTCGCAGTTTTTGATGTCCGAACCAGGATTGTGCCTAACCTGTAGGACGTCGAAATCGACCCCGGAGTTGGGGCCGGTACAACCTTCCAAGTAAAGCGGGACATGTGGTTGAGAATGCGTGGCCTCAAAAAAAACAGTATCGGGGACCATAAACATGTCCACGACGTTATTGACAAGTTTTATCGCTTCAGATAGGTAGTGATGGGCCTGATTGGGATCGCCCAACGCTTTGTAGAGGTGAAGCATGCCACAAGCGGCCACCATGGCCGCAGATGTATCTCGTGGGCTAGTGTCTGTCACTGGCGCAGTCAAGTCCCAATAGGGTACACCATCAGCCGGTAAGTGTGCAATAAAGTAGTCCGCCAAGTCCTTGGCTGTGTTGAGGAATGACAAGTCTCGCGTCCACAAAAAAGTCTGCATGAACCCCAGGATTCCCCACGCCTGTCCTCGAGCCCAGCAACTGTCATCACTGTAGCCTTGGTTTGTAAACCGGGATTTAATATCACCGGACTCTGGGTCAAGGTTGACGACATGGAATGTACTGTTGTCTTCCCGGATGTGGTATTTACGTGTCGCGTGTGCATGCGCTTGCGCAATATCGTGCAATTTACCGTTCGAGGTTTCTTTTGCAGCCCAGAAAAGGAGATCCAAATTCAACATGTTGTCAATAATGACTAGAAAATCGACAGATGGGTCTGCATACTTGTACTTGTTCGTAATGCACACATCCCAGCTTCGCAGGCACCCTGTATTGGCGTTGAATCGAGTGGCAAGGGAATGCGCGGCCATCACTAGGGTATTGAAGGCAGCTGGATCGCGCTGCAGTTCCCACGCTTTCATAGCCCACGGTGCGACCATGAATCCAAGGTCATGCGTATCGCGCTTCAAGGCGTTTTGGTGCAGGTTGGCGGTCCACCATCGGCACAGGTATTCGAGTTGAAGGTGGTGAGGTCTTAACTCGGAATCGGTGTAGGAATATTTCGATAGGGAAATGTTCCGATTATGACGAATCTCGCGTTCTAGTAAAAGATACAATGATCCAGGGAAGAAGCCCGATATCCAGAAGTCAAGGGTTCGGTAGACATAGTTGCCCTTTTCGTCGGTATATTCAGGATACATCACTGGTGGGTTGGACTGAGCATGTTAGTTCAACTCTCTTCGGTATTCTTCATGATATGTCTCTTACGCTTTGTAATGCGCGTGCAGCCACAAGCCACAATTTCGCCTCCACGGTCCGTGAAAATAAAGCGTTCATCACTCGCTCCGACGGGCTGTGAGCTGAGCCGTTCAATTTCCGTGATTGCATTTTTGAGAGCTGTAACCACTCGTCAGGATTTTATGAGATCTCATGTGGTCCCAGGAAAAGATGGGTCTCTTTCGTACCGATACTTTCAGATCTGAAGGCGATGCATAGATGATATCATAAGTGGGAGACGCGAAATGGGATTTTAGAAGGCTCGATCAAATTTGATAGCCAAAAATCCTTGCTATATCTGCATTTATGACCTCTGTGGGTTCTATAGTTAGACTGAGGCACCGGAAGAGTTGCCGGTGGCTTGTCCGTTACAGGAGTGTGAGAAAATATGGACCAGACAGAAAACCTTCAAGCTCCAAAGGCCGGCGGAGTCAGTACCGGAGCATAAGCCGCCTATTTGGAGCCTACTGCTGCATCTTCTTGAAGCCTTTTACGTATTCTAATTAGGAACCCAAGGATTGCACAGCGCAAGTTTCTAGCGCTTAATGAGATGTGACAGACTTTTTTGAGTCTGAATGTAATTTTTGACGAGGAAACATCTCTATGGACAGAAGCACTTTTGCATTTGACATTTGGAATTTGTCACTCTGGAGTAAATAGGTCCCTTCATATGCGGCTTGTGTTTTTTGCAATATTACAATGTGTTAATTTCTTTTTAACCCTGGAGGCCGATATAAATGTAACTACGTATATCTAGATTTCAGGACGAATTTGCATACAATATGTTCCTTGCTTCCAGATTCCACCTATGGATGAGTTTTGTGATCGGATGCGTACAGTTTTCTTCGCAGGGAGTTAAACAACGTTATGTCACCCGACACACTGAGATCTATGATGCAACAAATTTGATGTTTTTGACATGCTCATTGACAAACAAGGGAACGAAATCGGAGACCAAGTACCACGAAGGTTTATCCATCTGTGCGTGGACTAGTATGTCATCGATCTTGAGGTTTTCGAAAGTGACATTCTCAATCTGTCGAGTCTGGTCGTAACCCAACATCAGCGATGGGTTTATAATCTTAGAATCCTGTGTGCACAAGGAGAAATTCTTGAAGGTCAAATTTCGAATCGCCCTCCCAGGTGCGGTAGTCCACATCGTGTTTTGCATCACTCGAATATTGAAGAGTTGGCCCCGGGTGATTCTTTCCACTCGCACATCCTCCACATGAATATCCTGGAACAGGTTGGAGTCGGCAACATTGATCGCGATACATCCTTGATACCACATCTGGTTTTCCTCGTGATCCAAGATATCGATGTTTCGAATGGTAATATCGCTGGTTGTTTCCGGCTTGTCAGGATTCCCATGTGTGCCCATGTTGATTGCATGTGCGATGTCAGGGAGCAATACACAATTTTGGATGGTGATCCGGCTAGAATCCCCATACCAATTCCAGCGGTGTGAATAGAGCGCAATGTTGTCGTCTGAGTTGCGTAAGAAGCAATTTTCGATCATGATATCCGAGGAACAAAAGAAATCCACTCCATCGCCGTTACCGGAAGATGAGAAGGAGCGATACCTATCCACGTGTACATTATTGCATTCTCCCGCAGAGAAACTGAACCCTTGCGCTCCAAGTGATGTCACACCCTCCACTTTAATATGGCTTGATTGACTCATGTGAACTGCGCCCCCGTGCTCTCGAACAGCATATCCTCTTTCAGGTCCGAGGATGAAGCCGTGTCCCTTCAGGGAACTGTTCGAGACACCGATGAAGTTTATCCGGCAAGTGACGAAAGCCCCACCGGCAAGATACACAGTGGTCCCTGACGGCACCATGAGGTTTACACCGTCAGTAACTCTTGAATATGCCCCTCCTTGATTTATGCCTGGTCCAAAATACCAGACGTCTTTCGCATCTTTTGTCGGTGGATCTGGATTGATGGTGTTTGTGAGCAAGTGGAGGGCTTTCCACTTGTCGCCGTTCAGCTCAAGCATGACATCTTGAGCATGGTCCAAAGTGAAGGTGATCTCATTTTGCTGAAGGTGGGCATCGATGCCACGTGAGGCTGGTCGCACTGCTGCGGACTTGACAGAGCCTCCAGTATACGTGACCCGAACTGTAACGGGTCTGCTCAAGTCAAAAGATGCCACAGCCACGGAATGACGATTGAAATCATTGCAGACGGTGCTCGCATTTGCCATGTCGATTGCGTATGCTGCAACCTGATACCATCTTTCTTCTGTGCGTTTATTCTTTAGTTGAACCTGAATCACAAAATCCGAATTGATTGAAAGGCCCGGAGGAGGGTCATAAACTCGGATGGACGACGAATTAGATGCCATGGTCGAGGTTGGATTGGGAAGCGTGGGCTATGAAAGGAAGGAATGCAGAACGAATCGAAAACAAAAAATTCCAATTCATATGAAGTACAAGTAAGCAATTCAGTGTTAAACACTTGGGATGTGATTAGTTCTTGGAGACGGGGTAATTGCCGGAGTTCCTACGGCAAGTGTGAGGCCAACATTGTATTGCTATGAACAATCTTTGTGACCAGTGACAAAAGTCTGGTTAGCAGCGAGTGTCATGGCCGATGTCTCCGAAACGCAGCGTTAAATCAGCATTTGGGCCACGACACGTGTTTGTGAACTTTTCGTACCTAAACGCGTCGGGAAAGCTCCGGCACTTAGGCCGCTGTGGCGCTTTACTCCAGCTCCTCATCGTCCGATCACTGAGAAAACAAGCCATCGGCTCGCCTACAAGAGAACATAGCAACATGTTTGGTACATAGAGCAATCCTCAAAATACGATAATATCTCCAGACCAATTTTGGAATATTGAAACTGCCTCACTGTCAAACCATGGCCTTCAAAGAAAGCGATACGGCGACAACTGTCCACCACGAAGAGAAGAATTCTAATTTGGATGCGACCGATGGATGTCAGGAAGATAATGAGAAGAAAGACCCCTATATGAGTGATCCCGGGATTCAAATCGACGCGGCGACAGACAGACGCCTTTTCTGGAAGATCACGCGTCGGGTGCTTGTAATTCAAGTTATAACCTACTTTTGCCAGTCTCTAGACAAAGGTATCTTGAACTATGCCTCCATCATGGGGCTGAAGGATGATGCCCACCTTGTGGGTCAACAGGTGAGGCGTCGATATCCGCTTCTCTTTTGCACAACGCTGATGCTTTCAACCCAGTATTCATGGCTAGGAACGATTTTGTACATCGGCATTATCGCAGGCGAGTATCCGCAGAATTTGCTACTTCAAAAATTTCCCGTGGCAAAAACGCTGGCTATCAATGTGTTCATCTGGGGAGTCGTTGTGACTTGCTCAGCAGCATCCAACAACTTTGGGTCACTTATGGCTGTTCGATTCTTACTCGGATTTTTCGAGAGCTGTGTCCAGCCTGCCATGATGCTAGTGCAAGTCTACTCTGAATCGCTCGCTCGTTGGCTTCGTTATTAACTTTTGCTAATATAGAACTGGAATGTGGTATAAACGAGAAGAACAATCCGTATTGAACTCTATTTGGTATTGCATGAGTGGAGTGCAATTGATGGTAAGCTTCTATGCAACCTCCTTTTGACCGGAACTTGCTCTGTCTCCTAAGCTAACAATATCAGGTCGGAGGGCTTTTAGGCTTTGGTGTCTCCCATTTCACCAACGGACCGATCAAAAACTGGCAGCTCCTTTTCCTGGTTCTCGGTCTCTTCACATGCGTTTGGTCTGTGTTCATCGGAATCTTTCTTCCTGACAGTCCTATTTCAGCCAAATGTTTTTCAGAGGATGAGAAGCGCCTGATGATTGAGCGAGTGCGCCATAATGAGACTGGCATTGAGAATAAAAAGTATAAGAAGTACCAGGTGCTTGAGGCCATTCAGGATCCCTTGGTTTGGTGCTGTGTGATGCTTATTCTTGTTGCGAATTTGGTCATTGGTGGACTAGGGGTGTTTTCCAATCTAATTATCCAAAAGTTTGGGTTCTCACTTCTTCAAACACAGCTTCTCAATATTGCTCAAGGCGCTTGGAGCATAATTGTCATGATCGGGTCTGCGTGGGCGTCTCAAAGATTCCAGCAAACGTGCTTCGTCATGATCGTCAGTATCCTATTGAATTACTGAGAGCTCACAGTGGCTAACCAGGCTCAGCTCTACACAATTCCCGCAATTGTCGGCACGATCGTTATCCTAGTTGTTACTCCGACTCCATCCAATGCAGGCGGAATGCTGGTAGCCTTTTATTGCACGCAATTCTTCCCCGCCCAAGGTAACATGATCATCTCACTCATCACCCGGAATATTGCAGGCCAATCAAAGAAAGGCTTTACCATGACTATGCTTTTCGTTGGCTGGGCTGTTGGAAACTTGATTGCACCACAAATCTTCCGGGACAGTGATGCCCCTCGTTATCTACACGGGTTCCTGGCGCATATCGTGATTTATGCCGTGTATGTTGGTCTTGTTATCATCACTCGTGTGATCATTATGACCAGGAATCGTTCCAAAGAGCAGGCGATGAGTGAAGTCCGTCATGATGTGGCTTTCCAGGATCTGACCGACCGTGAGAACCCGAATTTCCGATATGTTTATTAATGTCGTGAGATAGCTCTCCTGCTCAGAGAACCGAACTCCAAACAATGTAGCACGTCTTCTTTGCCGTGTTTCACGGATGAAGTTTGCTCTTTCTAACTTGCTTAAACATTCCGCAAGTATTTTGCTCTTCCACCCAGGCCTCGAAATCGACCAACCAGTTGCTACCGAAGTCGCTTCTTTCTATCTATAACCTTCAAAGTATTTTTCTACATCTTGAGATTTTGCGGGAAGGCGTGGAAAATTAACTAATATGGATTCTTTGTTGAGAATTATGGCCACTAGCCATGGTTATAGATCACTTGAGAACCGGATTGGGACTAGCTTAAAGGCAGATTTTCTAGTTTATAAGAGTTTCACCATACATTGATGAATCTCTAGACTTATATACCTCAATTTATTCTACGTTATTCCTTCATATAGGCCCAACATTCGTCATTCCTCCGTCAAACATTACAACTCTTGACATTTTCAAGAACTATAGGTTAATATGACTACTCAGAAAGGTGTTCCATAATGTATTTTAACATGGAGCTTCCGAGGTTCCAACTTGAAGATTCAGTTTCACGTCAAGTTACATATTTGGAGGAAATACTGGGCACCTGGACAGCTCACCACCGAATGTATTACAGTCAAAATATTGAAGGTTAGATAGTAGTTTTGCTGAAAAAAACCGGCCATGAAAAGTTCAACAACTTCAAAGTGCTCGGATATGTGTACATGTCGGCCAATTCCATAGCTTGACGGAGCAAGTAATTAAGAAAAAAGGGTAAAAGGTGGTATTTGCCCAATGAGCGCACTGTCGAAAAGAAGAGAAAGTGCAGAAAAGAGAATTTATCAAAGGGAAACGGTCCGTCATCTCCCCAGTGAGGTCATCTGATTCCCAACTCAATTGAATTGACTCCTATGCGCCAGATTCAATGCGGTAAAGCAAGGTATCATGGCCAAACACATCGTACCCTCCAGAATTGGGGCCATAATCACCACCGCCACCCTCAATACTGCCACTGATATTACTGTTGACATAATCTCGATACTCCATCGACCAAGAGCTGTCCAAATGCTTGACGCTTGAGTAGTGAGACACAACAGCCTCGTACCCAGGCCGGACAGTGAAACGGCCTTTTTCAGCCACGACACTCAGCAATCCTTCCCAGCTAGTGTAGGGTGTATAAAGAACAGTATTGTTGGTATTGTATTTGGCGACATATTCAGCCCTGTGAATCGCAATGTTAGACAGTGCACTTAACGAAAAGGTAAAAGGCTGGCCTACCCATTGAGTATCTCATGTTGGTATGTAGAGAAAAGATCTTCGCCCTGGTTCCACCCTTGTTGTCCAATCACTCCAAGCAAAGCGATACACAATGTTGAGTGACCTTGATCACGACCCGATTCTTGGATCTCCATGAGTCGTTTTCCAGAACTCTCCTCAGTAAAGTTGGCAACAGAGAAGTATGGCAGTGCTCCATTGACTACCACACTGCTATTCGGTAGGCCATGCTGCCAGTAGTGCGTGGCGTAGTTGTACATGGTTCTGTTATCAGTAAAAATACCAATTGCTTGCAGCGAGGCAATATTGCACAAATCCCAATTTGCGTAGTAGAAGTTCGACTTGTAATTGTGATGCTCCAGGAAGTCGAGGCTATATTTCGCAAAGACACTGTTCAGCATAGTGGCGAAGACTGTTTGGTTCCCCTTCGTCCAACCAGGATAGATTCGGAGTAGTTCAGCAGCATTGGCAAACTGATACCCATACAAGCCTGCCGCGAGGAATTTGTCTTCAGTGCCGTTGATATCACGTAGTGTTGACCCCCAGCCATTGAGAATATCAACAGCGTGGTCGGCATATGATGTGTTACCACCGATAAGCCAACGAATCGTGAGTTGATAAGCTGAGTGAGCATCACGGTACGCATCTCCGTAGTTCTGTGCGGGGGTTGGCTGCCACGTAGCATTGGTGCCGCGAACTAGGATCTCATGCGGCTTTGAGATCCATGACGTCTGGGCCAATTTAGCAGACTCAAGATGCTGCCATGCGCGGTACCATGGTTGCGCTTCGGTTTTGACCTTTTCTCTTATTCTTTGAATGTCTTCATTCGTGTGCAATGCGCCTGGGTGCGCAAAGGGTTCAGCCTCGGGTCTAGCCAATGCAAAGGATAGGAGAGGGCACAAAAAGGCTATATTTCTGAAGTACATTTTAAAGGCTGAGACCTAGTCAAGATCGAACTTGAAGAAATATGTGTGAAAATGTGGCGGGCAAAGAGCCTTCGGAAAAAATCCAACCTCTTATGTATTTTGCCCCAAGTCGGCGGATACAGTTAGACAACAACAGTAAAAGTCTTGCGCAGTCGTGAATGTTAATCATGAGCAAGGAAAGCTTCATCACCAAGACCCTAGCCTTACCTAATTCTGTGGCCTAGCATGAATTAGCTGAGAGAAGAGAGAATTACATATGCTCCGAGCCTTCCCCCGGTTGGAGCAACACCCCGCATTTCTCCACACGGGCATATCCGGGGGCGTCCCAGGCCGGCGATTCACCCGGAGGCCGGTTGAAGAATTAGTGATACCAGCGGGACCTCAACTTGCTACGTACGTAGTCTGAGTATAAGTCTTTGGAAATGTATACCACCTGTGAAAACTAAAGCTTGATAGAAATAAGGTGATATTATTTTTATTTCGATTTATACCTTTCAGCAAATGCCACATTTGAATTTTTTTAAATATAGTCTCTACCAATCTTCTCATCCCCATGCCATGTATGTTTCCCTACTACTATATACGCTATCATTGGATTCTATCTCACATTGACTATAGACAATTCCCTGCACCCTTTATTATGTGACGGTTTCATGGCGTCCCTCATTTGATTGATATTGTTAAAAAGTTACAATGTCTGAGGGAAGAAATGATGAATATTGGGCTTTACAATGGAAGATTGTAGGAGAACAAATTGAGTTGTTCAAGTCTGGGATTCATGATTGTGTGATGAACCCCTTTTATATAAGAAAAGGAGAGCGATAAGAATGCCACTCATTTTCTCAATTCTAAAAAATCGTGATCACTATGCTCCTCATCAATATTAGATAAAACAAGGTTCAACAAAAGAACAAGAATATAAAAAACCATATAAGAGAACCCAAAACAAGAAAAAAGAGATATAAATGAAATACTAAACACAAGTATAATAATATGACACAAGAACTGCAAAGCAAGTTTGAACGGAAACCCTACGAATGCAACAATACAAATGCAATAATCTCCTACAAATGCGTCAAAAAGGGGAATAGAGAAATTAACATAAATTGAGCTAGATTCCTTAGCATAAAGAATATCAATTTCTCAATTTTTCTATCAATTTCTTAATATTCCTACCTTCTCTTTTAATGTCTAGCAGATTCTTGATCTTACTTTTGTTTAAATCATTATTCTTAATGATCCTCACCCTATTAACCTAAAAATAACGTTGTTATATAAAGCTAGGAGATAAACAGTAAGCCCACGCTGATTCTAGGAATCAGCGTTTCGACTACCTGTTTACAATATATATTGTTCTTGTTGTATACGCTATATCGGCATCTATCTCTCTAACATAGCGACGACCCGCTAGCAGTGCGTAACAGTTCTATCTCGCTTACCTATCTCAAAACCTGGAGACCAGCGTAGTCTCACAGTAGGCTAGGCGGTAAATATTCACTATAGGCAAACTTAATATTGAGCTGAAAGCCTCAACACACTACCGTAGTGACCACCTCAGACATGCTGTCATATGTTTTTTACTTTTTGGTTTTTCTTCTTTTGGCTGAATTATGTTCTTCTGAACCGCTTTTTTGTGTCGAGGACCACATGTTTACTTATTGTGATATTTTGTGCATCCGTCTTGTCGCCTTGTTAGTGGGCTTGTTTTCATGACCAGATATCATTCTATCTTCCGTCCTGGGGCCCGGATTGTCCGACAGACAGGTATAATCTCGAAAAGGCTTTGCCAAGCTGTGTCCACATTAAACTTTGAATGTTGCGCCACTGTTACCGACCGCGGCAGTTGTTCTCGGAAATGATCAGATGAAGGGACTTGCTAAGTGTCTATGAGTAAATTAACTTAGTAGTAGCCAAAGCTGATAACAATGTCCTTGTTATCTCAAATCACACGCACATTATGTGCAGATCTCAAAAATAAAGATAACCGAATGATCTGCCGGAACAATTGCAAATTTCAATTTTCTAGTACTCTCCACTAGCGTCGACTGATTTCATCAGCCTACGGTAGCTCAATACGAACAGAAGAGATGCATTTAAGTAATTTAATGTAAAGTATGAAGCGTGCGCGTACTCCGTTCGCCACAGTTTTGGTTGCCTTGCAGATATTTCAACCTAAAAGCTGCATCCACAATTGTTCCACTCTCTACCGCCATACTAAGCTCGTAAAGGAGTATGCTACAGAGCTGCGATGCAATGAACCATGGTAGGAGATCCTCACAATCGGAAGCCCGCGCGGACTTGGCGGTCCGAGCCAACCAGAGTGCTCGCTTAGAGGACCAACCAAGATCACGGATATCCTCTACTGTATGGGGCACAAAGGGGTGAATGTTTGGTAGCAAATTAAATGCACATGTGGCGTGTGGGCCATGTCCGTTCACCTCTCGCTCCAGTCGTATAGCTCTGCCTCTAAAATAGGACTTGACTGCGGGGACAGAAGTACGAGGTCGACTTCTCGTGGCGTTTTGGTTCCAGCAGTTTGGTTGGCGTCAAATCCCTTGCATTCCTTCCATATTAATTGACCCATAAAACGTCAAGTCCTAGATTAAGCTGGGGTTTAACTTATACTTTGGCTAATTGCATAATTCACTTGTGGACAAGATTTATGATTGGGTACTCAATCATGAAAGAAAGAAAGAAAGAAAAAAAAAAAAAGAAAAAGACGACATCTGAGACAGCTCCTGACGATCATCATCTGCGAGTCGCCTGTGGCTGTCTGTTTTTTCAAGTCTAGACGCCACTAGGGCTTGGGTGGGGAGGCGTCACCCGCTTTTCCTCTCTGCCGCGCGAGACTTCCGGTCTTTAACGTCAAATCAGGAGCCGCATCGGCAATCTCCATAGGGTTAAAGTACACGGAACCAGCCATTACAAGCCCGTGAGGCGCGATGGATGATCATTTTCCGATTTGCCGGACTTCCAGGAATTTTGTTTCCCGGCCATCTTGAAACACACCTAGGGTATTGCACTAGTTGAGCTAGTTCACGACAACAATCAGTAGGGGGACAAAGACCCTCCTCTCTATATTATTCCTGCAACCGCTCCACTTGAACATCAACCCCAGGTTGACAGAAAGTCGAGATTTTGAGTCAAATCGGCCCTTTATAGCATCTGAGGACTGATTTACATTGAAATCGACGGCACAATGGCCATCTACACCGATGCGGCCCCGGGCCTAGCGGGAAGCACGATCCTTCTGACAGTATTGGGCCTGTTGACCTTCGGCTTGCGAGTTTACTGCAGAGTGAGTCGCAGGTCATGGGGAATGGAGGACTGGATTATGACGGTGGCATTGATCCCATTCGCCGTGCTAGTTGCAGGATGTATTGGAGGCGCCTTCAATGGAATTGGAATTCACAACTCGACACTTGCACTTCCTGGCAATGAAAAATACTCGGCGGAAGGAAAGAAGTACTTCCTCATTTTCGAAGTCGGCTACTGCTCTGCGATCATTCCAATCAAGCTCAGCATCAGTTGGATGTTGATTCGAGTCGCAGAAGGTCGTAAGATCTACCTCTATGTACAATATGTTGTTATGGCTACATTTGTGGTCATGAACATCATCGCCTTGATCTTCATCTTGATCAACTGCATTCCAGTCGAGTAGGTGTTGCACTGAGCCAACTGCAAATAAGATGCTAACTCATTTACAGAGCTGCCTGGAGCCAGGAGGCCCTCGATAATGGAGGCAAATGCCAGCCGAGCTATGTCCTCGCCGATGTGTACTACGCCTGTACAGCTGTGAATATCGTCACCGACTGGGTGACTGCTTTCCTGTAAGAAGTCCTGTCCCTCTTATATGAAAGCAAGACTAACAGAGACAGCCCGGTGCCTCTCCTTTGGAACGTGCAGATTAACCGCAACACCAAAATCTCTATCGTTGGCCTGATGGGTCTGGGTATCTTGTATGTGGATCCTGATTCTCTCGCTCCCTCTCGCTCATGGCTAACATGACTGCTTCGCAGTGCATCCCTATCAGCTTGTATCCGCCTAAAATACACCGTCGCACTCACCAACCAAACCGATTACCTATACGATATCTCCAATGTTGTGATCTGGGGATTTGCAGAAAACGGCCTGGGAATGATTGTTGGAAATATCGCAACCCTCCGACCTCTGTTCCGCATTCTCCGCGATCGCAAGACCTCCGACTATAAGAACTACCACCAGTCGCCCGGGCTCAGCTCGCATCGCACTGGAGGTGCCATGTTCTCACGAAACTATGAGCTTGCTGAGCACGGAAAGAACGTGACTACCACATCCGCCATCGAACACAACCCACGGGGAAGTTTGAGTGATGGTGACAGCCAAAAGGATATCCTTGATAATGGTCAAAGACCTGGACAGGCCGATATTATGGTTAGCCGCCAGGTCGTCGTTGCTTATGACGACTAGACTCGGAGTTGACTGGTTTCTTGGGAGATCTCTACATTCATTATAATTATCTTTTCTTTATAAATATTCATTCATGTGGCCTAATTAACTTTTTGTCTCTTATTACCAATACATTCAAGCTGTCATGTTCAAACCCGCAGAAGATATTCTTATAAGAGTGCAAACCTTTCAAATGTTCGCTCGGACCGTGTTCAGGCAGACCCATCAACTTCAACATCAAGCTTCAACCCCGACCGAAAGGATTTCTCTGCGGACACGCATTTTGCTACACTACGAAGACGGTGGCTTGCTGAATCGCACAGTATGGGAACCAATCCTGATTTAGTAAACGGTAATAGACCGGCGATCCCTAGACCTATGAATTAGACTTTCTCCGCCGATATTCTCCTGAGATTGTCGAAAATGCTCGCTCGATACAAGCTGTTTTTGTACGGGTGTCTGGAATGAACCTTCGCATATTCACATCTCATCCTGCGAATCGATTCCGCGTCAAGGGGTCCCTATCGAGTTCTCTCAAGTATTGTACTGTACTGTACTTCTGAAAGTGCATCTGACACATCAAGATCGGCTTTTTGATCGTGTTTGACGTAGATCCTGTGAACCTTGCGTTAGAGGGCCCACTCCAGAGGCGCAGCTAGCTTTTCTAGATGCTTCTTCGAATAATGCGACCCCTTGCTTCTTCGCTCCGACAAACGGAGTTCGTTGAGTACAGTGCGGAGGACAAGATTCTCTGGTCGGCGTTAATCCAATCGGATCTATACTTCAACTTCGATGTCTTGCGTGCCACGACCTCGAGGATACTTACTGTACAGTACTTTTCTTGTCTCCAACGGATTTTCGGCCAATCACAGAATGCCTAACATATGTGCTGTACTGTAGCGTTTCTTGAGAAACAGATTACACGAAAAGAAACCGCAGGAATAGCACTTGCCAGCGCGAACACAAGATAAAAAGAAAATTTCCTGAATCACCTTCGAGTGCTACAAGAATTGTTTTTTTTTTGTTCTGAGTCTTGATACTACTAGTCTATCTGTCGCTGTTAACTTATATGTACACGCTTGGAATTCAACCCTCTTCGAAATTTTCTTTTTCCCTAAAATGCTAAGTGCTTCTTCTGGATGAGCCTGACGGTTCCAATGACCATTTTTTCATACAGAGAATATAGTGTAGATTTAATCAAGGACTCAGCTATTCTTCTAGACTAATCGGTCTTATACCACAGTGACTGCACTGATGGTTCGACATATCAGCACGGAATAGCAGAAAGCCAATTTTTCCGCCTTGGAAGCTACTTGATGGTTTGTAAAAGTCAACCATACTTATCTCGCTTTTCAATAAGTAGTCAGCTTGGGATATTAGTCCCATTTTACCGAATCTGCGTCCTCGGCTGACCGATGACACCTCCTATGCTCGTCATCTTTTTCCGTAAATGACATTAGGGTATGGTATGTAAGATCGTTTCAAAATCTCGGGCAGGTGGCGCCGCGCTCTTTCCTCCTTTGATAATGTGAGATCAGCTACTCCTGCATTCTTTCGCGGTGTCATTTGCGGTAATCACCAATGAAAATAATTGTATTCGCATCATCCCTATATTTCAACGAATAACAACTGACGGGGGGCGCAAAGTGAGTTTGGGAGTGAGTTACCCAAAGAGGTAACTTATGCTGCCAAGACAGGTAATATATAAGAGTGAATTCAGGCTATGTCGGCGGTGATTGCCGTCTGTATCCTCCCGCGGGTTTCTTCCCCGCATTACCCCGGATTCCCATATATCTCCACAGGGCAGACTTGCCAATTCCGGACTGCAGAGATATACACTTAGACTAGTTTACAGATATAAAAGGATTCAGTTGGGCCTCATCATTGACTTTGCCAGTATCAATCTTCACATCTCTAAACATAAGTCTGATACACTTCGAAACATGTCATCTTCGCAAAATGACCGGCGAAAATCGCTCGACAAAGAACAGGATTTAAAGCCCGTTAGCAGTCAGATTGAGATCGCGAAAGCGTCAATCCATGATGTTATTGATTTGGATGAGATCGAACACACCGATACAGGCTGGTATATTTGGCTCATCGCATTGACCGCCTCGATCGGCGGCATGCTCTTTGGGTACGATACCGGTATCATCTCAGCGGTTCTAGTATACCTTGAAGACAGTTTAGGCCATATATTATCAGCAAGCGAGAAAGAGTTGATCACATCCTTGTGTTCTGCTGGAGCATTTGTCGGCTCTATCATTGCAGGTCTGACAGCCGATCGATACGGACGCAAAGGGCCAATGTACATCGGCTGTGCTCTCTTCACAGTGGGGGCGATTTTACAGGCCACTGCATACTCTATCCCACAGATGGCGGTCGGAAGACTTATTGTCGGCTTTGGGGTTGGCTCTGCTGCAATGATTGTGCCAGCCTATATTGCCGAAATCGCACCCACCAAACACCGCGGTCGCATGATTGGTCTGAACAATGTCAGCATTACCGGAGGCCAAGTCATAAGCTATGGTCTTGGTGCTGCCTTTGCCGGCGTTCCTAATGGATGGCGCTATATGGTTGGTCTAGGTGGTGTCCCCAGTGTACTTCTGGCCGTCTTGCTCCCGCTTTGCCCAGAGTCTCCTCGCCAGTTGGTCTACCACGACAAAAAAGAGGAAGCTCGAGCAGTTCTGCACCGTATCTTCAGTTCTGCTACTCCCGAGCAGGTCCAGGTTAAGATTGATCTCATTGAAGCTGGTGTTCGAGAATCTCGGGCCTCTACTGGTAACCAGACCCGGTGGTCTATTGTGAAACAACTCCACTCAAATCCTGCCTATTTCCGTGCTTTGGTGTGTGCATGTGGTCTAAGTAACTCTGTCATGTCCTGTCTTAAAGTGTTTCACTAATAACTCCTAGTGACCATCAGCCAAATGTCAGGCTTCAACGTCCTGATGTATTACTCCGGAACGCTCTTCGCCCTAGTTGGCTTTTCCAACCCAGTCGCAGTGGGTCTTGTTGTGTCAGGAACCAATCTGGCAATGACCCTAGTCAACATGCTAGTCGTAGACTCCTTCGGCCGTCGCAGACTTTTAATAACAACGGCATGGGGCATGTCAGCTAGTCTGGTCGCAGTTGCTGTATCATTCGCATATATTCCAGTTGATCTGGAGACACTCGAAGTGACAACGAAGTCCATCACAGCGCCGGCTATTATTGTTTTAGTTTTCATCATCTTCTTCGTGCTCTTCTACGGCGTGTCGATTGGAAACACCGCCTGGATGAGTGCAGACTTTTTCCCTACGGAGGTTCGTGCCGTTGGAACAATGTATATGACTTGCTGCTGCTGGGGTTCGAATCTGATTGTGTCTTCGACATTCTTGTCTATGATGAAGGGGATCACACCCTCTGGTGCATTTGGTTTCTATGCATGCCTAACATTCTCAGGCTGGGTGATGATCATATTCTTTTACCCTGAAATGTCGGGACTACAGCTTGAAGAGATTGGTGAGGTCTTCAAGCATGGTTTTGGTGTGAAATATGCTTCAAAATTGCGAAAGCAACGCGCCGAGGACCGTCACGCCCGCCTTGGGTGAGCTTGGCCAACGAGCTCTCTATTGTGGAATCTATAAAGCTCGTGAATCTCTTCCATCCATGAATATGTCTTATTAGTCTTATCAGAAGCCATATAGCACTCTTGCGCATTCTTTTCGTCTTGAAACTAGCAATTTGAATCTAGTTCACACCTCAGGGTAAATATACTCCAGAAGGCGGATCTTCTCTATCAAGAAACCTGACTTGTGATTTCGGCTAATCGTCGTAAATGAGCTCACCACCAATGTATTGAGGCGCAGAAATTAAGTGTGCTGTCTACACCCAAACCTAGCAGTCTAAACTTTGGGTGCCCCGGCGGTTAGCCGCCAATAGATAATGCTACATTAGCGTTTTACGAGACCAAAGGTGCGTATTAAACTTTTTGAGTAATTTGGGAAACTATGATACAAGAATCTGTAGCATCACAGCACATGCACATGCTCAGAAAGCCCTAATACTTGACTTTCTAATTTCATCTCAGAAGTATTGCTTCGTACAAATTGTTTGGACGGCATCTATCGATCCAGCCCATTTGCTTGACACTATAATTGAGATATTGTAAGCAGGTTTCTTTTATAGCAAAGAAAGGGACAAGGAATATGATACGAACCATCTGCCAGTACATTCCCTTATTCTGAAGCAACTCCTGATGCGAGCCCCGCTCAACGACGCGCGAGCCTTTTCCACTCAGATTCTCCCCAAAGACAAAAATAACGTCGGCTTTTTGAATAGTCGGCAGTCTATGTGCAACCGCGATAATTGTCATACTCCTCCGTGCAGCCAATCTTTCAAGGGCAGCTTGAACAATTTTCTCTGATTGCGAGTCTAGGCTTGACGTAGCTTCATCCAAAAGAAGCAGTGATGGTTTGCGCAATAGTGCACGCGCGATACACAATCTTTGCCGTTGACCTCCACTGAGAGCTGTCTGGGCTTTCATCCCTAACTCTGTGGAGTATCCATCTGGAAGGGACATGATAAAGCTGTGAATCTCAGCATCGACACATGCTTGAACCAGTTCTTCTTCTATGTATTCTGAATTGTCGATTCCGAGAGTGATGTTATCACGTATTGTTCCTTCAAATAATCGTGGCTCTTGGGCTACCAAGGATAAGCATCTTCGGTATGAAGTTTGGTCAATAGAGCTGATGTCTTCGTCATTAACAAAAACAGCCCCTTGGGTTGGATTGTAGAATCGCTCTAGTATCGATATCAAAGAGGTTTTGCCACAGCCTGATGGCCCCACAAACGCGACAAACTGGCCGCTTTCGATGCTGACATCCAGACCCGTAAACAGGGGAGTATCCTGTGAGGCATATTGGAATCCTAGACTCTTGAAGTCAATGCGAGCTCCAATACTGCGAGATTTGTCGTCCATCGGCTTGCCGGAGGTAGATTCGGTGTCTTTCAAGGTTGGCCGAAAGTTCAGGATCCGGTTTGCGGATGATGTCGCTTGGGCAATGTTCGACCCAAAGCTGAAGAAGCTGCCCGCTTGCTGTCCACCGATGATAATTGACATATAGATAACAAAAAATGACGCGGGCTGATATTCTCTGGACGCAAGAAGCTGACCACCATACCAAAAGCTGAGTGCCATAGCGCAGAGCTCGACACTATCGGAAAATGCGAAAATCAGAGTGGCAACCGAAGCTTTGCGGAAGGCTTTGCTTTGTTGATCTTTCAGAAGACTCGAATACCGGTCCAGGATTGAATTTTCCATGGTCAATGCCGAGACAGTGCGGAATGCCTCGATAGCCTCTGCAGCAAATTGCGAACTACCGGCATACACTGCCGTATTCAAGGAGTCGAACTCTAGTTCGTATCTGATTCGCATGAATGCGGCTATGAAGATGCATGGAAGAGCCGCGAGTACAGTAACTAGACTCAACTTCCAGCCAAAGGAAAAGGCGATGGCGATGCAACCTATCGTACTGAAGATCGAGATAAGTGGAAAGATTCCGTTCAATCCGATCAATTCTTGAATTTGCTTGGGATCCGTGGCTAGACGTGAGACCAGAGACCCGGAGGAGTTCTCATTCATGTCGTAGAATGGCATGGGCTTGCTGACGATATGGTCGAAGTATTCTGTCCGACAAGAGGATGAGATTTCCTAAATGTATGTTAGACCAGACTTGTATATCAGGAGGAAATATATCATCACTCACAGCGGACAGTCTGTTTGCTGAGAATGCAGCCAGAGCGTAGCTGGCTGCGACACCCAAAGACAGAATAAAAAACATCAAAGCCCAGAAACTTGCGGCATCACTAAGCTTGTCTCCTCTGAGGCGGAAAACATCGATGAGTTTGGCAAAAAGCCAGCTTTGCAATGGGAAAGCAGCTGATAGTACGATTAGCCAAATATTTTGGATATAGAGATGCAGCAGGACTTACATGCAGCGCCCAAGACCCCCAATAAAGTACCCAGGAAAAGAGGCCAATGGGCCCGAGCCTCATATAGGAAGATTCCAGTACATCTAAAGAAGCCCTTTTGTTTAACCTTTGCATCATCTTGGTCTTGTGGCTGTTCAGAAACGGTAGTGGTGGATCTACCAAGCTCCTCCTTCACGACGTCAGTGGCCTCGTTTGGATCGGCATCTTCCTCATCTGCAGCGCTCTCAAGTCTTTGGGCATTGACAAGGCCCCGATATAGCCCATCCTGCATGGCAAGAAGCTCGTCATGTGTTCCCTCTTCGACATTAACACCGTTCCTGAGAACCAGGATGCGATCAGCACGTCGAACAGTGGACAGCCTGTGTGCAATCACGATTGTGGTTCGATTTTCAGAAACGCGATTCAGTGCAGCTTGAACAATCTTCTCTCCGCGAACGTCAATTGCACTGGTAGCTTCATCCAGAATCAAGATAGTAGGTTGCTTCACAATGCTTCGAGCTATGGCAAGACGCTGTCTTTGACCGCCACTCAGTTTGGTACCGTTCTCTCCAACTATTGTATCGTACCCCTGAATAAGTTAGATAAGATGTACATTTATTTGAACAAATGACATACCTGTGGGAGGCGCTCAACGAATTCGTCTGCGAATGCTTCTTTGCATGCATGCTTCACCAAGTCAAGCTTGATAGCATCAGGCTCATTCTCCCACTTAGTGCCAACAAGCCCAAATGAGATGTTCTTGAAGATTGAATCGTTGAAGAGGAACACGTCTTGTTGAACAAGTCCGATTTGGGACCTCCACCATTTGATGTCGAGATCTTTGATTTTTCGTTGGCCCAAAAGAATACTTCCTTGACTCGGCGTGTACCATTGCTCTAGCAGACCGACGATGGTACTCTTTCCAGACCCCGACGGGCCTACGAGTGCAGTGGTTTTGGCTCTTTCAAATCGGGCGTTCAGTCCCTGGAAGATTTGGCTGTCCGGTCGCGTGGGATACGCGAAATGCACGTTTTCGAAGACGATATCTCCATGATCCAACGCGTCCGAATCACGAACACCACCAATTGCAATCTTCTCTGCATCAATTATTTCGAAGAATGTGGTCGCTGCGCTTGCCGCCTTGAAAACCATGGTTAAGGGAGTTGTGATGCTTCCAAGAATGCTGACTGCGATCATGATAGAGAAAAATACGCTGCAAGGTCAATTAGTAAGTAAGCTTAGTGACAGCGCAAGTTGACTCACATAATGACAGTATTAATGTCATGAATATGACCCTCTCGGAAGAGTTTCAGACCAAGCCAAAATGCCAGCGAATAACTGCAGTACATGGCAAAGAACAAGACACCAAACTGAGAACTCAAAAGCGCTGCCATACTTCGACTTTTGTCTCGTGATTCCATGACCCATCGTCGATATTTTTTGGTAAGAGGTGCTTCGGCACCCAGGGAGACAACCGTTCGAATTGAGCCAAAGACTTCTGCTGCGATCGCAGAATGCTTTTCGTCTGCTTTATCTGCCTGTTGTTGCTTCTTCGAGATGGCAGGCAGTGTTGCGCTGCAGCCGATACAAATGAAGAGAATGCAAGAGCTAGTAGCAAGAGTCAAAGCCCATGAGTATTTGAAGGCGATGATATATGCTGTGATTAAGAGTGCTGTAGATTGAAAAAGCGTGGCCATCTTGTCTGATATACTCTGCTGGATTGTATTAGAGAGTGTGGTGATTGTGGTGACGACTGTTCCGACTGAGACTTGGTCAAGCTGGCTGATTGGCTGGGCGAAAAGCGAACTCATATACTCCATTCGCAAGGCGGCTGAAATTCGAAGGCTGATAACCCGGAAGCAATACTGGACCGCAGTAGGTCAGTATTCGAGCATGATGCAACACGCTGGGGCTTCTTTGGGTTGTTACCATAGAGAAATAGGTCAAGGTAAACTTGGCAATAAAGAGATATACAATGTACAGACTTTCTGGAAGTCAGCTCAGGTAAAATTGGAAAACGCAGTTGTCACCTACCTCAGTCGGCTGACTGATTTCTTGAATTCTGCTTCGGTGATCGAGGATCCGGGAGTAAAATATGTACTAAAGTCACCAACCAGTGATCCAAAGACGATGTTCATGAGCGGTAGGGGCTGGTGCACAGTTAGCCTCCAACCTTTTCAGTGCGATAGTATATAGAGATATAGCGAGGCATACCACACCAGACCCCACAGCGCAAACCAAGGCGACTGCGAGGATCATCCTATCTTTGGTAGTCGTATACGATAAAATTCTCTGGGTTATATCAGCATCAAATTACACTGCGGTTCCTTTCTTCTCATGATTGCAACTGACAAAATAATGCTTCAGCGAGGCAGGTTGTTCGGTCGCATCTTTGTCTTCGGGTGACTCCTTGGAAAGATCCAGGACTTGCTCGCTGGGGTGATCATTTGTGGATGCTAAAGATTCTTTACTTGTAGTCGCCTTGTTTGCCACTGTGTCTTGTAAAGGGACATCTTGCGATAATACCATATTTCTAGGTATGCACGAAATTATAATTTGCGAATAGAAACTTTTTGGGAGATTGAGGGAACATTCATGATTTATATATCAAGGCAGACGGACACCGTCTGCAGGTGGGAGAATCCGCGATTCACTGACACAGTCGTAGATCGGCGAATTTGTCGACTTGTGATAGGTAGAGGGCACAGCTCCCTCCTGGCCGAAGAATATAATAGCCAGGACCTCCCATCGGGATATAGTTACTAGGGCAAAAGGGGCCAGGTGGAGCCTGGACATTCGGACTTATAACAGTCCGTTGGTGGAATGCCCATCGTTCATATCACCGCCTTTAACCTATTTCACCCCATGTTGGACTTTTCAGTCACAGGACATCTTTATTTTGCAGTTCAAGTATTTCTAGTTGAGTCATGGAGCCATGAAACCAGCGGTGGAATAAGTTAACGATCATTTGAGTGGCAGTATGATAAGTATTGTGTGAATCCTGTAAAAAGCAAGTGTTATATAAATGGACTTAATGTATTCCAGTATTTCAAATTGAAAAACTCGACAGCTATTGGCGAGGAGTGGACCGACTGGCCAAAGTATGACGAAATTCAAATCACATAGGCGGCAGAATTGACATTAGAACTCCTGATAGCAAGCAATAACAGACAAGCTCCTCGCATGACCCGAATTTCTAGCCTCCCGTGCGGACTTTCGGACTTTGCTATTCCCGCCTCTTCAACCTCCACATTGCGATATGAGCCCCCCCTTGATGAGTATTTCGGTGAGACAATCTGCCAAAATAACACCAAATACTGAATTAATTATGACTTACATGTACTAGTGCCGTCGTTGCCAATCTAGAAAGGTATGTTGGTGTTCCGATCCCCGCGCCACACACGAGAGTAACGTGTTTCTAGATTCGATGCAACCGAGTCGCCCCCAGATGTCAGAAGTGTGAAGCCTTCGGGGCCGAATGTATCTATGTGCCACGCAAGCCACGAAACAAGAAACAAGAGTGACCGCGCACCCATGATCCTAGTTCAGTAACTGAGAGATTGGACTGACACACACCGTAGCAACGACATCGATCAGAACAGTGTTCTATCGGAGGTCTTACGCCGCCTCAAACGCTTAGAAGAGCATTGCAAGTTGGATGAATCTTCAGATGTCAACGAAGATGGCGGTAGTCCTATGTCGGTATCGTCGGTTGATTCAGACACCGATAAACCTGTGTCCTCGGACAAGTCCGATGCGCCTACCATGCCTGGAGTGATTCATGGTGTATTAAGTCGCATTCAAGACCCAAAGAGTCGATCGCTGCTCTTCACCGATGTCTTTTGTCACCTGCGATCGGTTGAATCATGTTTCTTCGACAATGAACGCTGCGTGGGGGCTATTGCTGCTGCAATGTCTGAAATTGAACATCTCCAGAATGGGGCAGCCGAGGGGCCTCCGGAAATGTCCGATTTGCCCAAAGATTCCTCAAAGAATGTTATTCAGAGTAAGTCTCTACCTGATGATAAGTTGTATATTGGCTAATTACTAACTTGAATTTAGATTATTATGATTGCTACCAGTTTGAGGGTTTCAAAATCCCCCTAGAGAAGAGCTTCCTGCTATCGATCCCTGACCTACTCGAAAATCCTCACGTTCAACTTGACTGTACTTCCCAAATCATCTACCATACCGTTCGTCTTCAGGGAATGGTATTGGATCCCAGCTTTAACAAGGATGACGGCAGCCAGATCAGACATCTTTACGGAAAGTGCTTGGACCTCAGCACCCTCTGGCTAGAGAATATTCAAAACACCTATGCCGATCTTTTCGTCGCTGTTTTAATGGCAAGTGAAGCGATGGATATTTGGAAGAGAACAAGCAAGACTGACAACGAACTAGATATCCATGGCGCTAGAAGCATGCGATAGCGAAGTAGCTTGGAAGATGCTAGGTCATGCTTGCGCAATTGCGAAGGCCTTGGGATACTTCTTCGTCGACGGGAACCCAGAAGACACAGATGATCAGTCTCCTCTAGCACAAGGATCCACGATTGACGAAAGTGAAACAGAAAAAAACAGAAAGCGGTTTGAGTTCTGGCATCTGCTTCGAACGGACTGTCTGTTCCGACTCTCCTTCGGCAAGCCCACTTTGATACCGACCGGGTCCTGGAAGGTCAATTTTCCAGATCCAACCATCAATGGGATCGATTATGAAGCCTCTCGTTTCGTCCAAATTCATTTCCTGGCTTCTATGCGACATGCTTTGGTCGTGATGAAGTACCTGGACTGGATGGACTCCGGACCGAATCTAGATCCGGTCTTGCACGATGCAACGATTGATAGCTTCCTTCAGGAGGTGCAGTTGATTATGTCGGATTGGAACGCCGTAAGATATAGCCCGCAGAAGTTTGTTGCGTATGCTGACATGGAAAAGGACGAGCTCTTTCGGATGGCCAAGACACAGGTAGACACCTGGTTCTGCGTGGACATGGTGTTTACCAGTTACAAGTTTCTCATTGTTCTTCATCAGTCAAAGAGATGTGACCGCGATAAAGATCGGCTGTCACATCAAACTATAGATATCGCCAGAAAATCGATCCAAATGTTCCAATTTCTGATGGGAACATCATCGCACGCATGTTGGGGTTTAAGGTATGCAATGAGTCACGTTCCAGAGCTCAATAATTGTTGCATTACTAACGGCATACTAAAAGTCTCATACTACTACAGCAGTTCATCCCATTCCTCATCATTTGTTTGAGTATCATTAGGAATTCCGAGCCTTCTGATATCGAGACAGATCTCACTTCAGTGACCTGGATCTATGACTACGTTGAAAATATTGTGAAGAACCGAACGGAGCTACGACCTGTGATGATTATTATGAAGGCTATAATTGTTGCTTGCCATCAAAGCCGAAGTTACCAGCTTGAGTCTTCGATGTCAGGTAATGCAGGAGCCGAGTAAATATTCTAATTTTTGAAAATTGAAAGTATTGTTCAAAGTGGAAGTGACGATCAAGTTGACCTAGTATACAACGCGTTTCACGTGAGATTTCTGGGTTCATTTCCGCAAGAATGTCAAAGCCGCAAGACTCAACGCATCGATGCCGGTTCTCATGGTTGGCTGAATCACAGGGGCGAACAAAGCCGAATGATTTCCGGGTATTTCTGCCATGAGAGCCTCATCTTGCTGTGCTTTGTCCCAAAGCTCCGGGTCAATACCTCCAAACAGCCAGAAGGAGCATGGAAGACCTTGAGAGGTACCCAGTGTAGAGAAGTCTTCGCTGACGTTGGTTCTTGGGGTATCTCCATCAAACGACTCCCCGAAATGATCACCAAAAGACGCAGCCAGCTGCAAAGCAGCACTTTGGTCATTTGTAGTGGGCGGGAACCGTCTGGTCGGGGTAAACACCGGCGGTTTCGGCGAACCACTTGCAGCACATTCAGCCTCAACAATACGTTTAACAGCGGAAAGGATCTTCTGTCGAGTCTCAAGCTTAACAGTTCTGAAATCAATCCCGATCTCGGCTCTATCCGAAATGACATTCTCAGTCTGCCCAGCCTGCAAACTGCCAACCGTCACCACGCCCAGGTCACTGGGATCAACCTCTCTACTAACAATACCCTGCAATCTCACAACAACATGCGCAGCAAGCAGCACAGGATCAACAGTCTGATGTGGCTGGGATCCATGACCGCCCCTGCCAAAGAGCGTAATCTTGTAACTATCCGCAGCAGCCATAATAGTCCCAGGCCTGGAGCCAACAGCCCCAGCCCGCATCCTCATGACATGCTGACCGAAGACATAATCCGGCATGGGAATCTTCGAATAAAGCCCATCATCAACCATAGCCTGCGCACCTCCGCCCCGCTCCTCGTTCGGCTGGAAGAGAACGATCAAAGTCCCGCTCCAGGAATCCCGGATCCGCACCAGTGTGTCTGCCGTGGCAAGGAGACATGTAATATGCATATCATGGCCACAGGCGTGCATTACCGGCTTCATGGTTCCGTCGCCATCACGCATGGTTACGGAACTCGCGTACGGCAGACCGGTCAACTCCTTAATTGGCAGGGCATCCATATCGGCGCGGAGGAGGATTGTCTTTCCTGGGCCATTTCTGAGAACTCCTACTAGGCCGTAGCCGCCGATATTTGTGTGGATCTCATAGGGGCCCAGGCGGGATAGGATGTCTGTGATCTTCTCAGAGGTGGCCTTTTCTTGCAGGGAGAGCTCTGGGTTTGCATGGAAATGCCTGTAGAGATCTTCGTACGGGCCCAAGTTTAGTGAGGCGGCGCCTAGTATGCCTGACAAGCTTTGGGCCATTTTGATCGATTATCGGAATGAGAAGGAGAATGCTGGAATGCGTTTACCTATTTTCTGTTATAAAATGGCTTGTTAGTCATCCAATTAAGTGCCCGCGCGGGGTACACCTTCCCTGAGTAGCCCCCGTCCATAATGACTCACTGGGGCCTGTGTCTGGGTTTTCAGGGGGAAGGAGCGCAATTATGAGAACAAGCTCTATTAGTGACACATTTCTGAGGCTGAGGCATCTTTATTTCGATGTTTTGTCCATGTGAGAAGCGTGCAGAATGTCGTCATACATTATCTTCCCCCTTCCATGCCGCAACTGGTTTTAAACAACAGAGTGTAATAGTTACTTTTGCTGGATCTTATGGACGTGACAAGGTAGAAAGAAAAACTCATTTTAAAATGAATATATTTAGTGCTATGTATGCTTTTGAGATCCAATGTATCCAATATTCACCAGCAAAATATGATGCTCCATGTAAATGCATATAAAACATGACATTGGGGGGGAATGAACAAAGTGATGAAAGAAGTGAAAAAGAAAGAAAAAAATGAGGGAAATAAAAGAAAGGAAGGGAAGATCCAAAGCCAACTCAAGCTTCCTCGGTCTTCTTCGACTTGAACAGACCCTTGACGCGATCAACAATCAACCCAGCACCACCAAACAGGTATCCAAGGCCGAATCCCCAGCCTCTCACACGAACAGTGTAGATGAAGAAGTAAACCAAAAGCCAGTTGATAATGACAAAGGCCAAGAAAATACCGAAACAGCGCCACTTGTCGCCATCATGAACATTCAGATTGGCCATGTATTCCGAACCATCCTTGTAAGGACAGTACTGGCAATCGGAAGTCGCATCCGGGTTGACAAGATAGCCAACCTTGGCAAGCTGGCTCACAAAGTCACCAGCATATGCCTGACAACTCTGACCAGGCGGGGGGTTGAAGTGAGTTGCTTCCTCAGAGGCACACTCGATCGGAACATCGGGCAAAACAGCGGAGAGGACGCCACGCATCCACCAGGTGGTCGGGTTAACGTAGTACATCCAGTACTTCCAGAAAACGGGGTAGTTGGCGTATGGACGGACGATACCGTTGAACAAGTTGACCATGACGAAGAAAAAGGGCAGGACGTTCGAGATGACAGTGAAGGAAGGAGCGAAGGCGCAAATCCATTGACCCCATGATGCCTGGAAGAGGAAGAAGAGCATTGACATGAGGAAGACATAGCCTGCTGATGAGGAGTCGGTGGGGAAGCCGACAGGGTAGTACCAGAACAGCCAGTAGATCAGACCTGAGATGATGGCAGCTGGGATTTCGCAGACAACGTTTGCAGTGCAGAAGGCGACCCAGCCGTAGATTCTGGATGGGTATTCTCTTGCTTCCCAGAGGGCACGGTTGATATAAAACTTGGGGACGATGGAGTTGAGGACAATTGGTGGAATAAGAATGATCAGGAAGACGGAGAACATGCGGTCTTGCATGGATGCTACTGTGTTGGGGAGCATCCAGAAGGTGAATCCGTTGAAGATACCGATGATGACACTGACGAAAAGTTTGCCGTAGTAGTAGGACGGGTCGCGCCAGTAGTTGATGAAGAGACGTTTTGTAAGTTGGGTGGTTTGGGTCCAGGCTGATGCGGCAAATTCGTTCTGGGTGCCATTTGATTGCTCAATGGGAATTTTGCTGCGCTCTGTGCGGATGCGTTCAATTTCGGCCAGCATGTCGCGGTTCTGCTCTGAGTTGCGCCATTCTTCGTTCCAGTCAACGTGTTTGCCGTTGCGTTGAGTTCCCTTTGCGGCGGTTTCCAAGATGAATTCGGCGACGTTCTTCGAAGGCGGGCAGTGGAAGCCGCGATCACCGAAGTACTTGATCACTGCGGCGCCCTCCTGTCCAACGGGTCCGAAGTAGAATGTGTTACCACCGGGGTTGAGGGCGAGGATCATGTCGAATTGCTGGATAAGCATGGAAGAAGGCTGGTGAATGGTACAGACAATAGCTTGACCAGCCTGGGAGAGCTTCTTAAGGAAACGGACGATGGAGTAAGCAGCCTGGCTGTCGAGACCACTGGTAGGCTCATCAAGGAACAGAAGCAGACTAGGCTTGGCAGCAAGTTCCACACCGATGGTGACGCGCTTCTTCTGCTCAACATTGAGAGAACCAATGATGGCATCCTGAATTTCTTCAAGTTCGAGGAGGTTAATGATACGGTCGACATACTCGATCTTCTCAGAGCGAGGAGTTTCACGGGGCTGGCGCAGGATAGCAGAGAACTCAAAAGCCTCTCGAATAGTTGAAGTCTGGTCGTGCAAATCCATCTGCTCACAGAAGCCAGTACCACGCTGGAAGTCGGGACCAAGGTTGTGGCCATCGACAAGCATGTCTCCGGTGACGACACCCATCTTCTGGCGCTGAGCAAGAGTGTTGAGCAGAGTAGTCTTTCCAGCACCGGAGGCGCCCATCAGAGCAATCATAACACCGGGCTTAGCATAACCGTTGACACCGTTGAGCAGTTTGCGAGTTCCGTTTCCGTAGGGGACTGTGTATTCGACGTTTTCCCAGGTGAAACAACGCTCACTGTCAGACAGACGGTTGAAAGTAGCATCCTCGCCAGAAGAGCCCTTGCCCTGGGCGAGAGCAGCGTTATCACCAGCGTCAGCGATCTTCTCCTCGTCGTTGCCATTAGGCTGAGCAGCGATAGCCTTAGCACGCTTGGACTTCTTGAAGACCAAGGCACCGCCACCACCACCACCGAAGGACAGGAACTCAGCAGCCCAGACAGTGACCAAAATGTAGAGAACAGTGAAGGCAATAATGACACCAAAGTTGCGCCACATGTGGTGACGAGTGAACTGGAAGTTGGTGGTCAAGTACTGCGATCCACTAACAGTAATACTACCCAGAGTTGATCCAGTCAGAGCACAGCCCTGGTACTCCGGGCTAACATTGGGGCCCTGAGGAACCAACTGAGATGCAGCACACTGCATAGTACGATCACTGAACTCGTTTGACAAAACTGACTCGTAACTGTAGGAGATCGGGTTGACATAGAACAACCAACCAAACCAGATCGAGTCCGAGATCAAATTCTGCTTGGGGATCACATAGCCGACGTAGATAATCAGCAAATTCAACCCAATACCAGCGAAGCGAACAGCATCATCAATAGTCGGTGACAGAGCAGCGAACATGCGGTAGAGTGAAGTGATACAAATGGTGGTCGTATAAACAAACAGGAAATAGATGAAGAATTTTGAAACATCAACATCAAGACCAGTCATGAAGTAAACAATGATGGTAAATGGAACGACCATGCAGAAAATGGCAGGGAAATCCACAACCACGCGCGCAATCGAAACAGCAGACGGACGGTAGAAAGCGTAATCCTTGTGTCGGGCAACAATGCCACGACCAGAAACAGCAGGCATCAGCTCAGTAAGCTGCAGCCAACCCAGGAACAAGATCGAGAAGAAGAGAGCACCACCACGGGAGAAAGCACCGCTGGTATCCATCGCTTCTCCGTAGAAGAGAGAAGAGACAATAAGACCGTTAGAAATGATGATGAAGTACTTGGTGTAGAGGGACGTCTTGTCACCCCACAGCAGCCAGATCTCACGCTGCACACAGGCCATGACCTGGCGCACCAGAGACACGGTGTAGGGCGATTTCTTGGAGACAGTCTTACTCTTCGACTGAGCAACGGTAGACTGGAAGCGACGGGTGTCTTCCTGCTCGGTATCTTGGAGACGCTTCTCATAGCTGGAGACATCATCCTCAATGTAATTGTGAGAGGTACTGCTCTTGAAAACCTTCTCGAGCTCCTCAGCAGTCTTGGGGGTGGATGCCTCGCGCCCGGGCTGGAATTGGCGGGCATTAGGATCACAGAGAGATGTCAGGAAGTCGGCGGTGGTGGATTGGTCGGGGCAATGGAAACCAAGGTTGACGAAGTACTGGCGCGCTTCGTTGGCGGGACCTTGGTAGAGCATGCGGCCGGCGTCGATGACCATCACCTTATCCATGAGCTCGTAGATGCTCTCTCCAGCCTGATACAGAGTGACAAAGGTAGTACGCTTGCTGACGTCGGTCATGATGCGCAGGGATTTGGCGTAGTCCAGGGCAGTGCTGGCATCCAGACCACGAGTTGAGTTGTCCCAGCATACAACGGACGATTTGGTGGCCAATGTCTCCGCAATACTGACTCGCTTGCGCTCACCACCAGACACGCCGCGAACATACTCGTTACCAACGAGCGTATTCTTGGTGTGGCTGATACCGAACATCTTCAACAAGGCATCGATAATGATAGGAATACTTTCACGATCCTGCTTGCGAGTCTTGTTGATGAGAGAAAACTTCAGAGTCTGCCAGACAGTGAGAGAAGGGAAGTGTTGATCGTCCTCGGGATTATAATTGACTTCGCCACGGAAGTGCTTATTCTGGTCCTCAGACGACAGACCGCCGTAGCTGACCTCGCCTTCAACCCCAGCAAACGCACCCCGGTCGTTGGCGATAGCCTTCAGGAAGGTGGTACAGCCGGCGCCGGGACGACCCAGAACGAGCATCATCTCACCTTCCCGGACAGCACCACTGAAATCATGAATCAAATCACGAACAGGAGGCTTCTTGCCGAAGTGCAACTGCGGCACAAATCGACAGATCAAGTTATACAAATCCGGACCGAAAGTTCCCACTACGGCGTGGGGGAGGGTGCGCACGAACGACGCGCCAGTCTGTACGCCCTTTACAGTGAGGTTCTTGAAGACGACACCGACCTTCTTCGCAGGCTCGCCAGCCGTAGTGCGGCGTTCCAGATGACCCCCAATGAGGAACTCACCCAGGTCGAAGTCATCCTGTTCAGCTTCGGACTCTTCCTCTTTACCCTTTTCTTCGTCGCGGCGGCTGGTGCGTGACTTCATGCGATGACCACTCTTGGTGGTTGACCTGGTGCGGTGGAGACTGAGACGGGTCAGTTCGCGGCGCATTTCCTCCAGGTCTTCCATTGCGCCACGGCGGGAGACAGGATCGCCATTTTCCTGCTCGCCCCAACGGCCATCGGCGCTTGCGAGGGATGAGCTGAGAGACGAAGAGGTCGAAGTCAATTTGATCGGTTCCGCGGTTTCATTATTGACCTGTTCCGTAGTGGCGGTCTGTTCGAAAGGCTCCTCGACGAGTGCGGCGTGATGTTGTCCATCAGAAGTGGAGTGATGTGTAGAGGACTCGGTGCGATCATTCTGTCCATTGGAACTAGAGTGTTGAGCGGAGGAAGTATAAGTTCTGGACTCGGAGACCGGGTGGTCCTGGGAGTCCATGGCACGGAAATCGGCGTCCATGTCGCCGTAGGATCTACTAGGGCAATCAATGGCAGATTAATGATATTAGGAATGCTGATTAGGGGTATATACAGCGACAACAATGGAAAGAAATAAGAAAAGAGTGGAGAGTGGGAGACAAGTAGTTCAGACAAAGGGCAAAGTCCATGGACGTGCCAGAATTGTTAAATAAGGACCCCATCGTCATTAACGTTAACTCCGGGATCGATTTGTAAGAAAGCCAAGAAAAGTACAGAAGACACCCATGTGGGCATTGGAACGGTGCAACCGTCGAATCAGGGGGGCATAAAGGCAGATGAAGCGTTCTCCAAGCTGTTGTGGAGTGCATGAGTCAGGGTTAATCACCTCCCGTCATCGAAGAATTTTTCGCCGGAGATAGACTAAGAGCCGGACTTAGCCCGATTGGACCAGAATGGGGCTAATAATGGGCTACGCTGGACATCTGATTGGTCAGCCCTTTCCTCCCCGACGGGATATCCATTCCTATCTTATCGTGCTGACCGCCAAGCGATGCAAACACCGGCCTTTATATTCCGCGACCATCAAATCTCCATCACATATTTCCCCTGATGAATAATGTTACTAATATGAATATTGGATTGGAAATCGATCTCATTTGACTTTCTCAGGGACAATTTTCCCCTTTCTTGGCTACGATGGTCAATCCTGTCCCCCAAGTACATAGTAGTAGTGATTCCAAGTGGCATGTACCCTGCACCGGTAACCCGATGTCCGAGCCCTCATGAATAAGTGCAGCCACAAAAACGGCCCGCCACCGACTAGATCTGACTCAAGCAACACCTTCAAATCCTGCAGTTCGGCGACTTTTAAGATCTGACTGATCCACATCGGTCAAATCACCCCCGAAAGCATTGCGACCTAATAGGCAATTGGTAATCGAGAATGGGGCTATCAGACATACTTGCACCCAACTTGAATTGATTCGGCTTTTCAGTTCTTAGTGTCCATGTATACCGGCCCAGCCCGACAGCCGACATGACTTGCGCACCCGAGAATGGTGGCCGGTTCCACCGGCACGAAACGTCGGGTAGCCCTTATGAATGCTTATACGTCTTAGCTGTTCATTGGCACTGAATCATGCACTATGGTTCGACTGATCCTGGGATCTGACTAGTTCATGTGCCCACTTTTCTTTCATTTCTCGGTTTTTATGTTATCAAATGCCGAACTGGTCTGGACAATGCCCCGCTTTTTATTTTGGCTGACTGCAGCGTCGGGGCCACGTTTCGGATATGTCAGAAGCGTCTCGTATTTCCGATCTATATTTCCGACATGAACAGTATGTTTGTGGAAACGTGTACGTGGTGCATGTTGAGTGCTCGGTGAGTTGCATCGTGTCTATTGTGCATATCGCTTAGGTTGCTGCTTGTACATTGCATACTGTATGTTCTACGAGAGGTGTGGTAGTGGCTTACTGCAGATTGATGTTTCATATGCGGCATCCCTGTTACAGGATGAAGTACTATCTGTACATTTCTAATTTAGCTGGGTTATGCTTAGGCCAGAACTAATGCTTGCCCTTGCCAGCGGCTTGGGCGATTCGCCTTTGAATCTCTTCCTTGGAGAGGATCTTTACTGCGTTGTTGGAGAAGACGTAGCTCAGACCAGACCAGAGGGTGGTTCCTGCGACAAGATACCTAATTCGTAGTTAGCATAAAATAAAATAACCTTCACATAAGAAAAAAAATAAAAGAAACATGCAACAGTGAGGATTCGCTAGTGGTCACCCACCTAACTACTAACTCACCGGCGTGTGGCTTAAGTACGGCTGAGCGGACGGGAAGCCCTGTTCTCCACACCCTGTGGTCGCATGTACTTAAGAACGCCTTGATGTTGCTTAACTCGGCCAAGGGAGCATTGCGTCCCATGACAGAGAAGAGGGAAATAGGATGGGCATGAAAGGAACGTAGGGATAACTTACTGGAATCCAGTCATGGCCTCGCTCAAATGCCAGGCACTGACAAACGCTTCGGGTACCACAGGCAATGCGATCGCACTACCAACCAGGACAAGCTGCAGAGCAGTGTTGATCTTCGAAATCTCGGTAGGCTTGACCTCGGCCGACGGCAGCGAGAAATCCCAATACCGGGCCATGGTCTTGGGCTCCGGGAGAGAGATCCAGCGGTAGTAGATGGCAGACATAGCCAGGCCAACATCGCGACCGAGAATGATGACGGCCAACCACACTGTGAAAAGGTTAATAGCACATCTCTTTGCCAGCCAACATACGGGACTTACCAGGGAGAGCCCCGTTTACAGCAAGACACGCGACTCCAATGGTCATCAACAGCTTATCGGCCATGGGATCGATGATCGTTCCAACGACCGTCTGGAGGTTATAACGCCGCGCGATGTATCCATCAACGAGATCCGTGATACCCGCATATGCGAACAGGGATAGGGCAGCTGTGTGGTAGTTGTGTACCAGGAGATACCCAACCACGGGAGCAGCCAAAAGCCGGGAGAAAGTGAGAATGTTAGGGATAGTGTAGATATTCTCGTGAGGGCTATTAAGAGGAATTCGCGCTAAGATTGGTTTTTTCTTGGGAGGCTCGGTTCTGACTGAGGTTAGGGAAGCTCATGAAGAACGTCGATGACTATTGGGTCCTTCGATATTGGGCAGGCTTGATTGAACCTACTTTTCGGAGGTTTTGTTTTCCTCCGGGGTTTTCGACCCAGACCATCTTTGTTGGTTGAAGAATGCTGGTGGAATCAAAGTAGTGGTCCGAAGACAACCCAGCCTCTTGAGGCCACTGAAAATAATAAGCGTTGTACATTTCACGATAGCAGGGCATATCATACATACCCAGTGGGTAGCTGTCCCAATGTGGAAGGTCGAGTTGTGGTCATGCAGCGGAGTCCGCTTCTCTGAAGAGCCTCTGCTCGAAACACATTGGATTGAACGAGAGTTCGTGTATTGTGCAGCAAGCTTTGCGATGCCTGCCGACTTACACGAAGGGGCAACTGGACTGCACACGCTCCAATCATGGTGACACAAATCAAAAAAATAGAATGGTGGATGAAGGGTCGGCACGCCGAATAAAGAATCAAGCCAGCAGATCCAAAGTATCACGATTGCCTTCAATCAGACTTTTGCACATGCACAGCCGGTTTTAGACTATGCAATGCCACCTCAAGATCAGGATGATGATGCAGTGGGAAGCACAAACAATGTTTGTTTAGGATGAGTGTCCGCAGGAAACTCGCGATACAGATTCAAAGAGAGATAGAGATCAAATGAAACACTTTGATCACGCAGAAGTCGCAACAGAAACACCACAATATGCTATAGTACAGGGGACAATCTGGGTCTTGTTAGCTGGATCGGTCGGGAGTCGGAGTCATGCACTCCAGTCGGGAATACATACACGAATAATAAAACAGAAGAGAAGGGATTTTCAGAGACCTAATGAACCGGAACCAGAGAGCTCTAGATCATTGCCTGACGATGATGAACTCTGGAGATCGCGAGGCGTTGAGTTCTGCCCGGCAAAATAGTTAATCCGGCCGCTTTGATATGTTCCCCAGTCCCCGCCAAGGATCGACATCCACTCGACTACAAACGTGGAACTACCGACAAGATGTGGCTAATATTTAACTTGAATCTGCTAAAGATGACAGGATCATTTCACTCACTGATTACTGGAGCTGCGTCACAGTGCCAGTATGACTAGGATTCACCTGACCCCTATTCCAACACCTGACCTTCCAGGTGATGGGAAACATCATCGCCAAGAGATGACAAAAACAGAAACCCGATCTCCATTTAATCTGTTGATATCATATATAGGCCCATATACTACATTCTGATCTAAAAACACTGCCAAATATTGTATCTGACAAGCCGATGGATGGCAGACAAAATCGGTCAACAGTGACTAGCCGTTGTCGCCCTGTGGCCGCTATTACAATATGGCGAATACACCGACGCTAAGACCCGCCCAAAGCGAGCGCTTGTCTGACTCGGGCTCCGTAACCTCCAGCCAAGATGCACCCAAGGAGAAAAAGCCACCCGATCCTAATATGGCGAATCCACGCCTCCTCATTAACCGTGCTTGTATTTACGAGCGCCGTCTGCCGGGCGATGCATACATTACCGCGCATGTGGAACGTCTCCAACATGGGCATTATTCGAGTGGTTCTCTCTCTGACAAGGATGCCGAGCATGTTGATTTCCTCGCTATTGGGTTTGTTTTTCATTCGCCGCATACGCTTTCCCATCGGTTCAAGTCTGCTTCGATCAAAGTGTCTATTCGGGGTACGCCGCAGATTTCTCGGTCGCCCTTTTATCCACATGGCTATCCGCCTGGTAACCCCAGGTTCCTTATGCATGCGCCGCGCTTGATCTACGGTACCGTCTCGCCAGAGACGATGGAATGGACTTTCAGCTTGGCAGGGTCGCTGGGTATATCGGAAATGCCAGTAAGCGCGAGCGTGATTCCCTCGGGGAGTGTCAACAGTCGATACAAGCGGTACGAGATGATGCGCATCCAAGGTTCGGCGCGGACCTTAAAGAGCCAACAAGGGCCTAGCTTTGATGTTGAGGCTGGGGAGGTTGTCTGGTCGATGGAAGAAAACAACTTGCAGAAGTCGGGTCTGCCGCGCGAGTTTACCTTCGTCATGTTGATTCAGAAACCTACCATTGATAGCCAGCTTGCTCTGTCCATCGAGGTCGAGCCAGTCATCGATGTTTGGTTTGGAAGTTATCCTAGTTGGATGCTGGCCTTGTCCGCGTATTCACCTGCGTCTAGACGAGGTGTCGACTTTCGACAGGAGGTTGGCCAGCGGTTTGAGCCCGTGGATCCGACCCGGGGGTTCAATTTCGCTGCCCTTGAGAGTCAGTTTGATGATTACATCGCCATGCCTGGAAGGAAGTTTAGTCGTCAGGTATGTGTAAATCTGAATCATACAATCCATATGTTACTATATTCTACTTATTCGGTGGTAAAGCCACTAACTGTCATAATGTTGTGTTCGCAGATGCAAATACCAGCCGACCCTGGATTCTCAGACGACAGACGACAGCAACCTTATCCCGGCCAATATGGCTCCATCAATCCATACCAACTTCAACTCCAGAATCAAACAAACAATCTCTCTCTTCAGAACAACGGTCTTTCTCTCCAAAATAACCTTCTGCAAACAACTCTACAACACCTATGGAACAGCACTCAAAGCAACTATCACCACGACCAGGCCCAAGGCCAGACCCAAAATCAAGCACAGCCCCTATACCAACCTCCACCGCGAGCATCAACACCAACTATTATAGCTACGTCGCCGAACATGACAGGTCTGCCAACTGCAGAGGCAATAACGAATACCCTCAATATCAGACTATTACTAGATAGATCAACCTCACCACATCATCAACATTCAATCCATACCATGAATATGAACGGCAAGCCATGGAGTCCTCCCCCATCGCCCCTTGCAAATAGGGCTGAAAGTTCAAGACTGGGTCGGACCGAATCTCAATCGAGACATCTCCACAGCCCAACCCCCGGCAGTAAAGACCGGTCCTCAGATGAAGATGAAATCTTGACGCACGAAGAAACGAGCTCTGTAGTGGAACCTCAGAAGGATTGCAGTCTATCGTTGTCTCCCTCGCCAAGGAACAAAAAGGAGATTCGGCGTTCCCGAAAGCCAGGGTCTGGGATTACACTGCAGGAAATCCGTGGTGAAATACGCGATGAAGAAGAGATCAAGCAGCAAGTGAGCTCTTCATCGCGATCAGAGTCTCCTACTCAAGCAACGAGACAACCTCAACCGCCACTCCAAACCTGGGATGGGGTCTCCTATTCCACCTCTGCCGTCATACCACAGACTGCAAGGCGGAATTTAAGAGCCAATATTGACAGTCGGCATGGAGACGGCGGTGGTGGAAGTCATCCTGGTAACGCTATCGGGTACAATCATCAGCGGATCATGCGGATGGCTAACTCGCCACTGTCAGCTTCGTTGCTTGCAGCTCTAACGGAGAAGTGAGTATATAATTTGTCATCCTGGTTCTCTTTGTTTATCTAGAGCGATATGTGTTTAGATGATTTGCTTGGTGTCTTCCTTTTCGCATGTGCGTAGGTACTCCATATATCTTTCCCACGGGATATTCTGTTCACTGCTTTCTGGGAGGTCATTTCTTGTTTCTTTCTGCTTCCTTGTTGATGTTTACGTCGATTTCGTGCTTCATTTCTTGTTTTAGATACCCAGTGTCTGTCAATATATATTCCAATACAATCTCTACTCAACTGTTATGTGACTTCAATAAGAACACTATAGCACGGGTTTCATTGTCATCTACTCAACAAGGAATGATATATAACCGATTGAAATGCGACAACCAATTGGAAAATTTGACCCGGGCCTGTAATTTCGATATACGTATCCAGTCGCCGAACTCTTTGTCTAAGGCTTCTAGACAACGAATCTCAACAATGGAACTCACCTGAGGATGATAATATATATGACAATATCATAACTGGCCTCTTCTCCGCTGGTAATTCTCGCTCAGGTATACTATAGTCAATCCAGAACTGACAGGAGTAGAATATGCTAATGAGGGGTTTAGGCAGCTGAACAGAAATTCAGTACCCTAAGGAACCTTGGAAGCCAGGGTAGTTATATAAGCAAGGAACCAGGTCATGGGTGGCATGGCTATCCAGCAATCACAATACAGGCTCAACAATCTCGCCCGGGGCTAGGGTTGTAGACTGAATGACTAGATACCCCCCTCCTTTGTTGTCTAAAGGCACTAGCACCGCCCAGAACTCGCTCACTCCTCCTCCCCTCTGTACTGCCTCCTATGATGTATTCGAGGCAACTAACTATAACATTTAGTTTTATGAGAGCCCTGCTATTGAACCCTATAAATGATATCAGATTCTTTGCAGAAAATCGGCAGTATGGTCAATTTCGGCGCCTCGATCACTTTTCAAGTTAGCCAGGGCCATTACCTTGCAAGGCCTATTCAGATTCCTACAAACCGTGTATGTAACTAACAAGCGTGAATATAGCGGAAAGCTGACCTGAATGGGAGTCTCTTCTCCTAGAGACTAGTTTTAGGACCGAGACACCATCTCTGGTAACGTATTTTCGCGCACGGAAACCCCAGGCCATTGATGCCGAAGCCCTTAGGCGTGACGAGCTGAGTGTCTTGATCAGGATGAAATTTTTTACTCCGAATTTCTCCAAGGAATCATTTTTGGAGGTGTCCATGCCAATGAAGCGCATCTCACGTGTGATGCAGAAACCGTGCTTGAAAACTGGAAAACTTCGAGTGTAGTATATAAGCCTGATTTAGAGCTACAAGATGGCCCTTACTTTGTAAGTGGAAGAATTTTCCACTCAATATGGAGAATGTTTGAGGATCGCCAGCTTGCCTTTTTGCAAGCAATATGGCCCACGGAAGGCGAGCATCGGTAAGAACAATCCGTGTACCACAGAAAATTTAGCTAATTTTCAATTTCAGTGCTTTTGAACAAGTCATTACTGCAGGTAATGGCTATCGTTCCCATGGAATAGCAATCCCCGCCAGATATTTATCGCAAAGAACCATTGAGCCGATGTCTACGGCCCAAGAAGAAATCACACCCTCGTAAGTATTTGATAGATTGAAAATGTTTTGATACTTTACCTGTATCTACTATTACTTATCTAGTCTTTGCTGATTATTTGATCTGAATTCAGTCCACTTCAAGGTATGAGAATTGCCGTCAAAGACAATTTTCACGTCAAGGGTATGAAGACATCCCTTGGCAACCGTGCCCACTATGAGACATATTCAGTTCAAGATAGCACTGCAGAGGCGGTGCTGAGACTGTTGGAAGCTGGTGTTCATATAGTGGGGAAGGTACATTTACGTTCGTTTGCTATGATGGAGCACCCGATGCAAAGCATCGACTACCAAGCACCATTCAACCCACGAGGTGATGGCTATCTGATCACAGGAGGGAGTAGTGGCGCAAGTGCTGCTGCTGTTGCTACTTACGACTGGCTGGACTTTTCTATTTGCAGTGACAGTAGGTTTAATTTTCCATGTCACAGGTATTTGAAAATTCTGCTAATATACGTATGCAGCTACGGGTAGTGCCCGAATCCCCGCGCTTCAAGCAGGCGTGTTTGGCTTTCGTCCATCTAGCAATTCTATCTCCGGTGAAGGTTTAGTTAAAGCATGGCCAGCATTCGACACTCCTGCATGGATGGGCAGGGATCTTGAGATGTTTCCTCATATCTTGCGTGCTCTACATCTCCCTGGGCCAAAGGCTGAATTTTCGAAAGAATCTTCTGTTGAGATTCTATATCCTACTGATTTCATACCTGATAACAGCCCTGGCCAGGAGCAAGCCATGGTTGATTTTATCGAAGACTTGACCAAATCTACTGGGTGTGACCACAGAAGAATTTCCATCAAGGAAGATTGGCAGAAAACAGCCCCTGTAGCAGAGAAGGATCTGCAGCAGTATCTTTATAATGTAGGTCGATAATGGCGCACAGCACAATTCTCGCTAAACCGTTATCACAGACAACGCTTCATGGTTGGTATTACTCGGCCTATCATTCCTTTGATAACTTCAGGCAAGAATACGAAGCAGTTCACAGCCATGCTCCTTTTGTGACCGAAGTCATTGAATGGTATTGGTACGAATTCAGCCCCATTCGACTGTCGTATCCAAGGCTTACTATGAACAGGAAGTTAGGCAGCCAGGTAACTTTACAGCAGCATGATGAGATGATGAATAGGCTATCAGTTTTCAAAGCCTGGTTTATTGATCATTACATCACGAACAACCCGCAAACTACTGTTATTGCTTTGCATATCGATAAAGTTCAACCAAGATATCGACACCAATATCCCGGAAAGAACAACCCAAATGTGCCTGGTATTCGACCAACTTTCCTTGCGGCAATACTAGGAGCTCCTGAACTGGCTATTCCGAGTAAGTCATCTCAGGATTTTCTTTCAATTTCGTGGACCGTCACATACGTTATGAACTTCAATTCACTTGCTTATGTTTACCAGTTTCTCAAATACCATATCAGTCCATGATAACAGGCAAAAAAGAAGAACTACCGGTTGTAGTTTCTCTTTTGGGGCCATCAGGGAACGACATGGAACTCATTCAATGGTCTTTGGACGCCTTACGCGCAAGTGGTCGCCAAACCATGGTCAAAACTGGCAAGACGGCCTTCTGAACATAGTTCAAATACTCCCTGAAAGTTCCAGTTACGGCGATCTACTCTTGTGTCATCATGAATCCTTTTTTTATGTAACTTATGGCTCAAGGCCGGGTTTAGTAAAACATATCATCTGGTCAACAGTAGAGCCAAAGTTTGAACCCCGTACGGAACACATATTTGTCGCCCTAAACTACCATTTCTTAGTATCAGTGGTTCTGCGGGTTTACTGTGGCCACCAGTATCAGGTGTACTATGCCTCACACGACTGAGTGCATGTTTAAGAGAATTCCTCCGAGTTATTGATAGAATTAAAATAATTGAATTAGTAAATAGATGTTCATCGACTTTGTGGCAAGCAATCTTATGCTGTGCTCTTCATTATTTGAACAATAATCACCATCGCTCCTGGTCGAGTAGGGTGTCCAACTTCAGTACCACGCACAAGCCTCCAGTCCTTGATTCGATTCATCAACGTTCACAGTTTCTCTGAAAATCTCCATCCGAGACCGGGCTTTGCTCTGAGAATACTCCAGCTCCTGGGATGGAATTTCATGCGGCGCCTCTGGTAGGTAGGATTGATAGTCAAAGTCGTCAGGGAAGTACTGATCCATGGAGACAGAACTCGGGGTAGAAAGGAAACTCGTCTGGGAATATTGGTGGTGGTGGCTGATATTTGAAGGGGTTACATTAGTCGGAAGAGAAACAGGTTGGGGGCTAGTAACGGGCAGCTGGTGAGTAGACTTTATTTTCTCGTTGTCTATGGCACCAGAACCAGGGGGCAGAATATGTGCGATTTCTGGGATTGAACCGCCTAGTAGCGGAGGGCCTTGGGTTATTGGGGGTGCTATGAACTTGTGACTAGTTGGAGAGCCTCTTATGCAAATCTGATTTTGAAGAATGGCAAGTTCCAAGTCGTCTGGCACGTTGTCCCGCGAGATCGAAACTCTTGCATTCACATCTGCACATAATCAGATTTGGTTCTGAAATGATAGGGCCATACGTACTTAAAGTTCCATCGAGTAGTTTTTCTTGCTTTTCTCGGACGTAGTATAGTTCATCAAGTAGACCAATCCGGTCGCTTGGACATATCTGTCGTCGTATGGTCTCATCTGCGGCTCTCAATCTGCGTGCAGTGACTCCATGACTGGCGCGTAATTCCGAGAGGATATGAACAAGAAGTTCGATTCGTTCTAGACTCACAGTCAAGCCTTGTCACTCTGCCAAGAGTGGGAAAAGTACTCACCAGCCTTGTGTAAATGATCTGGCTCTCGGTGCCTTACTTCAAGCGGCCACCATGGCGGTTTAGTCTCTTCTGGGCTCCATTGATGCGTTACTCCCGCCACATTTTTCCGTCCATTATAGGGAAACCTGACTTGTTTCCTCGGCTCCACAAGTCTCACATAAACCTTTGCAAGGATTCGGCAATTCGTCTGTTGCAGGTTCTCAAAAACCTTTTCGTAGTACCTACGAATGAAGTTTGCGTTGCCCAAAGATATCATGATATTCTTGGAAGCAGGTACTGTGACAGCTAGTTTTGATGTAGCTTCATGCTGCAGAAGCTCACTGGCTCTCTCAGACCGATGAACTAGCTCTCTGGGCCACGGTATTGGTAGAACCTGGGGTGTTTGAGCTGCTTGTCCGTTAAGAACTGTCTGGATTGCCGAATTCTCCGTAGTATGGGGGGTATAAGTCCGATTAATTTGGGGTGCGGGCTGGATAGTCGGTAGTCCGCTAGAGGATGTTGCCTGTGCACCTATTTGTGGCTCTTCTCACGTCAGTTGTGCAATTAGAAGGAGCTCAGACACATAACCAACGTTGAATAGTGGCGTGATCATCTTCGAATGTTGACACCGCCTGTAAAAATTGATTTGTGACCTGGGGTGACAGGATTCGATCACGACTTTCGGAAATAGAAGATGAGGTTTCGTGGCGTAAATTACCTGCTCGGTCAATGAAGATGAGGGCGAAATGCGAAACGCCTCTCTCGTCCTCCTGAACCGACGGAGATGCTATAAAAACACATCAGCCCATTTTCACCACCAACAAGTCTTCGCTCAAGACAAAAAGTGGTTTCCTGTGCCTTACGAATAGCCGCTCTAGCCATTCGAAGGAGCTCTCAACGACAATCATGTTGGCAGCCAGATTGAGGTAAAGGGAGGGAGGCTTACAATCAACGATGATCACATCCGAAGAATTAGTACCCAGTGACATTGAATGATTAGTTAGACAAACGAGGCGCTTAAATGGCGGATATGTTGTGTCAAGGGGAAAAGCCGGAGATGTGGGGGATTTATAGAAAAAAAGCACCGTTATGATGCGGCCAGTCTTTATCTACAGCTATAATTCCAGGTATCATCCAACCATAAACTGGAGTAACGGAAGCCGACATCTGCAGACAAGCGCATATGCTAACTGGTACCGTTACTAGGGTCAGTGCTCGCTCGAACCTCAAGGTATGCTTCTGTCAGAATTGCACCCCACATACCCATTTTCAGGTTCATGCACTGAACCATGGCCTTGGCAGACGCCTTGAGGCTTAAGTTCTCAGCTATGAGCTATGGAAATGCCAGTTAGGGCAATAACATCTGAGCCGCAAGGTTTATATATTCCCTGATTGGGCAGGTGCGATAATCATCCTTGCCCATCCAAGTAATTGTTTGAAGATCCTTTGTTAAGGTGATTTGCCGGGGAATGAAGCAAGGCAATCCTTAGCGTATCCTACAAACTTTCAGGCTTCAGCGGACCCGGAATGCAGATCACCCTCGAACAAAAGCACCGGTTCCCCGGCTCACACGCGCAGCTTCATAATCTCCTAGAGTCTATCACATTTGAAATCTGTACTTTCAAACTAATCAACACGAATAGGGCGTCATTCGGCCATCATATGTGGTTAACTGCAAGTTGTACTGGTCACCGACATCTCCCTGTCAAGTCTTAGCTGCAGAGAGGAGCCCCTGAATTTTTCAATCTTTTTGCCGAAAGTCCCGACCACTAAAGATGAGTAGCGAGACATAAGCGAATAGCGCAACATTGATACGACAGCAAAATAATCATGGCGCAGTATCCCCTCGCTTACCCTGGAATTCTGAATTATATTTGAATTTTTCTCAACAGAGTATTACAGCTGTAATTTTTCGCTGGCGTTAGATCTATGTCTCAGCTTGGCGAATGTGTTTCAAACGCTCTGAGCTTTGAATTCGGGTTCCAAGAATTCAAACAAACATAAGCTGCTTATAAGGGCGGCAATGAAATAAAATAAAATACAGTACTGCAAATCTAATGATCAATAGTCGGTGCTATTAAAAAGGATAGTATCTGTATCTATAGGTAGATTATTTCACCTCATGAACTCCAAAATAAATACAAGAATGGTAAGAAAAAAAAACCATGGATCACCAGTAGGCATAAAAGCGCGGTTGAGTCCATGATACTGGCGACATCGGGGTCCTGGGTGGTGAGTAGCCGGGCTTTGCTCCGGGCTTTGCTCCTGGAGTCGGGGGAGTAATCACGCGTTTCACAGGCCAAGCAGAGATGCATGCACGGGGGGCAAGCCCCTCTTTCTTGCTTCCGACTACCTGACAGTATGCCTGAATAAAATAAGTTAGTGGCTAGGCCTTTAATCGGGTATATGATCGCGCAGGGCGAGACTTACCCAGCCATCATCGAGGATCTGAGTTATGATAACCTGTTGGCCCTCCTGAAGGCTCAGCTGGCTCCCATTTCGAGACTCATAGTTCATATCGACGTGGTACACATCTCTGCGGAACAAACTTGTGCTTGACAACTGGGGTCTGAGGGCCTGGTACACATTGTTTGTTTGAATTTTGGGTGCTGACTTTGTTGATGTAGTCGAGACCCTACTCACCGTGCAGGAACTTCCGTTTGATACGCTCAAGCCATCTGTCTTCTCATCACCAGCAGAAAGTACTTCTCTAAGGCAGAGTGGATCCACGGAGTGTTCTTGCATTGGCAGGACTGCGGCACTTGGCAGTTCGGGACACTTGAATACGTAGTTTGGCCCGTCTGACAAGGAAAGAGGAGATATGAATGTTTCTGAGCTGCTGTTCATAGTCGCTGGCCATATATCACTGGTCCTTGACTCGCGTGGACGTGGCCGAGGCTTTCGGGTGGTACGCCGCTTGAATTCGCTATACGTGGCGTACCACGCAGTCGAAATGGTTTCTTTGGTTTGCGGTACCAGCTTTTTCAGATGTCTGTTGACTCGTTCGAAATCAAAGCGTCTGTGTCTTATCTCGGGATTCTCATCGCCAGACTTTTCGTTTTGATCTGGGACTTCTGTCAACCAATTGGGAGACCATGTGCCGACGCCGCCACCGGAATCCTTGCGCGCTGATCTGATGACTGTATCAAAGGATGCGGTACCCCTGGATTTGATGTTGGATAAGATCTTTCTTAGTTGCTCGCCATCCAGATTGGTACCGTCCGACGGAGGTTTGAACTGGTCATTGAAGCGCACCAGAAGCTCCCTCCTTCTCTTATTCTGCTTGCGCAACCAAGTAAGAACGAAGATTGCGATCACACATGTGACCACCAGCACGCTGATGATAGCGTAGATGTGCGATTTATCCGCTTGTTCTGTTTTGGCTGGGATTGGTGGAAGAGTGGCTGATTGTCGTGGCATTTCTGGCTCTTCTCGAGCAGTCGGAGAGGGAGAAACGGAAGGCAGGCCTTCGCTACTGAAGGTCACTTGCTGTGACACAGCGAATGTTGTCGTTGATGGCTGAGTAGTTGGCTGAATGGTTGGCTGAATGGTTGGCTGAATGGTTGGCTGAGTGGTTGGCTGAGTGGTTGGCTGAGTGGTCGCTAGTGGGACTGGAACTACGCTACCAGCGCTCCAAATTGAAGTTGCTGGGGCGATAATTGTCGCCGGAGGTTCCACATGAGGAGCAACTGCGTTTGAAACAACGGGTAGATTCTGTGAGCCCGCATATTTCCCTGGATGGTAGAGGCCGTCATCCGGAACCGCTGCCTTCGTCGATGGAGGGTAAATGCCGTTGTTCAGGGCTGTGGGTGCAATTGCGCCAGCGGCTGATACATATAATGGGACGCCCAATGTATTGATTGCCGTCATGATGTCGATGGTGAGGCGCAGTCAATTAATCGCAAGCTGCGGGCCTGTAGGAATAGATCACAAATGTATTATTTAAAGACAGACATACCCCCTGGGGCAATTAGTAAAAAAAAGAATAAACGAGCGATGGTGAAAAAGAATAGACACAAAAAGGAAGAAAAAGAAGTGCGTGTCTTCATTGAGATGGCCCTTGAAATATAATAGTAACATTTTTCTTCTGTGTTGCATCAAAAGAGTCTATTTGTTTACGACGTTGAGAATGTTGTTGAGTTGCAAGCATATCTATGGTTAGATGAGAGTGTTGCTTGGAATGACAGGGTCAGCAATACTGGACTAATTTGAGGTTGTGTGCGTATGCACTGATTCTATGTTTATGCATATCGAGTGCCAAGTTTGTGCCTTGCGGTGCAGTGATGAAAGAAGCTATCAAGTGTAATATATCATGCTTCTGGTGGCCCATCCTCTGTTGAGAAATTCTAATTACCTTACAGTATAGCTGATATGGCCTACTGTTATTATCTCCAAATACGTTCAGGTTCTTTGTTGGCGGTAATGTGTGTTTGTTCAGCAACAAGGTCGAAATTTCATAGATATGTCCGGCATGTCCATCAAGTTGATGCGATGATCCTTGCCAATCTATCACTTTGATATCTCGAATTCATCTGGATTTTCGCACTATGCAAAACGCCAAGTCGGAACTTGATAGGCTAGAACCTACCCCGAGGGACTTTTGAGGCACTCGGATGCCCTAACTTGTTGCTTTTGCAGGATGTGGCTGCAGCCACGTGATGTTTTGTGGACGGCTGCTGACCCGGCGAATCGGATTGACAGCTTAGGAATGACAGAATACGAGGCTGAACTCACAATCACATTGATGCAGAGAAGAAATTTGACACTCCCTATCATTATGTAAGGGGTGATCTCTTCTCGGGGGCTTCTTGGGAGACTTGAAAACACCTGGAGCCCGTAAGTAGGCTTTTACTTGGAGATTTGAATCCAGTATAAGTCAAACATCAATTTCAGAGGACGGTATACGCAGTTCAAATTGAACCAATTTTAATCATCCGATTACATTTGTATGTCTATAGGAAACAATGAAGCCAAGAAACATGCCGCCAATGATGACTCAACGCAACGCGGTTGTTATTTCGACGATTTTTTGTAGCCTTTCACTGTGCGAGAGGTTTCTCCAAAGCGAACAGCACGACGGACCTTATTGAACCATTGCGGGAGGTTTCGGGGCTGAGGTTTGCGACCAGATGTCTCAACAATCTCCAGATCATCAATATGCATCGGTCCATTGAGAACTTGAGGTAGAACTTGAAGAGTTGGGCTTGGCAGACGAACTTGGGATATTGTGCTGGAAGACAAAGAAACCGCCGATACATTATTACTGGCTTCTGAACTTGACGTGCTTGACCAATCGCTGGTTTGGTGAAATGGAGGACTTGAAACCGGATTTAACACCATCTGGCCCTGACTAGCGAAGACTTGGAGTTCTCTGGTATCCAAGCTGAAGCTGTCGATTGAGATTGATGAGGATGGTCTCTGTCGATAGAATCCCCAGCTCGGTCGAATTCGAGACCGCTAAGAACAACATGAATCAGTATATAGTGGAATTGAACTTGTTTCGTGCATTGCTCACTTTGAACCGTGTAAGAGGACTTCTCTGTAATCTTCTATGGAGCATATCTTTTGCTGCTGTAGCGAAACGGACCGATAATGGGCGAGTCATCGGACTGAATTATTGGGAGTACTCGGGACGTCAAAGTCATGAGCTAGGTGAGCCGTTATATAATTTCGTTGGACTGTAGGTCTGAGAAAAAATCATCTATACATACTGAAATTCTCTTTAGCCTGTGCGTCGCGTGTCAAAGATCGACAAACGAGAATTCCGGAAGTTCGACGAATGCTACATTTTCTAACGCTCTGGAAGCTACTCCTAAATACATGCTTTAGTTTCACTTAACGTGAGCCTCACTTCACCATCGCTATAGATATGGCTCGGCCAAATAGACAAGACTAGTAATTTATCTGTCCTATGTTCGAAATGGAAGGCTAGGAACAGCAATCATTAGAGCCTGGAGAATGAATACAGAACCGAATTGGAAAAAAGGGCAGCCGGTTCGTACTTTTTCTTAGTAAAGCATACGCACGTCTTCTCTTCGATCATATCAATATAGGTAGGATTAGCAGCAGCGGAAAGTTAAATGCTCCTTTATACATTTTTCTAAGCTATAGCAGATTACTTGACTCAAGATTGTATTACGAAATTTGATTAGAATACTGTTTCATATCATAATATGTGATATGCCCCTTACGTATGTTTTTCTGTGTCTCCTTCCCAACTTCAAAAGGTGTGGTAGATCTATATAGATTCAAAGATAGGTATACGAGCAGTCCCGTCGTCTTCTGCCGAACAAACATTGTCTTTCGTATATCTATCAACTATGAATCGTATTTCTATTAAAGCTCTAAATCCTATTTCTTGTATTGATTTTGTAAATATCGAGTGGACGCAAGTAGCCTGGATATATATTTGTCCTCTAGGGCGAAGATCGGAAATAAATGGAACCAAGCCACGTAATACGCTGTTCTACAGGCAAAAGACCCATAGCCAAAGATTCACTCAAAAATTTGAATTGTGGAGTGTCTCTAGGTTATTCTAATGCTCAAAAAAGTACGGCGGCAATGATGAAGTATATTGCGGAGATTTGGTGGTTCTTACTTACTTGGGTCAATGATATAGATAGATATACTGTAGGCGTTCTATTGGATGATAAACCAAACCCACTATCTTCAACGCTACATAAATATACAACTACTGGCATTATATCCTTGACATCGCAAATGCTTTCAATATATCAACATGTTGAAAAATTCCGATATGTTTTGGAAGGACTAATTCTGACCTCGAAAAGTAACCAGTAACCCTTTACCAGAGTCACAGATACACTGATAACGGATTGATAGAGTCTGCAAGGTCGCGCCAACCGCAGCACGGTTGTTATGTAAATAAGCAACAGGCAACTAACTTGAAAACCATCGGCATTAATAATTGACGAGAGGATAGCGCGTAAGGGATAACCTAGATATTCATCAGTATAGCGTGCATCGAACTTTTGCTAACTCAGATGGCTGGAACGGTCGACGACCTAGGGAACACATTGCCCATGCCGATCGTTCCTGTAACAGGAACTACATAAATAGTTTCAGGAGACCAATAAGTTGATAGGGGTGGAGAAATTACCCCTGTGCCATTTGATTGGATGGGTGACTTTCCAACCAATCTGCAAACCTCGTGGCGCCTGCCAGACTTCATTCCTCCAGCCGTCATCCCTTGGCTCGATTAACCCTAGAAGTAATGTACTCGGCATTTGTGTTATCAGTTCTGTTTACAAAGTTAAATGATATTTGTTGATAGAAAGGGTACGGAAGAGGGCGGTTTTTTATCAGATATCCAACTGCGCTTCTCTTCCGGCGTTCTTTCTATGTAACAAAAGCTCTAGGTTTTCCATGGTATTTTTTTAGTTTCTAATGAAGATGAAAGCTAGCACCAGTAATGTCTTTGCTTGGCAAACGAAGATCTATAGAGAGGAGAGTGCGGCGAAAGAGTTAAGTTTTTGACATCGAACGGATGCAAATAGCCGGTAGCATTGACGACATTATGTCTCGCACAGTTTCTCGATTAAAGGGAGTATTCAATGTTTTCTTGATAGAGTTCAATGGTAGTAGTAGTAGTAGTAGTAGTAATAATGACTTTAGCCACCGAACGCAAAAGTTTCAGACTACAGATATACCCTGGTTGAGTTAAGAGGATGGGGCAAGTCTTGAAGGGAGCTGTCACATATTTAGGCTCCTCGTCGGATCTACTGTAAGCTGAGGCGTCGATCTACTGTATCTGGACGGCCCGTGCTTTTCAAATACGGTATAAGGTATGAATAGTTCGCGCTATAACATGCTGAGACTTTGAGTGAAGTCAGATACCCCACGGACTTTTGTATGATCTGCGCTGAAGCTGTAATTACTTCATTTTGATATCTTATGTAGTCAGGCGCATTTATGAAGCAATAAAGCTCTACTTTTTGAACAACACTTGACTATCTAGGCTAAGGTGGTGCGAGATAATTAATTAAACCCGTGAATATTAAGTTTCTACTAGGGAGGGGTAGTAGACGCTAGTGCCATGTTCTTGGTGATACTTCTAAGTAAAGTATGTAGAATGGGGTGCCTAGAATTGTGGATAGAAATCCTAAAGGATATAACCTACCAGCTGAACAAGTACTTGCGAATCTAGGCAACACCGAAAGAGGGGTCTCATTATTTCGATGCGACAAACAGAAATTACTCTTGCTCTAGTGCATAGGTCGATTTATATCGAAGATGGTAACCAGATTCCAGCACCAAATCGGCACAGTCACCTCGAAAATTCTTCGATCTACATAAATGTGATTGAGTGCCCATAACCACTGCGATGGAACAATGTAACCATAGTTATTCGTATAGAGCTATACTGAAATATGACAATCTTGGTGACTTCAAGAACATAAGTGTTGCTCTAGAAACCACTGTAATGCTCTTAATTAAAGAGAGGAGCTCAATAGTTCATTCTTCATACGCTCAATTTGCCCTTACCTTCGTGGAAGACTAGTTGTTAGCTTTGAGTCGTATAAGATATCCAAGTAAGAATTGTGACTCAACAACATCAAATTATAAATTAGTGTGGTGATGTCAGTATCTAGAGATGAAGACATTTAGAGCTACTAGGAATACTTACTTTGATACTCTCATTCGTGCCAGATGCCGAAATGTTGTTGTTTCGGCCCATCCCCCTGGAGTTATTAGAGAGTTGAAACCAAATTAGATTTATTCTTAGGAATAAATATTTTCTTCAGATGACAGAAGAAGCCGCACAGCAGAAGTTAGAAATTGTAGACATTTCCATCTCCCAACAAAGCTTTCAACCCATCGTCATTATTACACAATCAAAAGACATAGTT